TAGGTTTCCGTTTTACCATGGGGGGAAAGGTACGGGTACACATAGGCTATTGCAAAATTAGCCACCTTTCAATTTGCGGCTACTCGTGGCCCCAAGAGTCTCGTGTACGAATTGAGTAGACGTCTACACCACCTTTACTATTTTTTGATACACGGGGCAATATTTATGCCAAAGCTTTGCCCAACCACTTTTGCTTGGCAACTGTCTTCATGTCGGTAACAGATATAACGTGGCTTTTGAATTCGTTTAGGTCTTTGAGACGACCTTGGAACTTGTACTAACTGGTACACAAAATCTCTCCTTATGTACTGTCTCTCTGATTACATTACCATCCTCTCCGGCGGCATAAAATGACACCAAAACTCTGATGTCATTAACCGTTTCAGCCGTTTGTGTCGATTTGGTCGACACTCTTTCAGATCTTTCCTTCGATGGATTTGGATACTTTCTGGTCTTTCTGGATACGATCTGGCACACCACCACAGCCAGGCGGTCGACAAAAAGAACACTGAAGATCATAGTCCTTATGCAAATGTTAACTATAGTAACTTATGCATACTGTGTCACGATTGTTTGGACCTACCACGAAGATTAGACATCAAAGGTCAAGCGAAAGTTAAGCAAAGGAAGAAAAGACCAGGAAACATTGTCACTGCTGCCACGGTTTATTGGCCTTTGTTAAGACTCTATTTACTTTGAATGATTGGTTTCCTCACGCATCAAGTTGTTATGTCCGGTCCCGCGTCACGCGGATAATTACTGGGATACCTGTGGTAGCCCAGTCATAAAATGCCTTTGTTTTTTTGTCTTTTTTTTTTCCTCCGCCACAAAATGGAAAAATTGCGCAACAGCCTCGGACAGCATTTTCAAGACCTCGGTCACAGTTTTTCACCATACGGACCTCCCAGCCGGCAAATAACATATATATACCAGACGTAAAAACTCTTCAGATTCTCAGTCTGCATTTTATACCCACTCTGCAGTCTGCAGTCTATATTTTGTATCCGGTCTGCAGTCTGCTCTCTGCATTTTGTACTAACAGGTATCCGTGGCACCAATACAGTTTATTTTTGGTTACATTTATTCGCACAACACACAATCTACCACAAAATACCTGTGTGAGGTAATTCGACATTTTCGTTCTTTTCCGCGTTAATACTCTTCTTTCCTTTAGTAAGAATGTAGCCCACTTACAATGTTTCAAGTAATCCACCCACCCTACAAAAAATAACTCTTGCATGCATAGCATGCCTATGTTTTGAAATAGGTGTATGCCCTTGGCCAGACTTGAGCTTACTATTTCAGTATACTAGTCCGACACCCGTATTATCGCTACATTTGATTCCAAGGATCCAGTACCATCCAGGTATCCCAGTTACCCTGCTCACAGGGTCTAGTTTGAGTTCAATCACGCGTCACCCTGCAAATTTTGGGGCCATCGCGCGTCACGCAAAATTAAAACCCCTTGCCATCCTCTAAGAAGTGTTATAAGAGCGATTGACGGAGGGCTAACTCTCGAAACGTCAGCCTTTATACTCTTTAAAGTGGCCAATTTACGTTTTTAACTCAGTTAATGACACTAAATTACCCTGTTAATGGCTTATTATATGCGCTTAAAGAGACTAACAATTGAGCAATCAGCAAGATTATTTTAGCTCCGTAATAACGGAACGGTCTTAAATTTGGGCGCGGCAGGTGTCGAAAACGCATCAGCAAACGTTTCCTTTTAAATCACCTCTTATTCTAGAAAACCCAAATCTCCGCGATTACATCTGCAGGTCAACCAACGAGCTGAACATACAAGACGACCTTTTTCCTTGGCAAAACAAAGATCATAATCGCCACTTCACGTCTTTCCGGTCTCTTAGTGAAACGCATCAAACGAAACGATTGTCTACCATTTCCGACAGTAGGCTAAAAGGTTTACGTATCATAAAACGTGTAAAAACTGGTATGACTATCCCAGAAATTGTGAAAACTGATCAAAATAATTTAGAAACTCTAGCCACTCCTGTCATCCAACATACGTGCTTTACTCCCATACCGGAAAGCCGAATCCATATGAAAGTAGCAAAGAGTATAACATTAACCCAGTCGAAACTCAGAGTATTTATCTTACCATCGTTCCCGTGTACTTGTGCGCCAAGACAGAGAAAAAGACCACCAATGATCAAGGTTCGTAAATCTGTTGCCATCTTGCAAAGTTACTCCTTCAGACGGCGTCGTAAACTCAGTCGATCATTAATTAAAAAAATTAATATTTGACAGTCCAAATCATGTCTAAATAGGGCTTTGACAGTTTCTTTTGTCATCGGTTGCATATTCAAATACATCAAATCATTTACATATGTCAAAGTCCTAGATTAAAGGCTTTTGGTTTCCTTCTACAATAATTTCGTTCCGGAACTGACGTACGCAGCTGCTGGCTGTTTTTGATTGATAGCAATAAACAATACAGATTAACAACGGCAATGTGATCGATTTTAAAAATAGTACCTGAATCAAATTAGTCTCAGAAGTAACCGGAGTCGCTAGAATTTAAAACTAGCTTAAAAGTTTCACTTCCTTTTGTGTAATTTGTGGTAACATTTGGTTCACTAATCATTGATTGTTTAGCGCGAGGACACGTGCAACCTGTTATTTTCCGTATGCACATTTCGGAGGTCGTTGTAGATTATTTCCACTAAATGGCTTCAATCCAGACGTATACTGGAGCGCGAGCTAAAAACAATGGTAAAATAGAGGCTGATGAAGGTGTGGACAACAAATCGGGGGTGGAAAGGCCAGAAAATGTGTGCCACCTCTGTGGGCAATGAACACTCTTCTTATCATTTCTTTTTTTTAAAGAACCTTTTTTAAGAGAACGTTCAGGCCAAGATTAACCAAAATTTTTAAGAACAAACCCTGCTGTGAGTCAGTTAAGAGCGTCTTTAGTTTATTTCGCTCATTTGTTTTTGTGAGAAGTATAAATAATAGAAGAAATGTTAAACTGTAGTCTAATAGTTTAAACTTAAATTCTTAGGGACATTTTCTATAGTTAACAATGCAGTTTCCGTTATCGCACGATGTACTGAAGACCAACTCAGTTTCTAGTCGAAGTTTAATTTAATGTAATACTATACCGCACCACTTTAGAAGCTTATTAAGAATGTTTTTAGGTGCAAATAGCAAAAAAAAAGAAAAGATAAGTAAATAAAATAAGAAAGTTCAGCCTCAGCCCCAAAAGTTCACGTTCTTATCAAACAAAAAATAAAATGTAGTGATATTGGACGACAACTTGAAGGAGTGCCTGTTGCACCGAAATGCCTCAAACGGAAAACAAATTGGAAGATACTGTCTTTACATCTCTACAATTCCTTAAAATAGAAATGTCTTGTTAAGTACCTGTATTAGAATCTTCTCACTTTTTTCATCATTTTCAATACTCCGCTGTAACACAGAGTAGAGCAAATTTGTTGCTGTTTAAGGTTTTAACTCCCTCAAAAGATCGCCTGATCGTCCATGTAAAATCGGCAAGACTGATCAATATTAACCGACATACGGAATTATGCGATTTGTTCTGATGTGAGCTATCTAAAGGGAAGGAATAGCTATGGCTTAACTTATGGATAAGAAGTACTTAACAGAAAAAAAGGTGATCGCACTAGCCTCACTCCATAAATTTTTTATCATAAAGGTAAACCGGTCTCAGCTCTTCACTCGCCTTCTTACATCAGCTGACTCAATTGACTCAAAATTTTGATGTGCTGCACGTGTTTAACGTTATAAAGGCTACTAACACATTGTCGGAAAAAAACCTTGGTTGTCGCTTTGTTGAACAAGTCGTGACGCAAAAGCGCGCTTTTTTTTGACGAATTTTGTTCAAAGCATTGATCCACTTGGAGTATGATATTTGTCTTCTTCTAGATGCTCAAAGCACATCCATTCTTATTCAATTTCACATTTCACGGAAATTTTTGGTAAACTTTCGTAGGCAATTGCAACAGAGAAATGACGCATCCACCTTCCGCGCGCCGGTTTCATAAACTGAGGAAACTGTGACGTCAAGCGCGCGCAGAACACGCCCTGACAACTATGAAAACAGTACTAAACGACCCTGATTGGTCAACGGGATCAGGTCGCGTGCTGACCACGTGCAAGTTCAATGATAGTCTGCGCGATTCTTGTTCTTGTTTTGTGCGCTGCGAAATATTTCTTTTCAACTGACCCGTTAGAATGCAAACCAGGAAATGTGCTTCAATTTTCTTTCATTTGATTGTCTCTAGTACCAGATTTAGCCATATGTGCCAACAAAGTCCGCGTGTTCCTTATCACCAAATCACAAAAAAATTATATGAAGGTGAATTGGCGCAACAAAAGCATCAGCTTCTAGTATTTTACCACCCGCACAAACCACCCGGTCAACGCGTTCACTGAAAACAGAGCTTTTCAAAAACGCTTCCCATGAGGATAAATTTGAAAACGTCACCCTGACGTTTCAGACTGGACGGCCGAAAAAAAAAGATCTTTACGTAAAACTAAACGTCAAAGCTTCTTAAATTCTATGGCGAACTAATTGGGTCTTCTTTAAACGCTAGGCTAGATGTTTTTGCTGTTTCTCGCGTCTGCTCTTCGATCGGAGGAAGGTGAGCATACTTACCAGCCCGCCGTTGATCATCAAGCCTGACTGCTAGCATGCTCAAAGGTGCATTTAAATGTTTCTGTAACTTGTGATCCTTGTAGTGTGGACGGGAAATAATTTGTTCGTTTTCCAGAGTAGACAAGTTAAGTTGCATTTCAAATTCATCTGACTCAGGGTGGAGGGAGCTTCATTCTCACCACTAGGCTTAAATAGCTGCGCCTGTCTAAAAGACATCACGTGAGTGCCTGTCTAAAAGACATCACGTGAGTGCCTGTCTAACTAAAAGCCATCACGTGATATACAGTGCAGAATAATAACACTGTGTACTCGAGCACGCAATCCATGCAATCGTATGATATGCCATTGGACACGTGTACTGGTCACAAACAAGTAATCGACAATATTAATAAATCAAAACCTGTTTAAAGGGTGCGTATAATGTTCTTTAAAAACCAATGTATGTCACAGTAAAATAATTTAATAACAGCACAACTTAATCCATCTCTTAATTTCTGTAATCAATGACGATAAAAGTGAGATATGCTAAAATTTACTTGTAAAAGTTCTACTCTAAATTTTCTCCAAAAGCCTTGATGTAACATACTTCTTATCGATTCAAAGCATTCAATTCCTTCTCGTTCAGGTGGTGAGGACAATGCTCATCAGATTTTAGATTTTGTTCAAATACTGGCTGTATTCTTGCGAGGAAATGTGAAAATTCACCCTTTCAAGATTAACACAGTTTCAGTCCTTCACTTTACAATCCCCTTTCCTATCTTGGGAAGGAATAAATACATTTAAATATTCACTAATTTCGAGGCCATATTCGCTCATATTACCAAAACCAATTTGACAAGTCCGTGATTATTATTCAGTTTAAGAATGGAATATACGAGCCTATTCGTGTGTACTTTCCAAGTTTGTAAACTCCCCAAGCGAGGAAAATCCCTACAAAGGCTTTCAATGAAAGGCGTATAAGCCTACTTGCTCTGCTTGCTTCTGGAATTCTGAAAGAAGTGAAACAAATATTTCATTGCGTTTACTATTCCCAAGTTGGATAAGCTTGTGTGCTGCAAACCAGCCCACATTTTGCGCTCTCGAGCCTCTGATCGCTCAAGTTACTCGAGGTTTGAAGGAAACGTACCAACTAAGCTTAACCGAATCATACGCATTGCATTCACATTTCCCGTCATACAGGAAGTGATGTAGACGGTGGAGGGAGAAGAAAAGGTTATAGTCTGAGAAGCCACAACTGAGTGAGAATGACACTAGACACAAAAACTCGACTCTCCTTTAAACGGATACTTTGGTTTTATCAACTGAGTTAATAAGTAAATGTAAACTGGCCACTATTAAGAGTTTCTAAATATCATTTTAATCATTTATTACATGGAAGGATTAAACCTCGGGTATCACTAGTGCTAGTTGAACCCTCTTAAAACTCCAATAAAACTGCACCCGGTGTGAGGGACATTGCAGACCGGGAATGTTACATACGCTTATCGGACATGCTTTTGAAAACGAAACGATGTTCTAACCGAAGAAATTAAAACCAAAAGCTTACCTTAATAGTTCTTTCACGTCAATGTCCTTTTCCCAATTATCAGTAATTCCATCCACGTGTCCTATTCCGACCACACCCACCACAACACTGGGGACGACTCCTTGAGGCTCTGCAACAGCACAAGAAAGTAATGAGTCGAGTTTTTGGAACAAAGAACAACAAAAAAAGAAACACGTAGTACTGACATGGGTCTTCATTAAGGGAAGCACATGCTGGTACATGTAAGTATTTCTCAAGTGGAAACACAGAGCAGAGGAACCCTGTAATCTGCAGGACCTTGTTTTTAGCCGAGGCACATGAACATATCCTGGCCATGCAAAGATCTCTATCTTCACTTTGAATGTCTCGAGATGCAATGTTTGAGCATCATGAGTTTGGCATTTGCAGTCATTTTAAATTTTATCCATTCCTAACCATCAAAGTTCCCTGTCGATTTCTGATGTTTTTTTCTCCCCCGTTTTTAGAACCTACTGAGTTGATATATTGTGGTACCTCTCAAGTAAAAATTAGGTTTTGCACCCACTCAAACAACGGCAACTTTTCCGAGCTGGATTCACACGGTGAAATTTTCGCGTACAATCATAACATCGCGGGGGACAAGCTTACAACAAAAGGTAATAGCACATAATAAATTTGTCCCTATGTTATGTTGTAACTTGTACAAAAATGATTTGTATGAGGGATGGCTAAATGATGAAAGTTATATTTAATTTTTCATATCCAGAATGCTGCATGATCAACCAGAGGTGCGTGCGGAGATCAGAAGCAGATCAAAACAATTAAATATGAAACAAGCTGAAGTATAAAAAACCACAAAACGGAAAAATTTAAGCAATCTCATAATTTCACAGCGATGATATACTGCTAATAAACTCGTCAGTTACCTCCATCGGCATTGTGAATTTCAATGGGCATGGCGGATAATTTTAGTGATCTCGCCAGGTATTGATCTCTTTCAGAAACAAAAACTTTATATAGCGTGGGAAAATCTCCAGTCATCTCAGCCAACATTTCAGCTAGAAGGTCCTTTTGTTTACATCTCTCCACATCCTCTGTGCTGTAAAGTAAAAAGGCAGAACATTCAACCAAACCCATGCTCAGCCAAAAAAGTTTACAACACGGACACAATAACAAATATTGTACTCATTGATTTGGTTCTCAGTGTTTATCAATGCTGTAAACATAAGGCCTGACACCTCTAAAATTGTCGCAATGAGAGCAATAGCAGAGAGAGAGTTGCAACCTGTGCCCTCTCTGAACGGGACACTGTATCACTGCAGGTTACCCTTCCCATTCCAACATCCATGATGACACTCAATTGAGATCATATGATGATGATTCCTTTGATGGGTTTAGTTCCTACAGTGGTGAAATTCGTACATGTAGCTGAGCACATGGGATTATGTTAAAAAACAGAACAGATGCAACCTCCAGAATAAATCATTGCATGATCTGAAATGGGTGAGGAAGAAGAATGTAAATCCAAATCTATATTTATTTGATTTACTATCTTTGCTGAAGAGGCAAAGTGAGATTAAAGTCAAAACAAGTAGGCACATTAAACTCAAGACCACTGCATCTCCATCCTACAAGACATACCAGTAACATGTGTGCTCCAGTGTTATTTTAAAAAGGCTTAGTTAATTTTCTGTGGATAGATTTTGCACAGAACTCATAGAGATCCTGCAGAATCTTACAAAAAGCTACCCTGATAGGGTAGGCCTTACTGAGGTATATCAAAACAAGGTTACAATCAGTCTCTTATCTAACACAGTCCATATCTAATATTTAAGATCTGCATACACAAGTGAACAGCACATACCTAATGGGATCTTTAGTCATCATAAGATGCCAGGCTAATTTCATTTTTTGCCATATACTCAATGCAGCCATTGCCCTAGAAAGTGTCACCTGAAGAGACAGATGGTTACCATTAATATGGCAGTTTCAAAGTGCACTATCAACATTAATATGGTCTAATCATACTCTAAGTGCAATTATAATAATAATGATAATAACAATAATAATAATAATAATGTTGTAATACAATACACTACATTGTACACTAACATTAACCTTGTCACCCTTCTCCACAACAACAGCAGATAAGGAAACCCACTGATAAAGAAAAACCCTTTGTTTAGTAAATTTACAATTTCTTCAAGATCTGTGAAGCTTCAGGCAAGGAAAGAGAGACTGAAAAAAATTAAGGCTTGACAAAGCATGTACAAGAAAATGAGAGAAGTAAATGTATGCTGTACCTGAATGGGACGATCTCCTAAATGAATTTGACATCCTGGTATCTTCCTAGCCTGCAAAATAAAATAAGATACAATGTAACTCTTTCAGACCACAATTACAAGCACAATATTCCATTCACTCCAGTCATGTAAAAGATTTTTATCTCACCTCTCTGTAAGCTTCTCTAAACTCTCCACCTGGGGCCATTCCAAGCTGCTTGGTTATGTGTGCTGACACACTAAGTAAGAGAACTTGCATCACACCAGCTATTACCCCACTCTACCAGCAAAAGAAATCCAAGTTATGAAGAGATAATGTGTACAATTCCTCAATTGAAAAAGTTAACCATGTCTTTATGTACAAAGCAACTAAAAAATATCAAAGTGCAGAATATAAATTAAGACATTTGTCCCTCAGATTAGAATCTTGCTATGACCTAGCCAAAATCCTGGCTCTGAGACTGAGAAAACAGAGAAAATCTTCACGATGATTAGCTAACCACACATGCCCTTCTCTACTCTAATGTGTAATACATCCATTTTGACATTTCTGGTAATCCTTGCCATCAGACCAAATTGCACTCCACTCAGTTTAATTCCCATTATGAAGATGCAATTGTGGTAAAAGTAAACATATATTTTTATTATCTCTGTGAGAACGTATATTTAGCTTTCTAACATCCTAGTTACCTCTTTTCCACCCCAGCCCGACAATTACACACAAACCTACAACCAGTTACAGCACATCTACATTGTGGTGTGCAGTGGTTTTTGTGATCAATAAAGGCATCACAAATTGTACTTACATGTTTAATAGCAAGTCTCAGCTTTTGCAAGTCAATATTCTTTGCTTCCCTGAGTAGAAATTCTTCATCATATTTAAGAATGTCGACTCGACTTTTGCAAAGTTCAACTAGTACTATGTCAGGCTGGACAGCTTGAATAGTCTGCAACAAAGTAATCATTGTCACATTTTTGGCCATTGAACACTGTTAATTTGAGTTGTGTTATAGTAAAATAATTTTGGTAAGGAAGTATCAGCAAAACTGTGGATGTGATAATCTGTTTTCGATGGTGGAAGTTTGTTTCAGTCAGTTATAATTTTTACACTGAAGAAATTCAGCAATCTTTCATTTAAACTGGGAATTCACAGTAGTGAGGTGTCACCAGACAAGCTTCTACTAACTCAGTAACTCAACTGCTATGTTCAGAGAGAGTTGTCAATAAAACTGTTGCTGACAGAGGTAAGTCATTTGGTATTTACCTTTGCCACATCATCTTGGCTTTCCTTACTAAAGTGAGCAGTTCCAACAAGATAAACTTTGCAGCCCTCAGGAGTTTCAAGCTTGGTTACTGTATCAGGGAGCTCTGGGCTTGAGCTTCTTCTCAACCTTTGGATGTTCATTAGGAGTTCTTCAGATATACTAACATCCTGAGGGATTTCAGGCTCAGGAGGCATTCCTATCATGAAGAAGAAACCAAAATGAATTTTCAAGAACAAAGTGAAAGAAAAAGTCCTTTAACCTATGCTACAGATTCCTTACAGCAAGTCTGAAATCATGCATTTAAATTGCCCTAAATGAGATTTCAACATTCCTCCTTCTTCACAGTTCAAGATTTGTCAATCCATCTCTGGATTACAAGAACCTCACATAAGTTACATACAGAGTTATTGCATCTCTCATTCTCTTGTGGATAGAAAAGAAAAGCCTTTGTTTCAAAATTACTTTCCCTTCTAGTTCATATATTTAACATATGTATGCTAAATTTGGTTGTTCTAATGGTCCAGCTAGTGAAAGTAGGCTAATCAACACAAAGTGCTTCTTCACATTAGAACAAGAGAATATTCACTCCAGTGAAAATAGGAAGTTTGAAGAGCATACTAATGTACAAATGTATTTCCTAGACTTAGTTTAACAGCTTTTTAAATATTTTGTTCACAAATATCAACTGAAATAAAGTATCATAAATTTACTAATAAACAATAATCCTCTATATATTTTTTAAACATATTTCTAATGTTGGATTTATTCATTGATGCTGAAAAGGTATGTTAACAAATAGGTGACTTTTACCCAATAATTTTTTTGTGAAAGGCATGCGAGATGAAGTCCTAAAAAGAAGGTCACTCTTCAAAGCATTATTAAAAACCGTGGTACAAATCTTTGCATGCTTCAAAATTTTTTGCTTACCACTGTTTCAAAATTTTGGAGGTTTTAAGACAGAACAAAATCAAAATCTAAAATGGAAAGATTTGCAACTGCTGAAAAACTTGGATCACACCATGAATGTTAAATGTACCTGGAGGGGTTTCATGTCCTTCGTGTTCCTGAACAATATAAAAAGATGAATTATCTGTTGGTTCTACAAGGGTCAATCCTTCTGGAGTCTCTATCACCATGAGCTGTTCATCCTCAACCTCATCACTGTCACCAAAGCTTTCATCATTTCCTCCTTCCCTTGCATCTTCAAAATTAAGATTGTCACCCTCTTCACTCTCTACCTCTTGGCTACTTTCTGGTTTTTGTTCTGAAATGTTTATTCAAATGAGAAATAATGTTTTTGGAACTATATAAGTACATAGAATGAGAGATGGTAAGTTTTGAGCTTGGTAAAGAAATAGAGAAGGATGTTTTTGGTCTCTCCATGATCGCTCATGACAAGACAATAAACATCTTTCTCTTTAGTAGTACATGTGAAAAAAAATTAGTTAATTCAGGGGTAATGTTTGCAAAACTTTGTTAAAAGGGCAAGCACTTTGAGTCAATGGTTTGTTCATTTGACTCTGAGAGAACCATCTGTGTTCAAGACCAATTTTCTGAGTCATTATATTGTGTTGGCAGGAACCTTTGCTAAAGTGCACCAATACACCCCCCCCCCCTCCTTCGAGATGACCCATGGACATTTGACTGTTATCCCTGCTTGAAAGGTAGAGAATTTGAATCTTGCTTGGGTGAGGTGGGGAATTTGAACTGAAAGTGTCTAGTCTTGACAGCATAATACATGTTTTGATTTTTAAGGAGTAGTTTAAAGGTAAAGAGCCTGCTTTCATGAAGGAGTGGCTTAAAAAGAATAGTTTCCCATCATAAAAAGATGCAAAATAACACACCAAAAACTAAAATGTGACTTTACTAAATTCTACAACATTCGTTGATCACATAAAGAATTGTGAATAAAAAATTGTGCTTGAGTGGAGCGTTTGCATAAAATTTTAGCCTGGGGGGGGAGGGGGGGATTTTCATGAGCCAGTCTTCACGAGTTTAAATACCCAGGGGGGTTGCTAAGGGGGATCAACACTTAACAGTACCTTGCTCCAACTTGGAGTGTAACTAATTATTTAAGCAGGATTTTCAAGGGTACCTGACAATGTGTTGAAGAAGAATAACATGCACTGGACCACCATAAGATCTAGGAACAGTGTGCATCAAATACTAGTACTTTTTTGTTCATTTCACAGAAACCAAATACATCTCCTATTTTGACTGTTGTTCACCATTTTAAGGCCTTATGAGACTCATATGCCTTGATCAAAACAATCTTTAATTGCAGAATATACATGCATCCATAGCAACCAGGCAACCCCTTGTTATATCCTAGCTAACACTAAAATATTAGCTTACAGTTAATAAGCCTTCAAAACGAGCTGAATTTTAGTTTGGGGGAGTTAGTACATAATTAGTTTAAAAATCAAAATTAAGGTTTTATTTCAAGCTAACTTATTTTTAGCAAAAGCCTCATTGTTATTGGTATTATCAAACATATTTTGGTAGTTCAAAATTCAGGGAAGCTATGTCGACATTCATTATTTCGTGAGCTTACATCGAAAAGATACAAAGGAAAGTTTTAAAGTAAATCATATCTAGTCCAAATCAATCGTGAAAAAAATTGCAATTCCTTTATATTTCTTAGAATGATGACGACCGAGAGAAATACCTGCCACAGATATAAGTCTAAAATCCTGAAAGTTACCTGAGAGTGGGCTGAAATCCTAAATTACGAAAACTACGTTAATTGAAACATGAAACAACAAAAGAACATTTTGAAATTTTAACTTTTCTGGAATCAACTTGTTTCATTTAGGTAAAAAGTCACTCTAGTTTCTACCGAATCACAATTCACCGCTAAATTTCGAATACGTACCGTCTATTTCACTTGATATTCTTTGATCTCCCTCACCTGTGTCAGCCATTTTTGTTGATGAATCACTAACTAAAAAGACGTTATGTAAGGCGATCACCCATTGGTGTTTTATTAAGGAGTCGTGTGCCAAAGCATCTTTTATCCAATCAAAAGCTCTGTTAGTATCAAGATTTCAAGAGTCTCAGCGGTTCGTACCAAGTATGCTTCAACTGAGGAATACCTAATCATTTCATAGAAACGTAGGAAATTCGTCGAAATTAGACACAGGGGTCAATTCATAATTTAATGGGAAACATAGAATCTAGCTCTAAAGTCAACGTGGGTCAACTTCAAGGTTTGAGTCCTCGAGAGCTCAATATAAGTCGATCACTAGCATATGAGGAATATCAACAGGTAACTATAATTGGGAGCGTAAGTTATGAAACTATATAGAGAATCATCTCCTTTGGTTGGATGATCGGGTTTTCTCAAAGACTGATCTCCTTCTTTCAATAAGTATTGATTCTTAAGTTCTCTATGGTTAAGTTGTGTTTATGTTATGTTGTTTATTCATTAAATTTAAAGTCTAACGGTATTAATTGTATCAACATACTTGAGAGTCAAAAAGGCATTCAATAGCGTGAAAATTATGGCAGCTTTGAAAGGTCATGCGATTATGGAATAAGCTTCTTTGGTTACTTGTCATTAGCCTACTCAACTGAGCTCTTTGCGGTCACGGTAGAATAACCTCTCCAGCGAAAAAATTTCGAGGTGAATTACTTGTGGAGCGCAATATCAAATCGTAAGAAAGTTATTTTGTCTGAGGTATGAAGAAAAACAAGTACTTCAAAGTTTTTGCAAATTGGTTGACCATTCATTCATGCAAATTTACTCCCTATTTGAATCAACCCTCCGTTTTTTATTTATCGCCGATAGAAATGAAGAAACGATCGCTGAATTTGTGGCTGGTATTTTGTAGAGAAAAAAGGAAAATTCCAAGCCCTGAGCGATATTACCAAGGACTATAGATGAGTACCAGCAAACTCTGGGTATCTGAAAACGTACTTGGTTGCAGATACCTTGAAAGACTTTCACTCTTTCTATAGGGAAAGTAGCAATTAGGTTTATTTAATTAATGTTCCAGAAACTGGGACAAGCTTGATCAGGCAGTGAATAATGGACCTTAGAGCTCATAGCCTTTAACCTAATTTAAGATATTAGGTGAAACTAGTGATGTCTACATTTTAGAGCTTGGAAGTGAAAGGAAAGTATAGATGCTGCATATCAGAGTTATTATAAGATCTCTTTATAATTTTTTTTGTTTGCTTGTCTTTTCATCCAGCATTTAAAGGAAGATAGTCATGATGCACTGGTTGAATTTCCATTGGAGTTGTTGAGCAGTGTGTCATTCTATGAGAAGTTTGATGCATCATTCAACTGTTTTACCTACATACCATCTGAATTTGCCATCTACTTGCCTCATCTGTCATTTGTTGATTTAAGCCACAATCGCCTCTCTTATTTACCAGATTCCTTTGGCTACCTGTTCCACTTGAAGACATTACTGTTAAATAACAATAGGTTACAAGAACTGCCAGAATCATTTTGTTATCTTGCAAGACTTCAGAAAGTTGATTTATCACACAATCAGTTGAAATGCTTACCACAAAATCTTGGAAGTATGGAGTCACTTCAAAGTTTAAATGTCAGTTACAATGAACTTGATGCGCTACCATTAACATTGGGAAAATCCAAAACTCTCAAACTGATCCTGGCAATCTTCAACAAGTGTAAATGTCCACCACAGAAAATTTGTAATCAAGGCTCTGAATCAGTTTTGGCATATTTACGCAATCAAAATCCAAAAGAACCAGAAGGAAAGCTCTTAGGAAAAAGCAATGAATTTCCACGTGTCAGGGGTGATGTTTTTGTCCTTGCACCATCAAACCCTCACACAGCAAGAACACAGTATGTCCAAACACAAACAAATACAAATGCTACAAGCCGTATTAAGACACCTCTTAGACCACCAGTAAATGCACATTACCTTCCGCCTGATGAACTTGTGGATAAGATTGTTGGTTGTCTGTATGGAGCAGCCATCGGTGATGCTGTGGGATTGTGCACAGAATTTATGATGCCTGATGAGTGCCAGTTTCATTATGATAAGAATTCATTATCCTGGGAGCAAATGGTCAAAGACAGACACAGAAGTAAATGGCAGAAAGGAGATTGGACTGACTCATTTGACCAGACTGTGAGTCATGCTCTTTAGATACAGTTTAAGTTTTAAAATATGCTATGCAAACAGGTACTCCTTGCACATGCGTCCTCTCAAGGTTTTGTATATGATAAAGTAAAATGATGAGTTTGAATCAAAGGAAAGTAGAATATTTCTCTTTTCTTGCATAGAAAAAGGGGATAAGTTTTTTAAAGAAACTGAAGTGCTGCATCAGTGGGGGTAATACAAGACTAAGAATTAAACTCAGTTGATAAAACCAAATTACTCTGAATTAAGTCTGTCAAAAACCTGGGTTTAACCTTTTTGACAGTGAAGAGACATGAAGCCTTGTCACTGGATTTATGTGTTACCTTTGCCCCAAGCCCCCTCTGCAATGCCACATACATACTAGTTATTTCAACTTGGAAATACACCTGTGCACACAAGTTGTCAAGGTTTAGATGGCTGGTTAGGTCACTTTCAAATATAAATGTAGTGTGAGGACAATTGAAGGTGTTGTTTACATGTAAAATGATTAATAGATAGATGAAAGTGTTGAAAACAAACAGCCATTTGATTTAGTCTTATATACTTTTTATTTTCTTTTGGTATTTCAAATATAAAGGTTTTGATCCTTGAGAACATCCTTCATTGGGCTGGTGTTGTTGATGAACTGGAGTTTGCCAAGAGCCTTCTTACTTGGTGTAAACATGGCTTTCCTGAACTGGGAGATACTGTTGGTAGAGGTGTCAGGGGAGTTATTGCTAAGGTAAGAGATGTATTTGCAATACAGTATGACTTGTAACTCCTTCTTTGCCAAATTAGGGGGTCCCTTTGACAAAGACACATGATCCTCTTTTCTCTTTTGGCTAACAGTGAGAGTAATGTCTATCTGGGTGAGTTAATTAATCTTATCCTGTAAGATTCCATTAAATTCATTTAGAATCAGTGGTCAGCTTTCATAGATCTTTGCTGAGGTCTGTTCAGAAGTCTTGAGATGAGAGGGAAATCAAGAACCTCTTGAATCTTTTATGAACTGATCGACTATAATTTACTTAATGTCTGAAAAAAATCCAGTCAAAAATTACTGTACAGGTATGTTTGTATTCTTCCTTTTAGAAACCATTTCCTCTTATCTTGTGACAAAATTCTTAAAGTCCCTCAAGTTGCACTTTATAAAATTTAAAGTAATAGCAGAACAACATTTCTAATGTAACTGAGTATTGCTTTTATCAATAAGGGTAGACTAAAACCCTCATAGAGATACATGTACTTTGCAATGGTAAAAAAGTTACACCTTATCTGTGAGAAAAACTTAAATGAAACTAGAACATTTGAAAATGATAAAGGTTTTAACAAGGTGGACAGATTGTGACATAACTCCTTTAAATATCCTTCCAGGTTGTTTGTGAACCACAGTTTATGAGTGATCCCCATGCTGCTGCGAGATCAGTGGCAAACAAGTTTGAATCACCATCTAATGGAGCAGTAATGAGAGTGGCAGCTCTGGGTATTGCTCACTTTCACAACTTAAATGAAGTTGCAACAAATGCAGTCAGAATTTGCAAAGCTACTCATTGTGATCCCAGGTAAGAAGCTCTATGGATTGTATTTATTGAAAAAATGTAGGTGGTGATAGGAAAAGAGAAAGTCAAAATTTGATGAAAGACTTTATAAAGTTCATGCTTCCAAGTGTATATTATTGTCCATTGGAAGAATCTAAAGGAAACTAAGAGCACTTAGTGAGGCTTGGAAAAGGTGGGGAAAGCCATTAACTCTTTTACCCCCATTATTTTGTAAAATAAATTCTCCTTAATGTCTGCCATACAATTCTCATCATGTAAGTTTGGAGAATTTGGTATTCGATCAACTTATAATCCCCTAATTGATACTTTTCTTTATTCTCATCTCTTGTCTGCCTTATATTGTATTGATATTGTAAAGAAATATCCCGTCTTGGTCACTCATGGGAGTTGAAGGGTGAAAGGGGTTAGGAAAGAATTCTGATCATTTCCCAGTTTGCTCCCAATTGGTATCTCTCATCACTTGGATGCACATTGTTGCCTGAAACCCACAGTGCTATTGCAATAAAATGCCAATAGATCGTGTCTTCAACTGCTGTAACAAACTGTCTACTGTATATTGATTAATACAATCATTGCTTGAATATGAAAGGGATCTTTGCAGTTATGAACAATACTTAAGCAGTAGTGAAAAGAAGGCCTGAAAAAAATTCAGGCCTGTACGGGATTTGAACCCATGACCTCTGCGATACCGGTGCAGTGCTCTACCAACTGAGCTAACAAGCCAACTGGGAGCTGGCCACTGTGTTGGTTCCAAATAAACCTGTGAAGTGGTGAATAAACAGCTGTGAAGATATGAAAGTCATATATTTGAACTGCGGATAAAGACATGAATATGAAAGCGATCTTCACAGTTGAGGAAGAAGAAGAAGAAGGCCTTCTTTTCACTACTGCCTAAGTAGTGTTCCTAACTGCAAAGATTGCTTTCATATTCATGTCTTTATCTGCAGTTCAAATATATGACTTTCACATATTCATAGACAATCATTGCTTATTACCTTTTCTAACATTATCCTCTGTCTAATGCCTTGGACTAAAGCATGGATAGGATTGTAACAATATTGCCAATCTAATGGCTCCTCCAATATTTTTTTTGTTCAATCTTTATTTATTTACTTGCACTTTGAATTCTCAGGTGTATTGCAAGCTGTGTTGCTGTATGCATTATCATTGCATTGATATTACAGGTATATTTTTTTACTTTGTGTCTTTGACAAAGACTTGATTATTGCAAACAATCTGAGGACAAATGTTAGAAAAATATTTTAGAAGGGGATGTTCTGAAAGCAACTTTTTTCCTAAGAAAATTTGGTGCTTCTCATAAGAGGCATACTGTTTTGTTTTGTTTTTTTTTTTTCATTTGTGCCATTGATTCCTGGAGTTTACTGAGGATTCCTCTATTGGTGCTGTAGCCTAAAATAAAACAACTAATATAGATATAATTATAGACTGAGGATAAATTTGCAAAGTGTGAAAATATTCATTGTGCTTTGTTATAATTTTTATTGCAAGGGGCAACATGAATTAACAAGCAAGTCTTCTCTTGAAGAATTACTTGAGAAATCAAAAGAGCAGGGAAAGGTTTACTTGGTAGAGCCCTTTCATCAAAAGGATTTTCATCATTATTTTAATTGCCAGACCTGGCAGGAGTAAGTCAGCTTTTCTTTGGCCAATTTTTATAACGTTTTTTTATAATTTTTTTTTATAATGTTTTTTTTTAAAATTAAATCAAGGAATGGTTTATGGTCGATTTTCATCATAATAATCATCAACATTGTTTTTGTTATTATTGTAAGAGCACTTTTCAATGGAGTGTTGTAAATCCAAGGTATGGTAATCACAACAGCTAATCAGAAGAAAGTAAAATACCTTTAAGAGCCAATGGGAACCCAAAGTAATACCGACCTAAACTGCGAGCGACCATCGTCGTGATTGGTTTTAGTTTTCGATTTGATTGATCAAGAGCATTGTGCAAGTTTTTTTGGACCCATCACAGGGCAAAGTAAAGCAATTCTGGATTACTTTTACCAGAAATTGCTCTTAAATCTAATCAAGGAGTGTTTCGTTTCAGCGTTGAGTTTTGTGAGCCTCGGATGACGGATTACACTTTGAAGCCTTTAGGAGCTGGTTTGGTGGCACTCAGATCAATGAAAGATTACAAGTACGTGCATACGCCAGATCATTTACTAATGACCCATTTCTTCTCCTCCCTGAATATTATCCAAAAGGTTATATCTTTGAAGACCTCCGAAGATCAAATTATCAAACCTCTGTTTGCCTGTAAAACTTCAAAAAAACAAAAAAAAACAAAAAAAAATACGCCAGCTCTTCAGGTTAGGTGAAATCAAACAATGTGCCACAGATTTTTTTCTTCTTTCTCGTTTGAAATTATTCTCACTTCAGAGAGTGAAAGGAGGAGGCAGCGATAGAGGCGGCGTGGCCGAGTAGTTAGGGCGCTGGACTTGTAATCTTGTGGTTCTGGGTTCAAGTCCTCCACCTTCCTACTCACCGGATTTGTTCTCAGTCTCCCCTTGTTCAACTCCTCGTATGCGCTCTCTAAATAGCCTAATGGTCTGCCTCCTGCCAATCTTGGGATTTTCTAACACTTTCTGTTTGTTTGGAAAGTTTGTTTCTCTCAGTATGAAATGAATATATGCGCGTTATAGGTATCAAAGTTGTTACTATTTTGAAAGGACGCTGATTGCTTATTAACAGGACAGCGATAACGGAACTTGTCATGCAGGGAGGACATGCTACGTGTAACGCAGTTGTGGCTGGGGCCTTGTTAGGCTGTAAATTTGGATATTCTGAACTGCCGAGAGACTGGCTCGAGGGATTAATACCCCAACAAGTGACATGGCTAAATACAAAGATTAACTCACTGCTGGATATGATGGCTCTGCCTTGAGGGTGAAGGAAAACAATACTTTCACAGCCATGGTTTAGGTTTTCATACTACATGTCGTTAATAACAAGAATCAACGACAGGATGATAAAAATTTGCTACATACAAGCACATTCCAGAGGATAGATCAAGACGGTTGGAAATCCTTGGCACGTAAGATCCTTGTTCTGTGGGAGGAAATTATCAAATATCCACTCGCTCCATAAATTAAAACTTTAATTACCGCTCGACAGCGCCGTGTATTTTCAACAGTAAAAGAAACAGTTCCGTCTAAGAGTAAACCGCGAAGTGAAAAAGGTTTTTGTTAGCTGAGAGTGCCAGATAAAAAGATGTACGTATTGGACAAAGACCATACGAAAAAAATTTTTTAGAGTCAAAAGCTATGCAATGAATTTTAACAGGAATTAAAAATTTTCTCAAGTTTTACGTTATTTTATGGTGACGTTTATGGGAAAAGCTGTTGACGTTTCCACTTTTCACCTCCGTAACTGCAGTTCCTAAGCCCTTGCTCAATGTAGAACGACGGTCCAGAAAGATTACGGAAAAAAGGAAACAACTTACTTGTGTTCGTTTATTTCGTTGCAGAAGAATCAAATAATTAACGCGTACGCGACAATTTTAAATTAAGTACGCGTTGGCGTAAAGCTCACTGATAATGACTCTATCAAGAGTCCTAAACACGAGTTGTGTACAATCGTGGTATCACATAATGTTTTAAATTTGAACTTAGACACGTGCGGGTAGAAACTGTTGAATGATTGATTTCAGTGTAAATGTTGTTAAAGGATTCCGAAAGGATAATACAAACCCCAATTTCCCAACCTGAATTTTTCTAAAGACGCCTCATTTATACTAGGCCGCAAATCCTATACAAAATTACAGAAGAACACCCACTTGCAAAAGGAATTCAGGTCAGGTGTGGAAGACCTCCGAAATATTCTTTGTAAACTGAATCTTTTGAAATTACCCCAACGTTATTACCTTAAACTAGCTGTAAATCGATAGTGATCCCATTATCTTTATAACAACCTAACTACCTGACAATTTTGATTATCCTCGATACATTGACCACAAACACAGTTGGTCAAAGTAAATTTAAATGCGCGAGTAAAATGTTGTCATTCGTGACCGTAGGCTTCTGAGGTCCCACTTGTCTGCCCTCCAGCAGCCAAGACAATCCCCCTTTACAAAGTACCCTCCACGAGCCACCTTATTCCACATCAATAATGAGAAACATAACAAAAAAGAGACTGGGTAACCTGTTCGGCGGTCACTGTAGGTGGATAAAAGGGAAATAGCGGGAGGGCGACGCTTCCACCGACATCCCGCGATTTTCCGCCTGACCGCACAGTCCGCGTTGCATATGTCTCCCCTGATTAAGAGCTAGGGGGCTGGAATTGGGGGTACTCCGAAAGGCGATTCAGGTGTCCGCTGGTCTCGATTTAGAACGTGGTTAACCCTGATTACCTCCAACAGTCAGCCAGTACAAACGAACTCAAAGATTGATTTTGTAACCCGGTCTTCCCGATGAAGAACGGGGCAGCCGTTCAATAAACCCTTCTCGAAAATGGCGTTCAGCCGAAATTGAATCTTAAATGTATCATAATGGTGAATATTCCCCACAGCTCCAAAGTGTAATGTCCAAACCTCGCACTAACACTACTCATATCTTCATAGAAATGAGGATCTGAAATATTTTATACTTGCATACGCTTGTATATGACCCTGGGTGAGGCATGAACTCCGAGCCAATCAAAATGTCCTTCATTCTCTTAAAATTAACAATATTTCGCCAGCCGAAATAACAGCTGGATGAGACTTCAAAAGCAAAATGACCAAATAAAAGGTGGTCATGTAGCTGAAGGTAAGTATATTTGTATACGTTTGTATGTATTTGATGATTTTCATTTTCTGCGGACATTTTCAAGAAGGGTCCATTTCAATAGTAACTGTCGTTAAAAATCTTTTACTTAAGGATGGGTTGTCCCGGGTACCTAAACTGAAATAAATGAGGCTTAAGTGGCACAACTAATAATTTATCGATACGTCCTGGTGGTTAAAACCCCAAAAACAATATCTAACCTGGGAACATTTACCAGTTAACTGCTAAATTCGCTCTTCCAGACATTACTAACGAAAAATAAATGTTCCTGTAATATTTTTTCAAAAAATGGTACTAATTCCCCATGGATACGACGGTATTTTGCGTATATCTTACTTAAATGTGTTAAACATTATGCTACCTAATTAATTATTTGCACTACCTATTACTTCAATAGCGCCCCTGATGATTTAATCGTAAACAGGCAAGTTTTACTAACTTATACCGCGCTCACACACGGGCAGAGTGAACCACGTTGTCATCAGTCCACCTCGGTTAAGTGACCAATATAATTGGTGTTATTACTCAATCCGCCTTAACTTTTCACCGACAAGGTGAAATCATCCATGCGGAAAAATCGTTCTAGTTTCTATTAAACAGTCTGGAAAGTGCTTTAATCGTCTTCATTGTCAATGGAGTGCGTTGGTTTCCCAGTCGGTGTATCGTACTCTACTGTGAATTTAGCCATTTCGTTGCTGCACTCACTAAGGGGAATCACAAACGTCGATATATCATCGTACGAGGCTAACTCGCCATTGGTTCTTCTCCAACCTTTTTCATTCAGAGTGCCTCGCGCATCCCCAACAAGGGCCTGGGCTGCCATGACGTACCTGGAGAAAAAAAGTGGACGTCAAAGAAAGAATGGCCTCCATTTGGCGATAGCAAATTACCGCATTTTTGTCCGTGGGTTTCATTTCCGAGACGCAAGTCGTTTTCCGAAAGCAGGGCCATTATCGGCTAATCATCAGAATAAAAGAAACTTGGAACAAATCTGCGCTATCGACAAAAGGCACAATTCTTAACTTTAACCCCTAAGAGTGACAAGCATCCAATTTCTCCTAATAATATCCCCCCCCCGAAACACACATTTAAGTCACGAGATTAAAGGAAATGATCAACAACTGAAGAAGCTCTTGATTTTTAAACAGATTCTCCTTCTCAGCACCTTAGGAATAGTATAGAGAACAGTGTGCAGAATATGCATATTAATGTCAAGGTGCAAAGGTCGACAAAATTTACTATCTTGAAATGGAAGAAAGGGCTGCTTAGCTATGTTAAAGTATTAATGCATACTTTACCTTCTTTTGTCGTCTTTTGGAATTTTGGAAAACGTATCCATTACCAACGCCGCAGCCTGAAAAAAAGTAAAGTGTTATAAAAGGTTTTGGGCTTCATGCCGAATACGTGGTGAAAAGTTCCCCCCACAAGTTTGCGTGTGGTGTGAAATGAATGGGTACTGTTGTGAGGTGACGGGGGGAATGGTTTAAGTTTGATTGTGGTGATGAACAGAGCGGAAAGTGGAGGGTGAGTATACATTGAGCCATTTGGGTTGGAGAGGAATTGAAAGCAAAGGGGTTGCGTGCGAGGAGTGAACTATAGGGAGAAGCCAAAAGGGGTACTGAGCCATTAGGTGGGATGTGAAATGAGAAGTAGGGTAGAGAGTGCACTCGAGACTGGGGTGAGAAGTAAAGAGGAACGAAATAGAGGGTGCACGGGATAGAGAGTGTGGAGGAACTTAAAGTGAGGAATAACCTTGGAAAGAAATGGGGAAGCTTAAAGTGAAGTATGGACTAGCGTGGGAAATAAAATGGGGGAGGAGTTAGTAGTGAGGTCAAGAATTGAGTGGAGACTGTGCAGCGTCGAAGAGGAGGTAAATGATGGAATGTACCAGTGGACTACAGGGAAGTAAAAGTGATATGAATAAAAATCGATATGAGAGGATTCGGTAGAATAAATAAACAGAATAAATATACACAGTAATTTCGACAGCGAGCTTTTTGCACATAACTGATAGATAAGAGGAACATAAATGACAGGCTTAATGACCCGCTTTTGAAAGCACAATCATTTGAATTTGCGCAACGAGTCAACTTTTTCTTTAATAAAAAAAATAAAGTACAAGTTTCATTACCTTTTCACTGGATAATCTCTCCCAGAGTCCGTCGGAAGCCATTATCACAACATCATCCTCTGTGAGCTTACAGCTAGACAAGTCAAACTTCCGAACCTGTGAGGAGTACGAAAACAGGCACATGTAGCGGTAAAGGGGTTTTCCTTTCCACGATTAAGCCAGAATGCGGCATAAATGAGATTTTTCGATGACCGTCGAATTTATCAAATACCGCCATCTCCTTATCTAACAACCACACATCCAAGCAATAGAGGGTTCGCTAGTAATTTCGATCCTTCACACCAAAATGTCTAACCATAGTGCTTATCTTCGATCACGCCTCCCGAGCCCCAACCCTTTTGGCCAGCGCCGGTTATTCGTTGATTTTGACAGCCAGTTATGATGTTTCCGCTTACATCTTCGCTGACCAAGAGGATTGCGGTACAGGAACGAATTAGAGTTTATTTTGCAAACTTCGTTCCATCACGCTGTTACCATAATAACTCCCATGTCTGTTACTACAGCTCCTATTTGATGACTCCCGCATCAGTTAAGGTGTATCAGTAGCCGCAAAACGCTTACCTCTGGTTGTGGAGTGAGAAAAGGTTTAATAGGAAGGCTACAGAAAGCCACTCTCAAATCATGATCTCCAAACCCACGAGTTGTTCCTATGGTGTCCAAAAGGCGGGCCTGGTAAACAAACAAATCATACTGCTTCTTAACAATACGACTAGTCCGTAAATTGGCGGGTTCTTCCGTAACTTGCAAGCAGGTCCTGATCAGTAGTACTTCGGCACGAGCGTTTCCTCGTTCGCGCAAAAATAAAAGTCCTTGAGCAACGCGAGCTTAAGAGAGGTCAGCATGAGTTCTAGCACGATAAACCTCTCCCCAGATCGCCAGATCGTCTCTTTCCGTGGGCAGAGAAACACGCGTCCTGCAGCACTAAAAATGAGGGCCTGCACACACGCTAGTTCTTCCACCATGAAGAACCTGATCCGTTAAAGTTTTTGAACTACACATGAAAATTAATTTGGAGAATCACTTGTTACATATCGTGCGTGGCAGGCTCTGAAGTAAGAACAGAGCGCAATTATTAAAGGAAATGGAAGTAGAATGGTCTCAAGCCTTGCTCGTGATTCAAGAACGCGCGTTTTGTTTTTGTTTTTTCGCACGCGCGTCCTTTGAAACTCGCGCGTCCTTTGAAACTCGCGCGTCCTTTGAAACTCGCGCGTCCTTTGAAACTCGCGCACACTTTTCTCAAGCGCTTCCTCCTTAGACACATCTCAAGAGACATAGTTCCTTCGCTTGAGCATGATTAGAAATTGTTAAAGGCTAAAAAGGTCTTATCACCACTCAGAGTGCATTTTACCGCAAGCAAAAGATAGGATGAAAGCATTACGATGTTGTGATGGGTACATGTGCATATGGCTGTTTCAATCAAAGGACGGAATACAATATTAGCAAGATGACCTCCAATTGACCTCCTTCTAACTGTATAATCAAAGTGACGAGCGTACATAATATATAGTACGTTCTGATAGAATAGAAACAGAAAAGAAAATACAAAATAAATAGAATGAGTCTTGACAATACCTTCTTTCCTTCACCGTTAATCATTGGAAATTTTCTTGTGTCTTCCTCGGTCACCGTCTTAAGAGCCCTGTTGAAATGCAGAAGTGTCAGAGTATCAGAGTCACAACTTGTAAGAGGTTATTAAGTCTCTCTAACTACTCCCTGGTCAGATTCTTAGTGAACTACCCATAACGTTCTGTAAAGCCGGATTGTTCAAAGCTGGGTTAAGATAACCCAGGGATAGTGTAAAATTTAGAAACCTATATTAAAACTCAACCCCGGGTTAGCGCTAATCGAACAACTGAGTCCTGAGTCCTAAGAATTAAAATCCTGCCACTGAGTTCTTCCTTCGGTGCCCCATTGGGGAATTGAACTCAGGCGGCCATCAGGTCAACCCTAGTTATGTGGGGCACACCAACGGAACCATCTCCTAATCTGTTCATCTTCTAACAAGCGTAATATATTCCAAGTTCTTCATTTGCAATCCGTCTAATTATCCGCCAACCTTTCCAGTTCTCATTCCTCATTGTCTTATTCACCCCCCATCTCCCCCCGTTAGCCCTGGCCTGGCCCCCCCCACAGCCCCCCCACACCTCCCCCCATGGCACCCCCTTCCCCCACGCACAATAAACAATTATTTAAGAACTTTTCAATGAACCAAACAAAACATGGGGGTACAGCCTCTAGAAAATATGACAGATCTGTGGAAGCAAACTGTCAACTGCAGTGGAGACAATGGATGAAGAAGGTAAATGGCAAAGATTTGTTACATAGGGCAGCACTTTTTTGCACATTAATTGTAACCTTCAGATGATATACTGCATGATTTGGCAGCAACACAAAATTTGCAGAAACAAAAAAATGAAAAAAAAAAAAAGAAGAAAAACATACCATCCTGTCATATGTCGATCCCTATAAAGCAACTTCTGACCAATATGTTTTTTCCTGGCCCTCTGTTGAAATTCAAGCCGGCCAAAGTCACTCCCCAAAAGCTGAGGTTTCTGATAAGCCTATCAGAGAATAAAAGTATTCATAAGCAAAATCACACAGAAATGTTTCATGAATGTTACTAATTTGTTAGGTAACAAACAAGTGTAACATATTTTTTGGTTCACTAATTTTTCACAACTTACAAGTAACTGAAGTCTTTGTCTCTCTGTCTCTGGTGTGAAGTCGTATGAAAGAGGAATAACTTTGCCCTTGTGGACTAGGATTGCTCTGATGAAATCATTAAAACAGAAACAAAACAAACAAAATAAAATTAAAATATATTGACCCTTTCACCCCTGAGAGTGACTAGCATATAATTTCTCCTGACAATATCACTCCTGAATTAACCATTAAGGTCAGGAGAATAAATAAAATGATCACCAACTGAATAAGCTCTTGATTATGAAACAAATTCTCCTTGTCAGGACCTTATAAAATGTGTAGATAACAGTATCGAGAATATGCATACTGATGTTAGGGTGTAAAGGGTTAAAGCAAATACACCAATGTAGTAAGAGCCCTTTTTTCCTTTTTTTTCATGGCCTTATCTAAACATTGAAGGGGGTTAGGAGAGTTCAGGAAAGTTACACAAACCTGAACAATAGCAAGTAATACTTTTCTGTTTTTGATTTGCCAATGTATCCTTACCTCTGCTGTGATCGCAAGAACCAATTATAGAGCACAGAGTGACACAAGATTTTTTGCATTGTTCAAAAAGAAGTATCCTTCAGGCGCATGTGCTAAGCGTCACTTTACAAAATCAAAATGGCATCCTCTCACTTAGCTATACATCCATGCAACCAAACCTCTGCTTCTTTAAAATTTGGGTAATCCAGTTGGTTACTCTGCACACGTCAAAATTGGACTACTTTGTTTGCAATTTTAGATTTCAAATATTTGAATGGCTAGGTGTCTGAAGTATTGTATGGTAAGGGAGATTCTGTGTGAATGAAACACCCATGGCATGAAATTTTTAAGAGGAAGAAAATTTATTTGGTATTATGTGAAAATAGCCTTTAATGCCCTTAACCTATTCCAGGTGTTCAGTTGGCCCTTTGACTCCCATGAGTGACCAAGACAGAATTTCTCCTTACTATATCTATGCAATATCTGTTGACAAGTGATGAGAATTAAGAAAAATATCAATTATGGGATAACTAATCGATCTAATACTAAATTCTCCAAACTAACATTATGAGAATCATTTGGCAGACAGTAAGGAGAATTACTAATGAGATCTCAGGAGTAAAGGGTTAGTAAAATGAAGCACAATAGTAAACAGCACTAAAGTAGCAAAGGAGCAAAAAAACAAGGGAGGTTTGCTTTGGATTCTTTTACCTGATCCAACCCAAACCTCTTTTGTTTTTTCACTCCTCTGCTCCTATCACCCTGTTTGCAATTTTGCTCCATCATAATAATTGAAGCCTGGAATAGGCTCACATGTCCTGATCTCCACTGTAACTGGTCATAACACAAGTACATGTCAGTCAATGACAGTGACCTTAACAGATTTGTTCAAACCATGAATATCTGCCCATGGCTTAAGATTAAAGAGACTACCTGCAGTCCCCTGCATTAGCAACATATAACTTCTCTCCAAGAAACAGGGCAACAATTGATGCACAGCCTCCGTCAATCCTGTAGGTGACTTTCTCTCTTCTGATTTGTTCATCCTGTTAAAATTCATTAATTCATAAAAATAAATTCTAAGTGTTTATCTTTATTGAGGAATGGATTATGGGTGAGCAAAAAACTGCAGGAGGGTTATTTATATTTCTAGTACCCCCTTCCCTTGATTTTTGCCATAACAGCTGTGCCACTTTACTGCTTGTCTCCACAAACCCAGTAACTGAGACAGACTAGTAGCACCCAGGTTTGTTGTTGATCTTCAAAGTAAAGGATTGACTCTTCCCAGGTTAAACAACTTTTCTCTTAATCACATGATGGCTTCATCTTCGGTTTAGACAAAAAGAAACAGCAGGTGCAATAGAGGCAAGCTGCAAATAGTGTTTCACACTCAGTTTGCCCCTTAAAAATTCATTTGAGCTCACCATTTCTTTTAGTCCTACCGCATAAGAGAACTTGTTCACAGGATATGTAAATGTCACCAGATGCCTCTGAACTCACCATTTCAAAGAAGGCCTCTTCTAAGACTCCAATCACAAGACTATCAATTGTCACTGAAGAGATAACAGCTTCAGATAATTCCTCTGCTGCAGCAAGTTTTTCATCATTTTCAAAAGCCAACAATTCTTTTACTCCATGCAACTTCTCCATTATATGGACATGAAGGTTATTGACAGCCATCAGAGCTGATCCACATCCAGCATGGCCGTCAAATACACCATAATATGCGTAAGGGATCTTGGTCTGAAAATTGAAAACATTATCATTTCTGGTACTTATTAAACAACTTTTATCCACTTAACAAAATCCAAATGCATAAGTTAAATTTCAAGTTATCAGTTCCAACCAGATGTCAAGTTACATGCATGTACATGTACTAATGAGATTTTTTAAAGACACCATTGAATTAAAAACTCATTCTTGGAATGATATAGTTTAATGAATATAACTGGAAATGATGAAATTTAAGGTTGGACCATACAGACATGCATACCTGTGTAACATGGGTTGGACTTCCATCACCATCTGATTCCTGGGTCAACTTGCTGACATTTAAGCAGAACATTCCAGCCACCGATTGATCTTCATTTTTATGTGGCGTTTTACCAGCATTTATTGCCCTAAAGAATATTTTTATGTATTTATTCATTAAAATTAATTTGTTAATGTGGCTTGATATGAAAATTTGGTAACATTTATGAAAAATCCTCTCACTCCCAAGATCTCATTACAGATATAGTAGGACAAAAATAATTATTGGTCATACGTGGAAGTGAAAAATATTTTGCAATTCATAATTTTTTTATCTTTGTGAAATTTTTTAAAAGAAATAATTACACTGCAAACTATGCAAACCACATAAATGAATGAAGGGAATAAGTTCTAAAGAAACTGTAGTACTGCATCTGTGGGAAAGTATAAAAGCAAAATCGTCTTTTGCTCTGACTAAGGGCTGATGCTCAAAACATCAGCTTTAAAACTATGTTATGCAAACCACGGTCCTATTTACAATTGTAGTTTTTTTTTCAGACAAGTATAATTATGTTTGTCTCTGTATCTTCACTTTTAATCCCTATTTGGTTTTATTTCAATTCATTAAGATACATAACAGACAGCATTCTTAAAGGATGAAGAAGCAAGCAACACCTTCCAGAAATGGCATTCAAGTCCACAACAGAATCAACAGCTAACACGGACTGCAGAATTGAGCAGACAAATTGCTTAATTATTATTTCATTCTCTCAAACACAAGAGGTTTTTGAACATCGTGTAGTTATTATCTAAAACTTTAAACTCGTTGTATATTTATTATCTTTAACTCTAAATTTTTAGCTAATAAATTTAAACAACAAGCTATTCTGTGTCATAATTTCATTTTCAAGTCAACAGGAAGTATATATACATATGCTGACGCACCAAAATTTAAAAATCCTCGCTCCAGCACCACAAATAACGAAAAAAAAGGTGTCCCATTGAGATCACTGAATTGCTTTATCAGGGCAAATATCGCCATTATACCCTTAAATCCAAAAACAGATTAGAAAAATAAAGAAAGTAACTATCTGGAATAAAATCGATACCTAGCTACCTTCAAATCATGGCGATAAGACACAGTCCTGTTAAAGGAGGTTTGCCGAGTTGCGAAATATTAAGAATTGAGTCGAACAGGGCACTAAAACAAGTCTTACTCATTCATAATTAACCTCGCACCGCTTGTGGACATAAGAAACTAAGATCGACTCGCGACAGAATCCAGTCAATGAGTAAAGGTTAATTTTTATTGATATAAATCGAGGGTTTTTACCTCCAACGCAAGAGGAAAAAAAAGGAGAACAAAGAAGCTCCCTACGAGGTTATAGTGAGAGCAGGAAGTTAATGGATATAGAGCCTTCGCTAAGTATAGAAGGAATACAATATTAAGTAAACTAGGTAACTAACAACGGATACGGCCGTTGAATTACGATTAGATCACTTACTCGGCATATCCTGCATTCAAGGGAAGTTCCCTGTGTGGCATAAGAATCGCTCTTGAATCATGATCGGATGCCGCTTGTTCAGATTCTTCGTTCAGTTGGAGAAATTCAGGCCTTCGATACTTGTACTTTTCTTCCAACATATCATCATATACACGAAAGCCTAAGCGCCTGTCCGAGTTCACGTTGGTAAAGTAGGCAAGCGCACTGGCCGGGTTAATGTTTAGCATTCGTTTGATGCCATGTAAGCTCATAGTTGGATCCTTAACTGGACATTTAGGGCTCTTCTTCAGGAAAGAAAATAAAAGATGGATTTGCCGAAGGAGCTTATTTGGCGGAAAAACCGCTGGTCAGAAAAAGTGAAACCGCGCCGCTCCATTGGTACAGGGCAAGCCGATGCAGGTCAACACGAAACACTTTATCATTTGTTAGAATAAACTGAGCCCCCAAAACTTATTCAGCGGTCAAAAGTTGAGCATCCGCAAATAGATCATTATAAGCCAGCTGCGCGCAAATTTCCTGCGCAAAATTTTCAAATAAAATCTGTGTAAAAAACCGGTGTCACTCACGCAAAATCCGCTATTGTGCTCGTAAAAATCCTTGAGAGTTGCTCACTTGAATGCTAAAAGTTGCTAACAGATTGAAAAATTCCAAAAAGTTGCTACCTGAATTTAAAAAGTTGCTCCTAAGTTTCTTGATGTTTTTACTGACATAAACGTTAATTAAAAGCCATATTTTTTGTTCTTACCTTTTAAGAGTTGAACACAACTAAAGGCGGCTTCTAACCAATTACTCCCGTTCATGGAAGGAAATTAACAAAGACGGCCATTTTTGCGCGTCACTTTAGCCGATTATCCGTTCTGATATTAGATAATAGGCCTGGGGAATATTCAAGAAATTTGCATAAATCGAAGTTTGTTATGAAATCGTTGACTTTATCGTGCTTGATCCATGATGTGCTCTAAGCCTATATTTTGCTCAAAAATCGCCACTGAGAGGCAAAAATTGCTCGATGTTGCTAAAAAGATGCTCCAAATGCCAAAAGTTGCTCAAAAGTTGCCAAGCACAATCGGGAAAGGTTAAGACTGGAATATTACAGTATACTTTTAAGGGGACAACGATGTTTGGGGAGGTAGTGAACCAGGGTTGAGGGGAGAATTCCCGTTGAAAACTGGAGTAATAAAAAGCATTTTGAGGGGGATTGATTAGTTGGAAGAATCCTGCGGAGGACTGAATTATTGATGTAGACGTAATTATCACGAAGAATTTTGAATAGAACTAGGAATTACAGGGACTTTGCCACCATGGTTGGTGCATCATTACCCAAATCCTAAAAAGGATCCTTACATGCAAACCTTTTCCTTTCCAGGCCTACTTCACCTGGCCAACTTCGCCAAGACAACAACTTAACCATATGATAATCATTACAAATGACTGTGAACAGACTGTGAATGACTGTGACTCTTCACGTAATGACCAGCTCCCAGTTGGCTTGTTAGCTCAGTTGGTAAAGCACTGTACCGGTATTGCAGAGCTCATGGGTTCAAATCCGAAGATCGCTTTCATATTCATATAATATTTATGAGCAGCACCACTGTCCAAACCGTAATTATAGACTCAATCTTGACCATTTTCATCAAAAGCAAAGAATGTGCACCTCAGAGAGAACAGTGGAAACAAGTAATCTGCAAAGGGAAATAAGTGTCGACTGTAATTTTTTTTTTGTGTCACTCAATGTTTGTATATATAAATCTTGAAGAAAACCTTGGGAGTTACTTTTCAGCTTTACATTTATAATCGTTTTTTTAGATAAAACTCTACTTTGTTAGCACACTGTCCAGAAGCAAGAGTCCAGAGAAATGCCTCAGAGAAACTTAACGTGTCTAATTCGAAATAACCTAAGGTGCGGTACGCTAAGCTTATTTTCTTCGGAGAAACAGTGCATGTCTTGAAGAAGAAAACTGTAAATCGTTAACACAAGGTCTACAAATAGTCGTGGCATAACAGGAACAGAAACAATTTGTCAAGTTCTAGTGATAAAAAGCCCAGTTAAAGAAGACGGCGTCTTCACGATGTTACTCTATGAGTTTATTCAAGGCGTTGTCACGTTTTCCTTCCGCACCAAGACCAACAGATAATCCTGTATTGATTTTAGTATTTGAATTCATGTGTGCGGTTGCGGAAAAAAAATCTATCGACCTTGATACCCGGTAAGGCATATAAAGACCCACTTGAACAGCGTTACAGACGGCTATTTTGAATTGAATTCAAGGATAAATTCTATAGGAAGTCGATGAATAAGCTCCATGTTATGATGACTTTTACTCAGTTTATCTTTGTTTCGTTTTCTATATGATCCGTTTGTTTTTATCGAGTCTCAAGCAGGCCATATACTGGTGACGTCAACTAGAGAGACCTGTCTGATGATAGTTTTGTCATAATAATCATCAATAGATATCAGGCAATAATCTAAAAATGCCTAAGGCTGGGGTTTTATCAAATCAGGAACCCTCTGAGTTTTCACTCTTTGTCAAAACGGCCGCGTTCTAAATCGAATTTGAAAGGGTTCAGTGGTTTTTTTATACGTCACTTACACTTACAGCCGAGCTCTCGGCAGTTAGTCTCTGAGATAAATATCAACTAACCATATAGTTCGCGTGTGTAACTGTAATTGGTTTCTTTTCAGAAAAATTACAAGCGGTTTAAATGAACTGATCTTGTCACGCTAGCATATACCTACTCTGATTCACCTTTTACCAAGGAGATGCGATATCATTCCTTTTCTCAATTCACATTGCGGCTCTTCTTGAAGCCACAGCAGTTCAAATAGATCTAACCACATGTGGCTACAAAGTATGTCGCTCGTTACACTTCTGTACGAGTTGTGAGATTGCATGGACTAAAGAAAAATTGTTAGGTTTGGAACGGCTAGGAAATCATTCTTAACAGTATAGGGTAATATTTCATCATTTTCATACTGTCTGTATCACTTCTCGCTGCATCAAGGTTCGCAAACCAGGGCTACCCCTTTTTGTGCAACATCATTGTTCACCTTGATTCATTTGCTGTATTAGTACATGAGAATTATTAAATCCAGAATCCATTAGCCTGCATAAAAGAAGGGCGCTGAGAACCTGAATAATAAATCTGAAGGAATCGAGTTGCGTGTCTACGTTTTCATTCAAACAAGTTGTGATTGCAGAGCTTTCCTACCAGAATCGAGATTCCATTGGTTAAGAAATTAAGAAAACTGAAAGTTTAATGTAAATAAGTCAATCAAAAACTTGGTTGGCAACACTTCAATGTGTTTTTATCATGAATGTTGTCAGTTTGAACTTCTAGTATATCATGATGGTTGAACAATTGCCCTCTTTAATCTGCTCCTGCTCATTTCAGTTTGTTTAATCTTTTAAACCAATCACATATCAGCCATTGATAGACTAAAATCAAAAGTCAAGAGAGCTGCATTATACTAAATCAGTGTCTCCAAAAGTGCTCAGGAATGCGTCAATTAGACGACCCAGAGGGGCGTAGTATAGAATTTATAACGAAGCTATCAGGAATAGGGAAGCCTGATATTAAAAATGAAGATATTACTCGTAAGAACCCAAGCAAACACTATAGTGATATAAAAGCCGTAAATGTGAGTGGAAAATTACAATATTTTCTGTCTATTTAATGGAGTTATTGATAATTCATTGTTATCCGGGTTATATAGACTTCTTATTCTTAATCCGCGTGGATATTTTAGAATTTCCTTGTATTTTGCCGAACCCCGAAGGGACTGTTTAGTTATAGAGAAAATCGCACACCCAAGAAACCAAGACCACCTAATAGCCTCGCTTAAGTTGACATTGAAACGAGGCTACTAGCAAACAATATACACTTAATGCATGGTCCCGAGGGAGACAGTTAGTTTTGTTTTCCCGAGAGTCCTGATCATTCCCTCGACTTCGACTCCGGAAACATCAAGACTCTCGGGAAAACAAAACTAACTTGTCTCCCGAGGGACCATACATTAAGTGCTTTGATATATATTTGCCCAATGTCATTGCATGCTCATTGCTTGCATCCACTTTATCACTATGTACGTTTGTCTACATATACTGCGCGGAGAGCTGGTGATCAGTCTGTGCTTGTTCAAGCAAGGAAATCGACTGTTGATCCAGTTGCTCAGCACCTTCTTCAGCCCTTTAATCAGGTTTCGCACTCCGACAGGCCACCTTTTTTCCTCCTCAGGCGACGGCGATTTCGACGATATCTGGCTCCCTCTTCGGTAACACCTCGAAAGGACCGATCGAGTTCCAAAACACCTCTCAACCTTTGCTTCTCGAATTTCCAGGCGGCACGAGTCGCACTGTATCTCCTCTTCTAAGCGCTCCTTGATCCTTGGCCCCCCTGTTGTCGCCAAGGACTTGCCTTTCCTTCTTAGCGAGAAGCGTCTGATAGATCTTAGGCTGGACAACTGGCCTGAGAAGCTGAGGAATGATGCGTAGTTGCGCTCTTGTCCGTTTGCTCATCAACCGCCGCACTGGACTGGTGCTCAATCCCTGACTAGGCAAGTTTCTGTATTCGAGGAGAGCGAGATATGGATCTGTTCTGGCTTTTCTTGACTTCCTCATAACATTTTTCGCTGAGTTAACAGCTGTCTCTATCTTTCCATCGCTTTGCGAATAAGTAAGCGAACTCTTTAGACGCATAAAGTTCCACTGGCGCTTCAATTCCCTAAATTCAGTCGAGGTGAACTGGGAAACGTTGTCTGATACACACGATACGGGATTCCAGGCCTTCCTACGTGCGACTTTAACTTCTGCACTACCGTCCCCGAAGTAGTGTTGTCAAGGAGATCGACCTCCCAAAACGAAGAACAGTAATCAACACAAATCAGATAGTTCCAACCCCTGTAAGTGAACAAGTCAACTCCGACTTTCGCCCATGGCCGGTCGGGCATTTCATGAGGAATGAAAGTCTCCTTGGGCTGCTTCCGGCCAAACGCCCTGCAGACATCACACATCTCGATTAACTGCTTGATTTTTTACCGCTCATTCCTCGCTAGTATATGCTTTCCTTAGCTAGCGAAAGGATGCTTACAACCACACTATGAGCCCAATGGAGACGATACAACATACCTCGACGAAGCGACTTAGGGACGACCACTCTTTCTCCTCTAATGCCTATGCCACCGTAGAAGCTCAACTCATCACGAACTTCAAAGAAAGGCAACATCAGATGAGACAACTCCCTTTTAGTTTCAGGCTAACTAGCCTTGATGACTTTAATCACTTCTAGGAAGCTGCTATCTTTCTGCGTGTAATCTTTAATTTCTTAAAGGGTATTCGGCTTCAAATGGATGTGCTGCGTCATGTTGATGCTCTCAATCTCTGAAGCGACTTCCTGGCTTCCATCGTAGGGTAAATAAGCCTGACTTGGGGTGTCGGTCGGATACATGGTGGATCCCTTCCTATAGCCAAGGCTGACGTTGCACAACTGAACTCGCATTGAGCATGCGCAGAAGCCTCTTCGGAGCTTGACGCAGCGGCTTCTTGAAAATAACTTTTAGAGGCTTGTGGTCTGATTCCAAATCACTTCTCAACCATAAATGTAAGTATAAGTGTGAAACCTTTCCAAACCGTAAAGAATAGCCAAAGGCTCCTTCTCCATTTGGGCGTACCGAGACTCTGCGTCGGTTAGCGAACGGCTCGCACTGGCAATAGGCTGATCCTTTTGAAGCAGGATCGCACCCAGTCCTTCATCTGATGCATCGCACTGTAATGTGAGGCTCCACAGGACGAAATCACATGTTTCCGTATTTCTGAAACGTGGCGGAAACATGCAACTCCATGTTTCCGTTATGTTTAACATGCACAAAAAGTGGTCCGGTTCCGTTGTATACGCAGCAACGGAAACGCGAGAAAACGTCACGAAACCGGTAACGGAAACACAGGTTATCCGTCGTGTTTCCAGAACGGTTTAACACGTTTCTGCCACGTTTCCGTTTACGGATTCTTGCAATTTCGTCCTGTGCTCTGTGTTGAGATGAAAATTTTGAGGACAGGTGCATTTATGACCAACAATTTTACTTGTCGGACAGCATTGCCATGTATGTCAGTCCAATGCATTACTAGGTCGAGGCAACAACTTGCTTAGATAATTTGTGAATCCAATAAATTTTCGTTCGCTGGCCGCATCAGTTGGCGGGGGCATTTTTAACACCGCCCTAAATTTTCCGGGATCTGCTTGAAGACCCTTCTCTGAAATCATGTGACCCATGAATGGGACTCTTTGCGTTGCAGATTCACCTTGTCCTGGTTCAACTTAATGTTCTGCTCCCAGCACCTCCGCATTAGGGAGTGGAAATTGTTGTCATGATCTGTTAGTGCTTCTTCCATTGAAGATCCCTCGCCAAAAATCAAGATATCAGCATGAATGGTTAATACGCCCGTCAGGCCGTCAAATGCGTGGTTAAGCCTTGGCTGAAACTCCCCCGGGACCAAACAAAGACCAAAGGGCATGCCACGCAAACAAAATCTTCCAAAGGGAGAATTAAATGTTGTTATGCGTGAACTGTCATCGTCAAGTTCAACGTGCCAGAAACCGTTCTTTGCGATTACAATGCAAAACACTTAAGCCCTGGCAAGCTCTGAGAATATCTTTAACTGTCGGGGTAGGGTAATGGCTCCTCTTAAGAACTTTGTTGAGTTCCTTTGGGTCCAGGCAAACACGAATCTGTCAATTAGGTTTTTGCACGATAACGAGGCTCAAGAGGTGGGCATTGTGACTTTTTCTATGATCCCAAGACCCTGCAACCGTTCCAACTAGTGTTTTAGCTTTCCCGTGAGCGCGACAGGTACTCTTCTAAGAGGATGGTCCACTAGCTTAGCATTCTCTTAAATTTCTAGCTTGTACTGGCCGTTCAATTTTCCAGTGCCTTGAAACACGTCGGGGTGTTTCTTAAGACTTCTTTCATTGAAAGGGTGCACTGACTACTGCGCTGAACCTCAGTATTGACGGCCATAAGATTTTCGTGTTGCACCCTGACCAAATCTACCTACTGCATTGTTGGATTTCTTAAAATCGGTGTGGACTGGTCATCTTCCACGACAACAAATTCGATCTGCTACGCTTTTGTTACAGAGACGAGAAAAAACTCGAGCAATTAGCAAAATGTCCGCCCGTATTATATGGCCCGTATTATATGTGAAATCATCGGATAAGGGATTTATTAGTCCACCATAATTTCACTCTTTGTGTTTTGATATTAGTTTTCGAAATACGTATTACGGCAAGTTATCTTTGCATCGTATCGATTGCATAAGGAGTATGCGAAAGATGAAAAAAAACACGAACGAAACCATTTAAGTGCTTGTTGTGAACAACAAAAGAAATTTTTTCGCGCTGAAAGCTCGTTTCTTTAAAAGTCACGTTTGAAAACGAAAAAAACCTCATAGTTTGGATCGTTTGGGGCGGCCTTTACCCTGGCATATTTTGCGCGTACTCATGACTTTACTTGGTAAAATGACATAGTAGTGGGACAATGAAATGTGTTTAAATTTTCCAAATGAAAATATTAACTTCCTCCATTTTAATGATGTTTTGCTTTGCTGACTCGTAGTTTCAAAAGGGCCGTACAAAACTGGTTGGTTGTGTCTCGTTCCCACCGGTGGATCCAGGTTTTGGAAGCACGTCCAATACTACATCTGAGAGCAGAGAGCAGAGATAGGAGTATTACCCATCTTGATGGGTTAAGAGCTCATCTTAAGCTAGACAAATTCATAAAGAAGCGTCTCGGGAAGAATATTGATTTAAATCTTGTCGATGAAAACCAATTGAATAATGTTTTGAATTTAAAATAAAAAACTCTGAACTAATGATTCATGGGTATGCAAGCCACAAACAAACGAATGAAACAATTTATTGGAGTGGTCAAATCGATGCCATTGGTGTGAAGAAGGATGGTACAATCATCGTTGTCGATTGGAAACTATGTAAAGGCTTACTAAGTGAGTTTTGGGATCATGCAGATGATTTCTCATGGAAACTTCATCAAACGATGATCTACTGGAAGCTAGTCAAAGCTCACTGTGAATGTTTTTATAGAGAAGAGAAAGTTCCGATGGTAGACATCTTGCTTGTGCCTATGTCGTCTAGTGCAAAGGTGAGTGCTTTTCGCTCGGACACTGAACTGTTTCTTCAATCTGTCTCTTCCTTACCAAGATAAAGATGGGTTTTGCACCGCTGACCACCGGTTTATCGTTTCATCAAAACTCGTGTAGAGGTCATTGGCTGGATTTTGTGGAATTTCGATAGAATTCCATTGAGTAGGGTTTTTTTTCTTGTTATGGGCCTGGAATTTTTTCAGGCTTTTAGTGAAATAAGGGAAAAATTTAATTACATTCTTATATCCTGTATGACACTGAACTGACCTACCAAGAATATGGGTTTTGCTAGGATCAGTAATAACGAAGGCCTTTTTACTTGTATGACACCCGACCTGAATATGAGATAGAATAAGAAAGATGGTGAATATTCAGCTCGGTAATGAAATAGAGGAATGAAGTTCTCAAGGAAAGAAAAAAGCTTTGATACGGCTCATCCTAACAGTGCGCAGGGCGGCTGTTATACATCAACGCAATGAGTCTGTGGCAGACTGAGTCGGTAGAATGTCGGAGCTCTGTATATATCTGTATATATTTGCTTGTTTTCGTTTTGAGTTCTCATTGGCTAATGATAATGTAAACTTTGTTCTGATTGGTCGCTGGCATTACTTTGGTTTTGTTTTTCTTCGACATTCGATGAAAACTGCTCTGATTAGGATGAACCAAACAGAGAAGCTACGCTCAAAAGCAATGCCAAGACAAGGAAACCCAAGGGCTGGCCTTCTCTGGCCAGACCTTGGGTTTCCCTAATTATTTATTTAAATGCTGGTCTACATGGCACAATTTTTGCTCGCGGTCATAACATGCATTTTTTCCAGGTTTCGCTGCTTTCTATTCAACATTTTCAGCAGTAGTTACTTGCATGTTAGCAAAAATTGCACCGTGTAAATCGGCCAAAACGAGTAGGGCTTAATTACATTCTGTTCTAAATTAATTTTAATTTTATTACCATTAGCGATGACGTAAAGCAAGCAAAGGTTGCCGAGGTTGCGTGGATTATGCACCACTGTAGGGTTCAGTTGTATTCTCGATGAAGGGTAAATTTTTAAGCTGATCGAACTTAAACATGATTTTTGATTAATTTTGCAGTAAGCATGATTTTGCCTTTTTCAAAAAATTGCACGTAAGTTAGACCACAGCAGTGAAGCACGCTTGTTTTAATAAGCTTTAATCAGTGACACTGAATTAGAAGGACTTCAAAATTAGCTCTCAAAAGAGATTACTGATTACAATTAATCATTTACAACAATTATTTTACACTGTATTATACTATTTTAAAAATTCTGTCAATTTTCGTTTTTATCAAGGGTTTAAAAAACTGAATGTATTTACATTATTAGAGTTCTTATAGCAGATTTAGTGGAGGAAAACTGAGTCATACACTTTCTAGCTTTTTGAAACAGAAGTTGTTAGGTATTACCCAATGTATAACCTTTTTCCGGCTAATATTGGTAACTTTTCCTATCGTCGATTACTTAAAATTTAATAAATATCACGGGTCGTTAAATATATAATCCGTAAATTTCGACCCTTATGGAAATGGAAAGACTGTTAGGGGAAAACTAAGTGATTTTGCCGTGTGTTTCTGAAACACATTTATTTGTTAGTTTTTTCAATATTTTAGCCGTTCTCAATTCGCTCGAGAATCTTTCTCTTTAGAATTTTAAAGATACAAAAGCCAACAGTAGTTGCCTTCAATTACCAACTTTGTACACTTGTACATCGGCCACCCGAGTTGATCATCGTCAAATAGTAATTTTTAGTAACGACCTTTCCTGGAAATTGCAGTTCTCAGGAAAGTCAGTGTGCAGCTGAAATCGCGTTCGTAAGTTTGCTTAATTGTATTCACCACTGTGTGATGAATACATGGATGACTATGTTGAGATTACACCCGGGTTTACAGTGGTGAATGCGCCACAGTTGATGTCAGACTTAGACTCAAACTAGAATAAACTTCTGTTGGAACCAAGCTGAGTTGTTGGTCCGTGACGTCTGAAATAAGTCCATCGAAGCAGGCCCTCGTGTGACGAGTTGCTTTTCTCGCAAGCCACGTGATGCCTCCTTGCAAAAGTTTAGTCACAGTGCGAAAAACGTCGCCTTACAATTCTTCCAGATCCGCCTTTAGCCACTCAATATGAAAATCATTCAAATCAAAAATTTCCCTTGGTTTCCCGCAGACGCTAACACTCAGGCAACAAAGGCTACTGCGATGAACCGCTAAAGAGTGGCAGGAAAAGTGCTGACGAGTAAAGTTTGACATTGTTAATGTTTCTAACTGTCTATGTACAACAGAGCAATGAGAAGACTTTATTACATTTCCGAGAAAAAAATAAAAAATATATAATCTATTCACAACAGTGAAAAACATTCCTTTATAAACCTAAAATTTCCCATCCAAGGGAAGTAGAGTTAAAACTTTTCTGCAATTAAAATTTTAAGGCAACGAACATCTGGGTAGGTAAGTTCATCCACTACACTCAAGCCTTCAGTGAAGCTGCCCTCAATCCATTATTCCCAGTTCCTCTGTTCTGTCCAGAAATTTTCTTCATATGTTCAGCCATTCCAGGTAGACGCGAAAAGTAGTTCCTTGCAAGGACATGCTTGTGAAGAATCTTGCCGATAAACATTCGGCCGTAAGCCTGTAAACGAGAAATACAAAGTTACTATGAGAGAGCTAAAACTTCCAGAAAAGTGAATTTATTAAGAGAAATCAACATCAACACCCACTCCCCAGTACTGCTGACACCTCAGATTATCTCCTTCTCCAAAAATCGACATATCAGTTTAAAAAAAAAGGGAAACTGTCACAAAAAATTTACCTTAAAATTTGCTGGCGTTAGGAAAAGAAATCAAGAAGAGTTGAAAGAAATTTCTACCCCGACAAGTTTTCCCTAACAAGAGACCGCGACAGTTTTTCTGTGAAGCATCATTCACGAGAAACGCTGAATACCAGTTGGTAATGGTTTTGCATCTGACTGGCTGATAAGGGTGCACGCATCTGCGTGAATCTGGCATGGGGATCTAAAAAGTCCATGGCAACTACGATCATAGGTTCGAATCTGGTCAAAGCCTTACATTTTTTTAAGCTTCCTTTCTGCAATTGCTAAATTTGCAATCCACCTACGTGAACCATTTCTTTGCTTAACTAAATCATAACAGAAACGACAGTAAAAAACAGCAGTAAAATAACAATAGCATGTACTACCTCAGTGACGTTTTCAAGTTTCGCATGAGCTGAAGCCTCTTCTTTCGTGAGTAAAATACAGTTCCACGGTGACCATTCCTCGTATTTTTTCCACCGAACTAACACTAAGTCAAACAGGTCTTCATGAGCGCTCAACACGCTCTGACTGTTCCAAATGTTCTCTACTAAATAGCGAAGGTCAGGCTCCTGAGGAAAAAGAATATAGACAAGAAGCGTTATTCTCTTTTAGGATTACATCGAGAAATCTGTAACAAGCACTATGAAGACCACAAACAAGCAAGTGCTTCAAACTTTCGGCTTCACGAGTCAAGTCTCGTGACATAACTCAAGTTGACTAACAAAGAAAGTGGATCCACATATCTCTTGATAATATGATATAGAGACAGTGAATTGATAATAGAGCAAAACATAGATCCTAGTCTGTGTAAAGCTTTGCGAGATTGAGCGGGAATGTGGCAATGCGGATCCAGGTAGAAAAAGCGGGTCTTCATGGGGCAATGGCTTTTACGGCTAACGGTTAATTTCCTTCCGTTACGATTATAAGAAATTTTTTTACGGTTATCGTTTTTTATGACTAATGCTTACATTTGTCAATTTTATGTCTAGCCAATTTTTTTTTTTTGCCGTGTTACAGCAAACGGTTAGCCCCATTGAGACTCTAGGAAAACCGGCGTTCGAAGCCTGCAAAACTCTTTTCTTTTTTTTATGTGAACTGAAAAAGCAACGCAGAAAAGACGGATGAAAGGCAGAAAGCAAGTCCAAATCTTGCTGTTTGTGATTGCCTACATGTGGTTATGAATTTCTTAAGTTGAAACTGTTATCATACGCGGTAAGTTGAAAGTTTTCTATACCTGCAGCAGGTAGGCGATCTTGGAGCCGTCTCCAACGTTTTCCTCAGAACGTCTGAGATCTTTCAGCATGATTCGATATTGTGACAACTCATGTCTGAGCCTGGCGTCGTTATCAAGTTTCGTGCACTTTCTACACCTTCCGACAACCCTATGTATCGAAAAAAGGTGGATTTACCGGTTAGTTCACATAATGGTGACGTGATGATACATTATCTGTAAACCTCGCTTGAGTCAAGAGTTCAAGCCCTAGACCGGACCAACACTCGGCATCTTAAAATAACCGAGGAGAATGTGCTGCCTTTGCAATGACATCTGCAAATGATTGGACATTCTACTCTTTTTGGATAAGGATGACAAACTGTAGGCCCTGTCAGTCTGTCTCCTACATCTTCTCTACACTGCAGGAGACATTAAAGAACCCACGCACTTCTCACAAAAAGAAGGGGAATATAGCTCCTAGTGTTGTGGTCTGGCCTTGTTATTGTTTATACATTATAAAAGATCCCCCATAAGTATATCATTTACAGAAAGAGGTTGAGCAATAAAGGAAGAAGAACAAGAGGTAAATAAACGATAGAGAATAAAAAACAAAACTCTCTTGCAAATCAAAAAAAGTCAACAAGACACGATTAGTTTTAGTTCTGACTATCTATCTGATCGATTTAACCCTTTACATCCTAACATCAATAGGCATATTCTCCATACTGTTCTCTGTACATTAGTTGGGTTCTGAAAGGAGAGTTTGTTTAACAATCAAGAGCTTCTTTAGTTGGCGATCATTTCTTTTATTCTTGTGATCTTGATGAGCTTTTCAGGGGTGAAAATGTAAGGAGAACTTAGATGCTGGTCACTCTTAGGGGTTTAAGGTTTAAAAATTGGAGCAAGTTTGTTTTTGGAGTCACTCCCAAAGCCTTATAAAGGCAAAACTTGTGCAATTATAGATATGTTTCAACACTCAATTCGAAATTAGTCAAATTGTATATAAGCGACAGAGACATAATGGCCTTACTTGGAATTTGACGAAAGCTGGAACTCGGTGGAAGGTAGATACGAATTGCAGCTCGGGCAGAAGTAGATATTTTTCCGTAACACAGCAGGATCTTGCGGAACCTGAGAACAAATAGAACAAAAACGGGTCAATACACTAATCAAGGCAAAAAAAAAAGAGTATCACAGATCCTATAAGCTATCTATGTACATTATTTTGGTGTAACTCAGGGTACAAACATGAACAAAAGCGGTGTCCAGTCGGCTAACTGCGAAAAAATCAATACCAAGTTTATGAAAGTTAAACAGTTCAGTTTCAACTAAAAGGATGAGAAATTAATAAATACTCTCAATTACACTGCAATTAGTGAAATTACAGAAAGCTTTGAAAAATGAATCGAGAATTGGCCAGAACCAACATCTTCCTGCGCTTCCTGTTTTACACATTTTGAGAGCGAAGAAAACATTTTTAAGGCCTTTTTCTCCAATTAAATGAACTCGAAAAATGATCTGCATTTAGTTTGGTCTTCGTTGTGATTGCCTGGAAGGAACTAGTGGTCGAATTTATGAAATCATTCTAGAAAACTGGTACTGAGCTTTCTGGGAAATAAAAGCTTTTCAATCACATACCTTGATCAGTCGGGCCGCTTCTGGGTTAAAGAGAGGCGTTTTGCAGTACTGAAGAAAAAGGGTTAATATTCTCTTGCGTAAACCTGTAAAAGATAAAGGTTCAAATTCGCACAATCAAGAAAATATTATACAAGAAACGTGAGAAACAAATTGTTGAACTTAGAACTATAATGGCTTTTTGAGAACAGAGCTCGAATTTCCTAAAACATTAACAATACTGCCACGCCTTGCTCGCGCTTCACTGGTGACAGTTGTCAACGGAAACACAGGTACTTAAGGGTGAAGTTTTTTTTTTTAATTTAAGTCTCCGCATCGAAAATTCTGAAATTTTCAAGAAATGCTTGAGTTATCCACAATGGAATATGCTACAAGTACATGCAGTGCCATTCCACCCAAGGGATTAGCAATATTCTAACTTACCTCATACTCAAAACCAACATCACTTAGCCTACATGTATCTACCTTCTAAATTTGATTCCTTGACTCCTCGCATCAGCAAATCTGCTTCTCTATCGATCAGTTCAATTATCTCTTGTGTTAGTTTGCAGTCATGCTCCTTTACAGTGTGCTTGAGGGTCAGCAGTACGTCCAATCTCTCATCTTGGGTGAGGTACTTCATGCTCAGCGTGCTGTAAATGTCCCGTAACTCTTGAGCGCGGATGGTGTATGGTGTGTCCATTTCAGTAACTTTACCGTCGAAAGCTTTCCACTTTTTGGGGGCAGCAGCCTGTTACGACAAAAAACCAAGCTGTTATTTTCGGCGTGGTTGATTTAAGAAAAAAATCACGGTGGGTTGTCCTGTGTTCAAATGTTTCCAGTGCATATTGGCTCAGTTTAGTTCGTTCAGTTTGGCATTAAGTCAACAGAGGACCAAAGCAACAGAAGACCTGGCCACGATGTTGAATCATCGATTAACACTATCAGATCGCCCTGGACTTGAAAGCAGTAATGAGGCACAAACTTCGACAAACCTTGTTCAAGAAGTTCTTGATCCTTTTGTCGTTGTTTTCTTCATCAGCAACCAGTTTATGCCGATCAATGGAGGCAATAAGGTAGGCTTCTTGTTCCAAAAGTCCTACAAGAGCTGCTTTCCTTTCTGGACCTGAGTACAACTCATCTATCAACGCCATCTCTTCATTACGCCATTCTAAACAAATAAAACATTTCCGTGTTTCAACCACACAATAAAAGTAACATAAACTTCCAAGAATTACCTGACTCAGCTGTAAGCACCACTCTAAGCTGTTTTAATTGATGCAAGATTGCAAAGTGTTGCAACTGGTGAGTTTCATTTCTCGTTTCACGTTTCACGACTCGAATTTTCTCTCTCAGAAAGTCAAGACAGAATAAAGGTAACTCACAGGTAAGGATAATCCTATACAAGAAAAGGGAGCGGAGGTATTTAGTTTTTTGATTTTTCCGTTTCTTGGTTACTTTGGAAATATGTTTTCGACTTATGTAAGGAATTCCCTCATATCTTTTCTTCCGATTTTTTTTTTTCCCTGGTTTGTTCGTGTTTTTATTATTTTTTCCCTTTCTTTCATTCCCTTTTCGCCTTCATGAATAGCAAGAAATATTTTGGTTTTACTTATTCACCATAACGATTTTGAACTGAGATGCTCTTAAAAAAGAACCATGACCTAGCTTGTCTCAGTTACGTGTAAAAATATACTCACTTTCTAAATGAGCATATAGGAGATCAAAATCTTCTTTAGTCTTAGGATTCATTCTCCTTTCCCACTCTCGCTTAATTCGTTCAGCTCTTTCTTTCTGTTTTCTGAGCTCCTCCTGTCTTTCCCACTCCATACGTCTCAAGCGATCTTCTCTTAACCGCTGGACATAATTCTTGGCCAGCCATCTCCTCCAATAAGTTTGAAGGACAATGACCTGGAAATCAAAAGCAAACTTAGGTCAACCTTGATCAAGATTCATGTTGCATGGTTATAAAATAATGCAATTTATTGGGAAAATGACGAGTAATAGGGTATTCTGAAACTTGTTAGATAAAATGGCACAATTAAATGCATAAAGAAATGCAGAAGTGATAGAATATGCAAAGTATCAGGAGAATTTTCTGCTCTTCAGAATAAGGTAAGAGCTCTGGCCATGGAAATTTAGACAGAGATCTGATCCCTAAAACCCAGATAATACTCTCTGTTGGTATGATCACCAACTAAGGAAAAGTCAGTTCTGACAGTGGTGAAATACCAAACTATCTTTAACTTTCAAAAGCTAAACAACAACAACAAAAAGTATCCTGTTAAGCTCTTAGAGGATTGTGATAATTATTCCTTAGTTTTTAAAGAGTTAATAGTTCTCTCTTTTTTTTTAATCAAGTTATGAAAATGTCCCTGCAGAAGATTAAGTAGAAAAAAAAGTGTGTTTGTCTTTAACTCAAGAGATATGACTGCAAACAGGGGAATCATTTCTTAATGTAATGTGTGCTCATTTACATACTTTCTTTAATATCTTCCCGTGGTATTGGTCAGCTGTTTCATATTTCCCAGGAATCAGTATTTTATCTGTGACATTTGATACATAACAGCCATCCTTGGTCTAAGATAAGAAGGAGAAATTGTGTTAATACTCATTCCACAAACCTGAATCCCAGTTGATACTAAATTTTTGTCTGACACATTTAAACCCACAGCTGTAGAAGAGTCTACATGCAGAAGAAAAATGTCACAGAATGGAATTTGACAACAGACTGAAGCATTATAATTGATAGATGTACTTCAAAAGTAAAGATTTTCGAGAATTTTACCATTTGTGTGGATGTTGTATTTGTGGTCTGCTGAAGTCTGTTTCTCAATTTGTATGTTTGTGTGTCTCGATGAAACTTCTCTACAGATGAAGGCACACGGATCTTGGGTAAAGTTTGTGCAGCTGCATTGTGGAACTCTGTCCCTGTCAGTCTGTGTCTGTAGCCTCCCAAGAATGGTTTTTTCCTGTTCTCTTGGACAATATGAACCACAAGCTCAACCTCCTTTCCACCTGAAAAAAAAGGAAAAAACACAGAAGGTCAATGAAATACAGTACACCTCAGAGATAGATGGCCAACGCGCACACAAGATCTTTGAATGTTTTTTGCCTGTTGCACAAAAAAAAAAACTGTACTGTATTAAATAAATAGGGGGGTGAGTAAAAAATATCAATAAGAAAGTGCCTAGATGTTAATAAAGTCTCAAGTATATGGAAACCCTGTCAAAGGTAATCACTCTATGTTCTGATGAGTGTTCGAGCTTCTAAGAATACACTTCCATGACTTTCCAACACAAAATCAAAGCAGCTATCCACATTCAATGGAGCAACCTACACTTAATCATCAATTTTATCATCATGATTTCAATTAAAAACTTTCCTTGTAAATGCATCCATTGTTTTTATACTATCATTTGTTTTGTCCAATCAGCATTTTGTTAAATAATTTAAATTCAACTTTGTACTTTGTATGAATCTGAACTGAGGATGACAGAAGAACTGTTGAAACATGTTTTTAAAAAAGCATCATTTATTTTCTTAAATTTTCCTTTTTTCTTGTGACCTTAAATTTTAATGTAGGGGTGATATTGTAAAGAGGAATTAGATCCTGGTCATTCTTAGGGGTCCAAGGGTAAAGGAAAATCAATCATTTTACATAGAACAACATGAAAGAGTTTGACTTTTATAAGGTATATTCTTCCTGAGCCTATGTACTTTACGTACTGTACATAGTAAGATATTACAACTTTAGTTTACATCATCAACAGAACAAAAAATGCTAGCAAACTTACCCACTTCGACCCTGACATTAATTTTGTCAGGTAGTTTGTACATTGGTGATGACTGTTTGTACTGCAAAGGTGTATTGATAGGGTCTGATGACTGAATTTCCACCTCCACTGTCTGCCCAGCTTGGACACCCAGATCTGAGAGCACAGTGTGGTCTTCCACCATTTTGCCTTGAAGTGAATTAGTAGGATAGTAAATCAGTTGGAGTATTAAGGTCCATTGCTGCATGGACTTAGAACCAAAATAATGTAACTTACCATCAAATATCATCAGTATTGCCTGTGGCGGCTGGCTAAATTCTGATGCAAAATGGTTTCGTAACTCTAAGAAGGACTGCTTTAATGAACAAGTCATGCTCTGTACATGACCCTCCGGCATAATGAGGAACTTCACTGAAAAAATAAAACATGAAAAATTTTATAATTCTGGCTATTTCATCATGCTCAATATTGCTGCATGATACACATCCATACACTTACAATATATAGCATATGAAAGCCCATGATTTTGATTCTAAAAAATGAATTAATAATAGTACTGTAAAATAATATTGATGGATGTCAGAAGAGTCAAACCACTCCTTCCCAAAACCAGCTTTTGCTATCAAACTGCCCAGGAATACAAATTATATTTAATCACAAGTACACCAATCTCACCAATGAATACAGGGGTTAAGTTTCTAAAGAGATTTTGGTAATGTGTCACTTGAGGGTTGGAGGGGGGGGGGTAAAAGTGTATTACAAGATGACTTGATTTTTTCAACTGAGTTGGTCTTGTGAAATGGCAAGCCCTACAAGTTTCTAGAGCTGGCCTTTCCTGTCTTATCCCTTTGTCAGAGAAAAAGCACTCTCACCAATTTTTTAAGGCAAATCACTAATGGTTACAACCATACATCTGCCACCTTCCCACCAAAAACTGTTACAGTACATGTACATTTACTACTGGCACTATACTGCTCAGTATTTGCAATAATTACTCAAACTGTCCTGTGTCCCCTTGTAAAAAGTTTAAATATTATATATAAACAGTCACTAACCATTTGCACTGAAGCCATCCCTGGCTATTCCTCCGGATTCCAATTGGTCTCTGGTATCTTTCATGGGTGTTTCACTGTCTACAGACCTGTCAGCTTTTGAAGTCGGTGGGGCAACCAATGGTGATTCACTCTCTGATTTCGTTTCGACAACTTTGTCCTCCACTTTTCCAGGGCTAGCAGAAGAAACATCCGCGTCACCCACAGGCGATTCCCTTCCTTCTGTTTGAGCATTCGATTCTTGAGTTTCCACGTCTTTATCCGGTTCCGAAATAACGACAGACATAGGAGCTTCCTCCATTTTGCGACTATCTTCTTCAGTCTTTTCCTCAACAGGAGTTTCCTTCATTCCTTCCGTTTGATTTGCATCTGTAGGATCATCGTTCGTATCATCGGCTTTAACTTTCTCTTCTTTTTCATCACCTTTTCCGATCTCATCATCACCTTCTTTAACCGTGTTAGTGGCTTGTGCAGGATCTACACTAATATCATCGCCTGCGCCATCTTGGTCGAGGACCTGTGTTGGTTCTTCTGCGATTTCACCCGGTGGCTCACCTTCTTGCGGCTTCTGTCCTTCATTGTTACCATCATTAGTACCTTGGGTCTCTCCAATTTCTTCTTGGGCAGACATTTCAAGACTTAAGAGGCCTTATTTTTGTTAGTATCAACATTCAATCTCCCTGTTTGCTATGAAGTTTCTTCTCTGCTGTTTCTTAGGTGCTGTTTCCATAGAAACAGCTGGCTTTGAGGATCGTGGTCTCAATAAAAGGTCCGCTCAAATTTTGAGGTCTGATAAATGTACCGTTCAAAGACGATTTAATACAGATTTTCCCTTTCAGAAAGCATAAGATTTTTCTTAAAAAAAAAAAAAAGAGACGAAAATATTTAGAGAACGCGAGAAAGGCCATTTTTCTTGTGACATCATTTTTTCAATCTCGAGCCGAGGGTCATTTTGGCTCCTTGTCAGCGCTATGGTCGCCAAATAAGTTATTAGCTTCAAAATATGGCGTGGTCCCACAGCTTACATAAGGCCTGGCTACAAAGTAAGGGCTATTCTTTCAATTTCGGGTGAGTCACGTTGGAAAACGTCAGTTTCTTGGCGAACTTTTCCGGTATTTTTCGGCTTGTACTAGAGTGAAAATAGAACATAAAAAGCTACACGTCACAAGACTAGAAAACAATAACGAAAGAACTGCCATTTAGTTTGATGAGTGCAGTAGATGTCATCAAATTGTGATCAGGAGACGGTCCCAACGCCTCCAGCAGCGAAAAGAAGGAAAATTTCAAATTCGGACGGTGAAACAAACTCTGTGTCTCACGAAAATCACTCAGGAGATCAGGTGGTTTATAGTTTAGTCCAAACTTTTTTATATGCATTTTTCGGTTTTCGCTGAGATCCGCGTGCACAGTGTTTAAGGGCGCTATGAGTGTTTTTTGCCCGGAATGACTTCAGTTTCAATTAACTTGCAGACCTCAAGGTCAGACGAGAATATGGATGGGCAAATGCAGATCGATGAAGGACTTTACTCCCGTCAACTGTGAGTATGAACCTTTAGTCTGTGCTTCCACGTTTGAATACACCATCGTTCTGATGATATGGCTAATTCCATACAGGAAAGGCAGATCTCGATGTTGCTAATTCCTTTAACTGTACGCGTACGTGCTAACTATACCTTTCCCAATTTCTCAGCCACTGTGCCTTTGTTGGTCATTTTAGTTCTTGATATCTTGAAATTATTGTTAAAAAATTAGACTTAATTTTGAGCATGTGACTTGATTAAATTTTTTTGGAATTGATGCATGTGTGCTTCCACTTTCACTATTTGTTAATCAGCGTGATATGCGTGTAACCTTGCCTCCTGGTATGGTAAGAATCAGGAAGTTTAGAACCTTTCACTTGATAGTGTGAGCCATGTGCGCAAATTACAACCATTAAGCCAAGGTTATCATGCACGAGACAACAAAGCCGATTCCTTTGTTCTGTGCAATGCTTCTCAAACAAAGCAGTTCAACTCATTTCATTGTTGCAATCTTTGTAGATCACCGCTGCTCCTGGTCCTCTCAACTTGACAAAGCATCTTGTCATCATCTAGCATGTCCCAGTCTTTGTAACCCTTTCTCATTCCCAGTTTACTTGGTTAACCCTTATACTCCCAGATCAAATTTGTCATTCTCCTTACTGTCAACCATACACTTCTTATAACGTTAGTTCAGAGAATTTAGTAATGAATCAATTAATTATCCCCAAATTGATATTTCCTTTATTCTCATCACTTATCTGGTTGATATTGTATTGATATTGTGAGGAGAAATTCTGTCTTGGTCACTTATGGGAGTTAAAGGGTTAAAAGATGAATTGGTTCTGTCAACTTAGTTGAAAATTCAGTGTGGGCCACGTAAAAGGTTTCTAAAACTGACGTTTCAAGGGTTTATCTTTTGTCAGAGGAAATCACTGAGATGAAGGGCTAATGCTCAAAACCTCAGCTTTAAAAACCTTTTTATGGTGGCCAATTTTCATCATCAACAAAGGTGATAAAACCACATTATCTTGTACAAATTGTTATACCCCCTACCAACACAGCACCACAGGTTTCAAAAAAATTATCCCCGCTTAATACTTAACTCATACTTAATACTTAAGACATAGTCTGGTTTAAGCAAAAAATGGGCATATAAAGGTAAGTCAGTGAAAAATTAAAGAGAACTGATTAACAGAAGCTGGTGTGATTATATTGGCTGGTCATGAGTTAGAGAGGTGACATCATTGTCAAGACCTTGGGACAATGGTTTTCTCACTCTAGAGGATATATATCTACCACTTACAGGGCTTGGAATCAATCAGTTGACTAGGCCTTTTTTTTCAGATATGTTCTTGGCCATGAAGCCATGAAAAAGATGGCCACTTCCAATATTCTTATCTCTGGTCTTAAAGGTCTTGGAGTGGAAATAGGTAAGATATTCATTATGTCGCAGTCCTGATGTGTTGAAACCCTATGCAAATATATGATGTTAGCATTGATGTGCCATTCCAGAATATTGCAATCTCATTTAATGGTATTGGGTTAATGGTGAACTGTGTAGTGAGCCAAACTGTGGCAGAATTTGTGTTTTAACTGTTATGATAGATTTAAATGTACAATAAAGTAAATACAGTTATGTGTTACGGTTCAAATTTAAACTTTGTTTGAATTTTTCAAATCAGGTGTGAGTGTCTTGTTCTTTTGTTTCATGCTACAATTTTATAAATATAGCAGAGTAAAAAAAAAAAACTGGTCTGAAAAATTTCATCACAAGGAAATATATGAACCTTAACTGACAGCATAAGTACATTTAAGTGATATATTGTTATTAGCAGTGATTTTTTCCATTTGGTTATCTGCAGCTAAGAATGTTGTACTGGGTGGTGTGAAGTCAGTTACTCTTCATGATTCAGGGAATGTGGAAATGTCAGACTTGTCTTCTCAGGTAAAAAAACCCTCTTATCTTACCTCTAACATTTACTGATTAATCATCCTTGCGGTACATGGTGGCTAAGGGCTTAATGTGCTAGACTGCTCATCCAGAGGCCTGGGTTCAAGACTTAACAAGTCATTGTGCTTTTTTTTTCTTGGGCAAAACACTTTATTCTCACAGTGCCTCTCCTCCACTCAGGAGTATAATTGGGTACCAGCAAAAATTGCAGGGAAGTAAGGGGGGTTAATCTTGCAATGGACTGGCATCCCCATCCAGAAGGGAGTATTAATATTCCAAGTTGCTTCATGCTATGGAAACTGGAAAAAGCTCTGGCTAGATTGGCTACTTGACTCAAGTGCTAACTTAGCCTTAACCATAAGACAATACAATACCAGGTGAAAAACTGAGAAAAAACTGATAGGAAACGGTGAACAGAATTTGTGGAAAAATTTTAAAGCTAAAACCTTGTTCTTTTTGTAAAATCCAATAAAATTACTTGACAGCATGACAGCTGTCAATTTTAACACACTCTGAAGACAAAGATTTAAAAGTATTATTAAATTGATTGGTATGTGTTTTTCCTATGGTGCAATGAAGTTCTTTCTTCAAGCTGAGGACATTGGGAAGAATAGAGCGGAAGTGTCTTTGAGCAGAATTTCAGAACTCAATAGCTACGTGAACATGTCTGTTTTTACTGAGCAACTGACAGAAGAATTCTTAGGAAAATTTCAGGTTTGTTTATCATAAAAAGTGAGGCCAATATATAGTCCTATACATTTATTGAGGATTTGGTTTCGGTACAATTGCATGCATTTAGATACATAAGAGTAGATATTGTTGTATGCCAATGCAATTAGGTCTTTGCCAAGATTTTGCATGATTTGTTGCATTTGTGCGAATATGAGTGTCATATTGTGTGTTGGTTTTGTTTCTAGGAAATAATTTATTCTTATTAATTATGTGTGACAATTCTACAATGATCATTTCATTATGTAAGACAACACATGTTCATTGTCACTTAAGTTGGTTCACTGTGCCCTTTTGTTATGAGCACTTTGCTGAATTTTCATACATCTGCATGAACTCACCACTAATCTCTCAAATGGTGCTTTTTATTACTTTTTATAATGTTGAACTCCTGATTTTGCAATCTTTAAACAAGCCCAGATCTTAAATTTGGCCACAGTTATGTTTTCTTAGCTTTTGAAGACTCTGTTTTAAACTGCAGTAATTAAAACTCTGACCAGTTGATGTTTTTGTCCAGGTCATAGTGCTGACACAATCTCCTCTTGAAGAACAACTTTGGGTTGGAGACTTTTGTCATGCAAGAGGAATTAAGTTTATAATTGCTGACACAAGAGGATTGTTTGGGTTAGTATCTTGTTATTAACAAAATAGTAACAATGAAAACTAACCCAGAGTAAATAACATGTTTAAAGGCATTACACTTGGTACTTTGCTCTGAGAACTTATTTTTGCCTCAGAAAGAAAATGGGTGCCAGGACACTATCAGGGAAACCTGATAAATTTTTGTGGGATTATTTGGAATAGACCATGCAGTATCCCATTTACCCAAAAAAAATGTTTTTACATGACTGAATTTAATTTCAGAAAGTATGCATTGAACATAGAGCACTGGAGGTTGTAAAACAGAATTAATGCCCATGTTACAAATGGAGGCTACATGTAGGTGCTTGAGGAGCCTGGGGACTGCAAGTGTAGTTACATTCCAAGGTTCAAGAACACTCAACTGGCCTACCCAACCCACAATCCAGCCCCCTATGAGCACCCATCACACTAAAGTCAGATGGCTTTGTGGAGGAAAACATAAATAAATCAATAAATGAATCAATATATAAAACCAAAAAAAAATTGAAATAAACCCTGCTCAGGAAACCCTGCAGTTAGAGTTGGAAGGAAATGCTGGGAACCACTATCTGCAAGGACAACAATGCCATGCTATAGAACAGCGAACACAATGCATGCTTTGATATGGTATACCACTAGATGAGAACTGCCCTGAGACCCCAATAACCACAGTACTGCTGCAAAAATGCTATGAAATGCAACCAACGCTGCACAAATGCTAACAGCTGGCCAAGACACAAATCAAACGCCTAAAAACTCTACTGACCATATTTGCTCCTAGTCTTAAATTATGTGGAATATAATTTAACTATTTTTAAAATGCATTTTGTTTTGGTTATGGTGAAGTGCCAATTTCTTTCCCATTTTTATTTCAGTCAAATCTTTTGTGACTTTGGTGAGAGTTTCACAGTAGTGGATACAAATGGGGAGCAGCCAATTAGTAATATGATTTCTTCAGTTTCAAAGGTAACACAAATCCTGCATAAAGAATTTATTAAGAAATGAGCTGCAAGGACATTGATTTGTTGAGTTGGCTTTCAAGGAGTGTATTGCATGATGAAGTTACTCCCTACTACATGTAGGTCTCCCACTTTTAATGACTGTTGGAAAAGTAAACTGAGCAATGTTGAACTGATAAACAAATGATAAAAATCTTAGATGTGAGTAGTCAATTTACTGACCATCGATGAAGTAACTTAGTTGGGTAGGAATAATACTGTAAATGGTTTGAACTTGGGGGTAACTTGCAGTGAGATTTTGTAGTGTGATTGTGGCAGGGAGAGTCAATTGTCTTGAGAAGGACCGTTGTTGCTAGTGATGTATGTATATTTGACTGACAATAAATTTCCACTTAACTCTGATGGTCGCCTCTGCTGAGGTTGTTGAAATATCACTCATGGCCAGCAACAATAGACCTCAGGATTACCATCTCATGGGGGATCAGAATGCATGAGCTAAATTATGTAAATGCATTAAAAAAATCCCTTATTAATAAATATATGTAATTTTTTAGGACACTGATGGTGTTGTGACTTGTTTGGATGAACAAAGACATGGATATGAATCCGATGACTATGTCACATTCTCTGAAGTACAGGTAATGGATAACAAGGTCATAGAATCGTTAATTTACAAGAGATTTTTGACAAGTTAGGCTTATTACTTATAGTTTTAAGGGAGAAGCAATAGCCTAACCACAAGCATGCAAGACAAGGGTCAAGTTGTCAGGGTTCTGGTACACATTGTACAGTACCTACCCTTGAACAAACATCTTTAAGATACACTGCATATCTAGGACTTGCAGAGAGTGTACATTTTATAATGGTCATGTGCTGCTTTTTTTTCCAAGGGGATGACTGAATTGAATCAATGTGAACCAAGAAAAATTAAAGTTTTAGGTAAGAAATTCTTTCTTCTTTGATTGAAAGCTTAGTGCAACTCTTAGTAAAACAATCCCCAAGAAGGTGATGGTATAATTGGAACTTGATCAAATAATCCCCAGAGCCCAGTTGTATAAAGGGCAGATAACCAAGGCTATCCAATGAATAAATTACTATTTAGCAGATAAGTGATTGCAAAACGTACTGCATTATCCACCAGATAGAGATTTATCCAGTGGATAGCCTTATCCAAGCATTCCACAACAGGGGCCAGAGTGGTAAACTTCTGCCAAACAGTAGATTGTTATTTCATTATACTAATCTGAGTGCATCTCTGAATTAGTATCAGTCCTCTGTGCACTCATGTGTACAAATGGAGTTATTAACCAATGAGTCCTGTTCTATTTTTATATTTCTTGTGGTTGTAAGTCACAAGAAAATTCATTTGATGTCTCATTTTATTACCCTTCAGGTCCTTACACGTTTAGTATTGGTGATACTAGTGGCTTATCAGATTATGTTCGTGGTGGCATTGTCACCCAAGTGAAAATGCCAAAAGTAGTCAAATTTGTGAGTATCTTAATGACATTGTTAACAGTCCTTGTTAACTGCAAAGTGTTGTGTAATTATTGGTATGCAATACATGTAATGTCATTATCTGTCTTTTCATCTCTTTCTATTGTGTTTCTATTGGTTCTTTGGAGACCTAGAAAATTTAAGCTGTTTTGATCTTTTAAATAATCTGAAATGATTTTTAAAAGCAGTGAACAAATCAAGTTCAAGGGATGCCTCATTAACTCAGTGTTAAATAAAACTCTTCTTTTTTTAAAAAAAAGAAATCATTTAGACAGTCTCTAATGGAGCCGGAGTTTGTATTGACAGACTTTGCAAAAATGGAACGACCTGCTCAGCTTCACCTTGGATATGTTGTGAGTTTGTTATTGATTGTAGCTTTTTTTTAACATTTCCTTATTTTGTGAGATGTAGTACTTTACATTTACTTTACCCTTTCCACTTAAACATCAGTTTGTATATTCTCCACACTGTTCTCTATAAATTTCCTTTGGTATTTACATTGAGATTTTTTCAAACAGTCAAGAGCTTTTTTGATTAGCAATGATTTATTCTTGTGACCTCAAGGCTTGACTCAGAGGTAAATGTGCATGTAATACTGTTAGGAGAAATTAGATGGCAGTCACTCCTAGGGAATAAAGGGTTAATTTAATGGTGGTATCTCAGCATAGAATGTAGTGAAGAACAGCCTGATATGTGAGTGAAAAATAGCACTGACCATCAAAGAATTCTGCCTTAGTAGCTGTAAAATTTAACCCTTTAACTCCCAGACTAAATTGTAATTCTCCTTACTGTGAACCATACAATTCTTATGATGTTAGTTCAAAGAATTTATTATTGGATCAACTATTTATTCCCAAATTGATAGTTTTCTTTATTCTCATCACTTGTCTGGTTGATATTGTATGGAGAAATTCTGTCTTGATCACTCATGGGAGCTAAAGGGTCAAATGGCTTTCTGATGCCAGATGAACACCCAGTCTTAGCTAAGTAGAATCCTTGTCAGTGAAAGAGAATTGAAACCAAGGTTGTGTAGTAGTAGGTTATAACACTCAGTATTAATTTGTAAGAAGTGATTATGCAGCTAACTAGAATTTTTTAACTTTGATCCTACTTCCAAGGCCCTACACAAATATCGAAACGAATATGGCACTCTTCCAAGACCAAGAAGCAAGGTATATATTTTTTAAACTATATTAGCAGTAAGTATATAATTTTTCTAATTTGTATAGAACATTTGCATTTTCCTATTAATGTCTCTCTATCTTTTAAAACTTATTTTTGTTATTGGAAGGCTGTAAAACCCAAAACATGAATTCCATCCTTTCTTTAATGAAGGAAGATGCAGAAAAGTTTGTTGCGCTGGCCAAGAAGCTTAACTCAGAGAAGATATGTTCACAGGTGAGGAATACTGCTTCTGCCCTGAGTAGATTTACCCATTTGTTGGTTAGATTAATCAAGTATTTAGTCATATATCAATAACTGTACTATGAAGCTGTTAATACTTTTATTTTAAAACAGAGTTGCACAAAATTATCGTGTGAAAATAATTTCTATTAATTACCTAGGGGATTGATTTATTTCATCATACTGCAAGCGGAAAAAAGGAAATTGGAAATTTCATTTTGGGTTGCTGGCTAAGATTCCAATGATTGGTCTTAATAGAAAGCAGTGTTAGCTAAATTGTATTTGTATTACTAAATAATATCAGTTGTGAAATCATTCAGTGATTAAACCTCACTAATTTTATATTAGATATGCATGAAGTTTAATTATTATGTCAATCAATTAATTCATTGTTTTTTTTCTCCTTGCATTGCGTTCTTTTGTATCATTCAGGTGGATGATGTTGATGAGGGTTTATTGACACAGTTGGCGTACAATGCCAGAGGTGACATCTGTCCTATGCAGGGAGTTATTGGAGGAATTACTGCACAAGAAGTGATGAAGGTATAAAAATACACTGGCATGTCTGTCTTGTAGTCTAAAATTAATTTTTTTCCTTGAATTTTTTTTAACTATGGAATAGTGTGCAGAGAAGTTTTTCTTTCATTTCCATTTTTTTTCTTGGTGATGATCATATGAACACTTATTGATGAGTTTGAAATGCAGGAAAATATAATATGAACCACTGATTGTCAGTGAAGTTGCTTTAGCAGAATGCCATGCTCATGATCAGACCAACATGTCATACAAGGGCGATGGACTTTTCAAAAAGAAACAACCCTTTTTGTTCTGTGCAGTTTTATTGTCATTGATTAATAAGTCATAGAAATTGAGTAAAACTCGTCAACTTCTTGAGGTGACTCTCTGAACTCTGACCCTTTTTAGGCTTGCAGTGGAAAATTCAACCCAATCTTTCAGCTACTCTACTTTGACAGTCTGGAGTGCTTGCCAGAGGAAGGAGACATTTCTGAAGCTTCATGCCAACCAGTATGTTGATCAATATACATTATAGTCAGAATTTATGGACTGGGGTCCAGGGTTCAGGGGTGTAATACCTTTACATGAGAGTATTGTATATAATTATTGCTTTGGTAAATGTTATTTTTCTGTTAGACTGGATCAAGATACGATGGTCAGATTGCTGTTTTTGGAAGTGACTTCCAAAAGAAGTTGTCAGATCAGAAGTTCTTCATTGTAAGTGTTGAGTCATTATTATGCTGAAATAAATATTTATGATTCATTAAGTACAATAAATCCAGAATTTGTATGGGTCCTGGAAAACCTGGAAAGTCCTGGAATTTTATCTGGACATTTTCCAAGACTAGAAAAAGACTACAGGTCCTGGAATGGTTTAAAGTGAAATTTGAAGTCCTGGAAAAATCAATTTAAGTCCTCGGAAAGTCGTCAAAATTTAATACTGAAAATGAGTACATACCTGGTAAATGATTTATCTTTGTGTAATTTAATTCATTGGGTAATTATCTTTAAAAGTAAGAGTGGGTTGTTACAGAAAAGTGTTGATAAAACTTAACTGTCATCTCTCTAAATGTAAATTTAGCAGCAATCAAAATGCATCTTTGTCTTTTTTAAATCTTTTCTTGCATTTCTTTCTCCTTGTAGGTTGGAGCTGGTGCTATAGGATGTGAACATCTTAAAAACTTTGCTATGATAGGATTGTCTTGCAGTGCTTCAGGACACTTGTTTGTCACAGATATGGACACCATTGAGAAATCAAACCTGAATAGGCAGTTCCTGTTCAGACCGGCTGACGTCCAGGTATGCTTTAACACTCGGTTACATTAACTTGTTACCTTTTGGGCAGTTTGTGTCTAGTGCATCAGTATTGAGCGCTATATCTGATTAGATATGAAGGCCTGACAGGAATCATTATGTGATGCATGTATCTCTTAGAGTGCTTTTCCTTGCCCAGGAACATGGAAAATTGTCAACAAACTGTCGGCATGGAAAACATGATTTGCTGGAAGTTTTTGTCACAACTGTTTCTCAAACAGTGTCCAATGTCCGCATTTTTTTTTATGTTACTTTTTTATAAAAAAAGTATTGTTTTAATTGAAGATTGAATTTTGTCATTTTTTTGAAAATTGTTTCTGGCCAGAAAATGAAATCAGAAGTTGCAGCCAAAGCAGTGAAGGTGATGAACCCTGAACTTAACATTACAGCACACCAGAACAGAGTTGGACCCGAAACAGAAAGTATCCTTTACGCTGCTGAGTAAATTCTTCATTTTGTAGGATTTGTGTCAGTCCCTACAGTTTTCAACAGAAAATGTTATACAAACCTTGTTAGCTACCTTCAACTGCTTGGCTGCGTATCAGTCAAGAATTCAAAATTGGCACAATCTCCCGGTATCAATGAAGATAACTAAGAGTACTGATATGCATTTCCAATTACCCTTGCACAATCTAGGAATGCAAGTAAGTAGAGAAACGAGTTAGTGAAGAGAGTGTAGCCAACAGATGAGAACCAAATTTTTCAGCTGAAAACTGGTTACAATTTGCTTTTCAGAGTTTCCTATGATGATTGCACGGTGAGCCTGTAGAATTTCGATGATTTCGTTTATGAAAACATTATCTCCTTAACTGTACAAGAAATATACCATGACGATTTCTTTGAGGCACTTCATGGTGTTGCAAATGCCTTGGACAACATTGATGCTAGTAAGTGTCATGTCTCTTACGTTTAATTCTACATAACTCGTGTGAATTTTGACAACTTAGAGGTAAGCGCAGCTTTCTTTAACGCCTGCCTCATTCATCTTCCACTTCGTTCTCTTACACCGGTAATGGCGTTTAATGCGAGTCCACGGTTTAATAAAGAAAATATGGAATTGCTTTTCTTAGCACTTTTAGCTATTAAAAAAAAGTATAAACGGTACGGTTGATGAAAATTTATTCTCTGTTCAGGAATGTACATGGATAGGAGATGTGTTTACTACCACAAACCACTCTTGGAATCAGGAACTCTCGGGACAAAGGGAAATGTTCAGGTACTGTATCAGATCCGGAGGGAGTTCATGGTCTCGTTTGTATTGTTTTTACCCTTACAAGAAAATCCTTCAACCTGTCCTTGTTTTTAGGTTGTGCTGCCATTTGTGACAGAATCTTACAGCTCCTCTCAAGATCCCCCAGAGAAATCCATTCCTATCTGTACGCTGAAAAATTTTCCAAATGCTATTGAACACACTTTACAGGTAAATTGGGAATCTTTTGAAAGATTCAAATGTTCTAAAACTTATTTTACTGGTATATCAAATTGACACTAATTCAACTGGTATAGCAACACTGATCTCCTTCAGCAGTGTCTCAGCAACTCTTTCTTTAAATTTACTGTAAATAACAGTAACACGATTGATGTTTGAGATAGCAGTTTTTTTTATAAGGTCTATTCGATGAGTTATCGTTTTCACTCTAAGTTGGACCAGAAATGAATTTTTCCCTTCAAAATGTCAAAATGGTTTCAAGCAAAAAGTAGACGAGAAGAAAGAAAAATACCATCGAGGGGGTAACGGTTAGTTTGACTCTAAATATCTGAGCCAGAATTAAAAGAGATGAAGGGCAGATAGTAGGAGCCGGTTATTTATGCGAGGTCTAACCCAAACCGCGGTTTTACGCAAGCAGTGGGCTTCAGGCTTTCACTATAGTAGGGTTGATTTAATTAGATGTTCTTCCACTGTTTCGGCCCTCTTGGCACTGTTCACAGAAATGAGTGTTCATATTGTTCTAAATTGAAGATGGCTTAGAACGCGGTTTTGTTAAACAGCGGCCAAACTTTGTTAATTAACCGGCCTTGGGAGTTTGAGGGTTGAATGAAGTATTTCCACATTTCATTGAATCCCTTTTAAAAGATGCAATTTTTTTGCCTAAGGCTATTTGACATCTTTACAGTTCTGATATAAATTTCCCGTGATTCATGCCGTACGATGCATTTCGTTTAGTCTAAGTTCATTTCACTTCTTTCTTGCAGTGGGCAAGAGATGCGTTTGAAGGACTATTCACGATTCCAGTGGAGAATGTCAACCAGTTTTTGAGGTGAGAGGCAAACTCAACCAAAGTCTTGAACAGGAAAATTTCATGGTCGCAATCCTGTAACATGACAACAGTAGTGTCGACTGTGTATTGTGATCGTTCGTGAGAAGGAAGTCCCTCAAACAATTTGGTTATTGTGGCTAACGATCTGTTGATAAATTCCGCTCGGGTTTTCGAAACGTTATTTATTGTCACCTTCAACAGTCTCTTTTAGGACTATCCTCTCCCCTCCCTCGCTAACACCTGCCCCACCCTCGACTACTCTCGATCAATCTGCTCGCTTTGCTGTTGTTCAGGCCTTTCTTCAATCAAGTTACTCTTCAACATAACCACTTTCACAATCATCGACATCTACGATCTACGACAGATACAACTATTCTCTTTGTATGGTGAAAACATTATCCCTTTTCAACTATACGAATGTGTGATCTTTTTAAATCACAAGAACTAGATAGAGAGAAGTAGAAGAGAGAGTTTATAATCTCACGTGCAATTCATGTCATGGCCAGGAAGGGAGGAGACAGGGTTTATATTTGTGTGCTAGTTACGTAAGAATTATTATAATCACCATTCTACTGCCTGGCACTTACTGTTTTATATCTTCAATGTGTAGTGACCCCAAATTTGGTGAGAGAACAGACAAACTTCCTGGGATGCAGGCGGTGAGTTATTAAAGAACACTGTCCTTCACTGAGATAAAGAAAAAAAAGGAATAAAAAGTATAGGACCTTGATTTATTGAGCGAGAAAGATGGTAAACGCGCTGACTTTTCATGGTACACGGCTGGTATGCCTCTGCGCATCCCAATGTCCTAACAGTCAGCGTGCTATCGAGGCTTGGCTGGGTTAATGAGTTGTGTTCCTTGGCAAAACATTTCATGTTTGCAGTACCCTTTTCCACTCAGGAGTGTAAGCTGTCGGGGAAATCTGAATTTCTGGTGGTGGGGGGAGGGGTGGTATCCTATCTGGGAGGAGTAGTAATACTCCTTGTCCAAACGGGATGAATCACGTGTTTCAAGTATTGACTTCACCTTACCTGCTAATCCTCCTGAACGGAGAGTTGGTGTGTGGCCGATAATCCCATTTCTTAGTTTTCAGTTATTCATTTGCCCTTTGTTTCCTATTTATTTCTTAGACTGAAATCTATGACAGCATCAAGAAATGTTTAGTAAGCGAGAGGCCAGTTGACTTTGCAGACTGCGTGAGATGGGCCAGGTTACAATTCCAGGAAAATTATGTCAACACGATCAAACAACTCCTGTACAATTTCCCTCCCGACCAGGTAAGTGCAGTTTCTACCTTTTTTATTTCTCGCTCTTAGCATAGGACTGAGTATTTGTGTAACTGGAAGCTTGGGAAAAGTCAAACATTACAACTGAAATAATTAATTCTATTAAGCTCGAATTTTCCAATGACATAATCCAGGGATGTAACGGATGTTTGATAAAACCCATCTAATCTGGTAACAAAAACTCAATAAACCTTCCTCTTATAATCTAACATTATCGCTGTGGCCAAGTCTTTTTCCTGCCACCATGAAAATTAAAGTGCATTCCCGAAAAAAACCCTGAAAGGATGGTTTGTCAGGGTAGACAAACTGTTGCACAGCAACGATTTCAGTCATTTGAGTTTCCAAACCATTCTGATGTGCCTGTTCTTATTTCATAACAGTTAACAAGTTCAGGACAGCCATTTTGGTCCGGTCCGAAGCGATGTCCTCATCCGCTGGAATTTGATCCGCGTGATGTGAGTTCAGGGAAATTTTTTTTAAAGATATTGTCGTTAAGGGTGTCAATGAGTCAGTAATTTTATAGAGGAAAGGTTTTTTTGGAGTGCGATGGATAAAGATCCAGTAAATTTCGTGAGTAAGGCGATTAAATGATATAAAATACTCGAACAAAAGAAAAAATGAATTATCCCTGCAAGGATAATGGAGAGTAACTAAGAGAGAGAGAGCGAGGAATGAAGAGCAGACTGGTTTCCATATCCGCTTTGTCTCACCACTTCCTTTTCTCTACAGTTAGAGAGCTTCGAAAAGACTTTGAATGAGCTGATTCGTAAGCCGGAAAACTGTGTGCTCTTGATGATTGTTTACACGTACCATTGTTTTTAACGTTTAGAAAACACACATGGACTACGTTGTGGCTGCGGCGAACTTGAGAGCATTCATGTTTGGAATCAAAGGTAAACTCGTTAGTTTACGAAAACCTGTGAAGCTCGCGAAAATTCGTTTCTGGGGGTCGCAATATCGCTGCAAATTGTCACCCTATTGTCTTCTTTCTTTTGTCTTCTGTGTGTGTCTTTTTATTTGTTTCTTTTTAAGTTATAGTTCTTTTGCTTCTTGTTGTTCACATTTGTAATTTTGTTGTCATTGCCGTTGTTTGGCTAGAGGTTAAGTGGCATTTTTTTTTTCTCTTCTCCAAGGTGGTCTAGTTACTGTATGTCAAAACTGTGAATTTATGCGTTTGAAAGTAACACGTTTCGTTTGTTTTTTAAGGTTCACGAGACCAAAAACTCATACTTGATTCTCTTAAGACGGTCAAAGTGCCAACGTTTGAACCGAAATCAGGTTAGTTATCCGGGTGGGTTGGTTGGTTTTAAACTTTTGGGTCAGTTCATTTTTCCTTCCTGATTTGTTGTGATCCTCTCGTATTCTTTCTGAAAGGTGTGAAAATTTCGGTAACTGACGAGGAAGCAGCTCAGGAGAACTCTGGGTCTGTTGGTGAGTTTTTTTTGTTTTATTTTCAAGTTTTGAGTCCCTGCTATTGGGACCATATACTTTCTTTCTGCGAAAACTTTTACTTCAAGTGACGAATTTTCGATATTGGTCGTGATCGGGATGGGGTAACCACGCCTGGTTAGTTCATGTTGTAGAGCGCCGGACTGCTGTGTGGAAAGTTGAGGGTCGAGTTCTCCACTAGATCAACACTCATGGTCTTAAAATAATTGAGGAGAATATTCTGCCTTTGCTATGACGTTCGCAAATGGTTAGATATTCTATTCTTCTCGGATAAGGACGGTAAACTGTAGGCCCCATCTCCAGAATTTTCACCGTTTTGGTTAACAGGGGACGTTAAAGAACCGAAGCGCTTCTCGCAAAGAGTGGGGGGCGTAGCTCTCGGTGTTGTGGTGTAGTCTTGATATTGTTTATTCAGGTCCCCATTTAAACCAGCTTGAAAGCTGAACTGGGCCCAACTATCGCAAATAATTTAATAAGTAAATAGTAGAATTAAAGGAGGCTGAAAGATTCATCCGCTCATATATCACTTCTTCACAGATCAAGACATCCTTGAAACGACAAAAGCTGCAGTTCTTGCCGTTAAGGAGAAGATGCCAAGTTTTAAGATGAATCCTGTTGACTTTGAAAAGGTTTGTTATTTGTTATTGAAATTATTGAAAGCGGCTTTCGTCGACTTGAGATTCAGAACTTGTCAACTCCACGAGTGCCGTTATTCTCCCAAATAAGAGTTGCTGTAAGCTTCTTAGGCTTCTTTCTTCTGCTGTTGACGAGGAAGCTGTTTGAAGCGAATTGGTGTTTGGAATCGTCACCTGATGCAATTTTAAATTGACTTTTGCAGGATGATGACACGAACTTCCATATGGATTTCATTGTGGCAGCCTCCAACTTGAGAGCAGCTAACTACGAAATCCCACCAGCTGACAGACACAAGGTACACACAGACGGTGACGATGATTAAAGGGTGGTGCTAATCATGTTTCACAGAAAGTAACTTTATCACAACAGACTTGTTTGGAGTTAGAAGTTCTTTTCTTTAGCGCTAACCATTTGACACGTGTCCGAGACGTGATACCGCTTGTACAGAACTTTACCTCTTATAATGATATCTTTAGTAAAGATTTCTTCCGCTAATATGTGATTTGATAAACGGAAATTATTGTTCACCGTGATAACAATAAAAAATCGTGGCTCAGGGCGTATCAAAATCTCGTCCCGTCAGAAACTCCATTTCATAGGGAAAGTTCAATTGTCGTACCTTCTGTTCCCTCTTTACAGAGTAAGTTGATTGCCGGTAAGATCATCCCAGCTATTGCTACCACAACTGCCTTGGTCAGCGCTCTGGTCTCACTGGAGCTGTTCAAGGTAAGTAAGAGATCTCGTCTGTCCTGAGCTCTAACCTGGTGCAAGATAAGAATTGAAAGACTTTATTGATTTCTTTTGTTGGAATTTTAGATCGTTCAGGGAAATAAGAAACTGGAGACCTTCAAAAACGGATTCATCAATCTTGCTTTGCCATTCTTTGGCTTTTCGGAACCAATCACTGCACCGAAAAACAAGGTAAGACTTCTATACTTTTTCCGGCCAATGCACGCCAGCATCAAATTGAGCGGGCTCAACGTTAAAAAAAAATTAACCAGGAAAGTTTAACGCAAGACCCTTCTGAAATAACAAACAAACAAACGAGCAAAAACGTAACAGAAAGCAAACCTTACCGCCTGCCAACAGAGGTCAAAGTTCTCAAGTGAACTGATTCATGGAGTTCTTATTTAACTTTCTTGCTATTGGCCGTGGTGATTACTTTGGTACGATGCTTTTTCTAAAAGCGTTCTAAGCCTTGCACTCTATCTTTACAGTATTACGAAAACGAGTTTACACTCTGGGATCGATTTGAGGTTAACGGACGCAAGGAAGACGGAAGTGAGATGACCCTGCAGGAACTTTTTGACCTCTTCCAGGTATATTTTTTTGAAAGACCCATCTGTACAAAAACATCGTTTTGATTGTCTGGTTTTTTTCAGTGGACGATTTTCGACCTTCAAAATTCGCAATGTATTTTGGGTATCAAAGAGCTGTGTATGGCTCATTATGAACTACTGAGCTAAAGTTAAGAGTGAACTTTACTTCCAAGCAAAAACATTTTCCGCGCAGATTCATGTGACCATAAGTGGAAAGTAGTTATGTTAGTTCTACCTTTATATTCCCTCGGCTCTGAAACTCTTACAACGTGCTCTGATCAGTAAGTGTTCCGCGTTTTTATTTACCGATCGGAGACACATTTGTCCTATTGCTTGCGTAGTAGGCGCGCAGATCAGAAAAGTGGGCACTTCTGTTCGAAACGGCGCACGCACAAAAGTAGTCTCCGGTTCTCATCGTTTTATTGGGAAGCGTTATTAAGGAAGTATTACGTGACATGCCATAGAACGGCTGTGAAGGAGAATAGCACTAGTAAAGTGTAATGTACGTTTCATCGCCTTCGTGACTGCCTCTACAATTTGCTAGCTGTCAAATTGCCTTCCCACAGGCTAGTTCTGCCACGCCAAATCAGATACCAGTGGCAACTTAGTCACATGAGTTTACCCTCCCTTGATGTTGATAAAATTGATTTTCTCTCAGTTCATTATGACACAACTAGTACTTTCCTTTGCAATATAACTCTAGTTTTAATTTTAAGACCCTCGAATAAAAAGGGTTCATTCGTGAATAAAGGGGGTAAGTTTCTAAAGAAACTGTGGTGCTGCGCCGGTGGGAGAGTATAACAGGGTAACGTGGTATGATCAACTGAATTGATTACGTGAATTGGTCACCGTAAAGAGTTTAAAGGCTAACATTTCGAGCGTTAACCCATCGCCAGAGCGATTGACGTTATCAACTCATTTGATGACGCTAAATTACCCTGTCATTCTGAAATAGTTTGTCGATGGGGCAGCTTTTATTCATAGGAATACCGACTGTCCACCTAGATGGTCCGTTGATGAGTGTTATCTTTACATTGTTGATCGACGAACAGTTGTTTTTCTACTTTTCACTCTTAACAGAACGAGCATCAACTCGAAGTAACGATGCTTTCACAAGGCGTTTGTATGCTTTACTCGTTCTTCATGCCTCCTGCCAAATTGAAGGAAAGACTACAAACTAAGTATGTCACCTTTGGTTTTCTTTTGTTGTTTTCTAATGTGGAAATAAGTTACAATATCATTTAAGACGTGCGCCAACATTCGGTTCTCACCAGTACGCAGTATTTTTTTCATGTAATCACCTGAGCCTATTTCACGATTCCGTTTTTATTTCCATTTTTTATTAATTCATTTTGAACTGAAAGATTTTTTAATTCAGTTTTGTAAGTATTGAAACAATATAAGTTTAGCTCCTCCATTTTCAAAAGTAAAATGGGCAAACGAACAAAGTTAAACTTTTTTGCAGTGCAGGGAATGGTTTTTCTCGAGTTTTTCCCTCAGTGATTTTAAGAACAGAGTTTCAATGATCCAAGGAGTTCTTCGAACCTTTCGGAGCTTGTTAATTTTGAGTTTGTCACTGGCTTTTACATGCCCAACAATATATGCGCTTTACTGTTTAGTTTGATAAACTTTTTAAATTGAAAAGTTTCTGAAGCGGTTGTTAAGGAATTAAACCCTGGCTCTCGAGCTGTGCTGTAACGATAAAGATGGAGAAGATGTCGAGGTCCCGTATGTGCGCTATCGCTTCCGGTAGACTCACATCTGAACACCTAAATCTAGTTCCCAGTCGCCTACTTAAAAAGAACAGTAGATAATTAGATGAAATGTATCCAAACGAGGCTAGAAGCCCGACGTTAGCAATATTGTACTAGATCTGAAAACTTTTTTCGGTTGAGTTTGTTAGCACCAGATGTGTGAAAGCAGTCTCATTTAATAAAGAAAACGACGTAAATAGTAATGATGGCTGTTTCCTAAGATACCTTCGAAACGGCGAAGTCAGAGCCTACCCTGGAGTGTTTTTGTTCTGTTAATAACAGACAGAAGAGCTGGGATTCGATTTTAATACTACGGTGAAGTGAACTAAAAAAAAAAATGTAAATGCCATGAACGCAAGTAGCCTCCAACCCTGCATCGGAGCATTCCCGCATCTGTCGAAGAAAGGGTTCAATCCATTCAGACTCGACTCGAGCTAGTCCAGTCCAGAGCCAATCCTAAGCTGTATGGATTTATTTTTCAGCCTCCCTCTCTCTCATTCAGACAACCACAGAGAAAAGCTGCGTGAATTTTACTCGAGAAAACTAAGCAATAAAACTGGGAATGTTCGATGAATATGGGAGCAAAATGGGTAAAATTCTACGGTCAGGTTTGAGTGATCGTTGCTAACGGTGTATTAATGAGGAAAATTATTTTCAAGTCGGATGTCCTTTTTTTTTTTTCGTTTCAAGCCTTCCGTGTGCGCAAAACTGACATCAGAACACTAACAACTGCTGCAAAACATTTTTGCGGGCTAACTGCCAACCGCAAATTTAACAACCACTTGGTCGGGTGAATTATCTTTGTTCGCCGTCACCTCTTATAACTTTCTCAGCTGCTCTTTGGAGGGTGTTAAGTTACATTCCGTAGGATGTCGCGCTCCTCAAAGAAATACTACGAAGGAGACTTACTTGTGACAAATACTGCTGAAGCATAGCCTGTGGTAGGCTTCCCCTCAACTTGAGGGAAATTGTAGGGTGGGAATCTTTTTGTTTCGATCTCTTCGAGGTTAATGAGGTCTTGTTCATGGAAGAGGTCTAGAAATACGAGTGCACACAGCAAGTTTTCGAAGGACTGTAAACATAAGTATATATGGGCGAAAATTTGGTTTCGATACTCCCCTTTGGATGTCCCTCTTTGCTCAAAACAAACTTTGATTTCTGAGTTTCACTACGTTGTGTTATCAGTTTATGGTCCGCTTTTACGTTTGTTTGGCACTGATTGTTCATTGACTGAAATTAACTGCGTGTAGAGGAAGATTAAAATTCAATCTAAAAAGAGAATGATAATAATAAAAACAAGTGCTTTGATCAGAGGAATTTCATGCTAAAGCTTCAAAGACGCGATCGGATTTATTTTTATATCCAGCCAACTTTAATTATTGAAATCTGGTATTTACATTGTAACAAAGCGTGAGGCCTTATGAATAAAATATAGACGGCTTTATTTGTAAGTGTAAACTTGAGAACACGAAAAATTTGCAAATGAATATTAATCACCTTGACTCTGTCAAACTCGACGTAGGAACTAATGCAAATTTGGCTGAAATAAAGTCCAAGTCAAAGATGGTTTGAATTAATCCTTATAGCTACTTTGTGGCAATCTTCTCCGTTTCTGCCATCCAAATCTCAACAAAACTTGCAACGTTATGTGTGTCCCGAGTCTCCGATATGCATCCATTTTCTAAACTGCAAACTCGGTTTCAACGAAACAGAGTTGAGAGCGTAAACCCTCTCTTTGCCTCATTTATCAATCACACTCAAAGTATTACGGAGACTTGCCAAGTTTGACCCGATCGTTCGTTTGTGCTTGCTTGGCACTCTTTCCTAGTTTGGTGAGATTTTGGATGAGTCACAATAGAATTTCTATCATCCAACAAAACGCCCTATCGTCTTTCCTAGTTGGTCTTTCAGTCTCACAATTCTCAGGCAAAGCCTGCAGCCAACTGAAACTGACTTAGCGTTGTATCATTCTCTCCTGTCTCTATTGATCATCAGTGAAATTCTCCCAAGTGTCTGACACGAAAAGTCTCGCAAAGCGAAGAAAGTAAACAAATCAGGTTGTCTTAGAAAGGCTGTCATCGTAATGTGAAAGCCAATGTGTTAAAACCAAGCTGGTGAACAAGACACTTCAATACATTCTGTCACGGTATGCTTCCTCTTACCTCGCGCTGTCTTTCCACACTTTTGGCTTTATATGCCTTAACCCCAGCTGCACTCAGTAATAAACCTACCTCGCCGACGTCGTGCCACAATGTGTACAATTACAACACGTTTAACGCGGGACCCAACAAGGAGATGAAGAAACTACTGCTGGAGATAAAAACACAACTGACTGACCTTCAGAAGACAGTGAAAGGTATACAAGGAACGAAACCTATTGGAAAAGGTGAGTATTTGAATTTTTTTTTTCTACTGACTGTTAAGGATCGGTAATTATCTATTGCAGGGGGTGGGTTGGTGAGATTTTGGTTGAGTCACAATAGAATTTCTATTATCCAACAAAACGCCCTGTAGTTTTTTTATAATCCTCCTCTCATGAGAACATAATTTTCATGATCTCCCTCCCATATAGTGGTTATGCGCAAATACCAATATCAAAAATCTTTGCTGGTAAATGCTCTTAATATATACAACAGAATTTGATCAAAGTTTGACCTTTACAGAAACAGCAAGTTCCTTTTTTTTAACGAGGAGGTGAATGGGCTGAAAGAAACGCGAAATGATCTTAGGTCACCCCCCCCCCTCCCTCATTATACTCTATTAGCAACCACTGAGCCCTCCTCCCTTCCCTCTAAGTGATTCCAATTCCCCTCTTCACCGTCCCACCCAGACGATAAACAATGACTGGTTGGCTTGTACGATTTTTGATTGCTTGATTATTTGCACAATGTGTTTGCATACAATTCATATTTTGACAATTGGCTTACTTTTTCATTATTTTATTTTCAAGATCTGCAAACAAGCCTGAAAAAATCTGTAAATCTTTAATTATCCTTCTTTAATTTTTTTCGCAGTTTACAAGAACTGTGCTGAGCTGTACAAATCCGGTCAAAGAATCAGTGGTGTTTATACAATCGATCCTGATGGCTCAGGTGCCTTTGATGTGTTCTGTGACCAAAAGACAGCCGGTGGGGGGTGGACAGTGTTCCAGAAGAGACAAGACGGTTCTGTTGATTTCTTCCTTGGCTGGACCGACTACAAGATAGGGTTTGGTAATCTGAATGGAGAATTTTGGCTGGGACTGGACAAGATAAACCGCTTGACTAACAGTGCGAAGTTTAGGCTTCGTGTCGATTTGGAAGACACTAAAGGAAAGACAGCGTATGCCTCGTACGATTACTTTGCCGTCACCAGTGAGAAAACAAAGTACCAGCTCAGTCTTGGAATTTACTTATCTATTGAACTTATGAATCTACGCGATTACAGTAGTTTGACTGAATGGATGAATTCTTTAAGGATATTCATCGTTTGTCAAATTTACCTCAGGAATTGCTGGCGATTCTTTAAATCGGAGTCGTGGATACCCCTTTTCAACCAAAGATCAGGACAATGACAACTGGAGCAAAAACTGCGCAGATCATTTCAAAGGAGCCTGGTGGTATAACGACTGTAGTTATTCGAACCTGAATGGTGTCTATCATCATGGATCAAGCTCACTTGCTTCAGCTCTGAAGTGGTATCACTGGAGGGGTCATCACTACTCCGTCAAGAGAGCTGAAATGAAGATTAGACCTGTAACTTTTTAACATTTGAGGATACTGAGCACATTGTCAAAAGATTGAAAGAATTGTAAACTCTGACGATGCAAATAAAATGCAATGGTATTAAAACTGCTCTGCCTTGCAGTTTTTGTACCCTCCTCCTCTTTATTTCATCTAAACTCTCTTTCCTTTATTTCTATCTCTGCCACCTTCAGCTAAGCTTATTTCCTTCTACCTTTCCCTCCATTTTTGAACTTTCTCTCCTTCTTTCCCTGATTTTCGTTATCCTCTCACCTGCTTTTTTTTTTTTTTTTTTTTTTTTTTTTCTCTTAGTTCCCTTCTTCTCTTCTCGTTTTTCTTGCTTTTTTTCCTCTCGCTTTTCTCAGGTCTCATTCGCGTATTTCCTCGTTCCTTTCTTTTTCTCCCTGCCGCCTTCAAATAAGTTTATTACCTTCTGACCTTTCCTACTCTCTTTGAACTTTGTTCTTTTAAGTTTATCTGTCTCTCTTTCTCTCTAGTTTTTCACGTCCTTTCATTTCCCTTCAAAGTCTTTGTCAGTTCCCTTCCTCCCTTCCCGTTTTCCTTGCATTTTTTTCTCGCTTTCATCGGGTCTTATTCGCCCCTCACCTTTAAAGGGAGACTTGAGCTGCAGCCAACATCCCAAATCCTCTGCTCACCTAACCTTATCAAGCCCAAACCCCACCAGGCTCTCCTAACAAGTAGAGGCCTTTCCACACTAGCGAAAAAGTTGTTATTTAGACAAATTTCCTATCATCATCAAATTTTACAAGCGCGAATGGTTTGTCGCGACTAGACAAATTTTGACCGAAGCGGTCAAATCTTCAAACAAACCGCCGACACTGGGTGAAAACTGGACAAAATCGATTAAATGAACAAAACCGCGATAACCTTGTCGATCATTTGTCGTAAAAGCTACGAAAAGCGTGCAGTTTAACTCAAATCAGTTTACTAGAGGCACAAATTGTCTCTTGCTGCAAAACTCGGGCATCCTAAAATTTTAAAGCGACTTAGGATAAATCTTGTAAATTGGAAGTGGAATCCTTTGGCAACTATGCTGGCCGGTCATGAACAGATCAAGCGAATTTTTAATGCCGATGCAGCAGACGAAACATAAATTTGTCATGATAAAATTTGTCCTTTGATTTTGTCGCAAAATTCTACTTTCGTCCGCTAGTGCGGAAAGGCCCTGACTTGCACCATTTGAATCAACACTCGGAATTGTACGTCGCGCGGTCCTGGATACATGGAAAACCAAAATGGCGGGCCAAGTCATATGAATGTTTCGCTTTGAGATAGTTCCTCGACATGGAGTTTTTACTTACATAATGCTCTAGTCTTAACTTCTACCGGTAAGTAAGAAGTAACATGTCAGTTCTGAAGAAATTCACCAAAGAGGAACATGAGAGCTCGAGGTAAGCATGATACAGAACATTTTCGGTAGCTTTGATCGAGTTAGTTTCTGAATCCAATGAATGAGTTTTTAAATTGAAAGCATTTTGTAATATACGGGGAGGGTGTTGAAGCGACTTCTCGCTGTGAAGCTGACTTGAAAGTCAAATCGTACTCTGAAGTTAGATTTTTTCCGAAAAAGTCCTCCTACCGAGCGCTATTATCACATGATGGGTGGAGACAAGTTCCTTCTCTTAAATGAAACTCTCTAAGAACTGACAGCTGTTTTCAGGTTCACAATGTAAGATGATCAATCAAAAAGATCACTCGTTTTCTAAGGTATCAGCTCATAACTTTCTTTGCTGTTGAAACCAAACGCTCTATATATGTTTGATTAAACGAAGACTTTGATGTAAGCTAACTACATATTTCAGAGAAGCCTACTTTCATGTCGTTTCGTCTGTTATACATTACTTAGACTTCTAAGACTTCTTCCTGAATGTAGTTGAATCTTTCATGTAGGCCAACTTGAGTGGAGTTGTATTCTTCCCCTGACTCAATTTAAATGGAGCCATTTTAAGAAACACCAGGGAGCTCTTTTCTACAAGGATCTTTGGCTCTGTTTGATACTGTTTCTAAACATCTTATTTACAAGGGGGTAGGGGTCCTTGTTTATTAGTAAAGTTCAGGGCTTTATAAGAAAAATACCATGTCCCATAAAATGTGTTAAATTTATTGTGGTAGACAATCAAAACTTTGGTGTGGGGACACCATGGCCAAAGGAAAAGGATTTGACCTGGCAATAGGGTATCTACTTGGATAGAATGGACAATCATGTGCTCTGAGGAAAAAATGATACATGTCTGAGTGACCTCAAGTTACTGAAATTTTTAAGGATTTATTTTAGGGAAACCCATTGCATCATGATTTAGTTAGAAATAGTTTTACTACATGTACAGGGAAACAGGATTTTGTATACATCATAATTGTCAATTAGGTGATATTAAACACACCAAATGAAAACTGAAAAAAAGGTGATAAGAACGTTGAAAGGCAAGAAAATAAATAATAACATGGATAACAAAACTTTTAGGGATACAAAGAAGGGACTGATAAGATTTTAAAGAGGCAAAGTTGGAATTTCCCATTTTAGAAACTGGATTCAGCTGTGGATTATGTCATTGCCCACTGAGCTGTATCAACCGTCAACTCTCTTTTTTCGTCTTCTGTTTTGTTGTCATAGTGATCAGGAATGTCATTTGTATGTAGAAGCAAAAACCAATCAATGGCCCATAGTGTACTCTGATGATTATAATATTGGTTTTATGGGCCTGGAAAGGCTTCATCCATTTGATTCAGGAAAATGGGGGAAAGTTTTTCAATATCTTAAAGGTAGGAAGAGGAATCCTGTACTTTTTATTTGTACAGACGTCCATGATTTGAATTAAACTGCTTCTAACAAGTTTTACTGTATGCAAGGCTGCAAAATTCCTCAAATAATATACATTCAACTATTAGTAGATCCATTTTGATTTGGCAAAACAGAAATGCAGGTTGGACATTTTAAATTTACCATTATTATTTTTATTACTGCTGTAGATTTTGAAATACTAGTATAATCTTGTTGCTAAAAAGAAGCTGTTTTTTTCTCTCTCCTTCACTTAATTTCTTTACTTATTGAAGAAATGTTGACCAAAGGGTGGTGAAAAATTAAGATTTTGTCAGCCATTTGTTAGCAAATGTCTTTTTTTTGTGACTGTGCTATGATTTATCGAAAAGTTTTTGAAATTGTTGTGGTTGTGGGTAAATTTAAACTCAGGCTCCTTATTTCAAGTTGGTAAATTTTGTGTTTCAGATGGAAAGATGGTTGATGAAAGCACAGTTGTGACACCTAGGGAAGTTACCAGTGATGATCTATTGGTTGTACATACAGAGAGCTATTTAGATAGCCTGAGGGTAAGAATGAATATCTAAACATAGAGCTTGCAATGAATGATATGTACCCATTTATAGATAAGTTCACAAGGACATCTGTGCAACACTTGTGGCCTGGAAGCATTCACTTGATAAACATTTTATGTAACTTGTATGAGTTGATTTATTTTTCAACTACTGGCTTAGATTTTTGCTAAATAAGTGTTTTAATTTCTGTGTGTGGCTAAGGAATATTAAGCTGTAGCACATTGCTAGTGCTGTTAACTTTTGATAAAAAAAAAAATTGTCAGTACATCTCTTACAGTGGAGTGCCCGTGTTGCTATGATATGTGAAGTGCCTCCCCTTGCTCTTCTGCCAAACTTTATTGTGCAACGTAAAGTCCTCAGGCCAATGAGGATTCAGACTGGAGGATCAATACTGGTAAATTTGGTTGATAAATAAACAATAGCCCCCATTTGGTGCAAAAATACACACGGACATTTGCCCTCAGACAATGTCTGTTCCAAATCTGATGCAAACGGTTTTTATGAGCAAAGCTCGAGGAAAACTGTGAGCTTTGAGGAACATGTTATGTCTAACGACAAATGTAAAAGCATATTATCGTATCAAATTCAAGTATTTTTGTGATGCATGTGATCACATACCATTTGCTGTGTTGGATGTTTGCTTTACTGTACTCTCTAGTTTGACTTAGCTAAATGCCCCCCTCATCTTATTAATTTTTAAACAAACCCTTTTATTGATTAGAGGTTTGAAAATAGGGGAATATCACTGGGAATGTATCCTAGACAGCAGTACTTGCAGGATATTCCTTAGTTTTAGCTGGGGCATATTGGATCTCATGATGCTTTTAAGCTCATCGCATGTGAACGAAAATAAATGATGGACTATAACTACCAGTATTTACTGTCACTTTAAATTGTTTGCATAGCTGCTAAAACATATTTAATTAATATTATTTTAACATTTAAATTCTCTCAAGGTCTATTATTTCACAACATTTCAAAGTATTGAATTCTTTTTATTTTCATTTAGTGTCATTCAAATTGATTAGACACATGTATATCTCAGTCTATTTTTATTCCACCAGGCAGCCAAACTTGCTGTTGAAAGAGGCTGGGCAATAAATATTGGTATGATCCTTTTTTATCTGTGTTTGTCATCAATCCCAAATAACATGCAGTGACTGTAACATTTTATTTTTGAATAGTTAACAACATGATTTCAAGTGTTAAGACTACTTGTTAATAATTTACCTGAAAAACGCATCACAGAAAGGCAAGATGGACACAATTTTGGCACCGAGTGCTCTTTGTAATTTTTACACATGTTACATGAAAAATGTACTTGTTTTCAGCCGATCAGATGCACATGATTTTTTAATGTATATTATTAGATCTGTTATGAGGATGTTTGTGTTAAAATGTATGTTTGATTTTTTTTTTTCTATTTATCATATATTCAGGGGGTGGATTCCATCACTGCTCTGGGTCCAGTGGAGGAGGCTTTTGTGCTTATGCAGATATAACATTGGCCATCAAGGTAATCCAACTGGCTCACAAATTATTTAATTTATGATTTAATATCTTGTATAGGAGCTCCATTATGATATGCCATTATTTAAAACTAAGTAATTGTCTTTTTCTCGATATATATGCAAATTTAATGTTGACATGATGTATCTGAAACTTGATTGAGTATAACATGCAAGTGTGAATTGTGTAGGATCATTAAGAACGTTTAAGGTCACTAATCTCAAGATCTAATTGTTAATTCTCCCTCCTCACTTCTACACATTTCCTTGAAAATAATTTGTGAGAATTTGGTGTTAGATCAAGATACCATTTTCTATCTGGTACATTTGAGTATTCTCGTAACCTGTTTGCTGGGGATAGGGCATGGGTGCTCTAGGGAGAAGTTATTTGTTAATTACTTCTGGGAGTGAAAGGGTTATAAATGTGTATGGTTGATATTTATGTAGATTTAATTGTCAGTGGTTGTTTTTCTGTTTGTTTTAGTTTCTTTTCAAGCATGTGGACAGCATAAATAAAGCCATGATCATTGATCTTGATGCCCATCAGGTATTTTTTTATCTTATGGAGAAAAACAGTTCTTAGTTTATGGAATTCCTCTAAGTCCATCAATTTAAGTAAGAAGTTTGATATGTTATGATGGTGACGCCTGAGAAAACAGAGGTAAGAAGTGAACTTGTATTTACTTCCTCAAAGAATTTGGCAAGGGAGGTCAAGAAGGCTAACTTGCATGCATAGAAAAGAATAATAATCGTGCTGCCAATCATGGAAGAGTTACAGGGTATTATGTTTATTATAATTAGAGGTATGTTATATGCTTCTGGCAATACCCATGACCAGTTGTTGAATTGTTTATATCATTGTTTGTGTCAGGGTAATGGTCATGAAGCTGATTTTGATGGAGATGAACAGGTGTATATCATAGATGTCTATAATGCTTACATTTACCCTGGGGATACCAAAGTCAAAGGTAAGACACCGTCTAGTTATTGTACTGATGATGTCTGAAATAATAAAGGAATTACTCTGGGTCTACAACCACAATTATTCCAAAACAGGATATTCCTTTAGATGTTTAAGTATCTGAAAAAAAAGATTCCTTGGGGTTTACTAGTATCCCATTCAGGTGGGTGGGGTAGGGATGTAGGAGTCCTGTTCTCATAGAAAATTCAGGTGAAGATGGGGATAGAGAGTTTGGTTAAAGAGAAAGCTACTACTGGTATATTTTTCATTACAACATTGCTAATAAACTAGCATACATTGTAATCAAATTCAATGATGTTTCTGAGAATCCAATTAATTAAATAGTGTCTCTGTCTAATGATAATGTGTGCCTGTTAAGGTGCAGCAGAGGGTATTTTGCTAAGGGCTTAAGCAACTTCTGATGACCCTATGCAGAAGCATGTATTAATTGTTGATTTCAAATCATTTTTCCACAGGAGCAATAAAGAAAAATTTGGAGCTAAGACATCACACAGATGATGAAACATACATTCCATTATTAAAGAAGTAAGGGAACCATTCTTAATTTATTCAACTTATTGGAAAGTATTTTAGGTCCACTTAAGGTTCCAATATGAACATTTTAATCTTACAACTTGGGACTGTACTTACAAAACACAACACAAGCAAGGATTTCTTTCAAAGAAAAAACAGAACCACAAGGTTGCACAGCCCATAAGGCTATGCGTGCGTACATCAGTGCATCGTGCCTAGTCACACCTAGTCATGCTTACAGGTTCCAACACTACTTGACTGTACCTCTGCTTCTTAATTTTTGGCTCATTTGCCTCCTTGTGATCAAACAGATTTATTTCCTTTTTTCAAGTACATGTAATAGTGGAAGTTGTAGAGGTATGAAAGTCTGGCTTAATATGTCTGGAAGTGCACTCTTGTAACATATAGATGAGTTCATAAACAATCACACACCTTTAATCCTTTGTTCAAGGCACATACCAGAAGCTTTAAATGAATTTAATCCTGATGTCATAGCATATAATGCAGGTGAGCTTAAGGCAGCAATACCTGACCAGGTACTGTTTAATGTCAACTTGAATAGACAGGCAAATATATAAAAATATATGTTAAATCATGTTAATTCAGTTTTTGAACAATCCAATTTTAACAAGAAAAAAAGTGAAGGGTTGGTTTTTAATGTTATCAGTAAGAATTAGATTGAGGCTAAGCTATGCAAAAATTATTCTGGGCTCATTTGGAGTTTAATTTTCTTCTGAATTTTGTGTGGGACCAACTTAACTTTATTGTTGATTTCTTTTTACCTTTGGACTGGACCATGCTGGGAAATGGGGTGGGGTGAGGGAATCGGGGGGTGCTGGTGGCCTTTTAGGAACACAAAAGAAAAACCAATGGTTAAAAAAAGTATATTTCATTTTTAAACTTTTTTTGAAATTCTTTAAAAACATGTTAATGTACATTCTATCTTCTGCAGGGACAGATATTCTTATTGGGGACCCTCTTGGTAACTTGGCAATAACACCTCAGGTATGTGAAAGTTGAATTTGAAGATGTTCTGTTGAATGGAACAGTCAGAATTAATGGTAACAATGGATCAATATATACATGTTGTGCGTTGTTACATGTATCAGAGTGGGAACAAATATCTCTTGGTGTATTTTTCTTATTAGAAATTTTGGTAAGCATTTTCTAATTTTTAAAATTTGTATGATTAATCAACTCTTAAAAATTTTCAGTGTTACTGCACACCAAAATGTCTAATGAGTTATTTAATATCCAACTTCTTCATTCTTTGCACATTTCTTTTAAGTTGGGATTAGCAAGGCAGAGAGAAAGCTAGCACTTTGAGCCAACCTATTGTACAGGTTTTTTTTACAGTTAAAAAATAACCATTTTATTATAATCCAACTTTGTGCAGTTGCATGGACAATAAAACGTTTTCTCAATATGATGATCCAAAACAGTTCTTATATTGTTCTTTATTAGTGGGTGAAGTAGGAAGCAAAACCCTTGCTGTTAGCTCCTGAGTTATACAAAGCTGATACAATGTAAGTGATAAACATTTCATGTAGAAAATTTAGAAAACAACTATTTTCACCTTGTAGGGAATCATTGAGAGAGATCAAATTGTTTTTCAAGAAGCGCGGAAGAGAGACATTCCAATCTTTATGTTGACCTCTGGAGGATATCAGGCAAGTCATGAAATAAATAACTACTTGAAATTGAAAATATTAGGGTTAAAGTAGCTTTTTAACTAAGACTCTGCTTTCTCAGTAATTAATTGTGTTTTGTTAGTCAAGGAAATTTGAAGAATTTAAATTGAAGCTAGCATTTTGAAAGAGGGCAGCAAAAACTATTCGAAACCTTAACAGTTGAACTTAAAAAAAATTTGCTCTTGTATAGAATTTAAAAGTAATTATTTTTGTCCTCAATTTTGTTGTTTGATTAAGGTTGGTCAAAAGAAAAGTACTGCAAAATGACTAATAACAATGATCATGTGGTCTTTTTGTTGCAGAGGAGAACTGCAAGAATTATTGCAGACTCTATCCTAAACCTAAAGGAACAGGGCCTTATAAGCTGCAATTATTCTGAGTCGGGTATGTTTCTCACAGTAAAATGCAAGTTATGAATTTGTCATCTCTTTCACTCCCAAGATTTAAATATTAATTTTCTATACAGTGTAATGTGCTTCTTACAATTATAGCTTCCATAAATTGTTATTAAATAAAGCAATTGACCCCAGTCGATATAACCCTTACTGGTATTTGTGACCACTTTTCTGTATGAAAATGTATTAATATTGTAAAGGGAAATTCATTAAAATGTTATTGACCCAAAAATGGCACTTGCAGGATCACAGATCACAGTTAGCTCAGCCTCTAAGTTGGACTTATTAAATAGATTTTGAACAGTAACTCTGATATTCATTCAAAAATTTAATTGTTACCTTTAGTTAGTGTAAAAGGCAGACTTGATTCTCAGTTGAGAGTATTGATATAAGATCACCAAAGTACAGTGTATTACCTTAAGGGTTCTATTTTTGTTGTATGCTCAGGCAAGCATCTGAAATTTCAACCTTTAACCCTTTACACCATAAGGTCAGGATGCATATTCTCCATACTGTTCTCAGTAAATTTTTTAAGGCATTGACCAGGAGAATTTGGCGAACAATCAAGAGTTTCCCTAGTTGGTGATCATATCTTTTATTCTCACAACCTTTATGTGTGATTCAAGGGTGATATTGTAAGGAGAAATAAGATGCTGGTCACTCTTAGGGGTTAAAGGTTAACAGCTATTTCCAGTTTGGGCTCTTACAATCTCATGGGCAAAGAGGCACTTGATATAAACTTAAAATAAAATAGTTTTGATACCAAAGATCTTATTTTATTTCTCCTAAGGGCCAAGGGTCAACAAAAACAAGAGTGACAGTCGAACAACCTACAATACTTTCCAGAATGATCTGTAATTGGGAATTACAAGTTCACGTTCCACAAATTATTAAGTGAACATATAGTGAAGTGTTACTTCTGCTGAAGTATTAGCTTGTAAAATTGAACATGATGGAACTTCAACATTAACCTACATTTTAAGTTAACAACTGAAGTTTTGGTGGATATTAACGATGAAACAATCAACTTGAGAAACCTGAGAAATTTTGGCAGACCTTAGACTTGATATTGAAATTTATTAAATTTATTATTGTATCATGATCTCAGTTAGTGTTTGCACTATGATTAGTCAATTTAGTAGGCCATATTGTATTGTATGGCCTCAATGCTAAATTCAAAAGGTTGTTTGAAATGAAATATTTCCCCTCCATTTGAATCCAGAGAAATGAATGATAAATATCTTGCTATTAACTAACTCATTTTCTCTATCTCTTCTGTAAATAATAGACCCTTTTTTTTTTTTTTTCATTCCCATTTTTGAGGTCCTTGTTCTGGGTTCATAAATCTTAGCAGAGATTTGTTACTGTACAGTTTGGTCAGTAGCAAGCTCTTCGATGTAAACAGGATATTTTCATGGCAGCACTGAGCTGGGCTTTTTGTGTTAAGACTAAATAATAAGTTTGATGTAAATATGAATACGAATTATATTGTATTACAGGTATATTTCAAAGTCTCATTCTAGTCAAATCAACAGTGTTGATTTAACCTCTGGTCATTTCTAGGAACTATTCAGGTGTCAAAAATTTTTAACTTCATGTAATCTATTAAATTATTTTTGTTGAATTATTACCAATTATTGTTCACTTTGTGAATATGTTAAAGGAAATGGTGTACATAAATAGTTTAGTGGAGATATTGTGGTTAGAGGAAGTTTCATGATTGAATGTTTCCAAAGTAGCTTCAGTTGTGGGTTTGAGGTATTTGTTTCAAGATTATGAAACTCAAATTTCAGACATCCAAATTGAGTTTAAAATAAAGTTGACCTGAAGTTCATTTAAATTGTTGTTAATGGTAAGACATTAATACTCTCAGAGCTTCTTTGGTTTGTGATCATGACCTTAATGTTTGATTTAGGGGTGATATTGTAAGGAGAAATAATATGTGTTTCGTAGGACTCAAGGGGGTAAAAGAATGTGCAGAGTAATGCTCCTGCTGGCTTCTGATACACTATCTGCTTCTCCCTCTGTTTCACACAAGATTACCAGATGATATGCAAGGAGAATCTATACATCATTTGTTACTCAAGAATTTTTTTGTACACCCTTTAAATAAGTGGTGGACAAATCACATTTCTATTAGTGTCATACATCACAACAGACTCTCTTTATTTAATGAATTTAACATACTAGAAACTAAATGTACAGTACAACCAAGACAGGTTAGAAGGAAATGTAGTACATTTGAAATGTCAATAAAATTTTGACAACTGCATAAAACTCCTTAACATTTCCATTTTGTGGAGCTGGAAAAGTTGTTTACAAATAAGTGCATGTTTCCCTAATAATTTTATGCATTATCATTACAGCTTTTCATAAAGTATTGAGAGGTCCTCATCTACTTGTTGTGTTATACTGCATAAAGTAAGCTGCTGTAGGGGGATTGGTGTAAACTTCTTTGTCAAGATAATCCATTCTGTAAGGAAAAGCAAAGGACATAAGTCTCAGTTTTCAGGCAACTTTGTTGAGAACTGTTATCCAACATCTGTTGCCTTTATCTTTTTTTTTTGGTACTTGTAAACTTAAGATGAAAACTAAATGCAGCAAGCTAGTCTTTTCAAAGACCTTTATTTCTCCAAGATGGTCCTCCAAAACACATGCAATTAGAGCTGTAAGCTCTGCACATATCAGTTCCCACACTTCTTGCCAAAACAGGCAACTGTTCTTGCCAAACAGGTAAAAACAAAAATAGCTGTGGCCTGCCTTTGGAAAGTGGACAAAGGCATCATGTGCACGCAGCCATTCCCACCAAATCCACACACATAAGAACCACCTCTGTTTTAAAGAATAAGGACCTGTTACCAAAGTTTAATCATAGCAAGATCAACCTCCAAGTGGAAAAACTTCAGTCTTGCCAACAACTAGTAAATGTCTCAGTTAAGGTACAAGTGGGGTACCATGGCTGCCTTTGTATTATAGCTTTGAACTTTTGAATTACTGGAAAACTTACTTGGCTCTTTGTTCAGCTGCCAGTCTTCTGTTCTCATCTGCCTGGTCCTTTTCAATCTCCTTTTTCTTTCTTTCAATTCCACGTTCTGCTATTATTCCTGCCTTAGCTTGCGTCAACCTCAATCTATTGTATTCTTTTTCCTGCTCTTCCTCCTCCTGTTTCAGTCTCTATAGACAACATCAATAATAAACACATTAAGCTGATGATAGCATAAGTCATGAACAAACATGTCTAAAAAAGTTCCCTTGTAAGTCTGAAATTTACTTTAATTATCTTTAGACTTTGAGAGCCCATAATTACACCATACCATGCTTGTAACTACTGCTCAAAAGAATACCTACTGTAAATTGACAATCTCAGCTCAAAACTTGAATTTGCTATTGTCAACAATCAAAGTGAGTTTAGAAGTTCAAGTTTTGAGTATTGATGTTTGACAATCAAATTTTAAGATTTTCCAAGAACTTATCAAGGATGTTGATCAAAAGTTTCCTGTACACTAAATCACACTAACCTCCTTCTCCTCCACCTGTGCTTGTTGAATACGTCTTATCTCTGCCAGTTGAGCTGGGTTCATACCCTTCCAGCGATCAGTGATCACCCTGTGAGGTCCAAAGGCACTCTGGGCCACATCAGGATTTTCTGTCAACATGTCACCAAACACAGAGTTTGATATTTCAGTAAAGTTGTCATCTTGTTCCTGTTGTTTATCTGAATCTTCTTGAGCCTTCCTTTCTCTTGCCAAAGCTTGATTCATATCTTTAGTTGCCATATTTATTGCACGCCTGCAATCTGCTTCAGCACTGGCAAGTTCACAAGCTCTTTGGTCCATTTCTCTTGCCTTTAAATCATAAAGATGGTCTGCATACTTCTGATTTGCCAAAGCTTGATCTTTCTCATTTGTTTGTTGCTTGATCCATTCACTATAAATTCAGAAAGGGATATTAAAATTTTAACTATCAAAGAGTCACAAACACAGGATTCATGACAACTATTGGATCAAATTTCTGAACAACCCTACATAATTGTTCTGTAACATTGAGCAACGTGCCTTACTGTTATGAAATTTGCTGGTCTGTTTTGATCTTTTAATGTACATCAGTCTTGATATAACGTAAATAAAAGTCACTAACCCTCTCTACTTAAATATTATCCCTTACCGTGCTTGTTCTTGCTGTAACTTTCCACGTGCCTTGCCATTCAAATCTTCCCCAACAAACTTCTGAAGTGATGCCACCCCACAACGAGGGTCATCATCAGATACCCTGGCAGGTTTGTCTTTCTTCAAACTATCCGGATCATTCAAGTCAAATTCACGTCTATCATATGGCTGCTGGTAAGATTGACGGAATTCATTCACAGCCTTATTCAACTCACGCATGTCATGTTCCTGACGCTTCTGAAGCAAGACAGTGATTTTATCATTTCTTGTCATGTCAGCAGCTGTAATCATCACAAAGAAGAATATTTCAGTCAAGGTAGAGCATCCATCATGTGCACTATTAGTAGCCTTGGTCAGTATATTAATTAGCAGTCGACTAACAATCACCCAGAAGTTATCCCATGTCTCAATGACCTGATAGTAGGTTGACACCTTAACCCTTAACTCCCAAGATCTGACTATTAACTCTCCCTTCTAGCTGCTACATATTTCCTTGTAAATAAGTTATGGGAACTTGGTGCTAGATCAAGATAGCCGTTTCTAATTGATAAGCTTGAATATTCTCATTACCTGTTTACTGAATAAAGTATGGATATTATTGGGAGAAGTTTCATGTTAATCACTATTGTGAGTTAAAGGTAAAGACATTTCAACACACATCTTGACTAGTGGCTGTCACTGTCCTTGAGCTCCCACCCCACTTAATCTTCTGTCATCTTGTTAAAAGATTTTGGATAGAAATGCTTATCAACCCAGGCTACCTGATGGCACATTACTACAAGTTGATATTTCTATCAAATTAGCCTGCCTATCTGCACTGCACACATGATCTAAAATAACTACAGAAACACAGGTACTATTTCGTATGTTCATCTGTCGCTAATTTACTGATAGCCACATTAACGTCCGAAAAAAGTTATCAACTCTGATTAAAAGTTTGATTGGCTGAGAAGCACCAATATAGTTTTTGCTATTTAACGGGCCAATCTACTTGCCGCGCTTACTGGCGAATTCGTAATCGGCCATCCGAGTTACCTGAGCCAGAAACCTTGATGTTATAATGACAACCTAATAGTTGATATTGTTACCTCTAACAGTAAAAAAAGGAAAGATCGTGGCCATGTGTAGGGAATGTTTTTCGTTTGCAACTGTCTGACATTTCAGGAAATTGAGACTTACCGAACGCATTATGTCGCCTCTCCTCTTCAACTTCGCGTCGTGTACGATCTTGCACTTGCTCGTTGAGTGCATTCAAGTCAATCTTAAGGTAATAAAAACACGTAAAATTCTTGAGAATGTTTCAACGGTATAAAAACGCCCACAAGCAATCATACGTGTGTAGTCTAGCTGATGTGGTTCTACAGGTGGTTCAGATCAGACCAATTTCAATAGGTATTCATTTCCAAACCCAGTTTCGCGTTCTCCGTCAGAAAAACTAGAGAATTTAGACAAATACGAAAACAAAGTCATAGGAAACACTACTCTTGCTTGACTAAAATCAAAACAACGTTTTTACTTGTCTCTTTCGCTCACTTTCCTATTATCAGCATTGTTACCATCCACATCTACAAGAAATAAACACTTACCCCAATGGTTCGAACACGAGCGTTGAAAATCCTACTTTGGCGCTGCAATTCTCGATTCCGTCGCCTCTCTATGGCAGCGCTCTCCTTCATATCTACGGGAAGGTCGAGTTTATACATTTCTCTTCCTTCTTAAGATCTTTAAAAAACTGCAATCCTGCTAAAACGTCGATTCTCGTAATGTTTTCTCCCTGTATTGGTACTGAGTTCCTTGTTGCTTGCCTTTTGTAACCATCTCCTTTGCTTTGCACGGTTGCTAGGAAACATTTGCATACCATGATGCATTGTAAACTGTATACTCGCCCCAATCTCCCGTAACTTACATAAAATTTTAAGTAGGTCCGCAACACGTAGGAAACATATTCGACAAATTTTGAAAATGTAGAAATTAACAAGTCAGAAAGCACCTACTTTGAAATTTAGAGAATTAAAGTATAAAAAAAACACGAATAAATTTAGGAAGTAACGCTTGAAAAAAGATGCACGCTTGATCGGGGCTCAAAACTGTCTCTTTCATATGCCGTTTCAGCGCTTGAACGTACCAACTGGGGAAGGAGGACAAATGTGACAGAGACGGGACGAATTGTAAAATGTTTCTCGAAGTATTTTGCCATTACCGCGATCTCAAGATAAACAACTTGTGACGGTCATTCCTTAGCTGAAAACTGCTCTAAAAGATTACCACCCGCAGTATTTCTTATTGATTGCCGAATCTCGCTAAACAAGCTGCAAAACTATCTCCTCACATTTTCCAGATAAGCGAGATTTTGCTGTTTTGAAAGTCTGTGTTGGTATGTCTATTCGAAATACTTGGAAGCTGGTTTTTTGAGACCTAGTCAACTCATGAAAAGCAATAATTGTAAGACGTTACGTCGTCGAATTTTCAAGCTTTTTATTTTTTGTTCCAGATGTCAACAAGGCCGCAAAGTAAACCATTTTCGAGCTAAATCATCTGTGTTCACCAGCTGTTTATGAACAAGATGCCGAGGAGATTCGAGTTCGGTAAGTTTGTCACATTCCCTGTTTCATCTACATGATAACTCTCGTGGTGTTTTGAAACAAAATTAATGTCCGAGTACGGGAATGCTCTCAAATAGGGAAGGGTTGGGGGGAGGGGCTGTGGGGGCTATCAACATTTCGCGGACTTTCGAAGGGAGAATCTGGGGGATAGGGTTTCATTTAAATCTTAAGGAGAAAAGAAGTTTACGAGTTATCATTTTTTCCTTGAAACGTTTCCCAGTTTTCTTTGGTTAAAAACCTACATCACTTAAAAGCCAAACTGCAATCCTTAACTTTAACCGGGTTTTTTTTAGCAGATAGAGGCTTTTTTATACAGCAAGTTTTTTTTGTTTTGTCGCACTACGTAGTGAGTATTTTTCCAGTGGTAAAAGAGAGATGGAAGGTGCATAAGAACTTTATGGAAGCTTCATAAGGGAGGTTAGTTGGCCGGAGAGGGTGGGTTAATTTCATCATATGCAAGCTTCTTCTTCTTCTTCTTCATCAGAAGAAAACATCCGATCAATTCATTTTCTTAAAAGAAATCTGACATGATGAATTATCTATGTAGGACGCCAATTTTTCTTAAACTTTTGTCGATATTCAATATAAAAAAAACTTTTGAGAAAGAATTTTCTCAGTTAGACTTTAAATGGTTCTTTACCAAAAAAGTGATAAACACCAGAATTCGATTTTCGATCTTTTTATAACCGAAATGCTTTACACAATCAGATTATTAAATGATTTATTCATTTATCCTTGACTTTTCTCTAAGAGGCCACCCGATGCGTCCAAGTTAACTTGAGGACAGGAGGGAGCTTTTTTGTTTCATTTTAAAACAGACCATTCCGTTCCTTAGTAACCAATCATTGGTCAATTAATTTTAGCTGTGTAATTTACCCTCTAAAGCTGTTAACAAAACCTTCGGTTTTATTAGGATACGAGCCTAGTTATACAGCTGTATTAGTATAACTTCGAATTCGTTTCACGAGTTTCATTCAAAGCTACTGTAAAAATAATCCGTATTTTTTCCGTTGTACTTTTGAAACCATGAGATGAAACCGGACAATTCGCTAAATATCACCGAATTTTTTTCAGTTTGTTTATACAAGCGTGAACGGCCGAGGGATTTGCATATCTTTTGTTGACTCGCCTTTGAAATTTAAATTTCTAGAAATTGCCAAGTGTCAGAATCATCCAATAGGAGGCCAAAGACAGCCTTCTTATAACCTAAGTCTTGGACATCTCTCCAAGCGAAGATTTTTCCGATAGAGCAGTGAACAGGTGAAAGTAAAGAACATTTCGAGAAAAATTTCTTCATGGTTTGATAGCGCTTTTTCTCAGGGCATAACTGAAAGATGAACGCGGGTATCTTCTCGTTTTGGGGAATTCATCTCCTTTTTTGTTGTTTTTCAACTCTATTCTTTGCCGGAAGACCTATCGCACGTAAGTATAAAAGCGATAATTCTGTTCTTGTATCTAAGCTTAATCCTCGAGGGACATTAGGGAAATTTTACATTAATCCTTGACCGCAATTTATCGAAATATTACAGCCGCAGATGCCATTTCACGCCGGTTTTTATTGCTATAACAATCTAGAAATTACGAATTACAGTCAAACAAAATGCGAAAAAGATTGCGATGTAATAAATCTTGGTCCGTTGGTGAACGTTATACTACAGAAGCGAGTTTAAGATATTTCATGGAGTCGACATTCAGCATCAAATCTTAACTAGTTTCTCCAGCTCCAGGAAAAATTTTTAAATTCAACATGAAATTTTAATTTTCCGTTATCCGAAGTCTGAAACAAGAAGAAACCTTTTTGAATTTCCATTATAAATCCAACAGATGTTTTTGTTTTACGTGTGAAAAATATTTAACTTCTTAACTGACAAGAAAAGGGTGCATTCTATGTATGGCCAGCATGGAATCCCGCTTTCGAAAGGCGCTACTTCTGTTCTTATGAAATATCGCATCTAAAAGAGCACAAGTTTATATCGAACTTTATGATGTTCCTAGTCGACGCACAGCTTCAATTTCCGTAGAGAGGGGAAAATACTGCATAATCGCCCGTGACTTAGTATAATTTTCTGTTGTTATACATTATTAACGAGTGATAGGCGAAGAGCCCCTGATGTGTAATATATTTGAAGCCCGAAGACGCTGAGCTTATGCGGTGTTCTAAAGGCCAGTTTAAAACTGAATCCAAAGATTCAGAAGATACTAAGATTTTTATCTCATCCATGCTTTATGAAGATAATGGAGCAATTTTCATACAAACAGAGGACTGCCTTGCAACACCTTTATAATACAAAGAATAAATTGTTGATTTTAAGTTTTTTTCCAAGCGGAATCATATCATATCCACAAAAGTTTCCCTCTGCATAATTTTATGATGTTAGACCTCGAAATAAACTGAAAAAGCCATTTTCTTCTTCTCTAAGCCAGTATCATCCGAAATCTTTGTTGACAGATCATAAATGCGACTGGTTTTGCGATGTAAAGTTTACAAAATTGTTATTATAATTTGAACTGGTGAGCTCTCTTCAACACTCAAGACGTTCGTGAAAATGTCCGGGATTCATAGCGACTTTCCTTTCCTGTAAAGCTATATCTTTTGTGAGATATTTTTGTGCCGTTTATCTTAGTTAGTATTAGCGGGAGGCTTTGAAATGGTTTTCTTTCACAATCGGTGATGAACTTCGTCTGAATGAACTAAGAAGGTTAAGAGTTCAGTATGTTTAGAACGTTTGTTCAATATAACGTTGTACGAATCTTCTCTGAGCTGAGCTTAGCAGATATAACTTGTTCACCACAAATATTTGGTTTGGCGCAGCTTTCATAAAAACAAGTTAAGTTCTAAAAGACGTAGCTTAGGGATCCTCCGTATTCAAAAGTAAATTGAAGTCGGCCGAGCAATGAACATGGTGCAATCAAACTCTGAAAAAAGACTATTCTTGGACCAAGATTCAAGGCTATTCTTGCACCGCTACAACGTTCCGTCAAGAAGATGGCCGACATTATTAATTTTACCTTGGAATAAAGAAAATAGCGTCTTTTTTTCCTGAAGTGAAGAAACAAGAAACTGTTTAAAAGGCGAAAAGGGGAGGAGAGACTTTGCTCTTAATTAGCAGATAAAAATTGTAGACTCTAACTTGAAGAAGAAAGGATATTTATTCCTGACCGAAATTCTTCCCAGTTGCAGCCGTGCTTCAGCTTGAAATACAATATGAACGAGACAGGGACGAAGATTTGCATGCTTATATGTTATTGCTATGGAGAAATTTTCCAAAGGGGATTTTTCAGTAATTCGCGCGTAAATTTGAAATATTTTCACTTCGTTTGAGGAAGCATAAACCCAGTAGGTGAAGATGTCTACACCGATTGGCAAAACTTTGTTTCAAAGATGAATAAACGTAATCGGCTCTCTTGACAAAATGTCCCTCGATGAAGGAGGATGCAGTTCACGTAGGAGAAGTTATCTTTAAAGGTTTGGCAATTGATTTAATTCCGAAAAGGATTTCAAACAAACACTTTTAGTATAAAACAGTTTCCGCTGCATTTTTTTCTATGGTGTCAGAGATGCTTTACCCTGGCTATTGGTCGACTGCCAATTTAGGTTGCCATAAAAATGTAAGAAGTAAGCCAAAAAGGTCTCTTTTTCTTTATGGCTTCCATTGGATGTCAAGGACAGCACACGAAATAATTATCAAAAAGCTGGTTTTTCTTTTCTTCTCTTTTCTTCTTACGTCAAGAAGCATTTTTTAATTATGAACTCAACAGAGTCTTTTGTTTCATAGATGCAGCTTGCAGCAACGGCTTCGGAGAAGATTGCGATGAAGATATGCATCATATTGTCAGACGGGCCATATCATATGTAAATAATAATAATTCTAACAATAATGATAATAATAATAATGATAGTAACTATAGTAATAACGAAGAATTTCTATTGCGCCACATCTATTAGCTCATGGCGTCTGAATGTATTTGAATAAGAAGGTGTTCACTGATACAAATACAAGTTTGTAATAAACGTTCCTTCTAAGTGTAGTTGGCATTAATCAAGTAAAAATCGGGAAGTATCAATAAATGCACAAGTTAAACGATCTACACTGAGATAGTCCAGAATTAAGACGTTCAAAATAAATTATGAAATAAAAATGATTAATCTAAATCGGGAGACAAATGATGAACTTTTCATTTACCAACAATCCTGTTTTTCAGCCTTCGACGGTGTCCAAGTCACTCAGAGTGGAATTAAGCCCGGTGGTCCATAACATCACCTACTACAACATTGGCGACAAGATTCAGTTCACCCTTAATCTGACTCACAACCAATCAGCATCCGCTGACTTAGTAAGGCAACTTAAAGTCGTTCTTTGGTCCCAGTTTCTTGAACCTGAGCAAGGCTCTCTGGTCGGAGCTGTCAACGGAGTTGGGTACAATTCAAGTGCAATTTCATTCGATATTGCAGACTTGGCAAGTGCAGCCGCGGCGTACGTCGCTTTCAACGCTACTGTTAAAAGCTCGATTCAGCCTTTGGCAAATCTCTACTTTTCTGTGTTGGTCACAGGTAATGATGGCAGTGGTAGTAATTACCACTATGGCCCTGCTTCCTCTCAACCAACCCTATATGCTGTTTTTCCGACGGTGTCGCTGTCCAGGATTGACTATTCGTGTAAGTATCACTGGTTATCACTTCCCTTAGAGATTCGCGAATTGACGGTGCGAGATGGCCTATTTAATTTAACAATTATTCACAGAAGTGGAGATGAATAACTTTCACCGACACTGAGGTGAATAATTGTTTTGGTTCATGCCACACAGAAACAAACCAAAAAATAGCTTATTTCTGTCAAAATACAGAAAAATAGTCAGAAATTAAACTTAAGAAGTTTGATTTTGTCTTTTTTACGGCTGTCGGAACTGAATAGTACTTGTTAATCACCGATCACTTCCTAGCCAGCCGATTAGCGTACGTAAAGAGCACCATTAAGTTGGCATAAACTCTGTTGCAAACAAAAACGTTGATTCTAAAAAGCATACGCAACGAACAGTGGGACCCAACCGCTTTATGGGTACACATGTACATGATAACCAAGATGCATGTGGTAAATGATCGAAATCATCCACAGTTTTAAAAAGGAAAGAATTATCTTGAAAAAAGATTTTCACGAATAATGAAAAAGTAAAGCATTGATTATGTACCTGTGCTAAGTCCGTAGGGTCTCTTTGTTCATGGATCATGCTTTATAGTTGTTAACAGTTTTGCAATCGAGTGTATCCTAAATAAAGATATTCATTTTGCTCTGGTGTTGTTTTAAAATATATCCTCAGATCTTTAATAACATACATTTAACTGATTGATTTAATGTAATTACTACTCAGCATTGGTGTGAATCTCCAGATTTGTGGCACAACACATCTCAAAGTTTTGCCCATTTATTCGTCTTGAACATGAATTAATGTAATTTTCTCTCCAATATCACCTACAGACCTATAGGTAGATAGTTGTAATATTTTCTTTTGAAATGACTTGCAGACTTGTGGGTGGGCAACACGACAGGTTATAGCATGACCATCACCATGCCCAACTTGGACTTCTCCCTGCTCGTTGAGATTACAACCAACATCAACGACTTCTCTTTCATGGAACTGCACAATGTAATGGTCAAGAGAGTGGGAACCAACATAAAACCTGATCAGCCCCCTACAGCTTCGTATGACTCCAGCGAGGAAGTACCTTTCAACGATCGCGCTGTTCTGGATTTTGGTAACTTAACTGTAAGTGAAAAATATTTTCTGTAAGATAAACATCTTTTGCCTCAAGGTCAGTGAATGTTACTCAATAATCCCCTCAACTTCGTCACAAGTATTATTCAACAATATTCACGGAACCTGAGGCGAACAATTGCTAAAATAACATACATAGCTGGAGAATTTCATGTCTGAAATTTTGTTTCAAATACCAACTACATTCAATAAAAAGTTTAAATTTTCTACTCACTCAAAAAGCTTTAATTAGAGACATTTAGCACCAGGGTTTTCGCATTAACGGCAAACCTGAAAAGGCAGTTTCAGGTTAGGCGTTTGGCGTTTGACGTTTATGGCTTTTACCGCTTTAGCTACACCTCTCCAACCTCAAGCAAATTTACGCCATATTGAATTTCCAGACAACAGCAGTGTTTGATTTTCAAATGGCAACAAGAAGTCCTATTTTCACTCATTCGCTAAAAAATATATCTAAACTTGTTCTAAAAAGACTGGTTTACAAAACTTTCTGATTTGTGCGTGGCATAAAAACAAATTCAGGATAAAAAACGTTCAGGTAAATCACTTACGTGAAAACCTACCTCTTGACTTGATCACGTGACCTCCACCGGTTTGTCGTTCGAGGTTTCCGCTGAAAACCCTAGTGCTAAATGTCACTATTGGTTTAAGCTCTCCCTATACGCGCGATTTCCCATACTCTAATTAGGTCCACGAGAACAGTGAGGTAATAAGGGATGAATTTTTCTAACTTTTTACCTAAAAACCTCGATTGAACCTTTAAACCAGTGACGATCGTGCGTTTTCAGCTTGTGCTCCAACAATATTTTTTTTTTAAACATCTTTCTCGAAGTAGCGCTTATGTACATCTTCTGTTTAGAGAAAATTGTCATCGAGAGTGGCGAAATATACATTATGAAAGTACTCACAACGGCTAATCAGACCCAAGAGAAAAAACCGAAGGAGCTAATGAGAACTCCGGGGGGTGAAGAAGAAATTTTGAATGATCAAGTCGTAATTAATTCTACTTTTGCATTTAATTGGTTAAGAAGGCAGCACAATTTTTTTTCACGACAAGCCGCAAAGCGTATTAAAACAAAACCACTGTAGCTTAGGATTACGTTTGAAACTGTGTTGAACTTCGCTGTACTTATTTTCTCTCTGAAGGTCACCGGGAACGATGAGTCCGAGAAAAAAATTGTCATAGATTTCAATGTGACCATCAAAGATCATCCTAAACTGGCCAATAACTCAAAACACTGGGTAGGTGCAGGCATGCGCAGTGGATATCAGATGCTGTGGGTTGGACAAGAGGCACTGTTTGTGTACAAGGTGTGTCAGTTCAAAATGCATTTTTTCATAATAGTTCGTCATATGTATGCGTTATTGACCAAGCGTGAGGTAAAGATGGCTGGGTATTGGAAGAGTTCTTTTTTCTCTCTCCTTTTTTGAGTTTTTATGGACCAAAAATTTAAGTGGATTCTTTTTAGCACAGTTTGTCTATCGGAACACAGGATTCGCTTCATCTTGCCCACGGGTGCTGCCAGCTATATAACAATATCCCGTATATACCCTATCTGTCATATATGATATTAGTTGGTGAAGGGATATCTCGACGAGTGGCTACTTTATCTTTTTTGACAAAATACAAGATAAATATTTTCCTAACCAACTCGAGGAGTTTTAAATACTAGTGTTTCTTATCCCTTTGTAACTTATAACGAGCAGCATGAGCCATCGTTAACTGCCGAATTCACAACCGTCAACGACACTGCCAGCAATCGATACCTGATCGGAGACAAAGTGTCCGTTACCTGGGTTGTAAAACACATGGAAAACACGTCTTATGAAGACGCCAAAAACGTGCGAATATCATTCTATTCCAACACTCTCAAAATTCTGCGAGGTGTTTACAACGAGTCAGGCAACGCGAACAAACCCTTGAATATAAGAGATGATTTTCATTCGGATGAATCCTCCGTCCCGAATCTTCCACAAGGTATGTAAAAAAAAAAAATAAGGTTGAGTTTAGTCGACTGTTACAATGTTTCAGAACCACAGTTTGTTGATAGAATATACAGATTTAGCCAAGCCTAGAAACGGAGATCTTGTTAGCTTAATTTTCAGCCCTTCACTATGATAAGAAGTTTAATAGCACTGGCTGTCGAAAGTGTTTATTCAAGGGGATTAAGGGACCAGTCTGAGGGGATGAGGGGGGAAAGGGGGAAAATTGACGGGGTCTGGAACCGAGGAACGATGTTCTCAAAACTTGCAAAGTGATCAACACGCATGCAAGTCAACAATATTTTCAAGCAGCTAATCATGAGGACCTTTGTTATTGTTCCCGATATTTTGAGCAAATTTTCAGAGATAGGGAACGTTTTCTTCTTCAGATGTAGTGTATGATGTCAGCATCAGTTGAACGATGATTATATTTCATTGAGCGCGAATGATAATTTCGGTTTGAGAAAAGTAGCCAAAATTTAAAGAAACGACGCTTAACAAGTTGGGGTTATGACATCACCGGTCGATTCAAGAGAACACACCTGAGAACAGTGAGTCAGTAAAACAATACGCCAGAATGGCGTGGGCTTCTCTTGTTTCTTCTCTTGAAGTTGCTAGGTATGACTGCTACACCGTTTTTCATTAACGTTTCAACTCCCTCTGATGGGCGGAGAAAATTAGAAAGAAAAGTCTTTCCATCTCGTGTTTAAACCTCTGACTGGAAAGACACGGCGTCTTTTTGAGTATCTTTTTGTGTTATTTAATTCGGTAACCTCTGTTGTAACTGCATCTAATGTAGATGTCTTTAAGTCACCTGTCCGTGACCTTAGTAACTCTAGCTACTGAAAGACGAAACTTGTCTAACATGTCTCTTGCGCTGCGAAAGTTTATAATTTAGAGGAAGACAAGCTAGAAATCAATTCCAAATATCAACCAAGCTTTCTCTTAAGTTTGAAAGTTGAGTTGATGTTGTCATTGGGTATATTAAAGAGGTTGAAAAGTCTAAGATGGTTTTATTTCATGTATGCGAAAGATTGAATTTACTGGAAGGTGGAATTGTTGCAACACGTCAACATGAAACTCAACAATAAATTTTATAGATTTGTAAACAGTTTTCATTTGACTATCTTCTGGCAAGTCTTTGAATTATATTTCAACCCAACCATTTTCCACAACTTGTGAACACAGTCCTCGCATGACGGCCCATGATAACAAGGAATTTGCATAATTATAGTATTTGTTCTTGACTTGTAGTGTTGATAGATTTTCATTCTTTCTTATTACGCCCAATCTTTTAGGCCAGGAGATTACTGGAAAACTTGATCTAGAAGTCAGTGACAAAATCTCTCCTCTGGAGACCCTAGACATTTTCATGCAGCTTAAATACCAGAACACGAGAGGAGATGAGAAGCTCAATACCAGTCACCAGCCTTCCCCGCCTTACGTGGCCGGGGTTCCAGGATTCTCATTGAAACTCAGCGGCTCATCCAATCAGATACGCATAGGTGGCCGCGCCAAATTTAATTTCAGCATCTTGATGCGAAAAATGAAGTCCACTTTGAAAGTAGAGGTAAATGAACTCTTAAATAAAGCTGTAAATGCGAGGAATAATTCTTTGCCACCTTAATTTTGTAAGAAGCAATGACCTTCAGCTTTCTGACCACATTCAATAGAGGATTAAGAATAGATTCTAACAAGAATTCACGTTCTTCATGTTACAGGTTAGTGCTAAATATTAGCATTAGGAGACTGTATTGTACAAGAGTGGATTCAGTGATTGACAGAAGTCACTCTTACTTTTTTTTTTCTTGGAAACACGGGCTTCTCCTTCTTTCTAATTAAAGACGTGAATGGATACAGATGGGGGGTAAAAAATACAACCTTTAAAATAGCTGTTAAACAGCATTCTATCCACTAGGGAATCTGGAACATCCAAAAACATAATTAAACAAATACATAAACCATTCACTTATGACCACGCACAAACCCACTGGGATAAAGTTATACCTACCTTACATTTATGCGTTTCTGTAGCGCATCAAAAAATTGGTTTGTGGAACTAAGGGAAGGAAGTATATGTAATTCTCTATTGAGCGGGTAAGAGACAGGGTAGATTAGGTTTAAAAGCGGTTCTCCCTATTAAGCCCAGCTCGTGCTTTCTAGCCTTAAGTAGTCAGCATTTTCTTTCGCTTGAGGAAAGCTAATGACAAGGTATTGTTGGCCCAAGACACACTTCATCAGTCGCAATTCTCTACTGCAACGCTAAGCGAATCTCTTTCACTGTTGCAGGTCATTCTTCCTGTGAACGGGACCTCAATCATGTCATTGGTCTCGCTTGAAGTCAAAAGTGTGGGGAAAAATATCGTCAACAACAGCGGCATTGACTTTAGCAGCGTAAAGGCAACCCTCAACTCAACTGTTGGAGACACAAAACTTCACGACCGTGGTTCGATTGATTTCGGTGAGGTCGTGAATATTTATGGAGACTCGGACGCTCCCGAAAACAAGATCGAGATTGAGTTTGAAATCGTTGTGAACGACCACGCCAACGTGACAAATGGCTCCAAGCACTGGGTGGGGGTTGGGGTGAGGGGTGGCAAACGCATGATGTGGATTGGTGATGTGGCGCTCATTGCTGACGTCCCCCAAGACAGGAGACCAATCTTACAGATTGAAGCTTCTTGCTTTTTGCAAGATTCAAAGTTGGCTTGCAAAGATTCGACCACTTTGAGTAACAGGTAATTAAAATGACTGATTTCGGAGATAAAAATTTTTTAACGTCTTTATGGAGTATGTAGCTTTTTGTCCATTGTTGCTTGCATAATGCGCTAAAAATTTATTATCCAACAGCACAAAGGAGAGTAAAAATAATGCGCGCATAAGGTACGCATATACTGCGATATTATACATTTGGTTATTTTGTACTGTAGAAAAACCTGTTTCACCGGGCGGCTGCGCGCACTACACTTCTCTATCCGTTTTGCTTTCCCGCCTTATGAGAAATGAGGGGAATCACTTAGCAGAAAAAAAGCAGGAGGATAATAAAATAACTTATTAGAATTTTTGGTGTGTAGTATTGCTTAGTGATTACACTCTTTGTTTGTATTTTGTTCCCGAACGGCACAACTCGTAACAATACTCAGCGATACTGCATATCAGAACGTCTGATAAGATATATTCCGTACGGTCCCCCGCGCGCTTTTATTGAAAAGAATCGAACAAACGCCTCCGAGAAGAGCCCTACTTCCCTTGTGCAGCCCCACGATATGAGGGCTGAAAGAGGAAAGGAAGAGTGGTAGTTGTAAGATGAAATGCTGCTTGACTGAGTCAGATCGCTGCGCTCGGTCCGGCGCCGTAACTCATGACCTCGAGCCAAAATATTTTCTCGTCTGGCCCTTCAGTCTCACTCAATAAGTACACTGTATTTAAGTTCAACTTGCTTCGTAGGTAAGTGTCCACCTACGCCCAGGTTGATCTGATAACGAAGGTGTACATAATCTTTAGACCCACCCAGCTCTAAGATTGTTATGGGGAATTTTATCAAGCTTCTTATTGTTAGCAAGTTTTTAAATCTAACTTAGTTTAACAAGAAAGTCAAAGCTATTCAGACTATTCACATGAATTCTTGAGATGTTCTCGTTTCTATCTCATACTGTATCTTCTAAAATGAAAATCTACCTTTTCACCTATATCAAACGCTCTTTGTGACTTCGAAGAGAAAATCAAACCCTGGTCCATATTGACTTTAAATGTAACAGACTTATGGATCGACAATATGATTCAAAATTTCTGAATTCCTTTCAGCTCTAAAGTTTATTTCAATGGAACAGTGTCTCATCACGAAGACTCTCAGCAATATGCAGAAAATGTTAATGTGTTTTGGATGCTGCCACCTTATGTTACCTATTCTGATGCGAATTACGACCCTGGAATTAATTACATCAAGACTGAGCAAGGACCCAAGTTTAGCGTAAGTAGCAAGATAGATAAAATAATTGAACAAAATAGGATGCCACAAAAGTGCGAAAAAAAAATCAAAATAATGAAGGGAAAGGCGGACGAACAGACAGACAGATTGACACAGACCGGCCGACAGACAGACAGACAGACAAACGAACTGATATACAGACTGATGGCCGGACGGACAAACAGACACACGTGCAGACCGACGGATACACGGATAAACCGAACGAAAGACCTACGCACACTTAGATGGACGGAATTATGGAAAGAATAACAGACTGACAGAAGGACCAAATAAATAAGATAATCAAGAACCCAGCGCACTGAAAAACCGAGACGGCGAGCCGACCAACCTGCAAAGAAAAGACAAATCAATGAGCAGGGGAGTCGTTTGTTGACTGAAAGAACGAACAATCGACAGGACTGACATAAAAGATTTTCGAGATATGCAAAACCTCTGCTTTTAGAGCGAGAGAGGCTTTTGGTGTTAATGTTATGGAAAAATCGTTTGCGTTACACTTTACAAACGACTTATTCATGACATTTGCACCACAAACGAGCCCACAGTATAACCTGACACTACTGACGGGATCGAAACTGACCAATCACGACTGACTTACGCAGATTGACTCTTATAGCCAATAGTATCACGGCTAAACTGACCAATCAGATTACACGAACCGCACTTATGATACTTTACAAACGACAACTCCTCACTCGACTCTTATAATAACTCTCGCTCAGGTTGTCAAAGTGTCAGGCACTTAACCGACAATGGTGCTTCTTAGAAGCAACCCCCGGACGATCAGATTACACGTTCATATTCTGCCCACGGGTTAAAACTTATTCTCATAAGAGGGGTTTTGGACTTGGCCTCGTCCTGTAAATGAGTTTAGACGTGAACGAACGGACAAACAAATAGAACACAATCTATATACGCTTGTCAGATCCCTGCCCCCCTCTGCCTTGAAACTGTCCAATAGATTACTACGTATTTTAACGCACCTCGATCTGTTTCTTCCCGGTAATCCCAATGAGTATCTGCCAATGTTGAAGGTCATTGATTGCTTCGCATGCTCTGTGTCTAGTTCCTGGACAAGAAATTGCATTTCTTGGACCGTTTGTCGTTCTCAGTCCAAGGGACGCTGGATCCAAAAGGAATAATGCCCCCGGGTGAAAATTACGCTGTGTCGCCGATACAGCTGACATACAGCCCCTACAGTCTGTCGGCGGTGTACGGTGCTCCACCCGTACCAGTCTCTTTTAAGTTCAAATCATCAGGTAAGACAGTAATAGGATCTACTTGGTATAAAACCTCACATGTATTTTCACCATACCTAGTCCGCGCGGTTTCCTCTTAATCAATTCGGTGTTTCTGATTTAAAAAACATCCTGCGACCCGAGTCAAAAATGTAAAATTTAATGGTTTAAACACTTCACTTCATGGAATATGTACTTACTGAAACTGAAATATGGGGTAATATTCCCCAAATAATATCTTTTAATATGCAAAGCTTGCGTCCAGTGTGATGAGTTTTTCATTAAAAGTCGATAAAATTTGAGAGTGCGTTTCGCTTTTCTAGAAGAAGACGAGGCAAAAATTATTTTTCCTAAAAGTCATTCTGAAAAGACGGCGGCTGTTTTCGCTTTCTGCGCACTTCAAGGGATAGTAAACATTAGAGCCTCCATACAGCTTGAAAAGATGCTCATATACTTTTCCTGTATATCTGCTCTACGAAGCTCACAAGTTCCTTTGCTGTCGGAATACTGTTCGCTTTTGTCAGAGGATCAATTATCTGAGGATATATATTTCCGCGCCTGATGGAATCTATCGCTTGCGTGATCACTTTCACTCCACGGATACAATCGAATTTGATAGTCAGTTTAAATTTCGTTTTCTTCTTTTCAGGTGAAAGTTCTCCGGAACAGACCCTTCCAGCCCTAGAAGGTGCGTCTCCTTTCTTTTGCGCAAAATAAAAAAAAACGGTATCTGAACAACTGAATTGCGATTTCAAATCGGATGTATTAAGTAGTTATCGAATTTCGTGTCGTGCGATTTTGGTCTGATCATACTTGTGATTTCAAATCACGCATATGATTTCAGAGTAAATTACACCCCAGTAAGTTCAATTACCATCGTTTGCCCTTTTCATTTTAGAGATTTATACCAGAGGATTTCTTGTTGATGTAACTAATGATATCTTATACGTGTGCCAGAAATCAAACGAGAGGTCAGTGCTGTCTGTTATAAATACATTTTCTTTACAAGTTTAAGATTTCAGTCTAACTCCAGTTTGCCCTTGATGAAAAGGCTGTTTCTTATCTTTTTGATCAACCACAGACTAGAAACGACTTAATTAGTTAAACATCTCCTGGCCATCGAAAGACATCCTGTGACTAGCTAATCCGAATCCGTTTACTTTATTGCCGTTTTTTTAGATAAATCTTCGGCATCAGATTTCACAGCTTTCAATTAAGAAAGCTTTGGGGTCAGCATGTGGAAAAAACGTTAACACAGCTATGATGCCCTCTAAATTATTTCCCTCTCAAGCGATACATCCTGTGAAAATACCTCTTCCTCCAAGATTTATCCTCTCGCTATGTAAATTCCTAAATATAAGTCACTCGTCCGTTGATACCCCATCAGATGAAAACAAAAATTGTATGTGCCTACCCTTCACAAAAAAATACCAGGAAAACACTTACAGACTCTCAGGTTTTACTCGCCGGAAGAGAACTTTTATTTCACAAGGTGAAACTTCATTAAAAACCCGTTTTATACAATCCATACGTGTCAATACGAGTCGTCTGAGCTTTCCAGTTATCTCCTTTCCTACTTTAGGTTACAGTCAAGTTGCTTCTCAACAGCCGACCAAGGTTTATCCTGGACTGGTAAAGTAGATACGCTTCAATTTCCTTTACATAAAGTTCTAGTAAAGAAAGAGAGAGATTAAGAGGTCGTTTAGTTATGAATTTAGAGTTGTTCCATTTATTATTCCAAAGATTAAAGAAAGACCAAGATCAACAAAAGCCTTATCAAAAGGATAATTAACATCATAGTGAACCAATGGAACTTTAGATCAAACAAGCAGACAAGTTGGAGGGCAAGAACGCAAGACAGACGATGTTGCAACTTCAAGTTTTAGTTTCGGGTCTGCTTGGATGAGAGTATGGCGTCATAGTATTCTTAAGCTACCACTGAAACTCCGGATTGTAGGCATTACTCGATCATGATGTTAGTCCATTAGAGTGGAAGTGTGTGAATCGCTAAAATTGCAACTATACGGTTCCACTCTTTGTGGTGCTTGGGGCTTTGATTAAAGCCTCTTGGGGCATCCATTCTCTTTTTCTCTATTTCCTCTTTCTTCCTCTTTCTTCCTATTTTATTTTTTTCTTATAATGTTACTACACGGGTAATGTCATATTTTGTTATTTGTCTGAAAGAGAAACTTAGCGAAGCCAGGTTCCTTGACTCGTTCTTTTGACTTGCACTATTCATTAATTTTGTCCAAATTGTTTTCTTTCCATTTATCTATCTAGCTATGGACCAACAAGTAGGATATGTCATTGGTCAGGTTGGAAACGACTTGTATGGCATTGCGCGCAACAACCGGGCGTACATGCGCAAACGAGGCAAAGAAGGAGCCTGGTACGGAATAGAAGAAGATGTTTGGAAGAGCGCTAAGAACGATAAACATTTGGTGGAGAAGAAGGCCATTGAGGAAAATCATACCAACACTGGCGATCCTGAATCTGACTTCATAAAGGGAAACTGGGGAGGTAATTTTTGTGCTTCCACAATCGCAATATTTTAGTTTGAAATACACCAGTGGCAAGGGTTCCAGATCGAGTAAACCGAGCTTAAGTTGAGTCCATTGCGCACAGTAAGCCCCTAAGTAATGAGCAGTGTCCCCAAGGCACTTCATCCATGCAAAGCATGTGACGATAACGCATATTAGATGCATATCACGGTGACGATGACGATGTCGATGTTGAAGACGAAACCTTCGTGTTCGTGTTGTTCAAATTTATATTCTTTATGAAAAAATGACGTTCCAAGAAGAATTAATTAAAGAAGGGGACTCATCCTAATCAGCTGCAATTCTTAACTTAAGAGGGAACTTAAAATTTCCTCTAAGAAATCGCCTATGTGTCTCAATATCTTCAGTTGTTTAAGTACATCACTTGACTACAAGGAAAATTCCAGTATGCGGATAACCCTTTACTTTTACGTGTTAGTTAAACGAATTCGTTGATTAACTTTTCATCCCTTTCTTAGTTTATCTGAGTTTTTACAGCATTGAACCATTGACCCCAAAGAGTGAATAGCATCTGATTTCTCCTTACAATGTCATCCCTGTGTCACACATTAAGGTCAGGAGAATGAAGGAAATTATCACCAACTAAACAAGCTCTTCGATTTTTAATCACAAAATTCTCCTGGTTAGCACGTTAGGAAATGTGTACTGATCTTAAGGTGTAAAGGGTTAGGTGACCAGGAGAACTACCACTGCTTTAGAATGGGGTTCTGGTGAACTGTAGGGTACAGTATAGCAATATAATTTCGTTCTGACATCCCGACATCTTTTCAGCGCCCATCTTGGACGGAAGGAGGAACTTGCCCTTTTTTTTCTTTAAGAACATGACACAATGACACCGCCAGGGCTACACCAGGATGATTGACAGGACCCTATATTTTTCATTCCAGTAAACCTCTTTCTTTTATTCATTCTATATTTTAGGAAACGCTAAAGGAGTGTTGTTAAAAGTTAGTAGCAGCTGGCAGTTGAAGGCTCAATGGAAATGCTGTGGAAAATAATCCAACTTTACTTCTCTTGGTAAAAGCTGCAGATCTTGACATCTAAATGATGATTAAATATTTGGTAGAGAATATTCGTTCCAGCCCTGTATCATAGTCTGTTTGAGAGGCATTTGCACAGAAAAATCGCCTCTTCCTTTTCCACACTCGGTTAGCGGTACGTTTGATACCATTTAGGTAGACTCATTTATTCACACTCAAGTAACGGCAAATGGCGCTACATGGAAGTTTAAAAAAACCTGATTTCGATTGCATCGGGTGAGAAAATTTATAATGTAAATAGTATTTTAAAAAGTCTTTGTAGACGAGGATCACACTTGTAACCATCAGCAAATTGCGCAAGAATACATTGTCAGTGTCAGCTCAGCTTGTTGAGTAAACTTTTACTTAAGCTATACAAAACTGACTCCTCTCCAGTGATATCTTAAGAGTCTGAACTATGTTCAATTATTTTAAGCGTTACTTAATCTTCAAAAACGAATTTTTTTATAGGGTCGGACAAATACATATTTTGCACAGGGGTAGGGAGATTTTGATTGCGTCACGATAAAATTTACTCGATACCCACTTGAGGCTCCCTAATGTTCTTAAGTTTCCCTTCACCCCCTCCCCTCCCCTCCCCTCATGAACAGTCAATTGGCAGTCAATTTCCTATAGCCCCCTCTAAATACTCTGTCGACGACGGCTGACTCACCCAGCAAATGTCTTGTCCCCGCTCCGTTCCCCCTAGAAACCATGCCATTTTTTTCAATCGTGTGTGGCCAAGTCTTATTCCTTTGCTACCAAAATAAAGGTATGTGTAGTCCAAGATTTGGTTTTATGCAGAAAAATTTCGAAAGATTAGGTGTATCTTAACAATCTCAGCTTAACACGCGGTAAGTTGTGATTTCTCACAATTAAATTATTTTCTAGTTTCGGGAGCATACTTCTCCTATCTGATGCGAATGATTTGAGGATTTTGCACAAGAATTAGCAGGTTCTCTAAAGTTTGTTATAGCTATGTTTTGCTTTGCTACAATCGCGTAGCTTTGCAGGTGATTTAAAATTGTTGAGAGAGAAAACCTTGCCCTCCGTTTACTTGTATTTGGTAACACTGCAGGATGTTTCTGGTTAAGTAAATCTCTTGCCTTCGTTTTAAACTTGCAGCTTCATAGCCTTGCAGTTAGTTCATTTTACGTTTCCCTAATTAACAATATCTTACTTATTTTTTGGGTACAATTTCAATACTTCGCTTACGAGAAGTAGTATTCATTACTGTGAAGATCGCTTCTACATTCGGCCCCAGTAGAGGTATTTTCCTTTCCTCTGACTGGCCGCTGTTATTTCTTTTATTTTGGTTTCACAACACTCAACAAAAAGCGCGTTGTGTCGTGTTTCTCTTGGTTAAGTATCGGTAGTTAGCCAGAGAATTGGTTTTGAGTGAAGCGCGTCTTGAGAAAGGACCGTTTCTTCGGTTTTACTCATGTACCTTCCGGTGCCTTAGGCTTTAGAACGCCAGCTCCCCCCCACCACCTCAGTACACATGAGAAAGTGAGACCAATTGGATCTAATGTCATGACCTTCAGCCACAGTTTATTTTAACTGCATGACGAAAAAATTGACCTTTTTTCCCCACCGACTCCTGTCTTATCGAAATCCTCAAACTAAGGTCGGGAAATTGACGCAAGCATTTACGATTCCGTCGCTAAATCACACGAAATCTGACAACATAGACCAAGAAATTTGAGGATATAAAGTACGTTGAGGTAAAACTAAACTATTGAAATACAATAAAATGTTATCGAGTAATAGGGATACTTTTCGAGCTTATCTTACGCCAAAACGACGTTGCAAGCCCATAACTGAGTTACAAACTTCGTTCAATTAAGTCGCATATATATTGATGTAATCTAACAACGACGAATAAGCGCACATAACTTCACTCCTGAAACCTTGACAAAAAAACATACCTTAAACATAATTAACCAGCAAAGTTATACTTAGTACCAGATTCTCCTATGTCGTGAAAACTCTTTTGAAATTAGCAAAGGTAAACATATGAAAGGGGTTTTTTTAGCCTATTACTTTTACGCGAACACAATCATACCCATGACAACTTGCACGCATTGATTCGTATCCAGATCTCTTCGAACCTATCTAGCACAGTTTTAAACTGAGGGAAAAGACGGTCAAGACTTTTTTTCGCGTGACATACTGGAGCAGGTTAATAATCGTAACGTGACACGAAAATGTACATCAGATGCTCGAAGCGTGACACCAGTTCGCCCTTCTCAGCATCAATAACATCTCCATAGAATTCCATGATGAACCTCCTACGGCCCTCAATAGCCTCTTTGTTTCGGATGGAAGCAGATACCCCATTGCTTTCATCCTGCGTCTGAATTTCGAAAAACCCCAGTTCATTCCCGCGATTAAAATAGAACTTCACCATTGGTCGAACTTTGTAGCCTGTAAAAAATTTAGTTATCGAAACGTTAACAAAGACACTGCTAACATATTCCTGAAAAAATACACAGTCAAAGACTTCATGTAGCTACTGATGTCGTACAATTATTACGCCTCCTATAGGAAGCAGTAATCACAAAAAAAAATTACAATCATACTTTTTAGTTATTTCTGCATTGAGGCCTAGCTGACTAAAAGGTACGCCTGTTGATTAAAACTCTGAACTCAATCAATCTCTCTAATCGTTCCAAATACAATTCTAAGGAAACCTACTTTATTTTCTCAAATAAGCTAGGCAGGAATGAAGGGTGAAGTGAAAATTTTTTTAAGTTTATTGTCAACAGAATAAGGTGCTTTTAAGAAAAATCGTTCCACGCGCGCGCTTCTTTAAGAGAAACCGTAAAAACTACCTATCACTGTAAAGCTTTTGAAGTATAGATTCTGAAAATAACAAAAGTTTTTGCAGTTTTTTTCGGTAGGCACGCACAGGCTTTTAAACCCAAAACTGACGGTGTTTGCTTAACTGAGCAACCATGTGATAAGCGTCACCTAGACTGCTAGGACCAGATACTGCCAGATAAAGATAGACTGAGATGGACCAAGATAGATAGAAACTGTTTGAACTCGATCTTTATCAAAAGAAAAATGTCAGACATCTGTCAATTTCGTGGTCTAGGGAACAATCCGACTTTTCAGTGAAAAATACCGGAAAAGTTTGCTGGGCGACTAGTGTCTAGGCCTAGCTCCATGTTTTCCTTAGGGCCATGAGTCCTTACCATAAGTAAAAATGCGATAGTTGAAGATTGTTGACGAAGTTTCGTTGTTACGCATCCGGAAAGTCCATAGGCTCTTCTTCTGAACCTTTTGATTAAAGCAGGCTTGGTCACCACTTTTGCAGCTTTTTCTGTCACATCGCCTGGAAACAGAAAACACGAGCATCTGACGATCGAGATTGGCTTTACGAATGGAAAAGGTTCAAAACTTAGAAAGATTGGCTGAAAACTATAAAACGATTTTTGAAGTGTATGATCTCGACCAGTCAACAATAATTAACAGAGCATGAAAAGAAATCTCTTTTGGTACTTACGTGTCAGAGACTTGAACGTAATCTGAAGAACAGGATAATTTTGGTATACACTGGTAAAAGCCGTAAGTATTGAAACAAAATTCATCGTCTTTACACTTGTCTTTCCCAGCTTGACATTCATCATTATCTTAAAAAAAAAAAGCAGAAAATGGCAATTCGATTTTATTCTGTAAGTGCAATTTTTTGTAAAGTTCGTGCGATCGGCGTTGAAAGTCACCTTGGGGTTAGCTAAGGGATCGGTCATTATAAACTACCTGTGGAGGGGGGAGGGGGGGTTGGGGAGGGTTCGAGGATTTCGGTTGTGTCATTTTAAAATTTACTTGATATCCCCCCCCATACAACTCTTTAATATTTTTATGAACCATCCCAACTGGCATTTAATTAACATTCAGTTATTTTATTGCTACCCTCCTTCTCTCTACCCCCCCCCCCCTTGCCCTCACGACAATGAAAAATGACTGGTCTCTAAGTTAGCTCTGGAGGTATTCGTCTCGTTTTGAAATGAAGAAATGTAAAATTGTTTCCGTGTTTACATAGCTTGATGTAAATACGGAAACCATTATACATTTCTTTTATAAAATAACTAATGAAAGAGGAACGAAAACCGTGTTTACATACGTTCATGCAAAAAGGTTTTATGGCCAATCAGAGCGCGCGAACTATTTAAACTATTTTATAATTTATGCTTATTCATTAACAAAAAATCTAGCCAGAAGTCTCTCTTTTTGCTCGCCTCACCTGTGCAGTAATAGCGGGACTGGTTACTATAACCACTTGGACAGATACAGTAATATGCTCCTCTGGTGTTCACACATCTGTAGGGACAAGTGACGCTGTTGCATTCGTTTCTGTCTGGTAAACCATCAAAAGTGAAACAAATGAGATTACAAATGGTTCATTCAATAATTTATTCAAGACTTCTGATTAGATTCGCAAAAATTGTATGTGAGCCAATAAGAATTGGCTCAGGCTTATCAAAGGCAGTTATTGTCAAATGATGAAAGCCCAAAAAAATTCACCCCACTGTACTCTGCGGAATGTCGAGTGATTGTGATCGAAGTTAGTTATAGCGTGAGTTTTGAGCGTCACGATGTTTCGCGCGATTTTATAAAAAAATTTTCATTCATTTTCAAACAATACCTCTACATGTCAGTCCATCGGCAAGCAGCTCGTATCCTCGATTACACCGGCAAACAAAAGAACCAAATGTATTTCTACAAGTACCTTTACCGGAACATGGAGAATTTAGACACTCATTCACATCTATTGGAAGAGAACGAGAACAAACGTGTTTAGGATTTGCAGTGAATAGTTTCTACTCTGAATCTCTCCTGATTATGGTCATTGCACTTAACTTTACCTATGCACGATCGTTTATCGGCCGCCAGTCTAAAACCTCTTCTACAGCGACATACATATGATCCTGGTGTATTATCACAGATTTGACTGCAACCAGACCTCCTCTCAGTGCATTCATCGATATCTGGTGGGAGAGGAGAAGTGAAAGAACCAATCACGACTGTATTTTTCCACTTATTCCCATAATTTACCGTCATCTGTCAAAACTTACCGCGTGTGTCGCCTAGTTAAACGGCTTGATCATACGCAAAAAATTATTTACCAATACAAACCAACAAACAAACAAAGAAAACACAAATGTATAATTCTCAAGAAACAACTGATGCAAGACACAGTCAGTAAATGCTGAAGGCGGCGCGTGTCTCTCTCACCAATAGGGAGTTAAGGAAACGACGGCGGCGACGCCGTGGACAACGTCGGTTATAAAATGAACTCATATTTTACCTACGAATCTCGCCATCCCCTAAAGTCTTTTAGTTTGTTTCTTACTGTCAGAACTATGTCGAAACTGAACATGGAACACCGCGTTAAATTAGATATATAAATTTAAAGAATTAGATGTCGTCGTTCACGTACCCTAGACAACTCAAACTTCACTGCAAAGAACGCAAAGAAATTTACAAAGATTTATAACGCACGTGCACAGCCATTGTTCTGATCATTAAACCTTTTGTTTAGTGACTTTCCTGTTGCTATCACCGTCGTGAATTTTTAAACTCCTTATGCACAGAGCATAGATAAGCTAAAAAAAATACAACCTGGGTTACTTTGACACTCGATTGCAAATCGCTCTATCAGCTTTTCAATTAGCAGCTTAGCAGTCGCGTAACAAACGAAACTGGCTGATTCCAGCTAATAAATGTCACTCGAAAACCTGAGATTCGGTGGTAAATGTGTGCGCTTTATTTTCTGTAAGCAGTGCACATGCGAGTACAGGTAGTTGAACGTTTATCATTTCTTTGCAGCAGCATGAGATAGAGTAACTAGCAGGAAAGCAAATGTCCACTAAATGTGCAAGGTAATGACTACGGATGAAACTCAAACTAAAATGTTGGTGGGTTGGCCGATGTCGAGGTAAAAAGCGTGATTATGAACAATATGCTTAACTCGGGAATAACTGGAGTGGGTCTACTGTGCACGTACCTTCACATCTATTGGTGATGCTGTTCAGTCGATATCCGTTGCGACACGAGCAGTAATGGCCGCCAGCGTAATTAACACATCTTTGTCCTGGCAGACATACAGGTGGTGACTCACTGCATTCATCTATGTCTGAAATTTTGAAAACACCAGATGCGAAACAATCTAACTTTCGGACGTTTAAACCTTTTCCATCACCGGAAGTGACAACTATGTAACTTCTCCATACACTATTAGTGCATTTCAAGTAGAAAGATGGTGAGGAGAGGGGCAATCATAATTCTGGGAACACTGTTTGATTGAACTGCCAGTTCTTACAGCAAAAATCATAAAAAAGTATGACAGACATGAAGATATCAAGATCTTGTATAGGATAAGCCCTACTATACTCCGTTTTCGTTAAGTTTCAATATTTTTAAGAAACGTTTTTCATCAGTGGCTCAAGTATTGTGAAATTTACAAGTTGATGAAAACATTTGGAATTTAAGAAATCAAATACGCTGTTAATGCCTTTCGATGTAATCCAAAATGGAGGATTATTTTTCATCTTTAAAGGGATCTTTTGATATCCAAGGCGCGTTTCCCGTTGAACCTTTCCTGTTCAGTTACATTAAGGCAAGTAAAACGCGATTAAATAGAACATATTTATTTTGCCATAAGTCTTTTATTTGCAAATATCTAAAATTTAGTAATATTTGACCAAACAGATGGCATTTATTTTAACAGTATCCCTTTACCTTTACATCGATAACTCCTATCGTCGATCACCAGACATTTGTATCCCCGAGGACATTTAACCGACGAACAAGAATTTCTACCTGTAATAGTGATGCAAAGAAGCAAAATACATTTTCAAAATCTACTTGTAAAAAAAAACTGGCCACAGCATGCCCTAGATCATGGATGGAAAATTTGTATCCTCTTAAAAGGCTGAAAAGGTTTTCCTCCAGAGTTCGATAAAAACAGACCGGGAGAAAGGTAAATTACATCAGAAAATTTTGTCTTCAGGAGTCAAATGAGGATATCTGAGCGCGCGAGTCAGACAAGCTATCGTGCCTTTCATTTAGCTTCGTCATATGTACAAATATTATCAGCGTAGTAAAGAACAAACGCAGCCAATGCTGACGCGGTGAAAATCTCTAAAAAAACAGTGGGTTGAAAAACAAGGAACTGACTTCTGACTCCTTCCTATTCCCTTTTCATTATATCCTGCCGTCCAAACGCGCGCACCTCTCGCGTGATTTGCTCGTTGATATGTAAAAAGACAACAGGAGGCAAGTCAGTAGCAGTCACAAACCAACCCCCATCATGAAACAGAATTAAAACGTACGCTCGCATCTTCTTGTCTGGGAATTTCTCTGAAATCGATCTCGGCATTTGCATCGGTAACCTCCATAGTAATTCTCACAAATTTCCTGATCTCCCGTACACCTCCTTGGCAAGGTAGCGCACTCGTCAATATCTGAAAAAACGAGAGTGAGAGAGAATTTTTAAGAATTCGCCGATACAATACTCAACGTTAGACGGACATGCTTTTTCCTTCGGCCACCGTCAGATTAGATCTTACTTAGCAACCTAGCCGCTTAAATGAGACGTAACAAAGTCTCATCTTTCTATTTTTCCATCACTTAGCGTTATGTCATGGTAATAAGGCGCAGAACTAATGATGCAAATGTTTCCTTACCCGTACAACTATACGACCTCCCAGATGGCTGACATTTCAACCCTTTGCCACAGTCGACACCTCTGCAGGAATCTGGAATTGAAAAAAAATTTAACTTTTAAAAACTTCCGAAATCTGCAGCAACTGGAGAGGATTCTGATTATTGACTGAGCTGCTGTAAAATCGTTCAGCGTGAGCACGGGAAAAAGGAAGACAAAAGGGAAAGGGAGTGGCTTGTGGCTTTGATCATGCGCAAATAACATATTTTCCTCCCACTGGGTAAGAGAAATACTCAAACTACAAATAAAAAAATGACAGAAACAGTTTACCCCACGATTATATTTTGTAGAGCGCTGGAGTTTCACTGGATGTGAAAATGACTGAAGTTGTTTTTAGTCTTTGGCTAAACACCATATGTGAGAAAACACATCTATTTATCACTAATCAGCGCACTTCTCACGCGTGAAACTCGCGCGTAAAACCATTTGCAGTTAAGAGGGAGTGATGAGTAACCTTCACAGCAGACTTTAAAGTGGCTACGTTCGTACTGCTCCGTCAATGTTTGTAAACTTTCAGTTCTCAACTCACATTTTCTTTTCAAGTAATTCCCTTTTAAAGAAAAGGGAGTGCTAAATGCGAAACACAATGGAAAGTCCTATCAACAAGAAATTTATTTAACCATACCTCGACACTCGTATGAGCCTATATAGTTCAGACATACTTCGCCTGCTTTGCATTTGGGAGGCGACTGTGAACATTCATCGATATCTAAAAAATAAAGCCATTATAGGTCATTTTCCAGGGTAAAATACCTCTGACTGATTTCCATTCAGCTAATTGTGTAGTGACGTGAAATTTTAGCTCTAAACTGCAGAGGAGTAGCGTTTTCAAAAGACGATGGGCTCAACGCAAAAAAGGCTAAATTTCAATTTTTCTCTACACTACCATTATTCAGCAAACAGATGACCAAAATTTAAAAAGATCATTGTAAGCCAGTCGGTGGAATCTTGATACAACGCTGAACTCTCCTGACTAATCAACAAGGAAAGGACTGAAATCGTCTGACCCTTTCGCGACCTTACCTTCGCAAGGCCGCCTTGGGGCATTAGGATTACAAACAAAACCACTCCCGCACTGGACTCTTTCACACACAGAAAGCGCCTTGGCTGAAAGACAAAAACAGAATACAGACTCACACTTGTTGCGTTGGAAAATGACTGATGATCATAGTGAAGTTATTTATGGTATTTCCCCCCCTTCACAAAGCAATACACAAATAGAAATGGCAGAATGCAATAGCAGGTTAACATCGCGGTGAATGAATCTCCCTCGAAAAAGGGTTTGAATTTGCCTTTTCCGATTTTCTATGGAGAGGAGAGAGGAAGGGGGAAGGGGGTGGGGTTGATTTTGTTTATTAATCTCATAAGTTATGCCATTTGACTTATTGTATGATCCAGGACACCTGTTAATTTTGACTTTCTCTGAGCCATAAAAACTAATGGATGATCATCAATCTTCACATTCTGTGAGTGGAATTCCTATTTCATTCAAATGAACAGAATTTAAAGACAGAAAGGAACTTTAAGTACATATCAAGGTGATTTCCCGATCCCAGAACGCTATCGTCCTTTAGGTCTGGCCGATCTGAAGGGACTGGTTCTTGCCCGGCAATAAAAACAGGAGGTGAAAAGTCCGTTCCTTGCAGGTAGGGCTGTGTGAGTTGAGCCCTCCCGCATGTCCGTATGCCAGAAAGATTTAAATGACCTTGGATCTTCATCTGCGGGGCGTTACAGTCAGTTCGGTCAGAACCAGGTCTTTTATTTCATTTCTTCTTGTTGAAATATTTTATTTCACGGAGAGCTCAATTGTAACATAAGGAAAGCGGCCTTGGATTCAGGCATTTTCAGACTGTGAGGTTATCAGTGCATTGTATCAATTTGTAATAGGACTGAGGTTAATCAAGAATAAAGATAACTCTGTCGAAATTGCTCATCCTTGCCGTACATAGGAAGTGAGTCTGCAGGATGCCTAATATATTGCAACAAAGCTGAAAATACGTGCTTATATCGTGAGTAAACTAGGCCTAGAAACTTTTTTATTTTTGCTCTGTTTAAACATTTTACAACGCTTTTGTGAACCGAACATCGCGGCGCAAGTTCTTCGTAACTTGAAAGCAAAGCGTTAATGTTATTTCTACATGGCTTACATTGAAATCTTTGTCACGAGGTCAAATTGATATCCTTCGTCCTGTGCACGCGTGTCAAAACAATTTAAAATCATTTCTTGAGTCAATTTTTTGCTCACAGATCCCTAAAAAAACCATGATTCTTTTTCTGCGCTAAATTTGGATCCAAGTTGTTATGAGGGATTTTGAAATGGCGTAACGGTTTTTAGAGGTCTCATTTCAATTTCAGTGTAACGCCTGTCCAGTGAACGTCGCAAAGGTTTGGTATTTGAGTTGCAGGTACCAATGAATTTCTCTCTCATTCTGTTAGACTTATGTACAAAAGGACCCACAATTGGCTGAATAAAAAAAAATATTGCTTTAAGTCCGCCAGCTTTCCCTATAAAGCCGATGTTTATTTTCGCAAACTGAATGAATCTTTGAGTGGCTATGAAAATCGGAGACTTGTATCAATACATAATTTAACAGAGACCGAACGTTGTTCGATCTTAATTCGTGTTGGTCAAAAGACAATTTTTTTAGTGGGTCAGATAAAGTTGGACACGTTTTAATGCAAAGAGGTTGAACCTGACGAGAGGGGTACTGAACACAGATATCTCAGACTTCAAGCAGGATATTTGCCCACAAGGATGAAAAAAATAAGGATTGAGGCTGTAGATAAATTAATGATTACATTTATTCACTGCGACACTGAGAGGAAAGCAGTTATAATACAAATAAGCTTTTTACAGGGTGATAAGCTCGTAAGTGGAAAGTTCTTTCTCGATATTCTTCTATTTTGGAATCAAAAATTGATCAAGATAAAGTGCAGTAGGTAATATTTGATTTCTTGGCAAACATTAACGAAAAACTCTGCCAAATAACGTAAAACTTTCCATTTCTGTTTGCGGTGTTTTTTTAGGTCATTGTTCTAATTTTGGTACCCGTGTAAATCAGCTTGTGGCGAAGGATAGTTTCGCTTTTATTCATCTTAAAAAGCCTTTTATTCTCTTCATAATGAACGAGCAATTAATAAGTCGCTCTTGTCTAAATTACAAGTAAAGGCTAAAAAATTTCTCCGCCCTAAAGCTCTCAAATATTAATTCTAGAGTAAGGGGAAAATGCTTGATTAAATACCAGATATAATTTCATCCGGGAAGAAAGGTATACAAAAACTGAAATATCGAGAAATTGTTTGCCAAATTTCAATCCCGGGTGTTGGGCAAATTAGCAGTGGCTAATTACAAGTTTTTTGCTGCAATTGAAACTGTTTTCCGTAGAAATAAAAGAGAAGCCATTAGCGATATAAAACAAAACTTGATAGTAATTACCTTTAAGAATTTGCATGCAAACTACGGACAGCTGGCCAATTAGTGTCTATTCTCTTATCTTGAGAGATTAATCCTACAAGTGCTGTTTTTTTTTTTTTTCGATTTTAAAAACCGCATCTAAGACGTCCTTTTAAAAGTCTCGTTAAGCCATGCGGATATCCTGATTTTTTTTCGTTTTTACCATCATATTGATTAACCTCTGAAAGTAAGAAACAGGGCCGATTTTAATGACAGGAATATATGCTTGGTTAACCGTTCCATTTTTCAATTTGCTTATCGCGTTCGATAATTGCAATGGTTTTCTTTTCCCTACTCATGGATACCTGTTCTATTTGGTCTGCTCTGGCCAATAGAAAGAGTCGCGTCATTAGAGGTAATTACGAGCCGAAATAACAGTGTTTTTGTTAGGTCGCCGCCAGATATCATTAGCAATGAACACTGTCGATGACATACCGGAAGACAATGGTTTTACAAGAAATCGCTGGTTGAAAACTTCTTGTCGACATTAACTTCGCTGTATGCGCGTTGAAAACCACTTTTTGTCCGAGAGAAGGGAAAGACAAATCTTGACACAGCCTGAAATCATGGGTATGTACTAAATTTATATCAAATATCTACCTGGTTTGTTCTGTACGTGACCCCACATGACAGAATGAATCGAGTAACAGGAATTAAATGTTTAAAACACGAGGTAATGCTAAGCTCGACGGCGTAAATAACTGGCGTCTCAAAGTAGACGAAGAGGAACATATCACAAAATCATTTACCGTGCATGGCATGAACAAATACGAATAAAGACAAATCCTCAATCGCATAAAAAACCACACTCACTCATACAAAACATACAAATTTTTAGCTGTTTGACGTTGATGTAACCTGAGTGATTATTCTGGTAAAATTCTGTTCACTTCATCTCTACCTAGCCACGGAGAGCAAGAGCCTTGTAAAAACAGAGCAAAACGCTCATCTCTGCAGCGGCTGCAAAATGCCAATTACAGATCGCTACTTGTTGGAAGCTTTGGGACTTTATTGGCACGAAGGTTGTTTAAAATGCAACTGCTGTGAGTGCAAACTTGGTGATATTGGATCGACGCTTTACAATAAAGCGAACCTCATTCTCTGCAAGAGAGACTATTTAAGGTCAGTAAAGATGATTCCATATCAAAGTTCAAAATTAACTAGTAACCAAGTGCAGCGTCGTTTTATAATGAATTTAATTGGTAGCAATGTTTTGGTCTCGCTCGCAACCACCAACGAAGTTAATCAAAACACTGTTACTTGAATACTAGTTCAAATAAAAATTAGTGTTGCACGCACTGTAAAAAAAGAGAAATGAAGAAAAAGGAACATTTTCTAATACCAAGACACCTAAATCTTTCACTAAAACATCAGGTTAGTTTTTATACAGTTTTTGCGTTGGCAAACCGTGGCTAAACGGTTTATTTCCTGAACCTGTTTTTTGACGGTTCTCGCCAACAGATGAACTTTCGAACTGCATTTTATTAGCCTCTCCTAATTTTTTTTTCTCAGTCTAAGTGGAGCCTAGGTTAACCAAAGCGATTGAGAAAATTCCGGAACACTTAACTTCTATGAATCGAGGACATTAAAACAGATATCAAAGATGAGATCGCTTCCACTCGCAGCCGGTTGGCTCACAGGGGTGTGGCAATGTAAAGGGCTTAGACCACGTTTTGAAACCATTGTTCAGACAAGAGTCAGCTCACCGATAGGACTTCTTAAATTTAATATGAATCTAGGGATATGTCCTTTACCATATTAGGGAAGAGAGTGATTATTGAAAAGAAGAAATTAAACAATAACTGTCTCAGCTGGTACCGAACCGTTTTTAGAGAAGAAAAGAAGTCTACTTAAATTCTGACATCAGAATTCATACCAGCATATGAAATATTAGTGTTTAAGTGGAATTTTTGAGACAACGAGCGATGACTGAGGACGATAGCCGAATGGGCTACAATTTGTAACTGAAACAGAAAGGTTCTTATATTAGTATAGTTCTCTTTTGAGAAAAAAAGCAAAACAAAACAAAACAACAACAAAAAACATATCAATTCATTCGGAGAAACTGTGGTCGCATAACCGAGCGCGAAGCCACAGTTTTCAAACCTTGTGTTTCAAGTCGTTCTTCGCTGGTTCAACATTTCCTTGTTTTTTTTTTTCACTTAATACCCGCTGAGTATTAATGTAAGGTCGCCTTGCAAAAAAATTCAGTTTAGCACAGCCTTAAACTAACTCAATATTGTGACAGGAATTCTCAACTACATAACATGTTTTCATCACCCCTAACATGAAATTGAAACATACTGTGTCTAGTGGGTCAAATAACAACGTAGAGGATACTCTTTCGGCCCTGATTAACAATTGTAGTTACCGATATTGTTCTGCCTACAGGTTGTTTGGTGTCCCCGGTGTGTGCGCTGCATGTAACAAGCCAATAGCAGCCTTCGAATTTGTAATGAGGGCCGCGAAAAACGCATATCACATCGAGTGCTTCTCCTGTCAGATTTGCAGACAGAGGTTCAGAGTCGGAGAAAACTTCCATTTTTACAACAACAAAGTCCTTTGCTGGGATCATTACCGAATGGAGAAAGAGGAAGAAAGTATTGCAGAAAATACAGCATAAGAAACAAGAGTTAGGCAAGGGAGTTTTCCTTGCTTTAAGCTGCTACAGCACAGTTTTTCGAACGATTTTGCTATATGAAGAAAATTCAGTGTACATAGAAGAAGAGTAAAAAATAATCCTTGTAAATAAACACCTAAGAGATGAGAATATACCAAAAAAGATGATAAACAATGATTGCGAAGATCGGGGAAGATTGGAAATAATTAACTTCAAACATTTAAGCTAATTATTTCGAAATTGAAAAAATATGATGTAGCGTCTTTAATCTTAAAATTAAAAGACAATGATAAAAATAGTTTCAATGCCTCGATAGGCGTTCTCGTGCTGGCTTAAACCAGAAAGTTTTTATTAGTCCATAAAGAAAAAGTGTTAAACCACAAAAAATGTATTTGCAGGTTTGAGCTGATGAGGACAATGGCGCGAAAATGAGCTCAAAATTACGCGCTAAAAACCCGCTTCGGTGTTTGTATAGATATTTCAGAAAGACAAATGGAAATAATTTCGAATAGGGTAATAACGAAAAGTGATGATAACACGATAATAAAAGAATGAGTATTTATCCACAGATTAGAGACAATGCTGGAAAACTTTTAAAGGAAACTTAATAAATTCATGTCATGAAAATTTGGATCATTAGTACAGAGTGTCTTTTGGGGGGACTGGCTCTCTTAATCCTGTTTTCCTACGGCGCTAAATTTTTTGTTTCTTCTCACCGACGCATGATATGGCGTTTCAAAAAAGGTTAAAAACACAGAAAGGAGCGTTCCTTCCAAGTAGTTTCAATAGCGCTTTCGAATTCGCTCTCAAATAAGCTGCAGATGCCTCGTTGACTGGCAGGACATATCTAATGGTAATTGATATGAGTGGAGTGTTATTTGTATAGGTAATCACATGATTTCGAGTGCAATTTGGAATAAATAAGCACGAGTAAATTTTTTTAAAGACTAACAAAATTGCACGAGCCCGTAGGGCGAGTGCAATTTGTGGTCTTTGCAAAAATTAGCAAGTGCTTGTTTATTCCAAATTGCACGAGAAAAATCATGTGATTACGTATTAATAATATACATTGAAAAATACGAGATGGCTTATCATAATTAAATATAAGCAAAGCGCGCGCATCAAGTGCAAAAAATAATTTATTCAAACCGTGCGTTCGGTCAAAATAACCGCGTAGGAGTCAAAACAATAATAGGCAATGATATCTTCACATCTTTAAGGTGCAAGAAAGTTCAAAGTCCGACTAAACAGTTCAAGGAATTGTTCAGTCTGTGTCCGAAGCACTTTCGATGAAATGGAATCGTCTTTTCCGTGGTTTAACTATGACTGTCTTTAATTTCGGCGTTGGATCGCTCGAGCAAAGTGTTAAGCTGGGTCGGCTCGTAATTTTCGATTTCCTTGGCAATTCCCTTCTCTAAATACCACTTTTCCCAAACTGACAACCAAAAAGCAATGCTTTTTATAGTGTTTTCGTTGTTTAAGCTGTTTTTCAGCTGCGGTGGCGAAAGAAAACCTACTTAGAACGCCGGCCATTGTTTCGCTCGCAAATTTTCAAATTTTCAAATTTTGTTGCGCCATCCAAGGCTCGCATTTGATTGGCTATCTGTGAGTTTCTTTGATTATTAAACAATCAGAATGTCTGATTTGTTTCTTTCTTTGCACTAAATTAACCCTCTTCTGCACTGAATTAACTCTCTTCTACACTGAATTACCTGAAAACTGCATTTATCTTAACCAATCAGAACTGAGTAATTTTTCCATGTATATTATTATATTATATTACGAGTGATTTCAAAATTGAACGAGTGCGCAGGGCGAGTTTGATTTGAAACCACAAGTGTGATTTCAGACCGAAAAATGCACGAAATGAAATTCAATTACCATTCCATTGCATCTATTTAGGAATCACAAAATGCAGCCGCTCAAATAAAGGATTGTTTAAGTCTGATCAAATATTTGATGTTAATCCGGTGCTAAGCTGGTTTGTAAAAAGTTGCAAAAGTTGTCTTTCATTTTCATTTTTTTAAATTGGTTACTTCAAACAAGCCTTGAAATGTGATTGGTTGATGTGTTGTCAATAAAGGTTAGGGAAAGGATGCGATTGGGAGCAAAAAAATGTGCGATTCGTGAATAAATCGCACCGATGATAGCCAATCAGTTTGCAAAGATCACCAGTGATTTCAAAAAGGATGTAATTAATGCGAAAACATCCTGTATACAAAGATGGGCAACATCCTATTATTATCTAGTAAGAGTGTTATGGTATATGAAACGCCTCTTAATTGATTGTTCAAAAGGGTAACCGTTTACTTACAACAATGATAACAGTTACAGCTTACGTTTGCATGTTCCGTTAGCAGTGAGTACTTGGTCTGATCTGCATACAACAGTGATCCTGGTACACTTGTAAGATCCGTCCGTGTTCTCGCACCTCGTACCCTGGGTACAGGAAGATTTGCCGGATGAACATTCATCGATATCTAAAAGTATAAACATAAGTTATCGTCAGAAATAGAAATGTGCAAAGGAGAGTTAAAGTCCGCAGGCGAGAACTGATGCATGGCCGACGAAGCTTATCCCAGTCTTAACAGCGAGGATGAACAAACCAATAGCATGGGTTACCTTCTTCCCCTGGTAGGGTGTTGCACCATGGAAAGTAGCTTCGTATCCAGACCTCCCGTTTAACTCTGCCCGTGAAAGGTCTAGGTACGAGACTTTATGGAAGGTTATCGCGCTCCGCTCCCCTAGTCATTCTGAATGGCTTCGTTCATTGTTTAATGGTACCCAGTTATAGTTTTGGGTGAAGTAAGGCACAACACAAGTAAAAGTGACGATTCTGTAATGATTAAATAATTTAAGGGAAGTAGGAGTTAAACGTGGGACTGAATGTCAACTTGAACATCTTACCCTCGCACTTGTTATTGAGTAACTGCCGCCCTTTTTCACACTGACATCGATAAGACCCTTGATTGTTGACACAGCTTGAGTACTGAGGGCATCGGGCCTCTCTTGTGCTGCACTCGTCCTTGTCTATGGATTTTAATAGAAACATGTAACATCTGATTGCTGTGAGTGAACTCGCTGATAAGTCTTCTTTAGTATATCACCATTTTCATTTTGGGCTAGTCCGTGTCATTTACATAAATCGTAATAGTTTCATTGGGTCACACTTCATATGGTTTAATGTTTCGCGTAACATGGAGGCACTTTTTGAGGTAAAATTCAAATGAGGCTATGTTCAGACATGCCACATCATTAATTGTTTGTCACCTCATGTCATCATGGTTATTTCATTTCTATTCGTGCGCGTCACTCCTTTCAGTTCGCGTTACATTGGGTCAGTTTTCATCACTGACCGATATGTTTTGAGGGAGTTCGTATCATCAAATACAAATCATAGTAATAAATGCTGATACCACGTTAAAATTCATCTACCCTGCGTTTTTCACTAAGCTTCTTCAAATTGTGTAGGCTTCCAGTGAACGCCCTATAGCCATGTTCAAAAAAAGTACCTGGATTACTGAGCACATCCACCATATTTCAATTATAATTTCTTGATTTAAGACTACTGACCGATGCAGAATGTCCCAGAAGCTTGGAAACCACTCCTGCAGGTACAAACGTAAGATCCATCATTGTTAACACAGGTCTGCTGTGCTCCACAGCGATGAAGTCCACGCACACATTCGTCTATATCTGTCCATCAAAGAATAATATACAGTTAAAAAACACTTCCATCTCAATTGAGCAGGTTTGATATCTCGTGAGTATTACGATTGGTGTATGACTTACAAAAACGCATGTGCAGGAAGTCGAAAATGATGTCTAAACTGCGCCACATCGAAACTTTTCACATGCACGCCTAAAAATTGTGGCAGAAGTTTGGACGAAGTTCTTAACATTACAGGTGCGAAAGGCAGAACGTACTTCGGTGTTTGCTTCTCAAGTTACTTAAGTAAACGATATTACTCAGTTAAAAAAGAGGCTCGACACGTTATTTTCCAACGATTAAACTGTTCTCTGCGGGATATCTGATATCTTTTAGTTGCGGAAGGGGCAAACACGTTAAACATAGTAATTCTCCTTAAGATATCTATAATATGTAGAAAAAAATTCGATGGGAATAAAGAAACAGTTCCTTTTTAACTAGAGGGTGTTATCTTGGAGAGAGTTGAAATACCGTTCTGGGGAGCTTCAGAGAAACTGTGTAAATAATTCAGCTACCAAAGAACCTGCTTCAGCAAGTTTCGTTTGACATAAAATTAGATAATAGACAAGATAGCAAGTAAACAAGACAGGGTGAGCTCGAAGTCTGTTATACTACTTGGAGAGTGTACGCTCTGCGAAGAGACAACTAGCTTCTATCGTTTCACAGAAGAAAAATAACACTCACCTACACAACTTCCATCCACTAGTTGTTCCCCCAGTTTACACGCTGCCTCCGTTGTTCCCTTCTCACAACGATAACTGCCAGGAGTGTTGATGCACCGTTCTAAAGGACTGCATGTATTACCACCTCTTAACTTACACTCGTTGATGTCTTTAAGAAAAGGAAAGTTGATGGTATACTCAGTGAGTGGTTTGAACTTGGGGGTTCTTATCTTGCATCATTAAGATTTAATTTCTTTTCTCAAGACTACTCTAACTCACAAGTTCAGATCACACGATCACTGGAAGTTATTTCTCTAACCAAAAGTCACGCACCCGACATGAGTCACGCACTAAACATGAGTCACGCACTAAACATGAGTCACGCAGTTTGACCAGTTTATCAGTCAACGTGGGGCGAAGTGGTCATGACAGGTAAACTGCCCAAATAAGGCATGGGTATGTTTTGAAAATACGAAAACAAGTTCGGAGCAAGCTTTGGCCCCTCCTTTTGGAGCCTGTGTGTAGCTTGCAGCAGTTACAAAAGCCAGATTCACCTGCAGAATGGATACAGAATACACAAAGTCCAATTAAAAGTTCAATAAGACTGCGGCCTTGCCTTGACAAGATACTTTGTCAGGTTTCAAGAGGTATCCATCTCGACAGGTACATTGTGCCCCTTGTGTGGGTGAATCTTGGCATTCCTGTTGACAGAAATTGTCGGAGCACTTCGGCTTTCTGGCGGTTGGAAGGACCGTAGGGAGAGATATCGTTCCTGAGGAGGGAACATTCACCTTTTCATCAGTCTTTAATATAAATAAACAGACACCATCGCCAATGCTTATCTTAACAGTGCGCAGGGCGCTTGGCGTCGGTATATGAACCTAGTATAGGGCCTAGCTCACCGAGTTCACCAAGTTATCTGTAACTTGACTCAGTTGGAAGAGGAAAAAGAGGCTATAGAAATTTTCTGGGCTTCGAATTCTAGGACGTATCCCTGGCTCATGCAATCGTCTTAAGTATTCTGATCCAGACTGTAGAAATGATAAAAAATGACAAAATTCTCGAACTTGAAAGGACATCTGAAGCCGGGCTGCCAACTTTTGTCACTAGTGGACAGTACAAGGCACATGCACGTGTAATTTTACAGTACACGTCATTTGCGCGCGCTGTTATAGAGATCAGTGGGTACACTTTCTCGTGGAAAAAAAAATTCAAACGTCATGTTTCATTTATGAATAAGTTAATTCGGTTAGCATTTTATCTCTAAAAGTTTGTTATAGTTGACTTAATTGGTAACGGGACTGAATGTCGTCCAGTTCTCTCTCTATTTATACTCGTGAGTAACAAATCGAGTACCCGCTTAGTCATCGTTCGATTCTGATAATCGCGAAAGAGATGATTACAGGTCGAATTGGATCTTACTCTGTCCGAACATAATTATCTGCGGGTAGAACTGAGCATCAAATTTCAGCAACATTGCCTAACGAAGTAGGTTAGAACAAATCAATAGATAAGGGGTTTCGTTCCTGTCTCAGTGGTCTTCCTAAATTGCAATTTCATCCAAAAATTTGGCAAATACATTGCCGTCCTTAAGTGCTCTTCTGATGATCGGGAAATTGACCTTACCTTTGCAACACTGTTTAAATGTTTTGATGCATTGAATGCTTGAGTTGGATAGCAGCATCGCCGGGAACCTTTCCGCTGAGCAAGTGGTATCGTTGTTCGCTTTGGCTATGACTCCCAGAGAACAGCAGTCGCAACACTCACGGAAATCATCTCCGCCAACAAAAGGCATGAACCTGCCACAGGAATTCCCGAGTCTAAAAAAACATGAGATATATTACTAGACTTTGCTTTAAAAAAGCTTTTAAATACTTAAATTGTTAGTTCTTAATAAACTTCTAGGTAATGGTTTTTGCATATTGAAAGAAATTGTATTCCTTTTAAAGTTAATGCGTCCCTTTCTGTCACTACTTACAACGCTTCAAAAATTCCGCTCTGGCAGCTTTTCTTCTGTATTTCTTTCATACAGCATACCCTTTCAGACAACCGACAAATCCAACGTTCAAACTTAGTATTAAATCGTCGCCTGTCCAAATCATCCGAATTACATGAAGAAGGGTCATAATTCCTTGAGGCCTTGCGGTGACCTTTAGTACAGCATCGACCGACCCAGTTCATGTAACTCTGACCTGTCAAAAAGGAAATGTGAAAAAGCTTATGTGTCAGTTGCACATAAAGAAATTGGTAACTCAAATCTCTTCCTTTATTATACACTTAACCATTTACACTTACCATTCCTCTCAGCAAAGCGTTAATAAAAAGATCATACCTCGTGGCATTACAAAGAAGCCCTATCTCGAATTTGAATTTAGGAAGTTGGTTTGGTGAATAAAAGAACTCACAGACAGCCGACGGAACCAAGACGATGTAATATTCTGTCCGAGAGAAGTCGATTTAATTTCAACATGGCTCTGTCAAGATCCCCGTGCGAATAAAAACAGCGGTTGAACGTCGGGCATGCGCGAGGGGATCAGTTCCGGTGAAATTTCACAGGAAAATATAACAAACAACCGCTGTTTAGCAAAATGTGCGAAAGAAAATTGACAAGTTCATAAAAATCTGTTATTGGAAACAAAAGTAGGGAAAAGGAAAACTCGAGAGAATTTTCGAACACAAAGCCTATTCAAGCACTGGTATCCTGTCATTACAACGTTCACTTATGCAGAGACGTTTGACCGCTGTGTTATAAGAAAGTTTAGTATCCACGAAATACCGCTGATCATTACAGACGAGAGCGAACGAATAAAAAACTCTCATGTTGTATCATGCGTGACGGACACGAAGGGGAAGAGAGAGAACAGCCCTCCTTTGGTTGCCCTTGTGGTTTGCTTAGTGAGACCTCTATTAAATTGAGTCCACTACGCATGGTTATCCATCCTTGTTTTGAACAAAAAAGAATATTTGAATCCTATTAGAAACATCTCTCAAATTGATTATCTTATCATTCATACAAGATTATTGATTACCGCTGGCCTGTGATGGATGTCTTAATCGTTGCAAAATATTGGATTAGTAACAAATGTGGAGAGGAAGGGAGTTGACGGAAAATAAACACAAAAAAATGTCTGAGGTAACTTTAGGGGTCAGCGGAAAAATCTCGACATAAATCTGCATTCCAACTAATGTTTGCGTGATTGAAATGATTGTCACACTCCTCACATCGACAAAATAATTTTACCAATGTGACAGACGTCTCCTATTGCAAGTACGAGGGTTTATTTGATTTGCTCAAAACTAATTGAAAAATAACGACAAATAAGAATACAAACAAACCGGAAAAACTTTGTAAATCGCATTAAATCGATTTTTTGATAACAGCCCCTACGACTTCCGCAACTTTATATTTTCCTAGCTTTAAAACAAACTAGACTCTGTTCTAGACCATCTGAGCGTTATTCTATGTACTCAAATATCAATAGTACAAAGTTTGAATTAGTTTTAAAATTCCTTTTCCCTTTGATGTCGGGGAGCAATGTTTAACAAGTTCTAACTCTGCACTGACTTTGATAAGATTGGTGGAAATGGAAAGATATATGTCGGATTAGGAATCTGAGCATTTAACCTCAAAAGTTAGGTGCTACCCTTTTAATATAATATTTCTTTTGCACTAAAAGTTTGAAGCTCTGGGATCAACATGTCGTCTGTGGTAGAAACATTCCCTTTGAAAAACAATGAAATGAACTGTTGACGCACAAATTGATCTTGGTACAGATAATTTCGCATCACGCACAAATTGCTGGCCTTTGGAACCTTTACAGAAACCTTTAGTTAATTAGGAGTGGCTGTCATTAGACGATAAGCACAGTGAAGATTGATGTAGCTGGGGAATCGCCAAAAAAACAAACAATCTTGTCGGTTGCCTTACAGGAAATAGGACTATTTATCACACTGGGCTTTTATCACACCCATGGCTTTTAATAGAGCAGAGCAGGACGAGACGTTGGAGATAACATGTTTGAGTGGGAGATAACATGTTTGAGTGCAGATCGAATGAAGCTTTTGTCCTCATTATGAGGTACTAATAATCGAACTTACTTCACAGTTTGGACAACTGGAAGATGAAGGATTACATATGCCTTATATCAAACTGGTGTCATAGACATTTAACTGATGTATCAAATAAATTCCGTACGGTTTATATTTTGCACTGGTATTTGAACACAAACAACATTTAAATCTACTGATTACGTCTAAGAGAAAGCGCGAATTTCTGCCAAAGAAAGAGCGACTAGCATTCGTAAACATAAACATAACTCTTCGTCCATTAACTGGTTTCTAGAACAGACGCAAATAACTCGATCACGTCCATTACTTGCTGTCAAATAAAACGCCTCTAAACTCACCATGCACGATGTAAAACTGTGCCAGAGAAATACCCACAAGCAGTAAAATCTTTGACGAGAACGCCATACTCTAAATTCGCTCTCCACACAAGTCGGTAAAGACAGCTATGCGTGCCAAACTGCGATCGAGCAATTCAAGGCTCGAGGTAAATAACTACTGACCTGTGACTCTTCTCATGACGTCATGAAATTGAACACGTCCGCTATTATGTTGTGTTAAAAAGCTTGAGGCTTTTTTCTGTCAAAATGATATATGAATGACAGAGGCTTCTTCCTCTCCCAGATTCCAAATATTTTTTTAAATTCTAGCCCCTGATCTCCCGAGATATCATTATTGGGATCGCATTCAACAGAATGATCTTACCCCCGCCAAAATATACCTCGTAAAGTGTAATATAAAAAATCTGTTTCTAGGTCAGAATCTTTCTTCTTAAAGATCGCAGACAACTGTTACAAATGGCGAGAACAAAGCTTACGTGTAGCCGTACCCTTCACCCCTCCCCCCCCCATTCCCAAGGAGAAACGGAAGGGAAGGAACGTCCACGAAGCGCGCTCTATGAAGTAACTCTTTTGCAAGAAAATATATAATTACTTTAATTGGTTAACCCTATTTTATTTCGTGAATTCTGATTGCTAGAGTTGGTGGTTTTCTTTTATACTAATATCACGCTGTTGACTAGAGTGCTTTCATGGTCAACTTTACGGACAATAGCGACTTGCGACGAGGTTTTAAGGCAAGTTTGCGCAACCTTTGGGATAGAGACATTTGAAGAAGAACGGCAGAAAGCCATAGATATGTTTTTCGAAGATAACGACGTCTCCGCCTTGTTACTAACTGGCTATGGAAAATCTCCAATATATCAAGCCGCGCCAGAAATCGATCGCCTCTCTTCTCCAGAAGAAACTGTTCACAATATTTGTCGTACCGCCCGTTAATTAAAGCGCTCCTGGAAGACCAGGTAGACTTGGGCCAAGAGGACTGTCTGACTACAACTTTCGGTCTCTTTGCGAACGGTGCTGCGAAGCAAATAAATTTAGTTGTTTCTTGCAGCGATCCTTTCGACTGAGAAAGAAATCGCTTATTCTTCAAACGTGCAGCGTAACTATCTCGTAAAGAAAGCTGTAAAATCTTGAGATTCTTCGGCAAATGATCCAACTTTTTGAGATGACCGTGGCACTATCTACTATTAATGTAAGCAGAAACCGCGTGGGCGTTGATATGGTTTCATAAGCGCGATGAGGAGAGTTTTAGTTGATCCGATGCCAAATCCTCCGAAATTGTATGGCAGACAGTAAGGACAATTACCAAAGAGAACTTTAGCTGGTTTAAATCGTTTGAAAATATTTTCGTCTCATTGTTATTCCAGTATTTGTGAATTTTTACGCACCAGGATAGAATAATTTTTTTTTATCTTTTCCTCTTTGCTCAAGATGGTTTTACATTAAATTGATTTAAATTTAAATTTTTGTAAGGAACGAATTTGGGAAAGGAATAGTTTACCTGGTTTTATATTGAGCACTCGATAAGATTATCGTATAACCCTACACTGTTCTAACATAAAGCCGCGGTCTCAAAGCCAATCATCTTTTCAGTCCACCATTGTTTTCTTTATCTTAGAACTATATGCATAATGAAGAGTAAGACTGTGCGGAAATCTTGCCGAACACTTTTTTAAAGATTTCATTTCCTTCTAAAAACGCTTTAGCTTGAATCTTCCAAAGCTGTCTGACAAGTGTTCGTTTACTGATGATATATATTATCAGGAATAGTTTGCAGCTTTACAATAGTCACTGAGAGATTTCTTTTTTATTGTTTTTCATATACTTCACCTGTATTTGGTTTTATGCACCAGAATTTGGATCAAGATCTTTTAAGTGTGAATAGAAGTTTGCGAATGCCATTTTATCCCCCGAATTTTTTGGCATTTTCGCCGACAAAACGAACATAAGGACATCATTGCGTCCTGAAATATTGATAGAAGCACAGCGAATGATGATGAATATGCACAAAACAGCCGGCCAATTATCGACTGTACGTCACAGACAGTACGGAATGTTGTTTGCACGTTCAGCCAGCTAATGAAGAATTAAGAATGTGTAACTGTTTAGTTTCACACAAAGCGCGTTAAATGGAATAGAATGCAATTAAAATGAACGTTATGTACTGTCGTCTTCTTACAAAGGAAATATGATAAAAATCAACGTATCTTATTTCTCTTGTGAAGAAAAGGTTGGACCAGTAGAATGCAGAATGAAAAGAATGTAGTCTTTAATTACTACGACAGGATTGTGAAAAAAAGGGGGGAAAGGAATGCGTTGGTTTTACTTTCTAAGGAAGGGAATAAAAATGAATAGAATGTTGCTGTCATCCTCCTGTTCAAGTGGATCACTTCCTAAGGATACAAGTAGCTGCTATTCAGTGTAAACCGGAGCATCGAGAGACAATAATCCCAATAGACCTGTGCCTTTCAATTAATTGCCAAAACAATTGGTAAACAATTGTTGGGAATTTTTAATTGAAGTCTGACAGCTTACTAACTGAGTTACTTTTAAAATTAGCGCGGGTAGGGCTGCAAGACGTTTTAAAAATCATTTTCAATGTCGATAATTTTATAAATGAACCTCGTTCTCGGCGATGAAGACCATGGTTTTCTCTGTTTAAGTTTCTCACAGTTTTGTACTGCAATTTTCTTTATTTTTTTTAGTAAATTCCCAAAGAATAGAAAGGAAGAGAAATAAATAAATGACAAATTCATCTCAACCTGGCCTAATTGGACGCAAATTGCGAGGATTCTTTGATATCTTTTTCTATTTTGAGGGCACAAGACCAGGCTGCAATGGAGAATATCTCTCGAGCGCCCCGGAAACAGGACCCTCAAAAACTCCCGGCATTTCACAAAAAATAATACACGACTATTCCACTCAGTCTTTATTGAACGACTACTTTTTTATTAAGCTGATGTAATACAAATTCTTGACTTTGGTATTAAATAGTAACTGTTCAACAGGTTTTCCAAAACTGTTCCAATGGTACAAAATTATTATTTACACATTCTACAAATTAGCATTTTGTTTTTTAAGACGGCTTAAAATTGAGCGTCAAAACTAGCTTTGATCGTGAGAAATCATAAAAGAAAACAATGAAGTAATGTTAGGTAGCAATCGTTTGCAAGAAGAAAAAGGTTAAAGAATAGTTTCTTTGACAATTCTTTGAAAAAACGGGGTGCATACAAAACTAGTTTATTGTTATAATTTGAATGAATTACTGATAATCAATAACTAATAATTGCCAAAGAAACAGTTAGTGATCAAATTACATCGGAATTCTTTTCTCAGGACTTCTTTAATTAAGACAAATCCTTTACATACCTGCGCTATTTTGACCATTCATTGGACCAAGTTCGCATATACGTGTTTTTTTGTTTAAGTTCTCAGTTCCGCTGATTGTTTATTACAAGCATAAAAACAAACGCGACAAAAACCTTTGGTTGCATTTTTTTCAAAAAGGACAATTACTTGAAAAATTCTCAGAAAGTTTCTACGAATGTGAAGAGGATAGATAATGTTCTGGATAGAAACGCGTTCTTTGAAATAGTTAATTAAATTGCTGATTGAAATGATAATTTTTTGGTAAAAATATTCCGCATTGCACTTGACAGAGCCCTTTGGTAAACAGTAGGCATGCAGGTCATTTGTTGCTGTGCCATTATTGATTCAACAAGCTTAGTTGAAGACATGGCTTGAATCAAACGAAGTCATCAACAAAGTCTCTTTACTCTGACAAAGGCTCAAAGTCGTCGAAATTTCCTTCCCAGGTAACAACAACTTTCCTTTTATAGAAAACTATCGAAGGGTACTTTCAAGTATGAATCATGCAGTGTGATTTGCGCAGTGTCTTGGAGCACAGAAAGCATCAGACTCTAAGATGATAATGACCGTGAGTTCACAGATTTTCCACAAGTGGAACAGTGAGTGTGTACGAACTTGTGTTAACAGTTTTAGCGGGAATGGTCGTCATCATCATTGGACGAGTTCCGCGAAAATAGCATCGAGGCGAATGCAAGATACCGAAACTGCTTACTGAGCGCAATGAAGCTCGACATAGAATATATGTTTTCAATTATTTCACTAAAAGTTTGTATTAAGACCTCGAGCGTGTTTTCGAGTTTGTCCTGGAGTCGAAAGGATCTCTAAAACTATTCAAGGCAGTACAAAACGTATCAGAATTTCAAAGTTTGCATGCACGCTAATATTGCCTACGTGTTACTTTGCCTCTGGCCTTTTCGCATGAATTAATTGTCTATTGAAGTTACTTTTACCTGCACCACAAAAAGTGCATTATTTTGGAACATACTTAAAGTACAGAAACTACCTTGAACTTTGAGTAAGTTTTTGGTTAATCGAAATTTACTGCTCCCATAGTAGCCGTAGTAATTTCGATATGCCTGTGTAATTCCATCAGTATTCTCTGTAGGGGAAGAACAGTTTCTCCTCTTAGTTTGCCATTGGACAAATGATTCAGCACTCGATTCCAAAGGCGAAGGAAAACGTTTTGACTTCGTGGAGCCGCGAGATCCTAACAAATCCACAATCAGACAGACGTCACAGAAAAATTAACTTTCGTTTCCTCTTTAGAACCTCCTGGCGGCGCATTACTATTTCCAGTTCTCTCTAAAAGAGATATCAGAGCTTCCACTCTGCTTTCTAGTCTCTGCATATTAGTAGCCATTTCCTCGAAACGTTCCTCAAAGTTCGCTTTTCTCGAAGGTCTAAACTCAGTTTTACAGTCAGAGCAGGTCGACTTCGCTAAACTTATTTTATGCTGTGGAGCTTCCTCTGTAAAATCCTTCTTGATAATTTCATCCTCCTCCTCATCTTCTTCACTTGTTCTAACATTTTCATTTACATCATCAGGCGATTCCATTTCGATGTTAATTAACCGCGTTACGTTGATAAAACGCCCAACTGTTTCATTGGAGGTGTTATCTTCTATAGAAATACTCTTGTACTTGTTTAAGTCTCCATTGCCGAGCCGCTCTTTCGAACTGTGAGGAGGTTTTTTTTCTAGCAACTTACTGCTTCGAACGCCTAACATTGGTTTCATTTCAAATTCGTGATCCACCATCAATGAGTTTTTCTTGTGCGTACAAGATGATTTCCTCAACCCTGACCCATTCTTGCCAACTTCGTTAACGCCTCCATTACCATTTTCATTTGCAACGCCCTGTAAGAAAAAAGACCAGTCATCTTATCAAAATTGCGTTTTAAGAAATATTTCAAAATTATTCGAATCATTAGCGACAATTAAGTAATAAATTTCGAATTAACCACACTTGGTAGAGACCCTACTGCGAGGATATCGAACTTCCCATCAAGTCCTCGAACCGATATTTTGTTAGTACAGCCCCCGCGCTTGGTTAGTGAGGGATATGTAGAGCAAATTTCATGGAAAAACCAGTGACGGATACAAGGGAAGGGTCCATTAGGTCGGGGCCGAACGGGTTGTATACATTTAGTAAATTCCGAGTCGAGTAAAACAAAATAAATCACCTCATCATACAGATCATTTTGATCAGCAGCGTCCATCATTCTCAGTAGCTGAGAGCGTAGGTTAGGATATGACCTCAATATGTCTGCCAGATCTTTGAGCTTTATCACATGACAGTCCACGCATGTTGACGCTCGTAAGGTCACTACAGCCCGTGGACGAGAAGAAATTTGCCTTAAACTGGCACCGTATGCATCTCCTTCCCCTGTAACATCGACAAAAATAAAAAGGAATAAGAGGACTGTCACTTAACTGTTTAATACGGCCACCTGAATGCTTATCCGCAAAAATGCTTCTGCTCATTTTGGGTAGCAACAGAAGAGGTTAATAAAAACATATCTATGTTTGTGACATCAAAATTTCAAAGCAATTTCTCGGTCAATCAATCGATCGATCGATCGTCGATCAATCGGTTGTTCAGGCGGTCAGTCAGTCAGTGGGCCAAACAGTCAGTTAGTTAGTCAGTTGGTAATCATCTTATTATCTGGTCAGTCAGTCAAAAGGAAGAATGTTTAAAATTTATTTACCACGGATATCAATGCTGCGCCGCTGTGCGCTTTCTGCCTTCACTAGCGCCTTATCTTGTCTTATCAAGATAGAATACAGCACCAATCTCCTTAAGAATATAGGAGACAACTGTAACAATACCTACGGCAAAATATTTTCATCCTCTTAAATCAATATGTGACTATAAAGCCTTCCACTCCCTGAAAACATTTTTTGTCGACTCACGCATTCTTCCACGTGTTTCGCTGTACATCATGATGTCGATTTTCCCCCGCCTGACAAGATGCACAGAGTCGACATCATCACCCTCGTGTAGAATTTGGTGGCCAGGAAGGTGATGATGTCGGTGCATCTTCTTCGAAAGCGCTCTCAAGCAGCCATCTTCGAAATCTTGGAAGAGAAATGAGTGAGACAGAACAGTAAGGTGCATGTGAAGGTGAACTTCGTATTGAAGACCATCCGGAAACTTTTGAAGGACCTGCGTGATAAGTTAAAAAAAAGTACGTTAAATCCCTTGAAACCAACTGCTTTTTTTTAATTTGATTCATTCAACAAAAGTAACGTGTGTGACAAGACTGCTTAACTAAATCAGTCGCATTTCGATTGAGTGTCGTAAAAATGAAGTCAAAGTACTTCAAGCTTCCATTAGAAAACACGAACTGGTTCTCTTACGGTTCCAATGATAAGGAGCCAACTAACGGAAGCGCAGGAAATCGTGAGTGACACTGGGTTGCGAGTTGCAACGAGTCTCAGTTTGGGATCAGAGAGAGTGGCGTGCATTTCCTAAACCAGTCAAAGAGCGAAGCAAAGCTGGACCAAAGCAATCCTAGATCACTTTTGGTGCTGAAAACTAATCTTCATCTGTAAACGCTACTTTCGGCCGTTTTTCTTTCGTTAGTTTATCGTTGTCCGGAATCAACGGATAAGTATCGCTCACAGGCGCTGGAAACCGGTGACAACAGTGTCCGTGTAAGAGAGCAATGAAAGTAAAATGAACACGTGATACTTACCCTTGCCATGTCTGTTCCTTTGGTTTGAGACCAAGTGTGGCGCGAATAATCCCTGAGCCTTCTAGCCAGCGGATTTTTAATCTTAAAATAGCGAATGAATTCGTTGATCTGCAGAGACTCCTTGCGATATCGAAAGTTACTTGAGTACTGGCCGTGAATGATGGCCGTCACATTTCCAAATATAGCGGCGTGCATCACAGCTGGGGGCAAAAAAAATCGATTTACTGTAAATTACTTGAAGATTACATGTATCCTTAGACGTAGATTTTGCTAATAACTGTACACAAATGTCGTTGAAATCACGACTCTAAACTTGCAAATTGCGATGAACATCTAGGAGGGGGCCGACACCATACCAATTTAAAATGCGTACGGACTTACCACCCATAAGCATACAGCATATCGAGAAAATCCTCTCTCCATCTGTATTTGCTGCCACATTACCAAAACCCACAGTTGTACACAGAGTCATGACGTAATAAAGCGACGTCAGATATCTGGATCGAAGGGAGGGACCGCTGGTCGGATCTCCATCCTCGATCGGTTTCTCCAACTGATAACCCAGAACACTTAGCCAGGACAAGCCGTCGTACGTCACTGCCTCTTGTTGCCCGATTGCATACCAAATGCAGGCTAACCAATGAGCAACCAGCATAAAAAACATGATCATCAAGAACAATAACGACGTCATGTACTCATAGTTTCGATCCAGCTTCCGCGCGGCACGAAACAGCCGTAATAGTCGAGCTGTTTTAAGAAGACTAAACAACATAGTGTTCTGAAAGTAAAAACAGAGCAGATCAGCCTTTATCGAAAGTCGACACTTTTCACGATATCATTCGCTTGTGACCAATGGTTCGCATCTACTACTATTTGCTCTCTTAAAGTAAAAACCGCTGTCCACCGTTAACCCTTTAACCCCTGAGAGGGATTGGTAACAATTTTCCCACACCAGTATCACCACTAAAGCAAGCATTGAGGTCATGAGAATAAAGGAAATGATCACCAACTAAAGAAGCTCTTGATTGTTAAACAAATTCTCCTTGCCAGCATATTAAGAAATGTATAGAGTACAGTATGGAGAATATGCATACTGATGTTGGGATGTGAGGGTTAATGAATTTCATTTGGAAAGCCAAATCTAAGGAGCACGAAAATGTTTTAAAATAAAGACGAGAATTTTAATAACCGTCTAAAAAAATCAAAGATTTGGCCGCAACCTAGCAAAGTGTAATGAATGCTAACAGTGGAGTGCATGATCTCACCACATAAATAACTCGCTTGTTAAAAGATAGTGAGGCCAATTGATCGCCTTAAACTGCGACCTTCGTTAAAATGGTGAATTAACGTGCCGTTAGGGTCGGTATTAAAACAACGTTCAGCCGCTAATCAGCAAAACCATGTGCTAACCATATCTTAAATTTTTCCTTTTCAGGAACAGCGTCTAAGACGCTCGTAAAGTCAGCAATGGAAAATCATATCTTTACTTAAAACATCCACTTGTAAATAATATTGAAGTCTGTGGATTGCTTAAAACAGCGACTTTTACCCTTTAACCTCTAAGAGTGACCATCATCCGTTTTCTCCTTACACAATCGCCACTGATTCAAATATTAACGTTATGAATAGGAAGGAATAAACGCCAGGGTAAGTATTTTTTAAATGGTCAAATATGCTATTCTCCTCACAATTTTCATAGGGAACGTACAGAGAGCAGTGTGGAGAATCTGCACACTGATGTAAGGGTGTACAGGGGTTAACCGGTATGTTTCAGGTCAGTTCTCACCTCCTCTGTCCCAGAGTTAAGGCTGGCCAGCAAGTCCCAAGGGATGGCAGCTACAAAATCTACCACAAAGTAAGTCTTAAAATAATGAACCGCGATCTTCCACGGATTGGTGATGAGGACTTCTCCTTCCTTGACGTATGTGGTGCGGAAGTTCATGACAATGTCGATCATGAAAAGGAAGTCTATGATCAGATCAGTGTACAGAAGTGGATAAGCCTCAGGGTATCTCTGTCTTAACTTCTCGAAAAAATCTAGTGAGGATCCACCAGCTGCGAATCGATAAAAAAAGAAAACTGCGATTAGTTTTTAGTCAGTGTGGATCTGAACCAGTGTGTCTTACATGGCACAAAGTTTATCACACTCCCTTGCCCTAAGAGTTTGGATAGCAATTGATGTATCAAAAATACCTACGTTAATACATAAATAAATAACACATCAAAGGAAATGAATGAAGGAATAAACATATTAATCGCTCAATTAACGTCAAAGTAGCATCACCATGGCGTCTCAACGTAATAACCATTTACACCCTAACATTAACGTTTATATTCTTCACACTTTCCACTCTCTATATTTTACGGTAGTGAAAAGGGGAGTATTTTTCTTTTTTTTGGAAAATCAGGAGTTTCTTAACTTGGTGATCATTTTTATCATTGTCATGACCTTTAAAATTGATTCTAAGAGAAATTAGCAGCCAATCACTCTTGAGAGTTAAGGGTAAAGGGAGTTGTGGCGCTATTCGGTATCATTTCCCTTTCTGAGACACTCAGGCTGCAAATAGCAGTTGAAATAATTATAACAACGTTCATTATCTTCGACCGCTTAAAATGCAAATTTAAATAAACACTAGCTTATGCAAGTAAGGCCAAAAGTCTATCTATTGATCTTCCTTTCAGGTAGTTCTGGCTAATTGAGGTTTGGACACAAAAGAGAGCTAGCCATAGAACCGACATACTGCTGGGAACAGCTGCACTCTAATTTGTCTTATGGTTGTTAAAATGCTAAAGTTCTGTGTGATACAGAATGTTGCGCGTGCCAAAATTAATTTTTTCATTTCTTCTTTTTTCTAAACTCTACCTTTAGCACAACAGCATGAAAAACACCCTAGACTCTAATCGCAATCACATTGTTCGGAGAAATTATGTTTACTTTACATATGGCAGAAGTTGGCGGCATATTTTGCTCCCGCGCATGATCATAATCTTGTTAATTGATTCCGAAAGAAAAAAAATCTTCACTTCTTTTGTAAATGGTAGTCCTGAAAATTTAATACAAAACAAGCTTAGCAGAGCATTTTCAATATCTGGTTTGCTTGAAGAATACTTCCGTCAAAAAGACAGTATAATGGACTCGGTTTCAAATGTCCATAAAAAAATTGTATTTCAGGCATTTTTGATAAAGTGATAAACGTTGATCGTCTCTAATTGAACTGACGCCTCCTTCCAATTCGTGACGGGATTAAAGTGTATTCGACGTGAGAAAGCCGTTTTATCACAAAACACAACAGGTTTCCTTCAGTTGAAAAAATATAGATAACCTCAAGGCCCTCCATAAAGAGATGTTTTAAGTGTTAGCATGCAAAACACAGATATGATGTGAAGGGCCTTCGGGAAAGTTTTTATGAAGATTTTATCATGCCCTGAACATTTCATATTCTCATGCTGTGAGATCCCCCGTGATCTCAGACCTTTTGGCTAATGATCTAGGAAACTATATTTACAAGTATTTGCAGAGCTTTTGCATTTTTTGGCAAACCATTAGCAGATCATATGTAATTTCAAATTGAAAACTATGATTCTAATAGTTCTTCTCTTTGAAAGGAAATTCGTTTTGAACTTCTTCGAGCATTTTCGTTTTTCCTTTTTTTTCCCCTTTTTTTGGGAAAACATGCAAGCATCCTTGAACCATTAGGCTTGGAACAAAAAAAACCCACAATACAGCATCTATAAAGTTTCTAAGAATATAAACTACTGAGTAATGCTCATTTTGCCTGTGGGCTGAACGAAATTGGGCACTAAAAATATAAAACGAGCTTCCAGAAGGATTCAGGGAATAATGGGGAGGAAAAAAAACATCAATTTAACTGATGCTGATTCAGAAAACAAAATTTCGAACCTTCCAAAGTCTAAATTACAAACTTGGCCAAGATAACAGAGAACTAAAATTCTAAAATTAAAAATTTGAGAAGCGAGATAAAAAATCTCTATTTAAGATTCATCAGGCCAAACTTGTCGCTGCCTGGAGCAAGTTCACTTGATGAAGTTCATTGCAATGGTTTTTCACAACTTCCGAAAAGATAGAGACACGCAAATTAACTGTAGATAGACTAACAAAGTGTTGACTGACCAGTCAGGGCATCCTTACCATGGTTTTCAACTTCATCCCGCGCTATTATGAAAGCTGACACAAACGGCACCTCAATAGCAGTGTAAAGCACTAAAATCAAAATCAGCCAATCCCAAGTTATTTTGAATAGTCCATAATGTAGGATGATTCTGTTCCTCATCTGTTCGGGAATTTGGTTTTTGTAGCGTTTGTACTTCGAGCGCCATCTCTTGAACGCCGCCATGATCTGAAAGAATAAAAACAATTAAATGAGCTACTAAAGAGCCAGTGAAACGTTACCAATCTACAGAAATAAGGAGTGGCAGTAAAAATACAAAGAAATCTGTTGAAATGAAAATAGAGTATAGACGAGGCAAAACCAGATGAGAGGCGCAAAACACGCTACACCACGAAAAATTCGCGTTAGTCCGGGGAGGACACCACTATCACGCATGTAAGCTACAATAGAAGCTAAACTATCGAAATAAATGCACATAGCATATGCACATAACCTGCTTCTTAATCACGTACATCTAGCTCTAAGTTTGTCAAAACAAATAAGTTTGCATTTCTTACAGTGTCCTTATCGCTTACCATCACGAAACGATCTCGTTGCTACGCGTGATAAGTAGTCTTACACTTTGAGCTGAAAAAGATCTTAACAACAAACGCGCCAAACTGGCTCAGAGGTTTGTGATAAACAGGTCGCTAAAACCTTGAACGCAGTGGTCGCTTAACCTCATCATCTCCTGGCAAAATTGAACTGTCGATGACCCATCGCTTTCCTTACTAAGTAACATGTTATCTCACATATTATGTTGGCACAGTTGGAGCTGTAGATATGAAGACAATGGAGCAAAGGTTTGAAGCAATAATAAGTTTTGTATCCAAGACGTGAGACAACAAGCAACATCTGTCGCGAGCGCTTGAATAATTGATAACTCTCATTCGAAGTCGATTGTAAAATTATATTTTTGCGTTGGAATCGAGACTGGAAAGAGAATACACGCCCCTGAGTATGAGTCACTTTTTTCCAAAGTAACTAACTACTAGCCGAATCGAACCAAATGGTCGGACCTCCGGCGAAAACGTAGGCTAGCAAGTTTTTGAAGCGACAGTTGTCGAAGTTCAACAATATAGTGCTTCACTCATGAAATGAGTATTTTGACTGACACAACGCTAATACGTAATGCTGTTTGCATTTTTCTTAGAAAAGTCTACTTTCGACCGCGATTAGGTGAATAAAAGGATAAACTATCAGGAAACCTCATGTCTTAAACAGCGACAGGTTAACAACGCAAAGCCTTATTTTTTTACATTGTTAAGTTAACTGATGAAGTACTAACGTCTGTTGCCACCTCCATTTTGCTATTACAGCACCAATTTACTTCACCGATCAGGAAAATGTCACTTGATAGAAAACTGAGTTAAAATTCTAATTCTTTCTCGTATCTTTTCAACGCTTTTGCGTAAAGTTGATTCAGCAAGGCAGTGAAACAAAGAATACATAGGCAATTCATCTACAGCGGAAGAAGACTTCCGTTCTGATTTCGCAGTCCAAAAAATTTGGTCATGAAAAATTTGTAACATAATTTTGAAGCCTTTCATTTAGGGAAGGGAGGGGATGTTTGATTCTGTCACAAACGAGAAAACCGACGACATATTTTACCATTATTTAAATGTGACCGCGATAAATTGAATAAAGTAGCAGGTGCTGTAGAGAACAAACAAAAGAATATCTAGTTTCTACGAGTTCGTGCTTCATCAACCTCCTCTTCTCCTTTAATCCTTTTTTTATTGAAGCGCAATTTGTAAGATAAGTTAAGCTTCTATGCGAAAGATCACGTTAACTTTTATCGCAATCTCTTTAGACAGCCTGGACTTAAACTTCGGGGCAATTCTGAAATTAAGAAACCAACCCACGCCAAGCATTTGCATGTAATATTACCATGATAAACATAAAATAAACTTCAAGACGAAATTGGAGACCATATTTTCTCAAGTAGAGTGTAATTCGTGTGCATAAGAAATCGAAAGCGCTTGAAGTGCATGAGGTATGGTTTGGCTGGTTTAGGCTGAGTGGCGTGTAAACATGAGCCTTTCTGAGTGAAAATATAGCTCAACTACATAACAGAACTGCAAAAGAAATACAAACTTAATAAAAGTTTGGCACTTAAAGCTATGAATTATATGGACGCATTGAGCTAGCGAGTAGAATTACTGCCTTGTGTACCATATCATATTGTAGCAAGTGTATCTAAAATTACACATCAAAACAGCATTCGATAGCCTAGTTTGTCTCAACAAATTTGGACTTCGATAACAATAAGAGATTTCAAAAGTATTTCAGCTCTTACCAAACATGAAATAAAACTTCTGGAAGGAAGGAAAGAAGGCATGGGCAACACAAGGTAAAGATTTAAAATAGCTGGGCTTATTTTTTAGCCTAACACAGCAAATGACAAACTTCTACCGCCGTTCCTTTTCCACGTCGTGCAGCCTTCACTCGCCAGAAATTGAACGAGGGAGTAATTGCTAACATTGTGAGCCTTTAGGTCGACGAATAAACCTATTAAGAAGCAATTTAGACACCTGCAAGTCGAAATGCTGACCACAGTACAAGCCCAGAAACCATGTTTACAGTTGCAAAGCTTGCGTTTGGGTTACACTCAATCGTAAACCTAACGCCTCAGGCGTTTAAGTTATCAGTTTACAGTCTTTTCTTTTGTACAATGCTAACGATTGTCAAACCAGTCAATTAAATGGATGTAAAAACTTTCTAAGTATCCACACAGTGAGATGAGATGACTCACAGATATCTGCTTTACGAATACTACAAACACACATACTTAGTGGTCGAAATAGAAGATTACCAACACAAAAGATTTCTTCAAATGTATTTTGATAAGATAAAAAACTATCACGACAGTTTCTTATTTGTCGTTCCCTTTCTCACATTCTACTCTTTTTGAAGTCTACTTATAAAGGTTTAACCGTCAAGTTTTGAAAGTTTCATAAAATTCAAGGATGGTATCTCTCTTTATTGATAGGAAGCATTGCTTTTCGTGCGTGTTTTTGCCAATTTCTAAGCATTGAGGTCACCCTCCATAAGAAACTTACTAATTGCGGTTTTGATAGACAGGAAATTTTTCCCAATGGAGACAAAAAGGCTAAGAAAATTTCTAATGTTTACGTTATAAATCTCATAAACTTTAATGTATTTTTTCTAGACAGAGCCCCTTTCCTCGAGTGTGACGCAATTTCCCCGGAGAGAGAGCTTCCTCCTCAGTAGAAGCTCAGTTCTGGACCCTGGCATGTTATCATGAACGAATTGGCATAGTTTTCTCTACAAGAAAATTAATAATTTTTGTTTCAAATTTAATGAAGACAAGGTCAATGCCAAAGCTTAATGTAACCTAATTACGAGGCTGGGTGGAGCCGCCGTGCAATTCTAACCGCAGTGCATACTTATCACAAAAGAACTGTTTTAGTCCAGAGTAAAAAATGGACAAAGGAAGTATTCAGTTTCGTATAAATTTCTTCTCTTTCGTGATCACAGATATTAATGTTGATTAGTCAGGAATGGCGTCTAATTTTCTTGATAACCATTCTGAGGGTGTAGTTTTAAAATTCATGCCCTAATTTTTAAATATTAGCCGCATAACTTGAAGTTTGAAAGAATCAACAGATAAAATTGAATACAATGCAATTACTCGCGCAACTGATTGTCTGGCTATTGTCAATTGATTATTCGACACTACGCATTTGACCCACTTCAGCTATTACAAACTGAAGACGCTTAAAAGCGAACGAAATCTAAATTAGGTTTACCATTTTTTGGTTAGACTGAAACTAAAAGAAAAAACTCATTAACCGCAGTACGTCCTTGGCGTCATGGAAATTGCACACATTTCCAAACGGTCCTAGACTGATTACTACGTCATAGCGGTGAGGTTTCAAATTGAGCTTCGAAGTACCAAAACCACAGTTATAACAAGGACCAATGAGAACAAAGGTTGATATCATCAGTAGCCAATAAGAATTCAAAGCAAAACACCGACTCTGATTCCCTCTTGCTTATTATGCGTTATTCTCATCGACCGTCTCTCTCTCTCTCTCTCTCTCTCTCTCTCTTTCTCTCTTTCACTCTGATCGACTCCATTTCTTTAACTCTGCTCAACTAACTATAAACCCTACAGCACGACATGCTTCTATATTAGCTAATTGGTAGGCATTAGTGGGCATGCTGGCCAACTAGCCTTGGAGGATCGAGCATTTGTTGTCAGAACAATGAAAAATCCAAAGACTTTCGAAAGGAATCTCGAAATTGAACATCAACCAACTTGATGTTTCCAATCAAACAATTTACCCTTGAGTGTCATATCCAAAACAAGTTCTTTAGAGTGAATCTAAGGCAAGGTCAGACGACAAACTAAGCACGTCCAATTATGAAATATGGAGGAGATAGATTACCCAATTACTTCGGATTTTGAATCTTGACTAAATGTTAACTTAAAAAATAATTGATTGAAATGATAACTAACTAAATTTTGCACAATAAAATAAAACAAACTTCTCACAAAAAGGTCTTTGTTTTTAATTATTACAACTTTTTTCGCATTTGAGATAAATTGTCTGTAAAATCTTTGAACAGATGCGTATCATGGCTATTGCAAGAAATGAGAAGGCCCTATCAAGCTTAGGGAAGAACTGATGGCCATTGAATACAATTATGTTCATCCTTTGACAGGTTTCTTTTCTGTTATTAGCTTTCGCAATGCATATGGATACGAATAACAATATTTAGGTAAATCGGGTCTACCAATCAAAACAGTCCCTGCAAAGCTTCCTTTTTATCAAGTGCCCTACAACAAAAGCGTGGAAAGATCAAATTGGGGGTTTATTCTCGCAGCCAATAACAGCAAGAAACACCCGGCGGAAAAGCGGAAATCGAACATCGCAGAGAAGTTCAAAATTATAATCAGGGCAGAGTATTGAAAGCCTTAACCCCGATCGACTTTTTTATTGTGCTGTCTTGATATTCTGATGAAGAGATATCACATTAAACCAAGCAAAAACGTGAGCTAAAAAAGCCCAGAGAGAAAAAAACAATTAAAAAAAGAAACGCCACAGCCACTAAGAGTTTTAATCTTATGGTCGAGCCACTTAATCTTTTGTGCGGTTTAGTCACATCTACATTGACAGACGTCTTTTAATTCCAAAAACGTTTCTGAGAAAGGTGTTAAGCGCTTATCTAGCGTCATTCTTACTCCACAAACATCGTAATTTTGGTACAGGCTAAAACACCTCCTCAACTTTAAATCCATACTTAGAGCCACAAAAATGTTCTTGCACCAGTCTTGAGGACGAAAGGCTGACAAACATTACTCCCAACGAAGATGAATTTTGAAAACAAACGCGATGAAACTGCACTCAATCATAACACTCTCGACAAACAGCTGGTCTCATGAAGTTATTAAATTTTAGAAGGGTGATTAAAATATTTTTACGGAGTTTAAAATTGAAACCAACTTTCATCTTGCGAGTATGATGAAAAAAATAATTCCGCTGTGATAGTTTGCTTAAATGGGCACAGGATGTTTAAAAAAATCTTTGATAAATAAAACGTGATATATTCAACTGAGGTGCTGAAGTGATGAAATGAATAATCAACAAGACTCAAAAATGCGCTCTTCGTATTCTTGGCATGAGGTGATCGTCATACAGTTACTTCCTCTCTTGAAAATAGTACATACAAAATTACTTGGCTAACCTGAAGACATTAGTGCTATAAAACGCACTAAGAAGGCGGTTGCTACACGTTTACGAGACGGCGTCAAACATCTAATTTTAAGCTGCATCTCTAAACAACTGATACCTAAAGTAACACGGAATCTGATCATGACCGATGGCAGATTCATGAGATATCTTGGCATTTTAGGGCTAATACATGAATAGCATTTGACCAGTGTATAATAAAAGGTTCTACTGAAATTACAGACGTGGTAATGATGTAAAATGAAACTTATTACACTTCTTACACACGCTTCCATTATGCATATTTAGTGCACTAACAAATTTAATACGTTGAAATATCTTGTCGCGCGTATTTCCAACGTGTATTTTGCGTTTCAGGGAGGAAAAAACATTTTGCTTTGGTACTGGACCAAAACAAAATGATTTAATCGACGGTAAGCGGAAATCATTGACACCCTTTTCTGTTTTCCACTGAATCAATATTATAAGCATGAGTAAAAAATTGATTTACATCATACCTTTCACTTATTTCTCCTTTCTCCTCTGCTGGTCAAGATAATTACATTATTTACACGTATAAAAAAGCTTTGATTGTGAATAGAGTATTCCTTGACGAAACTGATATCTCTCAGTGGACATGGCGATGCAAAAGCGATCTTGCCCAAAAGCTGAATCCAAAACAATTGTGTTATTTTATTTTTCAATAGTCCCGGATCTATCATAGAAGTATTCATATCTCCAGACGAACAGGTGTCGATAACAAAATGCTAGAGGCATGTCTTTATAAGACTTCACAAATTTGCATATCAAATGATCAAAAGAACTTATTCGATTCTCCTATACGTTCAACGATACCATTTTAGCCTTGGTAAATATTGACGACAACCATGTTATTACAACAACACAACGGTTTAAGGGAAGCATTCGTTTGAAAACGTAATGTGAACTTGTTGTAAAACAAAAAAACGCATGGTAGAATATTCATTCACTCCCACAAGGATACACAAAATATTATCACTGGTTTTTTCCTTTCCACAGCACTTAAGTAAACTTTGAAAAAGGAAAAACCTTTAATACGTTGGGAATTATTCAAATAAACGAAACCACACGTATAATTAAGATGGGAGTACTGGAGAGTCCCAATAATTCGAAGCAAATGTCCTTGCCTCATTTTGAGAACTTGAAGCGGACTTCCTGTTTGGATGCGATTGATTCAAATGTTGAACTTTTCGTAAACTTAAAACAAAACAAAAACCTAGAAACGCATTGCAGGGGAAATTTGTGCGGTCGATTAGCCTATCTAAATTGATGGATTTTTTGCTGAAAAGCCGACCACACTCTAAAAGTAGCATAATTAAATAATGTTAAAGAAGCAGTAAGGTTTATATTAAAAACAATATACAACAAAGCATCACAGGAAAATTACCGAAGCTGCGTATATGCCAATGAACACAAATCACTTAGTATCAAGGAAACACTTTGCAAACGACAATTGTTGCAAACACAGCGGGCCTAATCTAAAAGAAGCTCGGCCAAGATTTCATTAGTTGTAGACTGTAGATTGTGGAAAGTAGTTACCATCGACCAAAATGTGCACTTTTTGAGGCAAATGGAAAAAATACAAGAACAGCTGAAAATATTGTGGTAAGTAGACAGTTGCATGACCCACAAGAGATCCATTGTGAAAGACGTCTAGAATTTATGCAGATCGCTTAAATCAGCCATATTTATTTTGATTATATATATTTAAATTACGGGATAAATTTTGCCGTGGGAACAAAATGGCTCTTATCTATCTGTATACTTTTCATCGTTCAATTTAAGACCTGTGGACGTTATTGTTCTTGCCACTCGAACATAAAAGTCGCATCTTATCGCCATCATGTGATATCCTCTATATACCATACAAGTGAACATTAGTTTTCGCGCGCGCTGATTGGTAAGTTCTGAGGTGAATAGCAAGTACTATTCACCTCAGAGAAGCAGAAGAGACACAATTCCGCGTTAAGAATGTAACTTCCGACCATTTTCCGGTATAACGAGAAAACTACACTAATTTTTTGCTATCCGTGTGGTATATACCAAAACAGTTATGATAATGATGATAATGTAGGGTTGAATATGATCACAATAACAAGCGTTAAAATATCGCATGAAAGCGGGGGCATTTCTTTTTTTTTTTTAATGGAAGGCTACTTTTTTTACGTTTTCGCAAGAATACGAGCAGAAGGCGGGTGAAATTTGAAAATCTGTCAAAATATTTCAAGCACTAGTTAAGGTTACTTCCCTTCGCGGGTGTCCTTTGGGAAAAATTCGTACGCGCGCTAGTTTCACTAAAATTCTGGCAAACTATATATCAGAAGAAAGCTTAATACATACCGATTACGATAAAAATATAACTTAGCGACTTCTCTTTTAAGGAATTGTCAGGAGCTGGTAAGGCGTAAAACGATCGAGGGTTCTTCCGTTGAATTTATCGGGTATCGCAGGCTGCGAGCAAAATGGCTGCACAATCTCATTCACAAGACATCAATCAACAATAATGTGTCGGGCTTTTTCGGTATTCTGATTGGTTGTGTAGATATCGGCAACTAAAGTTGGAGTAGCTAAAAATATACGAGTCGCGTTGCGTAAATGGACGCCACGGGACAAATATTTCAAATATCAAAATTTCCCGACACACTTTCGTTTATCATTGTTCCTAGGATGTTTTGGCGAAATTTGACGAAAATCGGTCTAATCTATATACCTTATAAATTCACTCAAAGTGGCTGTATTTATCCCAAAATCAAACGCGAGATTTTAGCTCATAAAGGTTCGCAAACAACTCGCGCCACGCCAGGAGATTATCTCACCTCCTGCAACCGCAAACCAATAGGACAACGGGACCTCCTAACGTCAATGATGATGGATCAAGATTGCCCGAGAAAAGAAACCCCTTACAGACACGTTTTTTTTTAATCTCAATCGCTCCGTGGAGCGTTGAGGAGGACGACACAATGATGAGCAAAGTTACCGAAGGCAAAGAAAAAACCCGCGGCAAAAAGGGAAAAATCGCAAAAAAGGGCAAGAAAATCGCAAACTTTTTGGTTAAAGAAAAGAAAGCTTATTTTTAACATCTTGGCAAATTTTGTTCGCAAATTGTTGAAAACGCCAGCGTGAAGCTCCCCTAGTACCAGTCACTTTCACAAAGGAATTTTGTTCTTTATTTGACGGAGTGGTACCCCTTTTTTCTTCTTTGGGCATGTTTTTTTTTCTTTTTTTTCCCAAGGACTTTCTTCCACTTTTGATTATTCCACGAGCACAGATTTTTCCATAAACAAAGAGCTTCCACGTGTAAATTTTGTAAAGTGCGCGATGGATGGAAATAACATGAAAATCGAGCCCCAGGGCATTCGACCAGGTCCGAGATTATGACGCCTTCCTGATATATTAACTTTTATTTGAAAATACTTTTTTCTAAATAACCCGTGTGCTTTTAAAGATTCCAGATATTTTTTTATGGAAACGTTAGTTGAATGTTTGAATTCAGTTTTTTCAAATAAAATAAAAATCGATTTTTCGGCCTCTGAAGGTGGGAAGTTACCTTAATCGCGAAGCGCACGAGTATTTCATGTAATTTTTGTTTCATATCTCCTAAACTAAATCTCTTACTGACTCTCTATTGTACGTCCTCGGTCCACAATACCCGAAACATTTTTGAATGATTTGGAAAAAAGTGCTTGTTTTCTTTTTTTATTCAGTCATTAATCCTTTGATTATTACATGACAGACAAACCAGGCTTAATTTTCGTCATATTATTTTTGAAATTAGTAGGATTTATTCCTCATTCGAAAGAAAGAAAGAATGGGGAACGTAAATTCCATATTACGCTCTTGAAAATATTTATGCATCCTGTTCATAAGAAGATAATAATGTCCTTTGGGGAAAGAGAACGTGCAATTAACATTCAGGTGCGATATTTCTGCTCACTGCCCCATTTTGAAGCGATTAATAATTAATCCCAGGGATACTTGTCCACATTTTTAGCGATTTCAAACATATCTCTGGCTTTCACAATGAATCTTATACCCCATTCACACCAGCAAAACATGTTTTGTTAAACTGGTTTTCATTGAATGAAAATTATAAACAGAGCACTGAAAAACTTGATTTTCCATTGGATTCAAGTACTTGCTAACTTGCATTTCCAATGTGCTACATTCAAGTAAAAAATATTCGGTTAAATAGTTTCTAAAAAGAAAAAAAAAATTAAACTGTGTTTAACAAAACAACTTTTAAACATGTTTAAGCTTTGGTGTGAATGCGGCATTAGATCGCAAATTATTTTTGGGTTTTTAATAAGTTCTTTGTGGAGAAAATCATTTAATCAGAATTTGTAATTAGTTTTTAGAATTACAATAACTTTTAGCAAGGATTTATTAAAAAAATACTATTCAAAATATGTCTTTGGGCTTCAAGGTCCCTTATCAGATTGCAAGAAAGAAACCAAGATTTGATTCATCTTTGCAAGACAAGCGGGAGACTAGTTCGAGTAAGAATCAATAACAAATCGATACAAGCACCAACGATTGATGTTTTGCAGTTGCGCTTTTTACTTATCACAAACGATCGGTGACAACACTGGCGATTGACATCTCTACGCTTGCAGTATTTTAAAAATAATACGAGCCGTGAAGGTTTTACACCATCGTTTGACACTAAAAACCTATGATTGGTATTTGGCGCTATCGATCTGCCTCAGAACACCAGCGATTTATAATTAGCGCTTTTCATTGGAGTCTTACGATGGCGTTTGATGCAAGAAAACAACCGATTGAGTTTCAGCACTAACGATTGACCATTTTAAAACGGACACTAAATTGATTTACAATTACGATTTGTTGCTGGCACTAACGACTGAGTTTTAACGCTAGTGATTGATATTTTAGCACTAACGATTGAGTTTTAACGCTAGCGATTGATAACATTGGCACAAATGGCTCCCCATACACTTCGCGAGGTGAAAACACTGGAGCTTCTTTGAGCTATGATTTTGTTTATTTTGCTTTTTTAATCGCTGTTGTTTTTTCCGTTGCTGTTGTTGTGTTTTGTTGTTGTAATACTGGTACTTCTTTTTTAACAAGAAACGACACAAAAAAAACACTTTATATGGTTTTTCTGAGGCTGATGAGAAACATCAAATATCACCTTGATATAAAAAAAAGTCGATCCTTTGGTCTGGTATAACTAAAGGTGTCGTTTGGACATCTTGCTGTGTAATGATAAACTCCGCACCTAACCTCAATGTCTTTGACAATTCTGATCGTTTAGAAACGGATACGGGAAGGGGAAAAAAAAAAAAAGGGGAAATTTTCGGACAATTTAAAGCATTTTGTTTCTCCAGTGCATTGTTCGCCCTGTAACGATCAGACGCAAGCTGTTAAAGATAAAAAACATCGCGGGAGACGTTGCTAGGAAGTATCTTGCTAAAATGCACTTTGCAGGAGTTCTTGAAAACAAATGTGTCAAGTTATTAAAGTAAATCCTTCAAAACAAGGAGAAAGTAAAGACTTTTCCGAAAATCACTCTCATCCCAAGATTCTTCACTAACTGATATTTGTGTTTCTTGAACGAATATCGACTCAAAAAGTCGAAAAAAAGCTGTGAAACGCGTGGGCAGAGAGAAGAAGGTGATTGCTTATGATCAACGTTATATGGTTCAGTCAAACTTCTCGTCGGCATATTTACATTTAAACAAGCTTTTAAAAACTCTATACCGGCGAGGGAATTCTTTTTATTGCGCACACGAACAAAATTAGTTTAATTTCACTGGAAGCCGGAAATTGTTGTTTAGCAGGGTCATAAAAACCTTGAGGAAGTGACGAAGTATGGCCAAATGTCAAGCCGTACGGGTTAGCAGTTTTCCCTTGTCCTTTCGCGCTTAGTCACAGAGCGATAAGACTGATGTCACAACATTTTACTTCTTGGGTATTAAATTGAAGTCAGCGTTGTAATAGGTCATCCTATAACGCAATAGAAGTCAATTTGTGCATAGGTTTTTCTCGATTGTAACTATCACGACTTAATTTTGATTACCAATGAAAGCGCTTAAACTGAATGTTAACTCAGCTTTCAAAAAATTTCACCTTTCATGTTACTCTGAGGATATGAAGTACCCGGTTAGTAAAGAAATAGGCCCTCTGAACTTTAGGCGTGCAAGCGTGACACTCGTGCCAACTATTGTAGGAGCTCGTATCAATATGAAAACATTCTTGGAACGGTTACAGAAACTGTTTACATTATCATTACATCTTTGTTCATGGCGCTGAAGAACCGATTTTTTCCTGGTTTTCCTGTCGTCTTTTTTCTTCTACGTTAAAAATTCACATAAAAACTTGAATAGTGGACACGATGTCTCTCTTTCGCCTCGTCTTACAACGTTCCTTTACCACTGAGAGATGGTGCAGGTCGCGAACAAAAAAAAGACAAAAAGGAAAAGGAACTGGAGGATGGAAAAGCTCCCCCGTTACGTAAGGCAAACGTTAGTCAGAATTACCGGCAAACAGAAATGTTGTTAGTGACTGGATGCAAATAATTTCTCATTATCATTTGCGCATTAGAATTCATTTTGACATACATTTCTCTGTTGATCAAAATACTGATAACGCGTCTGATATCAAACCTTTTCCAATTGACGGCATATGAGATACAAAAGCCGAGAGATAACAAAGTATAAGAATTTTGTGATAAATATGGTCACAAACCTACCCGAAGTGGCAACTGAAGAACTCCACCTTCATCCGTATCGTAGACTAACAGTGATTCAGACGACATCGTGTTCCACGCTCAGAGTTTTACGACAGTGATTTGTTTAACGGTAATTCTGGTAGCTGACAACTATGACATCTTTTTCTTTGGAGCAGCAAGTTAACAGTTTAAGAAACAACACACAATAAGCCGAGGAAATAGCAGTAATGAAATGTCTAATTTACATTTTAACTTTCGTTCACCGCGGGTGTGCATAAGCGAAGGAAAATTCGAAAGAATTAACCACAAAATTCACGCCAGTTGACCCACGAATAAACAAGCAAGCTGCACTGCTAAAACTCTTGATAAGCGATTGATGAGCAAACCGGGCGGCTTAAGAATTCATATCCCCTGTAAAACGTACCTGTCATACTAGTACCAAGACAACGATATTACAGAGAAACAATTTTTCCTCGAGCACATCTTTATGCTTTGCTCATACCCAAAAAACATTGCAAGGCATACAAAGAAGAAGTCCGTTAATTGTGATTAACAAACACTGAGAGAAGATGGTAACAACATACCGAATGGAAAAATAGCACACAGAACTGAACTACAATTTTAGTGACTATATATCATTTCTACCCGTCAACTTTCTCCTCCACTCCCATTCAACGATTTTAAGATGTCAGGGTTACGAGAACAAAACGGCCCCAGAGGGAAAGCAAAACAGACCACAGTTCATTGTTTCAACGCCGTATGGCACTTGTCGGTTCACACCCGAAACTGAAATAAACGGTTTCTTAAGTTTCCTTTGTAGCTAAACGAGCCGTACACGAGGCGGAATATAAACAAGAAACAACAAATTAATTTCGTAGTAATTCCTAAAAATTCGCGGGCCTAATTTATGAGTTTTATAAACAATATGCAATTGCTAATTAACAACAAAGAACACCGAGAAAGATTGATTTTGTAATAATGATAAGGAAGCTCAGGTGTCTCGGCTTCTTCACCCAGTTCCAAGCTCCTATATCGGGAGCCCTCTAGCTCCAAAAGGGACGACACCTGGATGCTTTATCACAATTTTCTTTCATACTGCTTTTTCCGAATCTACGTACTGATCCTTCTATAAGGAGGGGCACCTTACTACATTTTACTCCTTCTATATAAAATAGCTCCAACACAGAAACGAGACTTTTAAGTAGAGGTGACTTGGCATGAGGGCGAGAAACAACGTTTGGTGCTTTAGAGCTTAGAATAAATTAAAGAGTTAACTTGAAAACGGATAAATCATGATAAAGTCACCGTACCTGTTGCAAATAGTTCACGCTGTCTCCATACACAACCAAAAACCATGTTTTCCGCCGATTAACTAAACATACTGTACATGAACGTGTTCGAAAGCAAGGTGCTTAATTGTAAATGGCACCATTTGACGAAGACTACTTACTGTTGTTGCCGAGAGACATTCGCCAACTGATATTATTTATACCAGTGGGTGTGAAGAATAAAAACAAACGAATTTCGACGCATAAGAGCACGAGCCCAAGAAAAATGACTGATTACATAAAATTGTTGTTGGACAATAGCGGTGGAAAGTGACTCGTTAACAAGAATTCAACAACAAAAGTTCTTTTTCTTATTTAGATTAATACAAACGGTAAACACAGTTCAGCCACTGAAAGTAGCTTTTCGGTTTTTTCACTTTTGTTGCAGGGAGCTTCACCAAGCCAATATCACTTATCCGATAAATCGATTTGTTACTTTCTTTAACCACACCTCGATTCAACTCGTAAATAGCATATATTAGAATGGTTCATGCTTGTTCTTTCTGCGTCTCTTGGAACTCGTTTCTAAGAAATGATAACTTTAGAATAACTTTTGAATCAAATACAATGAAGGTCGCAAAATGAGAGGCTACCTTTCTGGCGATGTACATGTTGACAGAGGTAAATCCTTGGTATAGTCTCAAGTTGATGAAGATGAAGATGAAGATGATGATGTTGATGATGATAACGGTGGGTTTACGTTGGAAAGTATATTGCAGTTAAGCTCGTCCTGACCTACATCCATGCAAAAATGTTGAAGAAAACACCGCTGAGTCTCATTATTCATGACCTATTGACAATTGTTGCAGGATATCATATCAGTACACGTTTCAACTGAGAGCGAACATTAAAGTGGATTGGTTGGTGATAAGTTCAGTTACCTGTCTTTTAGTAAAAAAAAAAAAAAACGCTGTAAAAATTAATTACAGCAATTGCGATCCTTCACTATAAACAGTTTCATTTTCGAAACAAATGGGATCAATAAAGCTCTGCAATAAAATCCACTGTTAATTGTTGAGTTAAAGGGATATTGTGATACGAAAGTGAAGGGAGAACTGCATGCAGTGCTATCGTCATGGTGACTGACATCATAAAAAAGTAGAATCGTAAATAAATTTAGAAACAATGGTACGAATTTCACAAGACAAACTCGAACATTTTGTGCCCCCCCCCCCCAAAAAAAAAATGATACATCTACAAATTCCTTGATTTGATTGGCTAGAAGAGATGCAGTTTTCAGGCAACAAAATGCCTAAGAAAGTTCATTCACAATCTAAGCAAATAAAGTGACAACACTGTTTGGTAGCACTTTGAACTTCTTCGCAGCTTAAAAAATAAAAAAAAAAAAAAAAAAAAAAAAAAAAAAGATTTAGAAATTTGCAGTTTTGATTGAACATGGTTGTTTTGAACGAACAACATACTATGCAAGGTTTGATTAATTTTTTCTGGGTGAGGGATTCCCGCACTCTGCCAAGGCATCGGGGCATTGTGAAAATCTTTATCAATTATTTTTCATGTGCAGTATCAATAGGTGATCACGCGATTCCTCTCGTGAACGTATCAATATTTTCAAAGACTTAAATTCACACTCGCCCTATGAGATTATGCAATTTTGATGCTCGTTTAAAAAAATAAGTTTGGTCTTCATTTACTGAAAGTTGTACCCGAAATAATTTGCTTACCTATACAAATTATTCAAAGTGCACAACAGTGACGTCAGTCCTTCACAGTTACCATTAATGATTTATCATTAATAGATTTGAGGTTTGGTCAGTAACAGTTCTTCGTTGTTACAAAAGCCTGCAAATCCACACAGTACGACGCGAATCTACTTAAACTGGATTTCCATAATAAAGTTTCGATTTATATACAGACTGAGATTGCGTAACCAAAATTCACTTCTTGACTCTTTTGTATGTTTTCTTTTTTTCAGGCTTTAAAACACTGATTGTTTACCCAGCGTATAACCAATTTTACTCTATCAGAACAAGTGATATTGATCGAATTCACCTTGGTCATTCGTTTGGTATTGAAATTAAAATAATTCAACAATTTTTCTAGTCACAAAGTTAAATTAGGTAATTTGATTCTGCCAGCATATCCGGTGTAGATTCGCTAAAAATAAAAAATATCATTACAGGTGGATCGTAAACTGAGCTGCAGCGGCTCAACATCTTCGACAAGGTCTCCAAAAATAAAGAAATATTCAATTGAGTTAAAGCGAATATATCTAAGTTGCTGATATAAAAGGAGATTTGTTGTTAATAAGCTTTGACCTAAGTGCTTCCTCAGTGTTCACGGGAGATTATTTTGGCGTGCTCTATTCATAATTGTACATTCGGTACTTAGGAAGCTGGGCAATTCAGATGTTTGTAGCTTCCAAGGAAATTGTTCACAGACAAAAAGTAACAATCGTAAAATATCTCAGTTACAAGTAAACAGACGAAACACAACACTGACCTGAAGTACATTTTCCGTTAACGTCCGCTTGAATATTCTAACTGACATTCTCTTTGATGAAGAACGCGTGAAGCCATAAGGAAACACGGAGAATCAATATTCACACGTCAACACTAATGACCAGTGTTTCATGATATTGAATATTCCCCTCTTCTTCTCGTAGTTGGAAAGCGATTTAAATCATTAATAATTGAGACAAAGCCATAATGAGGCTCCTCTCGCCAATGGCAAGTAACACACGTCCATTAGCTCACATCTGGAGTGAATAGGCAAGGATAGAAGCATAACTGGATTTCACCATTAACAATGTGAAATCGCAGCGGTGTGACACATAAATTAGCACCTTAAAAGATAAAGATACTTGAATACACGACACGTTTTATTTGGGCTACTATCTAAACTTAATGGTTCAGATCAGTCAGGCTACAGCTTAAGGTGGTCGAATGCCCAAAAGTACCAAGATTTTATCGTTGTGTGTTATACTTCCACCAAATTAAGGTGTCTTTGGTTGCCAACAGATTTGTTATCAAAAGTAATTCACACTCCTCATAAACTATAACAGAGGGAGCAACAAGCGGTGTCCCACACCAATATTCTCTGAAAAGTGAGGCTCTATCAACTGTATCATCAACAAAGCTTACCCCAGCACTAAATGAAAAAACATCCATTAATCGAGGAAAGGAATTTTTTCGGAAGCGAAGCACATTTCTTAAAGGGCTGCTCTTTCACCTGAGTTTGATAAGCGTTCCAGCTCGTTCGTGACACGTAAACAACTTGGTATCGCGTTCTGCTACAAACAAAATCCTTTAAAAAAATCTGAGCTATAAATTGTTCCAAGAGGTTTAAGTAATAGAATTATTTCCGTATAAGTTATGTTGTGTTTTGCTTATGTCAACATAGGAGGAAGTAGCAAGCGTTTTTAGTAACATGTGGTAAAAGGAAAATCCTTGACAATCCCATTATTTTCAACTCCAAATTACGCGATATAAAAATAAAGCCTACGTTTTCGCAAGAATAAATATCCAATGTGCTGATAATTGAGAGCTACAGCTACACGTAGACTTCGATCAAAGATGAAAACTGAACAATATCGAAGATCCCAACATGAATTAAAACAATTCCACAAAATAATAACACAGCAAACCACCCTTTACAACAAATCAGCAATTATCAAAGCCTTAGGAAACGTGTACTATTGATATTTTAAGACTGAACTAGACCTTCAACCAGGTTCACAAACCTATCTGGCAAATCTTTGGCCTTCGGCGTCAACTACTTTCGCGTTGACTACTTATGATAAATTTGATTATAAAGGGCAAAATTGAATTAATTTAATCCAAAAGAAAAAAGGCTAAATGCAACATCCCTTTGCTTTTCTCACAAAAGATGACATTGAGTCATTCTCTATGAACTTACATGACAACACTCAAATCCCAAGCCTGGAAGATTAGATGGTAAAGTTCAATGATCTAAGGTTTTTAAAGATCCCACATGAAGCCCGTTTTCTACAGTTCATCAATCAAACATAAAACAACTGCTAAGGTTTCGAATACTTAGAAAGTTAATATTTTCGACAGCTGTTCACAACATCGATATTGAAAATGACAGCGAAGCGAGGTACAATATTCGACGGAAACGAAGCTCGCCAAAACCGCTGACATCAGTGAAATAGTCACGTGATCTCTGTGACACTCTTACTATGACCAGGCTTATTTTAAGATAATTCAACTTCCGCTTCACCTTTTGTCCATGCACGACTGCCAAATCGAATAATTGCTTCGCTGTCGAGTCTGATACAGACAGATTGTCCACATTAAAAAGTATTTTGATTTCATCTTTGGATATAGTGCTGACCATTCGATCACACACTCAAGGAAAAATGTACTCTGTTGAGGAAAACGCGATTTTTCAAGGTTGTAGTTCACTTTTGATATCTTTGGATAAAAATTTTGTCATGGATGGGAGGTCAAGAAATTTATACTGTCTGCTGTCAGATTCTCTTTCGCTTAAATGTTATTCAACCAACTAAAACCAAACAACGATTACCGCCCATGTATACCATTGGTTTTAAACGGCGCAAACATTAAAAAAAAGTCTCTAATAAACTCGAAAATATCGGTAGAAGTTGACTCTTACCTAATACTGATGGGCGATTGATCCACTACACATAACAAGCACTTAGAGTTAAACAGTATGGCCACCGATGATAACCATATGAACAAACCACTCGCTCACTTCGTCAAGTTCGAGAGAGAACAGTCGTAGTTGGCCTAATTTCCTAGTTTACAATCATCTAATACGAGATCTCGAAATCTGCGACCAAACGATAGGGTAAAAACTCCCTTTAAGTGGTCAGCAAGTACAATAACTATTATCACCAAATTTTTCAACAAACAGCGACTTCCCAATTCTTCCTGCAATGCGACTTTAACTCGACCACTGACTCACCTTGTATTCATCGATCTGTTCCAGTTTCATCTTGAGGCTTTTCATATTTAAGTCATTGACATTAATCCTAGCCTTGTTTTCTTCTTGACAATTAAGAGATAAACCAGGTTTGAAGTGTGAGTAAATTCGCACAAAAGCAATCGGCAAACACCCTTTCACATTCAATCACAACTTCATCTGAGATAAGAGTTGTTATTAGAAGTCAGAAGAGTGAAAGGCAGACTGAGGAAAGAAGACGAACTTAAAACAGCTTCGTACCAGCTTCCACGGAAATGGCACACATACCACCAAACGAAAGGTCGTTGTGGATGTCAAAATACATGCAAAATAATACGCATTCCTCGACACAAAAGAGCAAGCTAACCCTTAAATGCAATCCCACAATTATTCTCACACAATCCTTAAACAATAAGCGAGCATGATAGGATTCAATAACACCTCATTTGCTGCACAATTAGTTAATCATCCAAAGAGATAAAAACGATATCAAATGAAATTTCGGAGCGATAAACTTCGCAAATGACAAGCAGAACTTTTAAAGTATGCTAATTCGTTATTTACAAATGATATATTGACTTACTAATATACTGACGATGTGATACAGGAACAATATATGAATATTCAATGATGCCTTTATGTCACACCCTTAGAGTACGCTGCCACTTTTTAATAAACTTGGATTATCTTTATTATTTTCGTGTCTTCCTTTCAATAAAAACGTGTTCTGCATTGTCCATATTTCTTTTGTCTCACATATTTCACAATTTTATTACTTTTCGTGCACTTAAAGTCAGTCAAAGTAAAAATTGCAAAGTTAACCACAAAAGTGTACTCTTCAAAATAATTAATTCAATTGAACTTTTAGATTTAAAACCTAAATTTCAGTTTGAGATGAGATGACTCTTAAATGAAGTTCAATTCAAAAGCGAGGATCTGGGAGAAAAACGAAACATTTCATATTGCGTGAGAGCCTCCTTAGTCTCCTACAGAGACTTAAACAATACACGGTAGTTTTTCAATAAAGAACCATCAAGACAAAGTGAAAATCATTATTTCCTTGGAGAGAGAGAGAGATAGGTAGTGCTTGTGAACACCATAGGGTGCTTAAAATACTTCTACGGAATAAATCAGGTTTCATAAATTGCTACTAGAGGCTATCGACTATGTGGATTAAAAGGAAAAACATGACGCAAATTGATTTACAAAAAAGTACGTCTGGTAATGTGCCACTGCAATAAATGTCTTCCTAATAAGCGTTCCTCAATAATGAAATCGCCTTGAAATAACCCTTTCCCTCTAAAATAAACATCGATAATGTACCCTCCAGTTTGAGGGTAAGACTCTTGGGACTTAATCATAATGACCGGCTCTTTTCTGAAGTCTCTTAAAAGGAGACTCCCACTAGAAATCGTCATTTATCTGCCAGGAATGATCAAATTTCTCTCTAAAAAATAAACATTTCCTATCTTATAAATTACACCCGTTTATGTCTTTCTTGTCAGCCTCACTTTTAAATGCACATAGGACCCTACCAAGGAAATCGACATGTCTCGTTTCAAAAATGACCTTATCAAATAGATGACCCCGTTTCTGACTGTCTCTCTGTCATAAAACAGTATCCAATAACTTTCCTTCCGGCTCGGCTTACAAATGTCTTTCTCTTTTACATATCCCGCTATCGTAGATGACTATCAAACCTTTCCCTCGACACCCGGCACTCCTCCCAAAAAAATCTCTGTAGCTTCAATTTTCTTCTCTAATTTTTAGAAGACAATGTATTTGGGAGACGCTCATCTATGATATTCTTCTCATGATGAAATTGCATTTCACTTCAGCAACCGATAAGTAATTTTCTTAAATTAACCGTACCGCATTACGAAGATCTTACAAGATAAAAGGTGGAGAATCACGCAAAGTAATTAAGACTTCGTTTTTCACTTGTCGTGTAGCGCTCACACGCCACATGATTTCTTATATCACACATACATCAAAAACCTTTTACCTCACGTTTTCTACCCCAATACGCTATTCATTCATGTATGTGGTACAAACAGTAAAATTCACGATCGCGAAGATTCCATAAAAGGAAACAGCAGACATCATCAGTGTTTCAAAATCCAAACTGGTTCATTGGTTTGCAGAGATAAGAAGATCATAACTTTAAGACTGACAAAGTGCAAGTACAATTTGAAAAGAATAAACGATTGATTTCCTGTTTACGCAGGAACACATTTGTTCCAATTTGCTGTTCACTTGGATTTGAGCTTTCAAACTTCTGATAAATTGTGACTGCATTGGTCTCGCAATCTTTCTTCCCAAAGAGCGAACGACGGCCGCGGTTGCAAATGAACATCGAGCTGAAAATTGTTTAGGTTATTTCGATGACGAGAAATTCAATCGCTAACGATTATGCATGGAGGGTTATCGGATGATAGTTGTAAACAGAAACTAAGGAAAAACAACATATTTCGAACTCGCGAGGCAATTGATCGCCAATCTATGACGCTACTTGTGAAGGGAAAGTTCCCTTAGAAGCGAAAGTTCGTTCTTAAAACGAATGTGTAAAATCCAATTGAAAACAAATCATCGAAGCGTGAATAATTATTTGTCGTGTTATTTAGTAACGAGCGCCAGGATACAAACTCAGATGAGAAGTAGAACAGACATCAGAAGCGACAAGTATTTACCAAAATAAACAGTACTACAAAAGCGCTTATTAACATAAGGTTTAGTTTTACACGGTAAAAGCGCGTTCCAAGGCTTACCTGTGTGTTATGAGAGAATAAGACCATCTTAAATCGAATCACTTCTTTAAAGCAGTACGTTAAGCACCGTAACGTTTGTTTTCACCGCAGAAACTAGTGACCCAAGTCTTGATGATTTCAAACCAGCCGCGAAAGGTCAGTCAACAAGTTGGCAGCGCTGATGAGCGCGGAATTTTAACTTCGCATTCCATCACATAAATAACACTAAACACTTGATAGAAAAGAGTGCCAGTATTGTGACAAGCAACATGTTTGTAGTCTGTACGTGAATACTATTAACGGTTTGCTAGTTTTAAAATTACATTTTTCGATCGACTTGCAACCTGCGTGACTGTTAAGTTTTCATTCAAGATCTGTTTACGCGTAAAATTGCCTGTCCAAACACCAAAGCAGTGCTCTGTGAACATGTTACGATTTTGACGGGACACAGCTGCATTATTCAACTCTAAATATATCATCATTACCTTCAAATCTGGCCTCCAGGTGCAGTTAAACAACTCGTCCAAAGCTTCTTTTTTCTGTGACATGCTGTCCAACACGAGTCCACGAGTGCCCTGAGTATTAAAAAATAACAACAGCTATCAGATATCGGCAAACTTCGTTAGTTTAGGACAAGTTTGCCGAGTTACTTTACGCCTCAATTACCAGTTTCCACAATATTTATGGCCCTACGCATCGTTTGAATAAATTATTCTTTAACAAAAGCAGCTGGATAATGACTCCGTACGAGCTAAGTGCTCTAATTGTGTCCTTTGAGCTCATCTGCTCAGCGGCTGACGTCACAAACTATTTTCATCAAGTTCGCTATGGAAATTGTCGAGCAGTCTCTAAATTACTGTTGATTATTCATCTGGTTTTTTTTTTTTTTTTTTTTTAACTTTGAAAACACGTTTGAGAATAAATTTAAATCCGGATGTTTGCGAAATTTTACAAAATACTCGTAGGACAAACCACAAATCTTAGCTCCGCGTTTGGTCTCACCAGTGACTGGATTTAGATTGGCAATTAACGAGCAGATAGTTTTTGTCGCCTCTCAATTATGATAACCATTTGTTTTTATCGTCTAAATTACGGGAGTTGTTGATTTTACTGCTTCATCATTTTTTAAATATTTAATACATATCCGATTGTTATGAATGGTTCTGTAGACAACACCAAATTTTTCTTTTTATTTCTTTGTAAAAAATTACCTGATTTGAGTTGATATCGAGAATAAATAACAAAAAAACCCGCTTTGAATCGATAATAATAATGAATGAATAAATCGATACATAATCCAACAAGCTGAGTCATCTGAGAAACATTTTAACCAAATTTTTCTCGATAAGCTGTCTTTATAGACTTAAGAACAAAAATATTGGGCAGAGTTCTTCCAAGCAATATTTTTTCATATCAGCCAGATACAGCGTTTCTTAGCCTATGTTCTGTAAATAATTAGGAGCTAAATCGTGATTATTGAGCCTGAGTTTTCAAGATTGCTACGTATGGAAATCCGCGAGATAATCTCCTCAATCCTCGTCCAACCGTGTTTACTTTTATTAACCTTTGCCTGTCAGAACCTCTCAGATTTGATGATTAACTGTTCTATTTAATTTCCCAACAAATTGCGTCAATTTTCAACGACCCCAAGACGACTCAAATTAAAGCGAGTTGTACCTCTTTTGAATAGGCCTCTGGTATAAGAAGCAGATTGACATGCAAGATAACGTAAACTGGCCTACTAAGAGGCTTTTTTACTACCTCCCTTCTCCAGGCCGGAAAACGCAAGCTAAGTTGGAGAAGTGGGAAGACTTTTAGTGAAAGAGAGGAAGAAATTTATCTGGGGACAAACGTCTATGGGAACACACCTCCAGGATTGTTTGATAACGATCTGCGACGGAGCTATGGAATTTTCGAGTTCTCGTAGATCGTGGTTTGCCTTGTACGATTTTTAGAAAAGACGGAGATAAGACTCCAATAAAAGGGAAAAAAAAGAAAAGAAAGAAAAAAGGAAACAGCTTCGACGAATAAAATTAACAGCAGCAGGTGTTATCCTCCATAGAATGATCCGTTAATTAAAACACGAGAGACTGTGAATGATACAAACAAAACTTAAAAAAATATGTTATCGAAGCACTAATCTGGTGTTTGTTCAGCTCTGAAAGGGTTAAGTTCTTTATCAAGAAGGTCCTCAATAAAGAGGAAAGTTCCCGAAACATCTTGCAACTAAATGCGATCAATAAAACTATCTGGCACAACATTCATTACTTTCACTAGCATTTTGTAGAGCATTTTGTATGTAACTCACTCTGAAAACTTGGGAAATGTTTAGGAGGCAATTAAAAAGACACCGAAAGCCCTAAAAAATCGAGCAGAAGCGAAACAGAATGTAGTGAGGGTACATAGCTTCTTCCAAAGGAATTATCATTTCGCTCAGTCAGGTATAACGTAAAAATGGATTTCCGCGATTTTCACCGACCACTGTCAGTTAAAGGATCAGGACGGTGCCCCCTTAATTTTTTCTGCTGCTATTGTGCGACTAATTCCAACTTTATGAATCACAAGCAGTGTAAAAAGAGGCCGAGAGAGGAGAAAGAAGTTGGGGATTGGAGACCAGAGGCGGAGGAAAATGATATTTAATTCAAGTGACGAAGTACATTGTGCAAAGAAGCAGCAGCGATGTAAAAAGTCTCTCATCCTTATTACTTATGCCACGTATATAGTCTGCTTTAGAGAGGTGTTCCTACCTCTTGTTCTAAGTCGCGCTAGCCACGTACAATTTGCAACTGTATGAAAACAGGGAAATGATAGCTTTGCCCACAAAATCAGTCTAAGAATACCAAATGACTGCTGTATCAGAGGCACTAGGTTTGCCATGTAGAAGATAGAATTGAGATAATTTGTTTCTTTCACTTTGACCCTGCCTAAAATATATCCACTACAGAATGTTTTGATTCACGAAACGTGAGCCGTAAAAAAACATTCATTTTCTATTATGATCTTCCCAGCATTTCAGGCACTTCACATTGGGTCATCGTAAAAAAGCGCACAGTTAAAGAGAATTCAGCCGCGCTCGCTGCATGGACATGCGGTTTTTGTATTCGTGTTAAGTGGGAATTCGGTATTATCTTCGAAGCACCATAATCAGTGATGATATGAAAGACGGTAAAGAGTGCCGCGGCATTTCAGCGCGCAGTTACTCCAACATCACTATTAACAAATCCAATAAGTCATAACACAGAAGCTGCACTGCTGAAACGGTGAGACGACTAATTCCAGGGAAATATTGAATTTGGCACTCACCTTGAACAATATCTCAAACAAATTCTGTTTCCAAAATTACTGCTTAAAACAGCTTCACTTCTCACTTTGGACCAGAAAAAGCCAATGCAAGTCTCGTTTAAAAGTGTTTCAGAAATGCTCAGTGGTTAGATGTGAATGACATTGAACTCGGTCAAATCCTTGTCATTCGATTGGCGAGTCTATCACTTATCTTTAACTAAGTGGCCATGAAGGAGCAAGCATTTTGCGAACCGAGTGGAGTAAATACTGGCAGTGTCGCTTTAGCTATCAACCCAAAGTATGAAAATATTTTTGTTTCTTCTAAATCCTATCTAACCACAACGTACGGGCTTGGTTTTCAAAAGGGTAAATATCTCGAGCAAAGCAGATGTTTTTTGCTACGCCACGAGCATTCCATTCTAACTAATTGATAAATAAAAAAAATTCATAATGAGCTTTACACACATTCTGTTTTGTATTTTGTAAAATTTTCACCATTTGAAATTCGTAAAATATCGTATCCAAATTTATAATTGCAAGATACCCAGCGTGGGAGTGACACAGGCTACGCGTTTTATTTCCTTTGTTCATTGCTGCGCGAGAAAATTAAAAAAACCAGGCGTTGAACAGCGGTTGATGTTCCCAAAACAATCATGGCTTTGCTATGCCTAAAGAGTTTACTGTTTGAGTCCAAGTACACGAACAATGGTAAGCCAATACATAGCTGGGGGTCCTGCTTCTTGTGCCTTTCCTTCATTCAGAATTTAAAGGAGCGCTAACTACGAATAGGCTAAGAAAGGAATGCTGTGATCGTGTATTCTTTCCGTCACTCATGTAGAACTGAGATAAAATGTCAGAGAATGGAGGCACGAACATGTAAATAGCGTATCCAAATGGTAAAGGAGACAGTTCTGATTGTTTAAGAACATTAAATTTTAACTGGTTAATGCCCTTTATTGTTAGATTTGGTATTCGCAGTGGTCGCTGGTCTCTGCTAAACACAACCAAGTTTTGTTTCAAGGGTTAGTCTCGATTTATTGCATACTTTTAGGTGTTATGCCATTTTAAAAATAGAACACTAAGATTTAATAAAGATATTTAAATTAGTTGTAAAAAATAGATTACAGCAAATGTCGTGTTTACGATGAAATATGACTGACTCCCCAACAAAACGAACTTTTTTTAAAAAAGAATGATTCAACATTGCTTTCTCGTAGTAAACAATGTTTGTCATTAAAAAAAAGGCACAGTAGTTAAGAGCAATAAATGATGGGAAATGAATCTTATAAAGATAAGGCAGACAAACATCTCTGTAAATGATGTTTTACTTCATATTCTGTAGTCTCTGACATTGGACAGGTGATTGGAACCGAAACAATAAACCACTTGCGGAATTGATATCGAAGTAAATTCATGTTGTATTACAGTCGCACTTCTCCACAACGACCACCCCACGAAGGGATCAATGAGAAGTGGCCTTTAAAGGGGATATGGGGACGGTCACAGAAGTACACCTGCTATTTGCAATAATATTAGCCTCCAACATATATTTACGTAATACAATCAAAATATAACAATGATGGAAAACCAGCAATTATGTCTAGAAGTAAATTTTCACCCAAACAAAGGTGTCGTCAATGTATCAATTTGCATAATTAGTTCTCGCATTCCTGATAGAAGATAACTTCACATCTTTGAAGCAAAATAGCGCCAGAAGAGGTCAACTGCTTGAATTGAGCAAGTTGTCACACAGTTGGGGAGGGGAGTGGTACATTGTGTTCAACAAAAGTAAGAGAAGATTCAGCTCTTTAGCGATCTTTACTTCTCCAGCCTGAAGGGGATTGGCCTTCCTTTGAATCTCGCGGACTACGATGATCAATGAGTATTTATTTCAGGCACGTTCTTTAAATTTGTTCAAACGCTTCAATAGCTTTTACCTAACTGATTTTTTGTTGTCGTTGTTATTGTTGTTACACTGCTTTGTTTCAGTTTCATCCCATCATGACCTGAACTCTGATCGATCCCTTCATAGGACAGAGGACCTTAACATGGAAGGAATTTCGAGACAGACCATTTCATTATGTATCCATCTTTTACCATTTTCATTTCCCGGCAACGATATCAATCCGTCCTCAAAACTTTGTTTAGTGAAATAAATTGCACGTAATCTCATGTTTCAGATTTGCTTTTCTCCCTAACGTTGCTGGATATTAGAGAGTTTTATGAGGATTATACTTACTGAGTTTTTTTCGGTTCCTGCTACTTAAGTCTGAATCACACTTCAAAACTTAACATAATACACAGTTACGCTTCGAAAATGTTTTGCAAGTAAATTTAAGAGCCTATATGAATACAGATTAGATCTCCTTTCAAAAACACGTTCATCACTTAATGTGCACTGTTCCAATTTTTTCATAGCTGAAATCTAGCATTTGCAAAGTCACCCATTTGTAGCTGGCCAGTAAGCAGACCTATGCATTTAGTCAGAACTCGTGTTTAAGCCAGCGATACTTACCGTAAGAAAAAAACAAACAAAACGTGAAATTTCGTTGCCTTGGACGAATAGAACTGGGGAAAAGTGGCATGTAACAAAACATACTAAATCTGGTAAGCCGAATGTCTTATTATTACTATGGCGTATTTCGGGTTACAACTGCACCCGGATGTGACTGGTATTCCTCCATTGCAGGTAACAGCCCCGATTTCTCAGGTGCAATCTTTAGTTCTGGGTAGAGAGAGAGAGGCATTGTGGGAGTGAAGTGTTCTGGTCAAGAAAACAACTCACGGTGACCTGGCCAGGGCTTCGGGCCCGAACCCGAACCACTTTTGCGAACGCCACTATAAAAGCATGTCTTGTATCTTGCAGACAGAATTTGTGACAAAACGCAGTCATGATGTTGTGTTTCTCTTTACTTCCACAATGTTTCCTTTGTTAACTCATTTGAATAGCAAATGAATTTTCCAAAGTATCGCATCGGTCACCTGTTATGCGGTTTACCCTAGAACGACGTATTTCTCGAAGAGCCCCAAAGCTCTATCGAGTGTATTAACAACATTGGTATAATTTTAGGATTGGATGGTGACTTAAAACTAAAGTTTTCAAGATGACCGGTATTACATTCCTCTTTACTTTCCACTGCATAGCTTTTGCCTTGAAAAACCCAGGTAAGTTTAATTTTTAATCAACTACGTATACATTCTTGGAGGAGCGACATTTACATGTTTCAATTTTGCTATAACGAGTAGGTCAGAAACATTTTCGTCGCTACCATAAGACACCAATATACAATTATATTTTCATGTTTGACTTTTTGCAAAATGATATTTAAAATTCCTTCAAATAAAAAATAGAATAACCGGTCACAAAACACGTTTTTAAAGTCAAAATATAGATTTAAAAAGGTGTTTCTGTGTTTATTCTAGGAAAAAGTGAAAAGCTGAATTTCAGATTTTTCAGACTGATCAAGCACGTGGCGTTCAGTCAAATATTTAAGATTCTAATTTTAGAGTTTTATGCGTATCGGGAAGGAAAGGGTGGAGGAAAGAAATAAATTCTATAACGATGATACATACAGCCTGTCCCAAGCTTCCGGTTAGTGGAAACAAATGAAAAAGCGTAGGTGCTGAAAAATTGCGGAGGCGAACCGCTTACTTAACGATAGCGACCAATACAGTATTGAGAGAGGACTATGGTGACAAAATGATGATATAGTAACGATAGTATCATGCACATAGATTTTGTGCGCTAAGGGCTATAATAATGGTTTCACTACCAGGACGGAGATTAAACTTAGACGAATGTCTGAAGAAAATGTGATGCTGCGTCGGTAGGGGAATATTTACAAATGATGTAGTTTTATCAACCAAGTTGATAATTTAAATTACGGCACCGTGAACAGTTTCTAAAGCTGACGTTTCAGGCATTAGCCCTGCGACAATGCGAAAGACGAACATTGAATTGGTTCTGACAGCTGGTCACCTTTGGAAGCTTTTAAGGTTAATTCCCACCTTCGCTGGTGTCCTATCAGAAGAAAGCTTAACAACTGCAGTTTACAATAAAAATATAATTTAAGCGACATTTCTTTTGAGGAAGCGTCAGGAACCGGTAAGGCGTGAAACGACCGAAGGTTCTTTTATTAAATTTATGGGGTATCGGATGCCGCAGCGCGAGCAAAATGGCTGCACAGTCTTATTCACAAGGCATCAATCAACAAAACCGTGTCGGGCTTTTTCGATATTCTGATTGGTTGTTTAGATATCGGCATCTAAAGTTGGAGTAGCTGAAAACATGAGAGGCGTATTGCGTAAATGGACGCCACGGGAAAAATATTTCAGATATCAAAGATTCCCGACACACTACCGTTTGTCATTATTCCTAGAGTGTTTTGGCGAAATTTGACGAAAATCGGTCAAATCTATATACCCTATAAATTCACTCAAAGTGGTTGTATTCCTCCCAAAATCAAATGCGAGATTTTAGCTCATAAAGGTTCGCAAACAACTAGAGCCACACCAGGAGATTATCTCGCCTCCTGAAACCGCAACCAGTAGGACAATGGGACCCCCTGGCGTCAATGACGATGGATCAAGATTTCACGGGAAAAGTAACCCATAGCAGACACGTATATTTTTTTATCTCAATCGCTTAAAGAGCGTTGAGGAGGACGACACAATAATGAACTAAGTTTCCTAAAGCAAATAGGATATTCTGCCACTAATCGCTGGTTCCTTACAACTTGGACATCCCATGAATAAGAAAGCTCTATTCCACAAACTTACTAAAAGAAACCGAGTCGCTGACACGATATCGTTGTTAATCCAGGCCATGGAGCCAATTGGGCCCATGAAATTTTTCCATCGTTTTTTTAATAGATGGGAAAGGTTTTACAAGGATTTAAAATCACTCTTTTAAACAGAAAGTGGCGAGACGTGAGAGAAATAACAACTAAATTTAAGTTAAATTTAACTCGAAATTCTTAGAGCTGATATTGTAAGAAATGTATGGCGCATAGTAAGGAGAATTCGTATGTTCACCCTGGAGTGAAAAAATCAACGAGTTACTCTCGTCTGAAGTTGTGAGTTTAAAACATGTGTCGTCAATGTTGTTGTTAAAGGTTTGCACTACATTGACAACTGATCGACGGCGCCATTAGGGAAGGCTCAGGGAATCAGTTCTAGTCCTAAGATTAAGACTTAGAAACATCAAAGGGTTAAAATTAATCAATGAATCAACGGGTTCAAAATGTTCTTATTAGTGTGCAGTGCAAGCGCCGTAGAGGAGAAGCTACGAAACAATATTATGAAAGACTATAACAAGAAAGCTCGCCCTGTGATCAAGGAAACAGATGTGGTTCACATTTTCATAGACATCGCACTGCTGCAGTTGATGAAAGTGGTGAGTGCAAAGTTTTATTGTGGTTTGCCCCTATCTCGAGATATTTTACTAATGAGCATCAAAGTAATCTGATTTTGCGTTAATAAGTCTTGCACCGTTGTGCTCCCTGAGAAAAATTGCGCCACTCTCTCAACCAATCAGATACAAACCTTGAAACAGTTCGAAATTGCTCACTCCCGCTTTCCCGTGCTGGTGGTGGTGGTTTACATGATTTACCTTCGTATTTGGATTGTCATCGGCTTCTCGTGATCTTTACTCAGTTGTGATGAACTGTTACGAGACAACAAGAGCTGTGCATGTTATCTTGACTGTTATGATTAGTTTGGCTTTACAAAACTGAATCGAAAAGCAGTCTAGTCTTTCAACTATCACTATAATTTTCAGGTGAGTCACCGGTTGCACTCGGCTGCACTTCTTCAGGTGAAAGTCAATATAGCGTCAGCTGAAACCACGAGATTACAAAATCTCCTCGTGAAATCGATTAAACTAAACAGCCTTTCGATTTAGAATGAGTTTGCCCTGCGGTTTCCCACAATAGGGCCATTGCGATTTCCTACTAAAGGCTCATGAACGTTTTCTGCAGATCATTGAAATTTGATTGTGTGTAATAACAATCAATAAAATACAGAAGAGACCTAAAGTGCCCTTTGGAAAGATCATTTGCCACCCATTGCAAAGCAACGGTTTTTTAAATGTTTTTGAATGGATTACTTTTTGTTTTGATTTGTTTTGTTGTACAGTTTTTGTTATTAACTGCACTTTACCCGCGTTTTTTGCTAACGCAGCAAGGTCAGAAGAAGCCATTAAGCGTTACGCCTACGCTCAGAGCTCTCCAAATAATTATTGTTACTGAAGAGAGGTTAAATGAATGAGCCCTTTGTCCAAACTTGACTGGAAGTTTAAAGCCGGGTAGCATGATTTTTCAAAGCTACCGGTAATTGTCTAACAAAGAGAACAATTGAAGAAACTTTCTCGATCGGAAAGGTTATTCTTATCGATAACATGGGCAAGAAAACGTTTCTTTTTTTTGCTGCACAATATAATTTTATTCCACTGCATCACTTCTAAACAGATTCAAGAGTAAGGATCATATTTTGGTAAATTGTTTTAAAAACTTACCGCCCTCAAAAAGAAAGGCTTCATCGAACAACCAATGTGAATGGAGTTCTCCTTTACGAATTGACCCTCAGCCAAACTCTTCATTTGGCCAGGACTTCAACACGCAAGATCCAAGATGGAAGTGAGAGTTCCGTGTTGATAAATTTAGCATTGCAAATGCCTCTGAAAATAACCACTTACATGACTTAAAATGACCTATATCTTTAAAATTAATGGCTCATATCTTAGTTACATGACATGCTTCAAAGAATGTCTGCAAATGAATGTATCAAGAAACTCTCGAGGGCAGCATTTAAGCATTGTAACAAATTCAAACTCTTTCTGTTTGTGAAAACTAGTTCAAATGTCAGCCAAACCATCTTCAGTGCCCATGTAGGCGTGTGTTGAGTAATAATTATCACAATCATGTCAAGAAGCATGTACTTGAGGATATGTAATTAGTGGCGTGCCTTCCGCATTGTTAATTGCATCGATTGATGTCAGTGAAATGCCGTAAATCCATCATTTTTTTTTTTTTTAAGCAAGAAACCACGGTGGCCTTCACTTAGGCTTCCCACTATGATGAGGTTGTTGTTAAACTGAGTAACACAGTAACGAGTACGCTCTTGTAAGTAAGTGATTCCGTCACTTTTTGGAAGCTTACGGAGCAATCTCACGAACACAGCTCGGGTTTATTGTAGTTCTTTTAATTTCTCCTCACCTTAAACACGCGAGTTTTTATCATAAAATTTATTTTTTTAGAGTATATTGAAGGGGTCGTCGAACCAAAACTAAATACGGGTTTAGTCCCAAACCCTAACTTCTGTGAATTGTTTCGATTGTTTACGATCTGATGTGAAAAACGAGCCGTGGGAGCAGTTAGAGGTCATTGGCTGATTGAGTGATTACTTATAGGTAACCAGCACCTGCGCATAAACGCCGGAAGTGCTTTTTGGAAGAATAAGTGTTAACCTCAATCGCGTTGTCGAGAAGGCTTTCCCACGGTAAGCCTAAGTAACTAATCAAATTAAGAATATATGAATTTCATATATCTAAAAATAATCATTCATCACTTGGATGTTTTATTTGGACCCAACACATTTATTTGAACCCAGTTGGCTTGTTAGCTCAGTTAGTAGAGCGCTGCACCGGTGTCGCAGAGGTCATGGGTTCAAATCCCTATTTTTCAACTACTCGTTTCAGTAGTGTTCTTAGCTGCGAGGATCTCTTAATTTCGTTGATACAAATTTAGACAAACGTTTTGACGGGAAGGGTTTTCATAGTTTGTTTACTTTGGATCCCAATTAGTATCTTGGAGGCACGGGCTCGAATCTCGTTAAAGCCTGAGTTTTTCAGGCTTCTCTTCTGCAATTGTTCAAATTTTTGCTTACCTGCAAAGAATGTTCCTTTCGTTTAGACTTTGTTCCGTTGTATCATGGCAGCCTCATTCCTCCTAGAGGAAGAGAGAGCACACTGGGAACGAGGTTGGTTTCGTGAAAGCTCAGGTGGCGTGACCAGTAAACTACTTCACGTACTTCGCAGACTTCACTGTCCTAACGAAGCCGCAGCGAGCATGGAGCGTCTGTTAGATGAAGAGTATAAAGGCGAATTGCTTCAAAGCCTCAACGAGCTCAGGAAATCGAACATTCTGTGCGATACAACGATCAAAACCGAAGGAAAAGACTTCCCAGTTCATCGATGTGTTTTAACAGCCGCCAGTCCCTACTTCCGGGCGATGTTTACCTCAGAGTTCAGGGAAAACGATAGCGGCTTCGTAGAGCTAAAAAACGTAACAGGTGCCATAATGAATGAAATTATTCAGTTTATGTACACTGGGAAAGCGGAAACTGACTCATCGAGTGCTCAAGAGTTGATTATGGCGGCCGACTTCTTGATGCTGCCAAGTTTAAAATTGAAAGCCTCGAAATTCCTGGAAGGAACAATCAGCGTCACGAACTGCCTTGCGCTAGAGTCTTTCGCTCGGCAGTTTAACTGTGATTTATTGAAGCAGGCCTCAGTCTCCTACAAAATGGAAAATTTTCCCTCTGTGGTGAAAACAGATGATTTTAAATCACTGGACTTCGAGAGGGTACAGGACTTGATCTCACGAGACGAAATAGTTGTCTCTAAAGAGGAAGAAGTTTACGAAGCAGTGATTATCTGGGTTAAGCACGAAGTCGCATCGCGAGAGTGCTTACTACCAGAGCTCCTGAAATGCGTGAGAGCTTCCTCGATGTCAAAGTACAGTCTTAAAAGGATCATTGATCGAGAGGACTTGGTTATAAAGAACCCAGCTTGTATGAAAATTTTGATTCAGTGGCTCAGGGCTTTTCTTTTTCAAGATTATGTATTGTTACAAGGGCCTCGATTATGCCTTAAATTTAAGGAGACAGTGGTAGTTCTTACTGGTGGTCACAGGTCAGGATCGATATCAACCTCTACCACCCTTGGCTTTGTTCTTGCTACAAAGAAGTGGTTACAATTACCTATGATGCCATGTCCCCGAACACGACATGCTGCTGCAGTATGTGGTGGTCAGTTGTATGTGGTTGGAGGTTTCTCAGAGATCCCATTATGTTGCTTCAATCCTGTTCAAAATGAGTGGTTTTCTACTGAAAAGAACCTGCCATTCCATCCGCATAGTGCACTGGTTGCCCTTAATGAAGAACTGTACCTGATTGGTGGAGATTCTGATGATAAGCGTCAAGTTAGGAAGTACAAATGTAACCTTGATCAATGGGAATTCCTGTCACCAATGGCATTTTCTCGAGCTGCACACTGTGCAGTTGTCCTTGAGGAGCTCATCTATGTAATGGGTGGTCATGATGATAATGTGTGTTTAAGGAGTGTTGAGTGCTACAATTCTGCTAATGATCAGTGGACTCAGATTTTAGATATGAACAATGCAAGAAAATTTTCCGCTGCAGCAGCCATCACTAATGGAAAAATCATTGTTGTAGGTGGTTATAGTGACATGGGCTTTACAAGAATTGAAGAAACTTGTGAAATCTTTGACAAAAGTTTGAATCAGTGGAGCTTGGTTTCAAGCCCCACAGTACCACGTGCTGCATGTGGCATAGTCAGTGTGAAAAGTGCTGTTTATCTGTTTGGAGGAGAAGATACTAACAACCCTGTAAATAAACTTGACAGTGTAGAGTGTTATATTGTCCAAGAAGATAAGTGGATCCATGTTAGCACCATGCCTGAAAGTCTCTCTTGCCTTCAGGCTTCACTCATTCAATTTCCTGTGAAACATGTGACAGAAGATTGAAATTGAAAAAGAGAGAAATTAGATTTTATTCAGAGTAGTGTGTTGGTCTCTCTCTGGAAGAGTTTCATAGAGGATATTACATGGCCAAGTAGAGATATGAAATCTCTCTTAGAGTATTGACAAATATTTCACAAGTGAGAGCAATGAAAAAATGAAATATTTTTCAACACAAGTTGAGACATTTTGTACCTCCAAGTGGCCGTGTACCATTCTATATATTACATAAATATCAATGAAAAACTAAATCATTTCACTTTTAGGATTTTTATGTGTAACCATAACAACAATGATCTTTTCACAAGTAAAGATATTGTGTTCACAAGAAAGCTCGCTGGGAATTTCATTGGTGTAAATGTAATAAAATGATCTAATTTTCCACTGAAAAAAGTAAAGCCAGTGTCTCAGTTGTAAATGCAAAAGTAAGTAATTCAAGTTGAAATCCTTGGCTGAGCTTGTAAACCATTAACCCTTAACTACTATGAGTGACCTAGACAAAATTTCTCATTACAATATCAACAGAATATCAAGGAGAATAAAGGAAAACATCATTTAGGTATAATAAGTTGATCAAGAAAAAATTTTTCTTTACAATATTAAAAGGGTATCAAGCAGACAGTGACAAGAATAAAGGAAAATGTTAATTAGGGATAATTAGTTGATCACATCCCAAATTCTCCAAATTAAAAAAAGAATTGTATGGCAGACATTAAGGACAATTAATAACTTGATCTAATGAGTGAAAAGGTTAAACTTTAATTTAGAAATGTTTTTGATGTTATATTTCAATTTACTAGAAAAAGCAAAATAAAGGGCTCTAATGACATGATAATAAGCCAGCATGGATGGTCTTAAATTAGAGTAGTAAATGTTTTTACAAACCTTGCCTGAACTACTATGAATTTCTACTAAACATGTAACTTTAAAAACTTTAAAATGTATCCAGTTTACCATTCATAGAGCAGATGAGTATGACTTATTTACCGAGTGTGGCTCACGACTGTCCACAGTCCTTTATCACTGATTACTCTCAATTATTTCTATCGTCATCATCATTATCATTATTATTGTCATTATTTTTATAACTGTTATCAAGCATATCTATTTTTGTGATTGAGGATAAAATAAAGGAGAGTCAGCAGTCGCATATTCCCTAACAATTCTTCCTCTGAGTCCAGTTTTCTTAGAACTTTGAGTATTGGTATTTGTAGAGGGGTTAAATCAGAGGCAGCAAGGGAACACTAACCCCAACCCACCATGTTAGGCATTCAAACCTGGGTCAGGTGTTCTCCATTTCCCCAACCTTGGATTTTGGTGGGTCATGGCAACTACTCTTGATTGTTGTTGTTTTTTTTTTTTGTAAAAAAGATGAAGGAACAGTTATGAGAAACATGAGCTCAATGACCTCAGTTCTTAACAAAAGTAATATCTACTCAACATGATACAATTTTTACTAAGTTTTGAAAACTGAAAAAAAACCTTGTTAGTTAATTATTAGTAATTTGAAAATATGCTATGAGTTGAGCTTATTGACATCCAGGGATAGACAGACTACAAACAAAATGATGTGAGGGTGTGTGTGGGGGGAAGGGGGATGGGAAAAATGTTTTTTAAAGAAAGCTTTTTTTTTCCTCATAATTATTAGGAAAACTATTTTTATACATTATTGCAAAAGAGAAGCTACCAAAAGATGGAGGAAAAATAGTTCTAACTCAGTGAAAATACCAAAATTTGGTATCAAATAAAATACCTCCCCCCCCCCCCTTAGCCAAACCTGATTAGGTTTCTAGTGGTCCACCCTAAGTAATCACATGGTACTAAAACTAGTGGTATATGTCATTATTATAGTAACACATTATGGGGGCAACAAGTCCATCAACATACACCCATTTATGACTACATTTTCAAGTTAGGTATTCCTTTGATACTTGTGTAACAAAGCCATGACTCAATGAAGATCAACAGCCTGGACAGATCAGAGGGAAAGGGCTGTAAAATGTATGCTGTGAACTGATCTGCACATACTTAAGGGCAAAGAAAATTATAAATCTGAAAGATTAATGGGAAAGGAGGCTACCGTTAACCTGTTACCCCTAAGAATGACTAGCACCTAATTTCTCCCTACGGTTTTACCAGTTTCACCAAATTAAGAAGCCTTTTATTCTAAAACTCTCCATGTTAGTACCATGGGAATAGAGTGGAGAACAGCGTGGGGAATTTCCATACATTATTAGGGTGTGAAAGATTAACAGCTACTTAAGGAGCAACCTTTCTCCTTTTCTTTATGGAAAAGGGAATCCTAAAGAAGAGAAAGTCTTCACTTCCTACCTTGAGCTCATAGAGGACTCAGTTAAAACAATCCTCCTCTGGATTATCAAGAGGGGGAGTTCTCAACTTTTAAAACCAGCCTTCTCACTGGGTTGGCTGGCATGGGAGGTTGTGTACAAGGATATCGTAGAGGTTAAAATTGGGAAATAGTGGATTGGCTGTGGCATTCGTAATAGTTTTCTTATATCCAGCAGTCTTGGCCCCACTCATAATTGGTCATTTCGTGCCAAAAGTGTTGAACTAGTGTCTATCTTTTTTTTCTACAGGATGAAAAAGACGAAGTCATCACCACGAACGTATGGGTGAGGCAGGTAAGAGAAATAAGGGCCATCCTACTAAAAGTGACCTTCAAAAAATAGCAAATGATGGAATTATTCAGTTATCATCATCTGTTTGACAAACAGATTCCATGTTGCCGTGCGTCTGTTTAGTAATACATTACAGATGACGTCAAAATGTATTAAGAACAAAACGTGACGCACTAGACACAGCCGAGTTTGTCTAATGTTTTTACCACATTTTCACGTCTTCTCTGATTTATTACTGTACAGACCTGTAGCAACATGGAATCTATTTGTTTTATGGGATAAAAAAAGAAAATGTTATTAATGGTGACGTCATCCATGTGTTTGTCGTCCAATAGATCACAGGTTAGAGCCAATCAAAAAGCGTGTATATTTCCTGTTATCATATAAATTTAGATAACCCAATCTGACCGGCAGAAAGAAAAGCGATCTAGCGGCAAACTTCTCGAAGTTTTTCATGTACATCGTATGTTTTATTTTAACTATTTACAGTTTTTAGCTCATATTATTTTTATCAAAGTATTAGACCACACTCTCTGCTTACTGTAAAAATGCCTAAGGGGATGTTGGGAGCATACGAGAAAAGCTTTAAAATCATGAGCCGAAGGTGCGTACGTTACAAATTTTTCGTGTGCGGTATATTGCCATTCTAAGATTGCTGTGGGTTTACCGGTACAATAATCAGCGCGGGGAGAACCTCCCCCAACGGTTATGTTATAAAATGGTATTTTCAGCTGTTCCCTTCTAATTTGGAGTTAATTTGCATTTAAGTAAGACTGAAGGGTGGCTCGAAAATTGCTTTTGTGTTGTATCACTGAAATGAACAGTAATTGCCTGTCGAAGCTAAGCTCAGTGAACGTTTGCAATAAAATAGGAGAGTTGTCCAATGTTTGCATGGAAAATTTTAGCAGTGTAAGCTTCTAAAGAGCAATTTCACTCTCTTACTAAGAAGTATTCTGATTCAACCTGGAGAGAGTGGACGAAGAGTGAACTCTTTTCATTACTGATCATGACGCTACCTTTAAACTTTCGTCCCGGTTTAAAAGTTTAGTTGGAACATTACTAAATATCAGTACCTTTCTAAACTAGTTAACTTTTTAATATTTTAGTACTGGAATGATCCAAGATTTTCCTGGAACAAGGCGGAATATGAAAACATTACACAGATCATCATCAACCCTGAAAAAGCTTGGCTACCAGATGTTGTGCTATTAAACAGGTGAGACTTAACACAATGTCTGAACCACTTTTTTACATCAGCAACACGATTCAAAGCTCGATTAGTTCAATTACGTTACGTGGATGCTATCAAGGACGAGGAATCGGTATACCTTCCGATCTAGCCTCCTAGAAAGCTATGATGTTTGCACTTGGCATTTGTATAACCTAGACTTCTCCTTACAGCCTCCAAGCACCTCATTATGAGTGGTAGCTTGCAAGACCCACATCTCTTGCAGTTTATATTAAACTCTAAAGTATGTGTACTAGCTCGCCAAATGATCGGCCGAGATGACCGTTGGCGAAAGAGAGTTTTCCATCTCTGCACTTATGATTGCTCGTGGTGATGGAAAAACTATCAGCCTTCTGGAAAGAGTCTAGAAATTGTTTCATCTTGAAAAAAACAATTATTAATGATGGCGCGCGAGAATGAATAGAGCTAAGACCTTCTCTGTTTTTCAGCGCCGAAGCGATGTCAGACGGGCGTAGTACCGCGGCTCGCCTAGTCGTGAAGCACGATGGGAATGTATCTTGGTTGAACCCAGTGATTATCACGAGTTCTTGTGTAATTAACATCACCTTCTTCCCATTGGATGACCAAAGTTGTGAGCTCAGATTCGGTTCGTGGTCGTACAGCAGTGAATTCTTAGATGTTCATCCGAGGAGAGAAAGCGCGGATCGAAGTTCGTAAGTGTTTTCAACGAAACTTTCGATTCTTAAGCAAATAATTATTAGTGATAAAATCTTCCCGCAATAATTGGGAGTCGCGTTTGCAATCACTTTGACCATATAAGCATTTGAACTGCTTTATCAATGACAATTGCTCAAGTTGGTTACCTTATTACGATGTTAATCAATTACTTTAAAATGCAGGTACGTCGAAAATGGTGAATGGACGTTACTCGGGGTTAAATCAGAACGCAGACTGTTAACTTATGATTGTTGTGAAGGAGAGTTCCCGTATGTGACGTACCATGTGCAAATACGCAGACGTACTCTGTTTTACATGATGAACTATATTTTGCCATGCGTCCTGATTGCAGTCCTAACCCTGCTCGTCTTCCTACTGCCGCCCGAATCTGGAGAGAGAATGTCTTTTGGAGTCACGGTGTTACTATCGTTTACTATTCTGCTGTTGATGCTGATGGTGAGCATGCTTTCAACTCAGGCTCACAGACCCTTTCATACAGTGTAAATCTTAACCTACATCGATCCAGATCGGAGACATACGTAGGTCTAATTATCGTAAATCCTCACTGAAGGATCCTTTCTTATGTGTCATTTTTTCATGTGGCACGGTATTGTTTTTATCAAATTCTAATATCAAGCATTTCAAACAAACTATTTCAAGCCTACAAAGTTTTGCATCAACGTTTTGTTATCGCATATAAGTGAGGGATATACGGAAAGAGAAATTTCTCACCTCTAAGACATTTGAGCGCGTACGAAAAAGATTAACTGGCTACGGGCTAGAGCTGTTTTATTTCCGAGAGGCATTACTTTTGCAAAGGTCTTGTGTTCTTTTTGAAGTGTTATGATGGGTAGTTTAGTCGACTATGTTTTTTCTCCGGTAGGCAAAGCTTCCTGCCACTTCCAAAGACACCCCACTAATTGCTGTTTACTATGCCTCCACTTTCATCGAAGTGTCAGCGGCGATGGGAATGGCCTGCCTCATGCTTCGTTTTTACCATCCTGACAATTCCTCGGCCCCAATTCCCGCCTGGATCAGGGTACTTAAACATCATTTTACAACTTTAGTTATGTATTCGCCTATATAAGGAATACTTTTTTCTGCAAAATATGTCAGACGTGTTAAATGGTTCAGATTGGCCCGACTGGCGTTTTATGATCTCCATAAGACAAGAGACTATTTTTGGTATTCAATAGCCTGGTTCTCTTTTTTTCACGATAGGTCTGTATCCTTAACTACTGCGCACGCCTGGTGCGTTTAAGCACATCCGCTGGACGTGTCCGACAAGCGCAGATCGTCCAGGAGTGGCGTCAAGGTTGGACTGTAATGTTTATTGTTTCCTTTCGTGGCCATCAATTAATTCTACCCCACCGCCAACGGTTCATTGAAAAAATAAACATGCAGGAACATGATATTACATCTAGAACACCGGGTAAAGGATCAATATTGTGTCTAAAAGACGGACAACGAGTTGAGATCTAATGGGAAATCTATTATGAAAAAGACATCAGCGTAACTTTTCTGTTAACCCTTCATTCTTTCCTTTCTTTAGAAAATATTTCAGTTAGTGCAACTTCAAATATCGGAGAAGCGTCAGTTTGAAAAAATTGTTACGTACAGACGTTTATATTGCATGACTGAAAACACGAATATAATTAGTATTGCGAAATTTCAGATTACATTCATGTTCTCCACTGAATCACACGTGCCTGAATTAAATTTTGTAACATTACCAAACAAGGATACATGTCGACTTCCTGGTGTTAACTACCAACCAAATTCAATTTTCCGTCACATTGTGCGAGAGCGTTAGAGTTCCTACGGTTTATTCTATTCTATTTATCTTAATTAATTAATTTATTTATTTATTTTCGTTCCAGTAAAGCTACGTGAAAACAGGGGCAAAGAGCAAACGAACATGACAATTTTGACAGACAACATCTTCAGGAAAGAAGACGCAGACACCATGAGAGAGGAATGGAGGATGGCAGCCATGATTATTAATCGCCTCTTTGCTTGGATCTACCTCATCACCATCATCATAACATTGGCAGCCGTGCTGCTAAAGTCACCACGATTTAGGAAAGGGGAATTTTAACTTAGTTAAACAACCTCTCTCACGACAAGTCCTTACTAACCGAAGATACTTAAAATCTCGTTAAACAACTTTTGAAAGTATGACAAAATGAAAATATTGTAAGCAATTTAGCCGTACGATAATTTTGACTTTTAAACATATCAGGGATTCTAGGGTAATACTTAACCCCTTGAACTACACGACGAAAATATATCTTTAATTGCAGAGAACTTTATTCTCAATTCAAAAAGCAACAAATAGAATTAACGCAGTACAAGTAACCAATTTTTCCAGACCAGTAAGGAACTGGTGAAATGCAAGTATACCTTCGTTGTGAATTTACTGAAAAACATTGACACGTAGCATTCTTCGCTTTGAAGATAGTTGCCCTTGAATGTTAAAATATACTTTTAGAGTATACTTTTATGGTTGATTACAAAAAGAAAAATACTCTGATTTTCCATTCGTTTACAAATAACATTATGACTGCAAAGATTTTGGATTGTTTTGTCAGTTTTATTTCCTAATTGTTTGCTTGTTTGTCTCTTCATCTCTAAAGAAAGGAAAAATAGATTGCTAGGATTGTCATAAGCTGATTATGTTCTGATGAGCTGACGCACGTAATAATGATATGAGAGGAAGTGCAAGAAGTACATCTTAGTACATCTTAGGAAGTCACGTTCCTCACTTTTACTGACCCCTTGGCTTTCATTCAAAAGCAAAGACGAAAGCCTCAATTAAAATCCTGGCATGGGATCCTCACTTGAACTTTTAACTTCTGCGTTTTATGTACTCTTTCTTTTTAAACGTCTCGAATTCACTTCTAATACACTGACACACACACAAGATGTTCAAATTCACTAGTTTATTCGTCATGCTGATAACCGACACCAAAACTTTCTTTGTCACTCTCCGGTCTTCAAGGAGCCACTCTTCTACATTTGAAATACCAAAACATTTCTACTTTAAATTACGATACACATAGTTGAACCTCTGGCAACGCGATGTGCCGTAAAAGAGGACAGAGATAGCTACTACTGCTTATTTGGTAAACAGTTTTCTTAATTTCTACCTTATGGTTCAAATTGCTTCTTTCAAAGTTCGATTTTATTCCCAGATATCATTTTTACAACCACCGTAGTCGCATCGCACAATTAGACGAATGACCTTCTAAGGGGAACACAAGGAAAGCCCCTGCATAAAGTAATAAAGTAATACAAACTGACTATATTTCTAGAACATAAGAGAACTGTGAAAATGCTAGTATACCAGCGTGGTGGAGATAGAAAAGAAAAATCAAAGAAGGCTGTAATAAATTACTGTTAGAAAACTGAAATTTTGTTTCAAGCAATGATGATATGGCTTCGTATAACCAGATAAATACATGTATCCACTAACAAAAAATGTCCTGATTTTGTAGATTGTCTCTTTTGTTTGTTTCTCACGTTTTAGCGATAAACGTATTTTTTGGTCAGTTGTAAGATGGCACACATTCTGGCCTAAGTTATTTTACTATTGATAATGAGATTCATTAAAATATTTTCACTCAGTACTCTTTTTCCGAATTTCCTTCGAGGCAAGGATGTTTGGGGCTGATGTTTCTAAATTTCAGCATTGCTCGCACACCGCTTACCACCGCTGCAAAGTTCCTCCGCTGACCGAGTTTCATCGGTATTTTCGGGTCCATTTGAAGCCATGGATGATTCAGCGCCTCCGAAGCTGTCATTCTCTCGCTGGGTTTTATGACAATTAATCGTTGCACAAAGTCTTTAGCTTCTTCTGATACATTGTCCCAATATGGCGAAGGCATAGTATAATGACCTTGTAGAATAGATAGTAGTAATTTTTCGTCGCTGCTACTCCAAAATGGCGGGTAGCCCACCAATAGAATAAATGATATGACGCCACACGCCCACATGTCAACTGGTTGACCAATCATTTCCTCTAAAATTGTCTCTGGTGCAAGGAACAGGGGCGCGCCACTCGCTTCACAACTGATGACGTCAGAGTCGCGTGGCAGTCTTCGAGCCAAGCCAAAGTCAGCGAGTTTTACAATCAATTGTTCGGAAATTCTGGATTGACTGAGAAGAAGATTGTCGGGCTTGACGTCTCGATGGATGATTCGCTTGGCATGAAGATACTCCAAGGCTTTTAAAAGCTGCGAAATAAAGAGAAATCAATTTAGACATAGACCCTTAGCAGGATACTAAAATCACACCAGCTACCATTGGATTAAGCTCGTTTGATACACAAACGAATTACGTCACATTTGTGCGTGTGGCTACAGCTATTCGATACTTTGTTTTGAAACCTTGCCGTTGTCAAGGCCGGAGCTGTTCCGTCATACGCTCGAAAATTATTTGTGACGCCACGCCTTTCATCGAGAGGCGAAACATATTTTGCGACAATATTGAGAACGTTGTCTTGTCACAAGTACTTTTTTGAAATGTTTTGACATCAATATATAAAATCGAAATAAAACTGTGTTTGCGTTTCATTATACATCGATGAATGAACTTTATGCTGTTCTGACAGAACTTGTCATAACTGAAAGCAAAAGGCGTCCTTCATTGGTAAGTGTTTTTCGTCTTTGGCTTCAATTTTTACCCATACCACCTTACCCCGGTTCAGAGAAACTGCTCGAAACTGTTTAGCTGGCGAAATTTTTCGCTCACGCACCATGTAGACGATTTAAAACAGACGTAATTTCAGTATGGGAAGTTATGTAATATCGAGACTTTGTTTCATCAACAAACATATACTTATAAGGTTTCGTCTTTAGGGCAGAAATTTGAACCACAGAGGTCATGAATGTCATAAGATATGCTGGTGACGTAAATTCATTCAGATTGGTGTATTCCCTTCCGTGCTGCTTTGTCACAGCGCATCTTATTTCCTTTAGTGGGAAAAAATTTGCGATAAATAGTTTAGCTTTGACGGAACTTACGTTCGTTTTTATAACCTGTGTAAGGAACTGGCCACTTACAAATTAAACCTTCACAGAAGATAATCTCTCTCTCTCTCTCAGAAGGCAGAAAAAACATCCATTAAAAATACCGTTTTTTCCGTGAAATAAAAGTTCCATCTATGTACTTACTGAACCTAGCACTCGAAGCAAATGTTCGCCTGAAGTATTAAAAATTAGCTAAGTTCTATGAGTTTAAAACAGAAAAATTAAATAATGATTGAACAAATCTTACTTGTTTTATGAAAGAGCGTGCTTGTTGTTCACTGTAAATGCTGTGTCCCAAAATTTCATCAAACAAATTGCCACCATCGACATTTTCACATACGAAATGCACAGAAGAGTTTCCCTGGAAGGTTTGGTGCAACGAGACGATATTTTCGTGTTGTAAATCCTTCCAAATCTCCATCTCCTCTCTGACTGCCTCGCTGAAAGAGAAGCCCTCATCAAGCCGTATTTCCTTCACCGCAAAAGTTTTACCACTCTGCTTCTCTTGGCACCTGTAAACCTTGGCGAATGATCCCTCACCGATAAGTTCTTGAATTTCGAATTCGTCTTTGAATATGTGTGCATCTCTTTCAAAATATCGCGATGGCATCTTTCAATGATTCAGAATAGACTGCAGGATGTTTTGCTCTCCTTGACGATTAGCAGTTGAGAAAGTTCCTATATAGTAACAACACCGTAACCCGAGTTTATAATTGTCAACAGCATAATTTCAACTGACCAATGAGAGGCCTTAAATGCCGAGTTTCCTGAGGCGTTGATACAGGAGAGGATTTCCTGTGCTATTTTGGTACATTGGCTAATTTGTCAGCTTCTTTTGAACTCTGAACTCAGATTACATCGACATTTTTTTGTCACAAGGCAGACACGTAGATATGAGATTATACAGCGCGATCCATCTCGACTCGCTGTGTATGGTCGGCTTTGTTGCGAAATATTGGGTGTTAACTTTTCGTGTCAGATGAGCTAATTAACAAAATTTTTATTCAGAATTCTATGGTGGTTTCCGTGTCAACCGCGTTTCTTAATGCTAATCCTCACGTTTGCTACGAAATTAAAACGGCTGACCTTTCTAGCTAATTACTTATCTTGTTGACAGAGGGCTGCTGCTTGCTGGCTGCAATCGATCGCGCTTAGCAAGCGCAAAGAAATTTGCGAGTGAATATTAAAAGTTTCAAACTTCATATACAAAATTAACCGATCTTCCGCGAAGGAAATTAGCGAATCAGTTTAAAGTCAGTAGTTCCTCCTGTAGGTGTGTCGTTTCACATCATAACTGTTGATTTGAATGCTTCAGATTCTGGCGGTGTAATGACTCAAGCACACCCAGATGTCATCACTCAGCAATAATGGTGAATAAAGGAAACCGAAAAGGAACTTTCGTGCTGTTATTTGTTTTTTGAACTTCTGCTGAAAGAAGACAAAAAGTTGTACTCTGACGCGCACAATTAAAGAAAAAAAACAACGTCCATCTAAAATAAGCAAACAACTTCAACACATCCTCACAGGCAGCCCAAGCTCCAGCTGTGAGACAATCATCTTGCGAAAAAAAAGTCATGGCGAAATTGTGAGAGTTTGTGTGGGAATATTTACTACCGCTCTCAGGAATAAAAGATAAGTCAAATTCACAACAAAAATACCTCTCCTCATACTTTCACAGTGCATTGCTTGTTGTCTGACCACTTATTATATTGAAAAGAACCCATATTTAGCGAGTTATTCATTTCTAAGTTTACCACACAAGAGGGCTTAAAAAGTGGAATGAACCGAGGGCGTTCAGTGAACTACACTTCATTTGAGATATGGAACCGATCTCATCCTATTCAAAGAGGATGCGGCCAAAATGTAGGTAATTGTAAGTCCTGAGCAAGTGGTAACTTGGCCCAAGACTCCCAAACAAAATAAATGTGGCCGGATCGTCGGGACACCGTTTTGTATAACGCCCCACGAACTAAATACATTCTTAAACGTCGGCGGAGGCGGTTGTTTTTAATTCCAAAGCAGCATAGCATGTACCAATGAAATGACTTAATTTCTTATCATGTCTAGTCTTGGCGGATACCGTTCGAAACACATCCATCTCTCAGCATTCCAACAATTTCTCGATAAATCAGTCATACATTTGAGAAATTACCCAATCAACTCAAGGTACATCAAGACTATAAAAGTGAGCTTATAGTAGATATTTCATCGGAAAATACCTTCCCTTCTTGATTGTCACTAATACACTGTTATCTGGAGGCCTTTCACGAATCAGCACATCGCCAATCTGATTAGAGTTTGCCATGACCCGCGATTTAGGGCGTTGACAAAGCATCAAAATTATTTGTTTAAGTGTAGTTTATCCTGGTGTATATCATTCTGTCTTGTCTGATTTTATCTCTATCCCATTTATAGAAGATTTTTCTCGTGAGGTTTTTAGGTCAACGAACACCGATCGATCTCCACCGAGTTTGTCCACGGCCTATTTCCTGAACAACAGGAATTGATCGTGGCAGACCTCAACCACTCATGCGATCAAGAAAATAGTTTATAAACTGTTGGCCTAAATTTGTCTTTACGTCTTACCTATTGATAGACATTAGTGGTTATAGTTTTTTCCTTTACTAACCATGTGGTGTCGACAGAGTGGTGTGATCAACCGAAGCATCTTCTGAGGGTATTGTGGATGGGGAGGTTGGAGTGAGTTCGTCAGTAGGCCGTGTGAAGATCTGGAATCGAGTCTCCGCAAGAATCAAAATGGCGGCTGCTTGGCGTTCAAACCTTGGTAAACATGTCAGAGAAATTCGTATTCACTTGTGTCAGAAGTCCCAGAGTAGTCAAGGTGTAAGGTAACTAACTATGGAGGACGATTATTCCAAATTTTGAAGTACTTGAGTTATTTATAACGCTATTTGCGTAATTAATCTGCGGATGAAACTCTTCTTTATGGACTCGATCGCCAGAAGTACAAATATTATACTTACAGAAAAAATAGCATACAACAATCATTTTTAAGCGATACCAGAAATCAACTCAAGCAAGGTGATGTTGTAAAGGAGGGGTTTGTTGAAATCACTGGTGATCATAGGTCGACCGTTCGTTACCATGTTTTGGTCTCCTCATTTAAAAACATTTTAAGCTGTTGATGGCCACTAAACTCTTAAGGTACTTACACACTGCAACATGACATACCCTGTGCCAATCGGCTTTAAAAAATCTCTGAATAACAAATAGAAAAGAAGTTGAAGAATTCAAAAATTTCTTTATCTCAGACAGAAATTTATGAGGTGGAACTTTAATAGATTATTTGTTAACAAACCCCTTTGTGTCTTTTTTATATTTTTTTGTTTTCTTTTTGTGCAAATATTTAATTAACCTGTGGAATTTCTAATCAGGGACTTCTTGGAGAAATACTACATTGGCATCAAGAAAGAGAACCCAAAAGTTCCCATCTTGGTTCGTGAATGTAGTGGAATTCAACCAAAGATGTACGCAAGATATGGTAAGAACTAAGATAAGAAAATTCTACTCTTTCTTTACTCAAATGATACATTTGCAAAATATGCAGATCTCTTGTGACAAGTGATAACCAAACTGATTTGGTAAATGAAGTTGCTGATCAAAGCCCAGAAAGCCTTGAGTCTCTTTTTCATTGTCCGTGTTGTGTGGGCGACAACACTGTTGCTATTTAGTGTAAGTTAACCCTTAAACTCCAATAACTCCAATGAGTTACCAAGACAGAATTTTTCTCTATGATATTAATACAATATCAAGCAGACAGGTGATGGGAATGACCCAAAACATCAACGATGGGATTACTTGTCGCTTGAATACCAAATTTTCTAAATTAACATCATAATAATTGTGTAGCAGACAGTATGAAGGATTACTGAGATCTTGGGTGTGAAAGGGTTACAATTTGGCCAGCTGAATGTGATATTTCTTTAATCCCTTTAGATCATGGAAAGGAAAACTCTGTCCAACTGAACAATATGAGTGGGGATTCAGTCCTCCAAGCTATGGAGAAGCTTGTTACATCAGGATCACTGTGAAATGTGGAATATTTATGAATGATGCCATAACATTATCAATTGCAGGAAAGGACAGGAAATTTTTATTTCTTCAGCAAGCCTTTGAAGTTCCTTGAAAATGCCTGTAAATTTGTTTTGTCATCTTTAGTCTCTGTGGTGTTGTGATGTAATTGAGGTATCAATGGATGTCTGAGAACAAATTATTAAAGATTCAAATTTGTTTACCTATTGTTATTAATTGATTTTGACAAAATTGCAGTTAGAAGTTTTAATAACTTAATGGATCTTAAATTTATCTTACTGCAACCAAAATTAAACATTCTGAAATATCATCAACATTTGCATATCAAATAAGTTTTTTTTTTTTGGTGATGGTGTTGTCATTCATCAGGAGGGTGTGCCTTAAGTCAGTCACACATGCATTCATAGGAAAGAACAATGCTAAGGCCTACCACCCATCAAAAGGTTGTTCATACCTATAGTTACACCCTCTGCCCCTTTTATGGTTTGGAAGTCTCTTGCAGCAGCAGCACATTGCATTCATGCTATGTATGTTACAAAAATAATGGAAGTGTCAGTTTTTGTATGTTTTGCAGGTTGACATAGGTGTTGGTTTGGGTAATATTACATCCAAAGAACCTTGTTCACCAAAGTGGCATCGGAAATTGGTCTTTTTTAATTAAAATGGTACAGTTATCTTAAGCAGCTCTCTTATTTTCAATTTTTACCCAACAATTTCCAACAGAGCAACTTTCCCAAAATGGATCAGTGTCAACAATAATCAGTTATAATCTATGTTCGGTGATATCTTTACATCAGAATGCCTGGGTACCCATGTTTTGGTATAATCCACTCTAGGGAAAGGTCATTCAAAGGTGGGTGCACATTACCTTTTGCTACCATCAGGGTAGGAGCTTAAATGTAGTTGGGCCTTTTAAATAATCAAATGAATAAGTAAAACCATGTTGCAGTATAATGTATCATATATTTAAAAAGCAGGACATCTTTTAAGTAGCATATATTTGAAGAGTTCTCCAACTAATCAAAGTGTAAAAATGTTTCAAAAAAAATTTAATATAACCAAGAAATTACATCACATGCGGGGTTAGATAACATTAGGGTATCTTGATAAAGGAGAAACAAAATGTAAAAAAAAATTGCAATGTCTACATCTGGCCTTTCCAAATCTAGTTTTACAATCAGACCTCATCAACCTAAGTGTGAATGGGCGAGTGTACTGTTACATTCTACCATATGTAAGGTATCAGAACTGCAGTGCTTCGACGATAATCTTGGTAGGCTGGTAGATGCCCCCATTTCTTCAAACCCTGCCTTTCCAGAAGTGGAATGCCACTGACTCGAGTCAGAAGATAAGCCACAAACATAGGGGAGATGGCACTCAAGTACTGGTAACCAGACATTACTGAGGAAGCCGGAAGAAACAAGCTGGACCACATCAGCATCTCGCCAAGATAGTTGGGATGTCGGCTAATGCTCCACAGCCCAGAGGCAATCCACTTGCCTTTGTTAGCAGGATTAGCCTTGAACTGCGACTTCTGGTAATCTGCACCTGCTTCTAGTATGAATCCGATTAGCCAGAAAGCCCATCCTAAGTAATCCTTCCATGTCAGCTCTTCGTCTTTAGCAGAAGCATTCAGGATCAGGGTTGGTAGTAGAGTCATGAAGATCCAAACACCTTGAATTGTCCAGTAGATGAAAAACACGCGGGGATTCCCTCGAACCTTGTCGAAACGGCTATCCTTTCCGTCCTGGAGAATCCTGTGAAACAGATACAAGCCAAGTCGAAGTCCCCAAACCGTAACACAGCCAGACTGGATAATCTGACGCAAGTTGACTTTCCTTTGCCATCTTAGGGTTAGCAACGTCAGGAAGACGAAGGTGGAGGAACCGGCCAAATCGTAAAACTTTTCCGTCTGAAGAATGGACGCAACCGCCCAACAAATCCACTGAATACCAAAGTCTATTGCTGCTGCAGTAAAAAGAGGGTTTTTCATGCCAGCGGAAAGAAAGCTCCCCATTACTTGGAAGAACTTTGAAGATTTGTGGCCCACACAGCAATCAACAATCGATACCAACCTCCAACCGTGATTGCGTAACGCAAGGTCGATTGAGCTTTTCTTTCAAATAAGCAATTTGAAATGTATCCCTGAGAAATTCGATGAAATAAATGGATACACGAGACAAATATACTTGACTAGAACTTTCTAGTTACTTCTCCAATATGAAAGTTATGTGTTGTATTCTAAAATCGTGGCAAAAGAGGCAAAACAAGCCAAAATTTATCCAATGGACACCTTATGGTACCTTACATATAATAGTAAATTTTGAAACTTGATAACTTACGTAATCCGCCGACCAAGATTTTAAAGCTATTTCACCAACCCTGCGTGTATCTAAAAGGATCAATTCCCTCTAAACTAGGAAGCGATTACCTTTCATGGAGACTTCATCTTTCTATATAGCGAAAGAGAAGATTATTATAACTATAACTCATTAATTCCACGTTTAACGCCCCAAGCCACTCTGGAAAGATGTGAGTGGATGTGACTGTCACAGTTTGTCAGATGAGTACTACCATTGAGGGAGGAGGAGGGGGTAGTAGGGTCAATTTCTGCTGGTATGTGTCACTGGCTACTCAGAATTCCTACCCCATCATGGTCTAAGCTGTGGTCAACCATAGACCCCATCTTAGTCACTATAATTTGAGCAAAATTAACACCTTTTTAACTTTGAATCTTCCCATCTTAAAAATCCCTATTGACCAGAATTTTCTTACCTTCCCCCCAATCCTAAGAATATGTGACCCATTCTAGTACCTCTATTAAAATTAAACCCCATTATGGTCATTCCAGCAAAATCATCCTGCAGCACATCCCCATTAACCAATTTCTAGGAAGTACCCTTCTAGGGTACCACATGCATGATTATATGACAAACCAAGACTGTAACAAAATTCTCGAACTTGATTAGTAACCACCAGCCTGATTTGAGAACTAATAGGACAGTGTTCGCATCATGCTTGTACTGGTAATTGGACAGTGTAATAGGACAGTTGAAGGGACAGTAAACACATCATGCCTGTGTAAGTGGACTTAACATATCATGTGACATGCTGGTGTCTCACATCTCAATAAGTTAACTGTTGGTGTTTTTTTTTATGAAAACGTATGACTAATGTCAAGTTTCTTTCTAAAATTTTGTCATAGATGTGATTAATTGGTAACAGGACTTCCTGTCGTCCAATTCTACAGGTGATTATCAAATCAGACTCCTGCATCCCTGTCATCCAATTTTGTCAATCACTTGTATGATTACAGACCAAATTGGACTCCACTCAGTTCTTAATTAATTATCATTATACATATGATGAAAATCATCTGAGTCTCAAAACATTTAATAGGGCTGATTTTTCCACTATATGATAGGGTTCATACTAAAGAGAAAGAGAGGTTAAAGAAAATTAACACTAAGTGTTTGTAGGTTCAACTCAGAAAATTTAAGCAGTATCTTTCCCTTTTTTATTTTTTGTAGTAACAGTTGTTTTCATGCTTTCAGAAATAGTGACAAACAATTGAATTTAAAGAGATGGGAAACTCCTTCAAATCACTCAACCCTCTATTGTTGGCAAGACAATTAGGCACATTTTTTGAAATGGTGGTCATAAATCTATGTGTAATTAACCCTTGAAGATGATTCCTACATAATGTCCAAATATTTTGTCATGTTTTTATAATCAAATAATTTGTGATTTAGCCACAGCACTTAATACAGCCTCTTAGCAATATTTTAACTCTTTTTTAGTCTTATGTGTCTGTAACCCAGAGAGAAGCTCAGTGCACCCCTATTTTTTAATCAGAAAACTTATCAGCTTATTATGTTTCACCTTTGACTCTCAGAAGTGACTAACACTTAACTTCTCACTGCAATATCCGTACATTATCCAGCAGGCAATAAGAATGCTCAAACATCAAATAGAAGTTGTAGTCTTGATCTTACACCACATTCTTGCAACTAATTTCAAAGGAAATATGAAGTAACTGGAGGGGAGAATTGACCATCAGAACTGGGAGTTAAAGTAGTGCACCCCTATTTTTTAATTAGAAAACTTATCAACTCAGTCTATTTAACCCTTTGACTCCCTGAAGTGATTAACATGTAACTTCTCCTTGCAATGTCCATACAGTATTCAGCAAACAGGTGAAGAGAATACTCAAACATATCAAATAAAATTTGTTGTCTTGACCTTACACCACATTCTTGCAACTAATTTCAAAAGAAATATGTAGTGACTGGAGGGAGAATTGACCATCAGATCTGAGAGTTAAAGGGTAGTGCACCCCTATTTTTTAATCAGAAAACTTATCAGCTTAGTATATTTAACCCTTTAACTCCCAGAAGTGATTAACATGTAACTTCTCCTTTCAATATTCATACATTATCCAGGGAACAGGTAATGAGAATACTCAAACATATCAAATAGAAATTGGTTTCTTAATCTTATACCAAATTCTTGCAACTAATTTTAAAGGTAATGTGGAGTAACTGGAGGGGAGAATTGATTATCAGATCTGGGAGTTAAAGGGTTAGTAGTTATTTCAATTGAGCAAAATTGTTGGATATGGCAATTGGTCCATGACACACCTAGCACCAGGTTGGCCATAATCAATCTCCCATCCAACAGGTGCAATTGAAGTAATTGTTTTATTAAATTTGGTTAAACTCTGAAGGTTTGGATATTTGGAGCTTTTTTTTCAGCTCAGCAACAGTTGGTACAATACATTTCCATATAAGGTGACTTTGATCAAAAGCTGCTAACCAGAGCTGAGTGGACCAATCAGAACGCTAGAAATGCCATATTTGGAGTTGAAAATTTAATAACAATTAATACTCATCTTTTAGCACATTAGAAGAAAATTTTACCTCTGAACTACAATTACAGATTTTCTTAAAACACTGCACAAACACATAGGCTAGATTTCAATTTTGAGTTACTAACTGGTAAAGCAATACTGGGGGCGTTTGGAGAGGCCGCAGAGGAAATCTCTTTTGCTAGAACAATTGTCATGCCTCTTTCAGGAAGGGTAGTCAAGACTAGATAAATTATTTACTTATTTCAAGAAAACAATTAACAAAAATAGTAATGGAAGCTACAATTCAACAAATAATTAATGCTTCAAAATAATGAATCCATTTTGAGCTAAGTTCCCTAAAATATGAACTGATCAACCCTTTTACAAGGCAGTGTCTTAAACAGAGTTCTCTTGAATATTAATCCTTGGGAAATCATGAAAGCAGAGTAATACTATGAGGACCCCTTTAACTATAAGAGAAAAGAAAGACAGATAACATGGGAGAAAATATGATACATGAATTGATGAATACAAAAAGTACAGATAATCAGGTAATCATTGTGAACTGTAGGGAAATTATCAACAAAAAATAAAAATGACAATAATAATTAGTTACCTCTCTCAGCATAACTAATAATGAAAGTTGTCAGTCAATAATGTAATCTATGGATTATAATGTTCAAATTGTCAGTCCTGCTAAATTCTGTAAGTAAATTGTGTTGGTTTAAAAAAAACCATTTCATTTTAAAAAATCAATGAAAAAATTATGTGAGGTATCAGCTAGCACTTCTTGACTACAGGCCACCTACAAACTTAAAATATGAGAACTTAAATGAGGTGAAAGTTCATTTCAACACAGGAAAACAGCACTGAAATAACATCATTCATTAATGTTTATTCAGCACTTAATTACAACCTTGCAAGGGAGTTACATCTTCCCCCCCCCTCCTTCCAACTAAAAACTCCAAAGTAAAAAAAATGGAAAAGTGGCAATGGACAATAATGCTGCTTTGCAAAAAGGTATACCATATGGTGTTACTTTACTTTAGAGTAAGCAAGTCATAAAGTTATATTTAGATTTTGCCTTGGTTTCTGCTTTTAAAATTTTGCAGGATTTTCATTCAAAGAAAAATGTGGGGTTTAGGGCATTCAATGAAGCAGGGCAACATTTCAGGAAAAAAAATATATTATTCCACTAAGGCCATCCCCTGAAACACCTAGCTTCTGCACAATCAGCAAGTCCCTGGTGTGGAAACCCTGGAAATTCATAACTGCAGTTGGGGCTTAAATGAGCGGGACAAAGTGCAGGAAGCTGGCAGGTGCTATTTCCCTAGCCTTAGTTTCCCTAACAAAGAAGTCTAAAAATTGATCTGGCTCACCCATATTCATTGTAAAATCCATTAACAAAAAAAGAGGTTGGAGTCTAGACTCCCTTGAAAATATGTATTAAACTTGTTTAATGAACCATAGCATTTATTGAAAATAAAAACTCCAAAACTTCTTAAAATCCCAATCAAATAAAGTGGTAACAAATTTGCATGAACAAAAGCTCAGAAAAAAACTAAAAACAACTTTATCCACGTCAGTTTTCAGTGTCAAAGATAGATTTCTTTGAGCTGATTGGCTAATTTATGAAATCACATAATCTCTCAGCAAACCCAAAAAGTGCCACTATTTTCATAATTTCTTTAGAAAGGCCTTGTATAGCTGAGACACACCATATCAAATACTGGTGCAGAATTGAATTATTTTGTCCAATTGAGAAAACTTGCACAGGTCCAGCAGAAATGATGTAGTTGCTGCCCAAGGACTCTATTTGAGAGGCTTGACTTTGGAGAGGAAGCGGCTCCAGAGACTGTCACTGCCATTGATCTGCAAGTGGCCCCTCCTAAATATTGAAAAAAACATAAGGTTCACATTAAAGGAGCGAATGTCTTCATAAAAAACATTGAAAGAAGCTAGCAAAGTGGCTTATATTCTGCAAAAGCAATTGATCTCAGAAGAATACAATATTATTAACTAAATCAAATACTCGAAAATTTCTTCAATACTCATGGGCTAAGCGAAGTTTAAGTCAGCTCAGTTGAGGTCATGCCCCTCCCCCCTACCCCAAAGAGCAATGTATGTAATAGAGCTTTTCTGTACCTATAAGTTGTTACAGGTACAGGAAAATATGGTGCTCTGGTTTTTTCAGATTTAATATTGGAAGAGTGTGTTACACTTTTTGTCTCTCTTTGTTATTTAGGATAGATTCCAGCAGTGATTAAATCACCGTGACTAGTGTCGATGTTTATCATTCAATGAAAGGGCAGCACAATTTTGAATCCACTACGTGTTTCGATCATTTTCAGATTAAAAGTTAATTCATGATGTAACACAAAATGTTAATTGGTCATTATCAGACAATAAGCAAGAGTAATCAAAATGCGGCGTAATGCGCGGAAACAGCACGCACACATCACGCGTGCTGTCGACTTATAAGCATTGACACATTGACTGTCCAACATGTGCTCAAATGGGGCTGGTGATGACCAATCACATTTGTGAATTTTGTCATGGTATTGATTAATCATACAACTGTTTGACACATACAAAAGAGGGAGAGTAATACATTAGTTTTGTTTTTACCTATTTTCTTCGAACATTCTTTGTCTCGCGGACATCACGCCATCTAAAACGAAAGAAAAACGTATCATCATGTACCTTGTAATTATGATTAGCAGGTGTATATGTCATGTACATTTAAAAAAAAAGCGTCGTAAACGTATACGCCTCGTAATTTGGAGAGGGTCTTAAGGATCATCATATCAAACCAGGAGATATATAAGCTTCCCCGTTCCTTTGTCGCCTGGGTGTACTACTTCCGGTTTGGGTTTGAGGAATCTCCCAAAATATCTAAGCTGGGTAACTTACCAAAAGCTTCTCTTAGTATCCTTCCATTGTGCTTCAAAGAGCAAAGCTTCTTTTTCCTTTTATAAATCTCCTCTACAGGCGAAGTTTTGAACTTTCCTTCTGAGCTTGAAGAAATCGTTGTTTTGATGAGTCTTTTTTTCATCTCGTATTGTTGTTTCTCTTCCTTCAACTTTTCTATCTTCCCTTTGTCTCTGATCTCCTCTTTCTTAGCCTCCTCATCCTTGATCAGCATGTCGACGTAATCACCAAAGGAGTCGTTGTAAGGGATCATGGCGTTCTTTTTTAGAAATATACCGAAAAAGGATGCACATTCGTAAATGAAATCCTTTTCTCGTTTATATTCTTTACTCCGCAACTTCAGCGTATCGATGAACGCTTCCTTCTGAGACTTCATGTCTTCTTTCATCATGATTAAACTCTGTGCTTCTTTAGTTAGGAATTCCGTCTCTACGAGTGTAGTTTTGTAGGTAATATGCATATGCTCACTGTAGCTGTGACGACATTTTGTACACTGACCTTCGTGCATTGCGCGACACTTGTAAAGCTTGTCGTTGTTTATGGTCTCAACGGATACTCCTGGAAGGTAGCAATGATCATGACAGATCTGGTCATAAACTGTGCGCGTCACATTTTCCTCACCAACTTTTGCATAGGTCTTGCATTCATCACCAGCACAAACAGTCATGGGGTAGTCTAGAGGCTCAACAATCAGATCAAACCCTTTGAATTTAAGATGCGCTCGGAAAGTGCTGATGTCACTGTCAAAAATCTTGCACTTCTCTGTTTCATCGTCAATCCGCTTTAAGTTCATGGTTATAAGTTCAAAAGCTTCCCCCATGGGTTTGCTTAAGGCAATGATGTAGTTCCTCGCCTCATTCAGACTTAGAGTCTTCTTTGTGTCGTGTGGTTTCATTTCCATCACTCGCTGGAAAAGTTTGCCGGTAGTTTCGCAAGACAAGTCCCAGCTTTCTGAGTACAGGTTAACCTCTTTCGGTGTAAACTTGATTCCTTTCTTGTTGCAGGCAAGAAATCTGTGAGAGACAACAAAAAATATACATATTTATATAATAGCCTAAATTAAACAGGGATTTTAATTCTTACTTATGGTTTATTGAAATCTTGACACATCGATGACGTCACCACTAATAAAATTATGCTTTGTTATCAGGATATAAAAGATTCCATGTTGCGGTAAGCCTGAACAGTAATACTGTGAAACACTCGGCTGCGCCCCTCGTACACTTATTTTGCTTTTACCACATTTTAACGTCATCGGTATTATGGGGTGCCAAAAATATAAATTGCAAATGATAAAACTTAATCGTTAGTGCTAAACTATCAATCGTTAGTGATAAAACTCAATCATTAATGCTCAAATATCAATCGCTAGTGATAAAACTCAATCGTTAGTGCCAAAATATGACTCAGTTGTTAGTGCTAGTATCGATTTGTTATGATTCTAACCTGAATCCGTCTCCCACTTGTAAAGCAAAGATGAACCAATCAAATCTCGCTTACTTTCTTGAAATCTGATAAGGGACATTGAAATGAGAATAAGGGAAAAGACACACCGGCACGGACTCCCCATGTGGTTTTTGTGGTCACGTCGCATTGTAATTTTCCTCTCACAAGCGTGTCGTGGAGTTTTGCTTTTTGTAAGGGATGATCGGAGGTTTTCAGCAAGGGCTAATTGTGTATCAGACTTCAATGCTCCATCAGTATTTGTTTTAAATTTTTAACTGCCGGGTGGTACGTTGTAACAGAAGGCAGTAAATATCCGTGATCCTTTGGCTTTTGTGTATGTGTAAGAACCGATTGTCTAGAGGCAAAGTTGACCCCTGACAGAGATCTTTCTATGAAGTTTTCTGGGTGCCCTCTTGCTTCGAGGGGTTCTTTAAATTTCAAAAGGCCCCCTTCAAATTTTTCTTTCGAAGATTTAGTTCTAAGCAATCTCATTGCTTCGCCTTTAATGAAACTATATTCTACGCCTGGTGGGTGGCACGAGGCGAAGTGCGTAAATTGGAAGTTTTTTGGTCGGCTTGTAACGGGTTTTGATGTTCAAGATAAAATCTTTTGTGAATCTTTCTCCTTTAAAAACACTGTGGTATCGAGGAAGGTGATTTGGTTCTCTGATATTTGATAGTAGGGTGGAAATAGTTCGCCCGTTTAATAAACCGATCTACCTCTGTTCTCTCGGAATCTCAAAGGGAGAAAACGTCATGTATGTAACATTTCCATTCTCTTGGCTTGATTTCGCTTTATTGCATTAATTTCGTTTCAATTTCCGCCATGAAAATATTGGCAAACGACACTGCCATTTTCGTACCCATAGCGGTTCCATGTGTCTTGATGAAGGTCTCCTCATTGAATTAATTGAACATAAAATAAAATAGCCGAATTAAGGAATGAGATTTCTGACCTTAAGAGCTTTTTCATACACTTGCAAATAAAAGTGATGGAGAATATAGCAGTGTGTTCTCCGACTCTAAAAAAAGCTGGCTTTAACAACAGCGGAAGAAGATAAAAAAACACAAAACGCGCGGATCATAGAAACGCTTTAAAATGTGGGCTTTCAGCGAAAGAGAGGGAGACAAATGAAAAATTCCCAAGGAATCTCTCAAACTATCAACTTTCTGACGGTCAAGTCAGCGTGCTCTCAAAGGGTCTCAAATTGATCCCAACACCCGTGGCAAACGGATGTAATATTGGACAACAACTCTTGCAAGATTTTGAACAATTCGCAAGGCGAATGCGCCTCCAAAACATCTTTCACAAACAAAACAAAGGACTACATCCATTTCATCCTAAATCAAACTAGACGCCTCCGGTTCAGCCTTCTGTTGCCCTTAAGAGCTACTTGGAAAATGCCAAAGCAACTACACCAAAAAATAATTTGTCACGCAAATCGAGAATAGCACTAACAACTGAGTTTTATCACTAGCGATTGATATTTTAGCACCAATAATTGAGTTTTATCACTAGCGATTGATATTTTTGCAGTAAAGATTGAGTTTTATCACTGGCGATTTATATTTTTTCACTAACGATTGAGTTTTATCACAAGCGATTGATATTTTGGCACAAATGGCTCCCCATGGATTTTTAGCTTTTTAATTTGTATGTATCTGTATCAAATCGCCGGCACAGTTCAGACTTTATCTTCTCTCTTTCTTCCGTGATCGGCATATATTTATTATATGGACGTGAGTGTTCTACCGAGAACTAAAACACTCGTAGAATCAATACGACCACTACATTCGCGAACCGAGTGGAGCAGCGACGAAACAATTCCCGCCTTTTCAAACTTGTTCTGTCTGTTGTTTGGAATATTTAATGACCTCAAGATGTGTTGTGGTAAGCGACGAAGATAATGATGAATTTTCTAAACAATAAGAGAACGAGAAAACCAATGAGAAAACGTTTTATGACCTAAAGATTTTCAAGTATTTCTCGAAAGTTGTGACAGGACAAAGGTAAATTTTTGTTTAGGCTATTCGTGCTGAACGGCCTTCGAAGAGGCGGAAAATTAAAATATCTGATTATTCAAGTCAGCGTCAGAAATCGAATTTTCATGAAGCTTATAAAACCAGTTAACATGTATTTTGGCTTAACTGACGGTGTTACACGTAAATCATTTTTACACTTTGGGCACCGGGTATTTTGTTGCTATTGATACCCAGTATATTTGTTGATCATATTACAAAAAGAAAATATAGACACCTTTTAACGAGAAAAGAAAAGTTATATATATTTATCACACGTTTTCAAATTTACAATTTTTTATAACGGGTTTATATAATATATATATATATTTGTATATTGATATACCTTTGCTGTCTTCAGAAGAATGAAAAAAGTTTCAAGTTCAAAAGTTTTGATAGTTATACAGCTAAATAGTGGGTTTTGATCAACTCAGGAATAATTGATGGCCTGGATTCGGTCAGAGATAGCAGCGGAGCTTAGAGCATGGCGAGAAAATTTGGTGACGACGTTATGAAGGCGTCCACCTGTTCGTATGTGTTTTCATGATTGTGTTACACCACCTATTTACGTTCCTAAGCAAGTGGAGCAAATTGGCACATGTCTACGTGTCTGCAATGCTGGATCAAAATGAACATTTTGGAGCTCCAATTTAAAAGCAAATTTGTGAGATAAACTTTGTCTTTGCAGAGTACATAATTTTTTGAAAGGCTAAATTTAACTTTCCACTTCACAGAGTGAAATCATGTTCGTCCTGAATTCAGTTTGGAGACTTCATGCCCCTCTAAACATAGATATTCAGGGCTGATAACTGCATCATTCTATTAGCTGGCAAGTAATATGACTGAATAGTTGACTCTAATTCATGTAACTCTTGGAAGTTTTTTAAGCTTTGGTTTAAAAACCAAATTGAGTTAATTACTACGATTGACACTACAGCAACAAATACCTGAAAGCTTCGTTGTCGAAACAAAAATAGTTTGACGGTGAGACATCGATTTTTAGGTTGTATTCCTGTAAGAGCTCCTTGAGAACTGGAAGGCTGTCTCCTGGCTTATAAAAGGTACCCCTGGAGTTCGTGAAGGCAAAGATTATGTTGGAGACAAGCGACTTGTGAAGATATGTAAGAAGTTCTACCACACAGAATCTGAAGGCCACAGTCAACCTTGGATTGTTTGGTTTGAGAAGCACAACCACGGCATTAATCTTGTTGTAGAGAGTAAGAAATTCCAGGATGTTCTCAAAGTTTTCTTTGTCCTTACCAATACCTCTACAATCTCCGATTCCTGGAGTGTCGATAAGGTGGTACCTTCTAGCTTCTGTCTCAAACATATACTCCCGAGTCGTCTGGGTAGCAGACTGGCCAGCAGCAAAGACTTCATTTTCATCCGAACCAAAGGAAACATCTATTCCTTTCCCCTTTTCATCCGTAAAGGTAAACCTGAAGTAAATATTAAATTTTTTGTAATTTTTTATTTCATAATTGACAGTAGCTACTGTAGCATAGCATACCATCTTCAAAGTTCGTCTCTCTCGAGAGCACTGCTTTCGACGTACTTACCAGCCTGGAGGTCACACAGTCAAGAGGAAAGGGAATGCGATCAGTGTTAGTAATAATATTCACAGTAAGCATCTTCCTACGGATTAATCGGTGTTTACCCCATACAGGTTTCACTCGCAATGAGCAATTAAGACAGCGCGGAAAAAAAAGAAGAAAGAATGAGCAAAATTGAGAAATGCAAGGAGAAAATTCTGGTAGCTCTGATCCAAATTATAAGTCAATGTGGTTTGGAAGTTGCGATAGAACACTGGAGACATTCGCACAGTCCTCGATAACACTTCCAAACAAATGCAATCGATTACTCAGATTGTAATGATAATCATTATAAGCACATAGCTTTGAAGGCAAAGTAGCAAAACGTGGAGAAAATGTAGCTAGTTGTAGCTACATACTGCATGTCAAATTTTACGTCCCAACATGAATGGACATTTAATCCAACTCTCAGATATAAAGATGTGTAGATGTGTAAAAGTGATTCGACTGAAAACTGAATGAATAATCTAAGCAAAAATATAACAACAACAAGCTACATGAAATAGGAACGAACTTACAATTTCTGGCGTACCCAGATCCGGTAGTAAAAGTAACACGGCGCTAGCAAAAACTAACGAAAGGACTGACTAAGTTGACATCAACTAACAATGAGAATTATCTAACGAAAACAACACTTATACTGGCGAGAAATAAAACGCTACCTGCGTTACGTGATACTTACACCACCTCACCCAAAAACGCGAACTTAATTGAATAGAAACAAAACATACAAAATTGATTCGATTGAAAAAAAGTATAGTATATAAAAGTATAAATAACTTCGCGGTTACTTGACGATAAACATAAATGCAAATTCTAGTTGATACATTAGTTAGTCTGCGTTAGGCAACGTAGATGGTTTTATCTACTTTACGCAGTGCAGAGAGCTGTATCTAATGAGGACACGGTAAACAGTTGTATCTACTGAGCACTGTGCAGATGGTTATATCTATTATATAAAATGTGTAGATACTTGTTTCTAACGTGGACGTGGATAGCTGCATCTACTGTAAACAGTGTTGATAGCTGTATTAACTTTAGACTGCGAGCATAGCTATATCTATCTTAGGAAATGTACATAACTGCATTCAATGTAAAAGTAGTAGTTGACTTTATTTTTACGCACATTTTGTGGTTTCATCCACAATTGATTGTCCGGATATCTTATCAGCCATATATATATATAGTGTAGATAGTTTAGGTGAGATATACATAAATTATTTTGTATAGATACGTAGTGTTACCAAATATTTTGACTAATATTTGCAAAAAGACAAGTATTATTTTCTAACAAACGGGTTTTACCTGAAGGGAACTAAGACAGTGAATTCCCTAGCATCGATGGCATCCAGCAGAGAGTCATACTTCAGATAGTTGGCGATCCCATTTATCCAGGTTGACTTCCCGACTCCGGTCTCACCCAATATGAGAATGACGACGTCTTCCTTTTTCTTCATTTTATTTAAAACTAAGGAAAGAATCGTAATTAAAACTAGGATAAGCTAGTCAAGGGTAGAGTAACTGCACTAAACACTGGTTTATGGTAAATCGTTTAGGTTTTCTTATCCTATATCATGTCATGCCACGTTGTAAAATTCTTAATCAAGCTATTGATGCTGTTGCTAGACGTAGTTTAAACGTTTTTCAACAGCTAATCTAACACTGCAAACGACTCATTATCCTTAGAACATATCAAAACGGAAGCTTTTCGTATGACATCATGATAAAGCAGAATTTTTGTAGGACATCTGACAATGTCAGTTTGTCAGTTTATGGTGATTTCTGCGCCATGTATTTCGTTAGCTATATACCATGTTATATTGATTCAATGAGCTCATGCGCGCGGGTTTTACTTCTTCATACCTCACAGAAACTAAAAAAGACCTTTGTTCGAGTGTTCGAAGCCGGCTACTCATTGCTTCGCAGCCTTCATTTTTCTCTAAAATATTACAAAGTTTGAAACTTTTTGAGGTCTGGGCTGAAGCTTAACTTCTGAAAGAAGTTTTGAATAAGAGAATGACATGGAACCATTGAAAATTACCAATCTTTCCTTGTATGTGTTTTTACTTTTCAATCGTGAAATTGTAGCTCCAATGAACGAGTGGACAGAAGCCACTGAAAATTATACACACGAAAACAGATTGGGTGAAGAAAACCTTGAAAAGTATGAGCTGTGGTTCAATAATACTTGATTTTCTCACATGTATTTGAAAAAACATTTTTCATAATTACCTCTTCGTCCAATCCCAATCTTCTTTTCATGATTATCCATACTCACTTTTAAGTCTTCGAAATTCTTAATCATCTTTTCTTCGATTTCATCCAGTCGTTCCTTGATGCTAACTTCATCCATTACCCACTGTTTAAGAAGACCTTTGTAGTGTTCCTCAAGTTCTGGGTCCATCCTTTCCTTTTTCAGATTGTCGATAGCATCTTGGTAGCCTACTCCTCCCAGTCTTACCAATACTTTTTGAATGTCCTTCCAGTGTCGATTGAATTCTGCGTCATCAACTGAGGCTTTGACGGCATGGGCGTAAACTGTGTTTCGGTAGTGCTTAATTCGAGCAAGATCTGCCTGAAGGGTTGTATCTGAAGCTGGAGGAAATGCGTCCCAGCCGGTAGCCAGAGGAGTGAGACCACAGATGTTCCTCAAAAGAACCATAAGCAGAGTGATGTCAAAATCTCTTGATGAAACTGAAGACTTGATAGCAGGATATATCTTACCCCACTGATGGGGATTTAAGATACGTCTTTCTCGAAGTGATTTTAAGACAGAATTAATTTTACTGCTTGACAAAACTGTGCACAAGTTTTCTGCTGGATGCTTCCTGTCAAAAGTCTCTCTCACGATAAGTGTACCCACATCCACCAAAAGCCGGCATAACCGGGCATAATTGGTCGTCTCTCTCTTGGAGGGAAACGAGGGTGCCGCAGAAGCCATGGATGACAAATTCTTGGAGGATAAAATAGCTATATATTAATATATATATATAAGTGAAGCAAGAGCATAGTTGGGAAAAACACATAGTGAAATACCAGATATGAAATAACTGAGCTATTTCCTCTTCGTGTGTTCAGTACGGTTATACCAGTTCAAGCAAAGTTTGCTCTCCTACATTACAATATTGAGTTTATTGTCATTTGAAAACTGAATCCATCTGTCTCCTCAATTTATGCGTTAATTTTGTAAACTTTTCTCATCAGAATTTTATTGCTGCTGAGTAAAGCATGTGAATTACCCCTCACACGGAAAAGTACACTAGCTACCTTTCAAAATTTTGAAACGTGAATGATCTTTCGCCAATTGCACTGAGGAACCCTAACGGCTTCGTTCCTTGATAGAATACAGCTAATTATAGTCACGGACGATTTCCTGCACTGAATAGAATTTGGAAAGGGCAAAATACAACAGTCTGTGATGGTCATTTACAGAGTAAGTTTTGCTGAAAGAATTTATCAAGAGTTTTCTTTGCAAAGAAATTTTCATTCGAATATATTTATAGCATCTGCATTATTTGAAACAAGGGTAGGCCTCACTTAGGCGACTGTAACACTCGAATTATTAAGCAAAGGTGATTTTTCTTCCCTCATTTATTTTTTTAAGTAGTTTTTTTCTTATGTCGTTAGAGTTCCCACCTAGTCATCTCTGAATCATTTTTGGAAATTGTCGAAACTAAACTACTAGGCCGGGAAGACCTTTTAACGTCAAGAGTATTCCAATTTCTCGTTTGGTTTTCACCGTATGCGATCAACAACGTGGTGCCCTGAAATGACAACTGATGAATCTCTGTGCTCCCCAAACTACTCAATTGTAGAATAACGATGAAAGGCCTACCCTTTGCACTTTCAAGTCTGTGAGAGTCTCCGCCATTTGGTTGTTAGCCAAAATGGGTAACATAAACACGATATCAAAGGCCTCAGTCACATACGGGAAGCAATATTTGTGCGTGTACGAGTATAACGGCTACCTAGACTAAACGAGGAACCATTTTCCTCACTGCAACTATGGACCATGCCAATATTCGTCATTTCTTAGTGGAGGTGATAAACAAAGTCGGTAGCGTACTCGAAAATTTTTTCAGAAACTTATTATTTAGTGCTTGACTGGTGATATTGTAAGCCAGTGAATAAATCACTATCACGTAAATAGAATTGCTGGTTTATTTAAGTTTGCAAACAAATATCAACTGAGCAGCGAGTTATCCCGTGGATAGCGCTACGCACCCCTCAAGCCACCGAAGCCAGTGCTTCAGGTTTCACTAGAGCTAGCAAAATCAGGGTTAATTCTGATTTCAATCCTTTTCAATTTCTGCCGTAACAACTTCAAGAGTCATTCGAAAATGGTAATGTCCGAGGTCTTAGAGTGAAGAAATTCGTAAGTTACTATCTATGGACTAATCAATAAAGGATCCAGGCTAGATTCTGAACTCTTCAGACAACTTTACCCGGCGTCTACTCTCGATTAGCTCACGATACTGGCTTTCGGAAAGGTTAGAAATTGTATGACAGAGGTGCGCTCGAGGCCCGTTCAGTCCTGAATGCTTTTTCGAATTCTTAGTCACTGCCTTTTCTTCATGACTAAGTTAGCTGCTTTATTTTCCGCACAACTAGCTATAGGCCACGTTTTCTGCAGCGGTCTGGGGCCACAGTTTTGGTCAGATTGCTTAAAACAAACATTTTACAAATTTTTAATCACTTCTCTCACTGCCGCCATACATTTAAGTTATCAGGAGGGTAATTGATAAGGTACCTGATCGTTCTGCTAGTGACTCCCAATCACGACTCCTGATACCAGCTCAGAGTAACTTTTCTATCATGCCATCATCTAGAAATGTTGCGTGCGTGCAGCACATCACACATCCAGCCGCAAGAATAAAGAGCAGTTTCCGAGAAATCGATGAAGAAGGCACCAATCATGTGATCACCATGGTTCAAAAAGGACCTTTGAGCTTTGGCTGCATCTGTGTCAAAATTCAAATTAAATGACGCAAGTGTGCGCTTAACTGGTTCACGGCCCATTTTGAAGGAATAAAAAATTTGAAGGAATCGGCATCAAATTTTATTGGACTTTTTCTTATACTTTTACATTTTCTGTGAAAACTGCGTCTTAAAGCTACACGACTCGAGGATAGAGTGATAGACAGTAATCATTTTGATCGCGTGACTTCATTGGAATGGTATTCGAAACTATGAAGGAAAATAACTTGCTGATTAAAATTCTTGTTCGGAGTGTGGTAAGCACGTGGACGATTTACTGCTCCAGCACTTCGTGATAATTTCTCTGGTATAGTTTGAAACATAGTTTAGGACACTTTTCCAGACTCACTGTAATATCCCTTCTGAGTTTTCAAACATTTCTTGTTGCGAAGACCAGCATTTCATAGCGATGAATGTCTTAATCAGCGATAGCATATTTTAAATTAAATCTAAATTGAATGAGCGATTACAAAAATACAACAACTGTAGTAACCAAGCGACAGCCTCGCACTTAATCTTCGTCATTAATTAGTGAGTAAGTTAAAGAACACTTCGAAAGCGTAACTGTTGTTACTAATTCTAGTCAGGGTTTCTTGGTATGATGATCTTCCTCCAGCGACGAGCTTCCAAGATCCAAGTACCTTTATTTGGATGATCTTTTGATCTATTTTTACTCGTCGTTACGAAACAGGTTGAAGTTTAGGACAGAATTAATATACATCGATCAAATGATGTAAAAACAACTACCTTGAGGGTAAGATGCAAGGTTTCCATATTTCACCTGAAAAGAGGCGTTACGGTACACATACATACATATATACATATACATTATTTAAGCTCGAAATTCAGTGTAGCTGTAAAGCTAATATATTCGAGAAAATAAGCTAAAAAAAATAAATAAAGAAAGAAACAAATTAAAAAAACACAGTATTCATTACACATTGTTTCTATAACCTCCACCTAACAATCTAATAATAACACTGAATTCTGCACTCAAGCTCAGTGACCCGGAAAACAACGACTAATTTCAAGTTCCTTAAACTCACGAAACGACAAGGAACATTGCCTCTCCCGTAAATGTGCCGTTAAGTTAATCCACGGCAATTTATCTCTGGTAACTCACCTGGTTTCCCGTGTAGTCATTGGAGTTTACTGATACCCATGTACACTGCTGAGTGGAGAGAGGCCAGGCTCCCATAGTGTCTGATAACACGGTGAACTCTCTTTGCTCCCATTAGCCTGCAGAACCAGCGTAATTTTTTGCGTCTTACAAGCGAACGGAGACAAGCGCTAAGCGAGCGCGAAGGGATGAGCTCCTTCCCTCGCCTCCGTTCGACTAAAAACACAGAAAGAAATACGCCTGTTCTGCCGGCTAAACTCCCATCTGAACAACTAGTTCAGCAAGAGATAAGATATGCCTTCGTGTACATTTGTGACCTACTTGCAAAAGAGCTTTGGCTGTGATACTAAAAGCTCCATCTCATTGACCGACCACAAGATCACGATGATGGCTCATGAAACTCTCAAATTAGCTAACTGTAAACAGCACTATTCAGAATACTACACATGGTAATAAGGACTATGAGTATCAGATGACATTGTGAGCCAGTTCACGTCAAATTCAAACTACCGCTATTACAAGGGTTGGAACATTCGTGCTCCATTAGTGTTCTTACAAGAGCCGCTGTGTTGCAACAGAGTTTTTATCAAACGACCCCTTAATTCAAGAAATGGACTGTAAAGAAAGGTAAAAGTACTGTAATTCAAAAAAACAAAAATAAAGCTACACCAAGCCATTCCAAGGAGAGTGTGACAATCATTTGTAAAAACAGGAGCACTGAGGTGCTAAGAACCAAATAAGAAAATATTCTCCATAAATCCTGGTACTGTTTAAAAAATATTTTGTTAATCCTAGATCCAAAGATCTGAATAATTCTTTTCCCCTCTAGCTGATGAACTTAGCTTGAAGAACAAGGTAGATTGGAGGAGTGGATAATGTGTCAAGAAACAGTCTGAAACCAATCAAATTGTTTATTTTCTGTCACATGTGAGCTAATGTACTTATACTTTAAGGCGGTGTTACATGTTTCTCACTGTATAAGGCTGAAGGGTCAAGGCACCTCTCATGCAATTTTAAACTGACTAGCTAACAGGTACAAGGAATAAGTATATATCAACAACGAAGAAAAAGTGGCATGGGGCTAAGCCTGAAAATATTGTGTATATTCCCCAAGTTGTCTTGGTAGAAAACACCTTCCATACAGCTCGAAAGACAAGATTACTTGTCAGTGCTCAAGGCCATAAAACATTGGCTTTCAGAACCAAACACATCTAACAAATATGTTGAATGACCAAAACTACGATGACATAGCCCTTTCCACTGAAGAATTGTCTCTCTCTACAATAACTTAAAGCTCAACAGCTCTACTCTTCAGATGGACAAATTCAACCTTAGGTATCTCGCAGAAATTGGAAAAGAAAAGGTTAAATTTGGTAGAGCTATAGGTTTGCCCCTAGGATTACCTTAAGAAGACACAGATTATTAACTCTTTGATTGTTAATTCTCCCATTAACTGCTAAAAGTTTCTCTGGAAATGAGTTAAGAGAATTTGATTTCAGATCAAGATAACAACTACCTGATAAGTTTGAGTACTCTCATTGTCTGTTTGTGGAATGTTCTTTGGATTTTCTGGGGAGAAGTTACATGTTGAAACTCTTGCGAGTTAAAGGGTTAATCAGTATACTAGCATTACAACAATTACTCAACAGAAATTGGAAACAGATCATGTTGGTGGGCAGTGCAGCTACATATGGTATATATTAAGTCAAGTTATCAGTACCATCCCTTTCAAAATGTTTCTTACAAACTCTGAGATTCAGAGCCAAACTTGTAATTTAGTTTCACGAAGTTGTCAACAACAAAGAACATCTTAAAGAAGAAAAGAAAAACACCAATTTAAAACTTAATCCTCCGATCTTGGGACTATTCGAAACATTGCACCCATTTCCTAAAGTGTCCAGAACACGGTTAAAGGCAATGCAAGACAAATTTCCAGTGACATAAATGTATCTCCAACCTTAAAGTTTGTATGTTATTGAGGGGCACAGTGCCAATTTTGATGGTGTATATTTCAAACCCACTATTATGACAAAATTTACCAATAAATAATTATAAAATTGTTACTGAATTGGCAATGAGATTGTAAAGTTCAATTGCAACTGTCCTACATATAAATAAAAGCAGTTGAATGGTACAAGATAGTGTTCAACATTTCTTTTCATAAGAAAGAGTAACAGGTTGGTCTAAATTTTAGATCAAGAATTATAAAGCCTTAATGAACAGCATGGATCTATGTTTTAAGTTTAGGGACCACTATCAGTAGGTTCATTTAACCTTATTTACAGTAATGTGCCTTGGGCACACTTTTGCATGACTCATAAATCCCAAAACGACAATTCTAAACTTAGAATTTGAAAAAAGAAAAAAAGATGGTGGCAAGCGATTAAATCTGGACCGTAGAGTGTGCACAATGAAAATAATTTATTGTAAATGAACAGCTCTGCAAGAAATGCATGAAAACACACATAGAATTTGAATGTTGATAAACTGCTAAATAATACACTGAAGCTATAAACTAAGAGACTAACACACCATGGTTAGAACCACTTAATACCTACCACAAAAAATTCCCTAGTTTGTATATTTGTATATTTTACACATCTTTACCGATGGGGCCAGGGCAAGAGTTCTTCCTACCTGCAAAAGCTCCTTTGCTTCAATGAATATTCACAATCATCTGAACCTCTACATTAAAACTATGCTTTCCAAATTGTGGAAAATTTTGTACTGAATTACTAAGCTTTATTCTCTAGCTACACTTTTATACAAGTTCTTTAATAAGATTTTTTCCAAATTTTTTCCATTAAGATTTACACTGCTAAGCAAAAATAATGTTCACTGCATGAAAGTCAGTGGCTTTGTAATCTTATATTATTTGAAAATTGAATTTTGAATTTCAATTCCACTGTCAAAGCATTATGTTGTCATCATCACTGGAAGCATAGCCATTTGGGTCATCACCTATAACCTCTTGCTCCTGGTCAGATGCACTTGGTGACTCACTACCTACAGACTGTACATCATCTGGACGGAGCTTAGGGAGAATGCTTTGCTCTGGCCAAAGCCATGGTTTGTAGCTAGGTGCATGTATAGATTTCCATGCTTGATAACCTAGAGCAGCCTTGTGAACCTTGGTTACAACCTTTATCAAAAGGCAAGAAATAAAACATCACATACAGGTATAAGAGCCAGGTACAAGCTGCAAGTTGAATTTAAGAGACCATATTAACTTGTCTAGATTTCCCTTGCAATTATAGGCTCACATACATACAAGCTTCAAGTTAAATTTAAGAGACAGTTTCCACTTTTTTAGACTCTCCCTTGTTGCTCTATAATTGTCTGATATTTTTTATTTCTACTTTTTGTACCCTTTTCAAGAATTAGGAATATCACAGTTCCAGTCAGTGTCATTTGCCTCAAGTACAGGATGCATTCATCTTGTGAAAATAACACTCCTCTTACATATGACATTGTGAGGATCTCTCCTTATCAATTAATATCTTATTCTGTAGATCAAAAGAGAAGATTCTATTTGTTGTTTAGATTTATTGACTGAACCAAAAGTATTTTTCATTAAAAAAGGTGGCTCACAGACATTATGTAGAAGAGCTAGCTTCTTTAAAGGTAGAAAATTAATTTATAGACAGCATGAAGTCATCTGGGACTATGCTGTAAACATCAACTGCCTTCCATCAAAAAAAACAACAACAACCACAACAACAAAAAATGATAATAACCTTTGGAGCAATCTTTGTTGATGCCCTGTTAACTATCCACTTGGGTAAGATCCCTGTTCATAGAAAGGAAATTAATCATTTGGTGATTAATGAGTTGTTATCACTGTACTAAAAATTTTCCTAAAAGAAGACCCCAGTGCACTTCATAGTTATCACTATTACAATGTATGTTGCCTGCACCAGGAGTTGTAACTCTAGGATATTTATAGTAATTGTCAGTATAAATCCTTCCTTTGCCCTTGTAATTCAAAACTATAACAGTACTCTGTCACACTTTAATTTCTATTCATTTTTAATCAAATGTTCACATAACAGTTCTACCATTAAAAAAAATAAAAATAAAAAAAGGGAAACAGAGCTACAAACTGTGAAAAATTACCTTTCAGATCCACTTGCGAGACATATGTAAGAGAACAACCATCTCCTATTCTGCGTACATAATATCCACTAAGAATTGAATTACCACGGATTAAGCCTTTCTTTGAAGGCACATCCTAGGATTTGGAAAACATTATAGTATTAAATATTATCTCACTGCCAGCAAAGTTTTATTGGGTGCAGCCATTATATGGTAAGTCATTTGTAAACAACATACCACACACACACACACAGTTGTTTGAGGTCCCAAAGTCTCAATTTTTGACAAAAAAAATTCGAGGAAGCTGTAATTAACATAGTTGCAATGTACTTTTTTTTCTTTCTAATAATGTTCAAATCAAGAAATCGTTCTTCTGATTAGGTACTGCATCTTTTAGAGAGTAGTGTTTACCGCTTATTTTTCTTCCATCTGTATTGTTTAATCAAGGGCAGTATTCACTCAAGAAAAGTATTTAAAACCCTTCGACCCCTTAGAGTGACCACATGTAGCATCTAATTTCTCCTTACTATATCCCCTATGGATCTCACTTTAAGGTTCCAAGAATAAAGGAAATGATCAACAACTAAAGAAATTCTTGATTGTTACACAAATATCCTGCCAGTACCTTGGAAAATGTTTAGAGTAGAGTGTGGAAAACTTGCATACTGATGTTAGGGTGTTAAGGGTTATGCCAGTAAATTTAAATAATGTAGACACACAGAACTGTTGATTCTCACCTTGTGATGCACTGTGTGATTAAAAATAATGAAGTGATCTTCTTCCCAATACCAAGACCTCTGAGTTACAAAATCTCTGTTTTTCATTGGAGATGGGCATTTAACTATAAACAAAAGAAGAGTGTATTTTGTAATTGACTGTGACAGGTACTTGATATCAATGTTACTAAAACCACCCATATCCTGTAATTAAACACCTTAACAATTTCTGACAGTACGAATTCCTACTTCACAATGTACAGTGGATAAAGTGTTTGGCAGTCAATTCAATCTTATTGAAATTTTAGCCATAAATTAAAAAGCAGGAAAACTCAGTTCATACTAACGCAGTCCAAGATAATTGGGTTTTAACCAATTGACATTTTAATGTAAATTAGCCACTGTAAAGAGTTTAACAACTGACCTTTCGAGCATAAGCACTTCATCAGAGCAAAGGATCAGAGGCTAATGCTCAAAATGTCAGCTTTTAAACTCTTTACCATGGCCAATTAACTTTATCAACTCAGTTTGTAAAACCAAATTATCTTGTTATACTCCCCCACCAAAATAGCATCAGTTTTTTTATAAACTTAACCCTCTTTTCACATAAAACAGACTTTGTCATCTTGATAAATGCATTCGCTGATACCATTAAAAGAAAAAGAGATTGACTCACTTGAGTAGTAACCTATGTCATTATATCTGTCCAGTTGACAAATTTCATAACACTCTAGCATATTATCATCCCAAATTCTCCTGTAGTCTGCATCATGAAGAACATCATACATTAATGAGAGTGACACATCTTGGAAGCTGGTGACCACCTAAGACAAAGCCAAATAACATTAAACATTTATTTTAGCCATGAAGTAAAAACAAAAATCATTCCATGAGCACATGTTGGATATGAGTTGGCTATAACCAGTCTTGTATCCAACAAACGCAAATGGATACATTTGGATTTTAGCTCTACAAATATTGTAACATTGCAATTCCACATTAGATAACTCAGAATATGAGCTGATAACCAGAGTTGAGTGGACCAATCAGAACAGTAGAAATGCAATATTTGGAGTTGAGAGTTTTTATTATAACAATTATTTACCAAAGTGAAAAATTGTTTTAGTATATACCAAACAGAAACAGAAAAAAATGGTTTATTTCTGTCAATGTACCAAAGATGGTTGTTATAAATTAAACTCTCGACACAGAGTTTCAATTGCAAACTAGCCAATCAGGGTGCACAAGACCTATGTGGTACATATTAACAAGGAATATTGGTAGCTGGAGGTTTCACTGATTTACCGGCGTCACTGTGTTTAGAAAAATATTAACAAAACATTTCACCCATCACAGAAATATCAGTTCTATTAGAGAAGCACTTTATCTTAAAATACTAGACAATTGAAAGGTCTCAAGAAGATTGGAATTTAAAAAAAAATACTGGGGCTTTTTGCCTATGGAAGAGAAAGTCAAATTGCTTTCAGGTACATTTAAAATTAGGGTGATCATCTTCTGACAATCTAAGAATTGGACTTTCATATTTGGTGACTGTAATGATGTACTTAAGCTTCCTCTGTTGCGGATTCATTTAGACCTCCAAAACCCACACATAATTATACATACTAAGACATACTGTACATTTAGTTGTACTTTAACATAGCTATAACATAATTGACTTCTGTAAAGCAGGTCTATTCTAAATTCAAGCTTAGTAACTAATTTGTCTCAGGAAATCAAGAATAGTGACTCCATCCACAAAGAGGTTGTTCCTTTGGACAATTTTAAGTGCAAAGTTAATGTTTTTAGATTTTTCGATGAAACTCAAATACCTAAATTGTTTGTAATAATGCAATTTTAACACAACCTAATGCTTATTGCATTCTCATTGGTTTTTTTTTTCAACAATTAAACTTGTATTACTTGTAGGTCAAAATGTCATTCCTCTTTATTGCTAGTTTCTGTTACAAAATCTGCATCAAAGAAACTTCTTATCAGAGATCAAGAATCATGAGCGAACAAAAAAGGTTTGCACACTTTGTGCAACAAGGCTACTTCCAAAAAGGCCTTGAGAGGTTGGGAAACCATAATAAACAAAAATATCCGAGACTCTGATCTTTAATGAAGTGTTGACAAAAATACATGTGGCTGATAGCCCCTTTAAATTGAAGCTACAAGGCTTTTGACACCAACTTTCGGAGAGCCTCTAAGAGAAGACTGAGGAATAACACAATATGTAGGTTACGTTATTCTTCGATTAGTAGTAAAGAAGCCTGAATTTTAAGTTTCCCTAAACTTCAAAACGACGAATTGTATTATCTGCTGTGAAATTTGCACACCAAAATCCCTTAGCTTCAAGTACAAATGAACGGTGGAAATAAGCTAACTAGAATTTGTACGTGAACAACCTTCACCATGAAACAACACGAAGACCTGCTGCCACAACGAATGTTTAAATGTAGACCACAAATCAAAAAGCCCAGATGCCCCCAAGATAAAACACCCGTTCGAGCAACTATTTAAATAAATGTTGACAGGATATATCAATCGAGAGAAACTTTCCAGCTTTTACAAAGAGTGAGCATGACTTAATGATGACATATTTTTGGCAAATTAAAAAAACTGCAGGTCGGGACCGGGGTAAACGGCATTTTCTCGTTAACCAATAAATTTACATACAAGTTCCATCAGCTTAACTCCATCAAAATTCTTTGTTCGGTAATTTATTATAGTCCTTCCCAGAAAAGATTTTTCTGCCAAAAAATCTGTGGTCAGTATATTTTTAAAAAGGCATATTATCTGCAGGAAGTGATTTAGCTTTCTTGCCATTGCGGATCGCTGCATGACTTTACGGCCAATTTCACAGCAGGAAAGAATTGGGAATAAGATAACGGTGAACATGAACATATTTCGACATCTCCCGAGTGTAATTTTTGTGTCAGCCTATCGACAAAGTGTCATACATAATGTTGATGAAAGATTTTCTCTGTTAAAGAGTAAGTTTATCGCCTATTATATTTCTCTACAAGTCACACAGTGCTTGAATTCAAATGCAAAACACAGGGCAAGCCACATCAAACTTCACTAAAGAGCTACGTGTAGTTAAGGCCATTAGTATTTAAGAGTAAAACACACTTATGAGACAGTATTAACGATCGTTCTGCTAAAGCAAACCTATCAATTCTAATAAAGGAGTAAGCCTATTTAACAGCGATCATTTCAGGGGGATTAACGGAAATAAAGCAAAGAGAATTAATATCAATCGTCTACGAAATTTAACTCAAAATATCATAAGAATTTTCGGGACATCTTTTAATTTTCTTCCCACAATCTTTTATCGCGACCGCAACAACAGAATTGACCAGTTTCAACGATAATTTATTTGGCAAGTCTCACAGAGAGGAGGGTTAGTTCCAGTACACTGAACTCTCTTACTTTCAATAACTCAACTCGTCGGTAGGTAAATAGTCAAATTAACACTGGCCGAGTTGTAGGTTATGGTCTTCGAAATTAGCTTTTACTGTTGAATCTAACGTATTTTTCTCTCACCTTTATGAGCCTAACCGTAGAGCCCTCTTTGACTTTGGAGTACACCTTCGTTCCCTGTTTATCATACTGTAAATTCCAGCCTTCGACGCTGTCTGCCAGTCGACGAAAATGCTCAAAATCGCCTGCCTTCGCAGTGCGGACTTCGCCAAGTTGCATCGAATCGTCACGAGCCACGAGTGTTACTTCTCTTCTTAACGGTGACCCAATCACTCTCCTTGCTGAAAGGAGGTCTTATGAGGTAAAAAGGGAATGAGATGAAATCGGAAAAAAATTTAAAGGGTGATTGCCAAATCGTACAGACACGATTTTCTTCGCCTGTGGCTTGTTGTAAACTTCGGACTTCGCTACGGTTGATTCAAAACGTCACCCGAACCCTGAATGTGTGATTAGATGACGTAACGCATTCAGTCGCTTGGCCAATCAGAAGGAGAGCACGAGTCGTGGGGTTAAGGATCATGCACGTGGAGGAGACGTTCTACTTTACCTCAAACTGTGCAGTTTATTGCACAAAAATTGGAATTGTGGAACTGTTTCATATCACAAAAGAGTAGTGTTAAAGCTAATAATACGCGAAGGGAAACCTGACTGCTACAATAAATACTCTCTCTTGACGGTCGTGTTGGCTATGTTTTCGCCACCCACAAATTTAGGGCGAGGGATGGTTGCTATAGCAATTATTGCGCGGTTTGAGTATGTAAAACTGTTTTCACTAGCAGGTGAAGGAAGTCATTCACGCTTCTTATTCTGAAAGGAGAAATTAAGGCACGATGAAATTATGCATGCCACAGTGTTTTTAAAACAATTTATTTTTATTTACGGTTTTTTTTAAAATAGGCTTTCAATTTTAAGTAAAAATTTGCATATAAATTGACTAAAATAAACTTCGGCAGAAATAGTAACTCAAGGATGATTTCATTTCGAGGAGGTGGGTGGAAAGTATTTTCCAGTGACGCACTTTGACGCCTCGCCACCATCGAAAATTCTCGCCAATATTCGTTCAGACATATTGTTTAATTTTTTATGAGATATTGCGAGCCTTGGAGTTTCAATGAAAAACAAGCATTAATGAATCAGAAAGAGAAAAAAACGAGTTTTGCTACGGGAAATATTATTTTAACTTAGCAGTATAAGGGAAAACCATTAAATTTTTATGAAGGTATTTCCACCTGGCTTTAACAGTGTGTGCTCTTGGGAAAATCTAACAAGCCTGGGCACACTTTACATCCAAAACTAAAGAAATCGATAAAAATCAGTCAATCGATCAATAGAAAGAAAGCCTTACGGAGATACAGAGATCTGTGTAATTTACTCAGCTGAAATATATCACAGTTTAACTGGCTACAGTTACATCTATTCAAATTTAGTATCGTCGACGAGTTACTAGTCATTCCGATTGAATCGCGTCGATCGTATCTTGTTTCTGTTCTATTTTTTACATTAATTTTTATTGCATAAATAATCTAATGCAATATTTCAATTATTTGAGCATACAAATCGACTTTACTTCTTTGTTGCTATACTTGGCTCTAATAAATGTTTATACAGGTTCCCGAGACTTCCCAGTTGCGCAATCAGTAATTAGGTAATATTTTATCGCGACTAACTCCCAACCCATCCGGTGATGTCGAAGTATACGTGCACGTGCATTTGTTAAGAAATGGAAACAAGCTTCTCGGAAATAACAATATAAATTCGGTCACTACTTTAATTTTTCTTGTTATTGATTTTTTTTCTACACTGAGTGTTTAAAAGCCAAGGTTGAGTCCGGTAACGTGATCTGCAAAAAAAAAGACGTCATGTGCGTGCTCGGCGCAATTTTTAGTCGGCCCACAAATACTTCTGTTACCAGCAATCTAGTTCCAAAAGTCACACGTAATGGATAATCGCCGGATGGCTCTGGGAGCCAAATCGTTATTCCTGAAGAAACAAATTTCAATATAGACACTTCATATCGACAAATAATTTACCCCTAGTGAACTGATTTATAAAAAGCTTACGTTCTTTATCGGCTCTGGTAAGGCAAGCGCCGAGTAGTTTGTATGTGAATTTCCTCAATAATATGTCACACCTTCACGTATTTTTTCTAAGACACTCATTAGTGAGATCCGTTCACTCGGCAGTCTTTCCTGACAATGTAGACGTGTGTATGTGAGCGTTGAACTGTGTGCCTTAAGAATTTGCTTAATGACGGGTAAAAAAGTTTCGCGTGAGATTTGGTGTCGATATTGTACATGTCAGTCAATTAAATGGACTCGATTATAGAGTTTTGACAAATCTCTCTAAATCGGCTCAATCCACGATCTCTGTGTCAAGGGATGCTTATCGCTCTTCTGAAAATATAATCCTGAGAGCCTTCACTGACAGTATAAGATTTCACTCTTTTGTCTGAAAAATTTGTGAGTCTGAAAAATTATCTTTTCAAAACGTGAAGAAGCTACACGAGTAGGTCACGCACCTGGTAATGTCCTTAGCAGGAACATCAATGAGCAATAAATGTTTATCAGATCGGGGAAACGCTCCCGGGTATATTCGTGATCGAAAGTGTGTTAATTATGTGTAGATAATGAACGTGCGTGTGTTTGCGTGCTGCAGAAAGCAAGTACTGATGGATACTCTAGTAGACACCCTCTTTCTAAGATTTTACTGACAGGGAATGAAAACGACTGGAGCCCACCTGACTCTTGGAAATTCGTTCTCGAGATATAATCACTTTTTGGATATGAATTGAATAGGCTTTTCTTTTTTTTTAGGATATTACGTAGAGGACAATCACCGACGTCTTTGCAAACTACACAAAGCAGATCAACCCATGAAAATTTCATTTGATATCGATCGAATCCATGATTGTCTATCAGATAAAAATTATGAAAATAGGTCACGGAACTCGAGAGTTTTTTAACATTTTCAACATCCGCATGAAAAGAATAAGATACTCTATTGTTCAGTCTTCCATTTTTCTAGTGACAGTACACAAGCGAATTTTTTCTTCAACACCTATGGTGTATCCAGCCTAGATTCCATTAAAGAAAATGTACTGATCGGGTATCATGAGGATTTCAGGTGATCTGTATTTTCATTAGGCTTAAGGCATAGAGAAGTCTAGTTGAGGATTATCTTAAGTGCAGGTTTCGTAAGTGGGATGCGCAATGTGCTTTTGTTATTTAAATACACTCTTTAGAGTACGTGAATCGAGTGCCGAAGGCTTGCACCGAAACAAAGACATTAATACTTTTCAGGGCACCCAATGTTTTTATTCCCATCTTTTCAAGAGATTTTGATTTATCAAAAAAAGGCTGAAACATTAAATATATGGTAAACCTTTGAGACATTTGCTAAATTTAGCCAGAGATATTAGTTTGCAAAGAGGTTTGCTAGCATAGGCGATATTCGTTCCCTTTATTCGGACGACAAATTGAGAAAGATTTTCATTTGGACTGCCCATCACTCTTAGTGTTTAAAAGACAGGTTTTCAATCCTTTCAGCAGCTAAATCTTAAATTTCCGTAGGTACTCACCTGCGTTTATGTGCATAAGGTTGCTACGCTCTTGGGTGATTCTTGGATAGTGGTGTCTGAGTATGCGCGCGCCCATCGTACACACGCTCTGGGAAGATCTACTTTCAGAGATCGATAAAGGAACCCATCCAACGTAATGGATTCTCTCCCTTGCTTGAACTCGAAAATATTTTACTTCTGGAACAAGCAACAAATCCAAAACTGGGGAGTAGAACAATTCCGTCCCCGGCAAACAAAATGAGCGTGAGAGTTTTTCGCCAAGCAAAATAGAAAAATACAATAGATATAAAGATAAAATTATATTTAGCTTGGAATTTAATGTCTGAAAATTACGTCGCTAGATTGAGTTTCGTTCTGCAATCTTGATTTTTGCATTGCATGTTGAAATATATACGCCAATTAATATACTTGCTTCTTGGAGATCATCTCTGTGCTACTGCACCAGGACAACAGTTATTGCGCATTTAATTCTTATCAGAACATTTTGAATAAACCTTTTGATTATTTTTGAAAATGATTTTTATATCTTTGTTAGTTGAAAGATCTATAAAGCGGTAGTCAACATATGTGACACCTGAAATATTTAAAAAAAAAAATGAATTAAAGTGGTAACAGATTTTTTCTCGACACCTGCGGCAAATAAACGACTGACGAATAAATGCACGTTGAGAGACAAACCCCAGGTGATCTTTTGAAGGTTTTAAAGTCCACGAGCTTTAATACAACGGCGCTAGATCACAGAAATATCACAAGTCCACACATTTAAAAATTAATATTATATTCCTACTTTTTCATCAGCAAAGCCTAAAAGTCTCGTTGATAAGTTCTGGTCACAACAAGCGCGCGCGGTTACACTAATCATGCAGCCTACAATTTTCTTGCACCAATTTTATCTCAATTAAAGAAGAAGATAAGAAACCTTACTCGATAAAACTGTTCGAGCCTGCTTTGGAGCCTTTAGTAAAGAGGTCTGAAATGGACACAAATGTAGGAACGATAATCATATCTGTAATTCAGACGGCTCGTTTACTGATCCCTGTAATGACCGCGGTGCATCATGTAAAACTCGTCCAGTCACGATTTTTACGGCTTGCACTACGTTTATGATTATAGTTTGCGTCAGGTGTGAACACGGACGTGTTTCTCTGCAAGTGTAAACGACCAGAAAGTGTTTTAAGAAGCACTTGTCATTTTCTAAACTTAAACCGCAATTTTTGTGACGACTTCAACAAAATTAGGCGATATCTTATTTGTTATTTCGATAACAAAGGCACCGTGAAAAAAAAGGAAAAATTGAACTCCGAGTCTTTAAGATGGCTATGATATGGCACGCAGGAACAACAGGATTTTTCAAAAAGGTGGGGGGGGGGGAGGAGTCACATTGTGTCAAACATAGGGTACTGAATAGATTGTGATGTCGACCTAATTTGCTCCTGGTTTTTCTAAATGTGACAAAAAAGGCCTTTAAAGATGGGAGGAGGGGTCATGGGCATCCTAGGATTCCCTTCTAGCTACACCCTTGCAACACGTTTGGGTTTGGTTTTACCCTGCGTGTTATCGTTTCCCAGGCTGCCCTCCACATATTAAAATCAAACTGTTTTTATTGTATTTATCTTTTGAAAATCACCTTACAGTTTCTTTACGATCTATTTGGTTGAAATAAATCACATATTTTAACAGTTTCGTTTCAGCCGTTTACTCATTGTGTGGTCTCCCAACAATGTGACTCAGGTGAGATAAAATACTTCCACCTCATCGGGTGTGAAGCTGTAAGACCCAACAAGGATTGTTTGCTTGTTCTGTACTCCACTTGGCAATGAGTAGTACCCACCACCAAAGTTTGTGTATGACTTAGTGTTACTGTTGGCATTTTTGCTAATGTGGATTTCGTGTCCTCCACCAAATGTTGGACCATAACTTCTGTGCCTATAAATTGCGTATTTTGGGTATTTCACCGTGCTCTTGAATGGTGCCAGTCCTTCTTTGTTGATGAGGGAAAATATAAAAGAATTGGACGAGTAACCCCATCCATCACTTGTATCTGAATAGGAAATTAAACAATAAAAACAATGTAGGGAAAAGGGAAGCATAGAAATTGTAAGGCACTAAATAATCTGAGACAATAGAACATGATTATCGAGTCATAAACGAAAAGTAAAAGAAGACTGACGGGTTCAAAGAGATGCAAATGTAAATAGTATTAAGGAGGTTGAACCACAGACGATGTAACATAAAGATATTATAATTAGCAACCTTACAAAATACAGATCTGGCGAAGCTGCAAGGCGGAGCACCGGTTGATTGATTTTTTCCTCCTCTCTACTTTGTGATAAATTTCTACAGGTTGTGGGAGAGTTTATTTGTGACATCGAAAAAGACTAGTCATTACTAAGTAAACAGGAGGTAGGTCGGGTAGGAGGATAGAAACAAGTGGGGTCAAGGATTTATTTTCAGTAATAATAGTCTAGGGTTTCCTTTTTAAAAAAAATAAAGTGCGGGGGTTGTCATTATTAGGTTCAATGGACAGTAAGAGGGAAGTGACAGTGATAGTACATAACTTGATTTTGTTTTGAATAGACAGTGAAGTTCCAGTGGTGGTATACGTAGCGATGACCAGGAGAAAGACAAGGTCAATATTGAGACAGCCTCTGTACAAACAAGAATGAGACACGGAACACTGATCTGTACGGTAAAGTGAATTTAATATTATGACCTTTAGGCTGAGGTACTCTTGTTCTCGACCTGTGCATCGTATTTGTGCGAGTAAACGCTATGTTGCGTCGTTAATTATCATGCAATTCCACTTGAAAAAGTATTAGGCTACATGCCCCGTCTGAATCTATATTTAGCAGGTCAATCTCTTCAGCATGTTTAATTTGCTTATAGTTCTCAGTTAATTGTTTTAGGGGGAATATGAAGTAATAATACCTACGGTGTTTTTTTTCCATTTTTAAAATGTTATTCTGATTGTTTTACAAACCGCACACTACGCGTAGATGTTAGCGGATGGATTAGAGACAGTTAAATTTATTCTCTAAATAAGCCTATTTTCTTGCCCCAAGCAATGTCGGTGTATCCTCCAAACACGTACGGGCTTTTTCTTATGATAGTAACAGTGTGCGGCTTTCCATCACAGCGACTGTGAAAAGTACTTGCGGCCCAGCCGTGAGAGGAGGCACGGTAACACAACGTCCAGCGTTTGTAAGAATTTGAATCCAAAAATCGCAGAAGGCTCTGGAACAAGTCATAACTTGGAATGATACTTAATGGCATTTTAAAACCTGACAAATAGAAAAAGTATTGAGATTTTCATTTAAACGCCCGGAGCCTTTATGTTGTCATCTCAGTTATTCGAAGTGGGGCAATTATCTGAAGGGTATGTTTTTCAGAAATCATCGTTGTTCACAGGTTTGAAAATTAAAATAAGTTAATTTCCTTGACAAATACATTTCATCCAAATTGATTTTTAAACTTGGCACATAAGACCGTTGAAAATGAAAGCAGAAAAACTGAGGACTGCATGCCTGCCGTTCAATGGTTCTCTGTTAGCTATGCATTACCGGAGAAGTGTTATAAATTCTGAACACACGAAAAAGTTTTTATTTCAAGACAAAAACTATATAATATATTTCTGAAGCCTGGCGAATTTTCGTGTGTCTGAGTAATAACACCTCACTCAGATAACTTTGAATTGCTCGATCCTTGAATATTGGAGAGTAGATTCATCGTCTCAAAGCTCCTTCCTGAATCAAAATGTAGAGTTTTAAGCGGCACTACTTCTCTTCTTAGAAACCATTGTATACCAATAGTGAGCAGCACGCTTTTCGACAAGCAGGCTCTCTTAACACCTAGAATCTTTACCCAATGCGCAATCCCAATCTGGTGTTGAGATCCAATTAACCAATAGCCGGGATCTCAACCAGAAAAAGGCCTGTTACATTTACCAAAATATTTCCCAAACAAAAAAATGCATGGGGCTTTTCAAAGAATGGCAAATTCTCCCATATTAAACTGCATTTAATGGGTAGTAATTAATAGTATCTGATACTAACTTCTATATTTCACTTACATTATCAACATTATTAATATTATCAATATAGTAGCAAGAGAGAATATCCTCTCCTGCATTGTTGTTATCATCATTATTATTATTATTTATATCAATCATTAGAGCCCTCTTCGATTGAATGTCGTTAAACCAAAACCAAAGTTTTTTCAAAGCAGAAGAAAGGAATTACCTCTAAGAGCCAATAAGAACTCAAAGGAAAACCGACTAAACTGCCTAAAGCGCGGGAAAACGCAGGTGACCAAGGCGTGATTGGTTTAAGTTTTGCATCTGATTGGTGAAGAGAATGGTACGAGTCTCTTAGACCAATCACAGAGCAAAGCAAAGCAAAACCTATACCGATCCCCTTAATACTTTCGGCACTCAATTTAAAATTGCTCTATAAGTGTTGTCGTTTTAAAAATTTTAGCAACGTCAGAATTTTCAAAAAATAAGTAAATTTTTTTACGGTTGGCTGGTAATTTTGCAGCCACTTCTTATAAACCATCACTGTGCTCTAACGCCTCAGAAACGACATAAACATTGCTCAGTCATGGCAACGATATGCCAGCATATGAGAAATACTCCACTTACCGCCACGAATTCAATGCCTTCGAGATATTTTGCACAATAATGGGGAAATATGAATTAGATAATTTCAGTAGTTGATATGGAATTTATTTAATATATATAAATATAATGGTAACAGGACCGAGTGCAGTCCAATTCGGTCTGTAGTAATACGAGTGATTTACATAATTGGACGACCGTGAAGCGGGAGTCCGATTTGTTAATTACGAGTATGGTTATAGACAGAATTGGACGACAAGAAGTCCTGTTACCAATTAATCATAACAGTTACAATTTTCAAAAACAACAAATACATTCAGGTCAAATATCTATGGTAGAGACAATGTCTAAAGTAAAAAACTTCCATTTTGGAAATTCCTCAATTTTTTTTCAGGATAAGTGGTTGTTGCTATGGTTATTGTGATAAATTCTGTGAATGATGGATGTAGCTGAGTGGGGTTAGTATGATTGGCTACTTCAACTGTCTGATTACACTGTCCGATTACAGGTCTACAGAATGATTAGTGAAAAATAAAGCAGCAAATGCACCAATCACATTTGAGGAAATTGTAATGGTTATGATTAAGGTGCTTGGGGAAAGGTTTTACAAAGTCTACCTGACTACTATGCCGATACCTCGTTTATTGCCCTTTTTGTTTGATCTCTTGTTCTTAATTTGGACAACGAATATAGACAAACAACTTACATGAGGGTTGTAACCCACTCCAACTACCAGAGGGCAAACACATTCTTATTGCCGGACCAGCTAAGTGATATTGGGGATCACAGACATAGGACACAGATTCACCGGTCCAGTATCGTGAGCCATGTTTACGTCCATTTGATGGAGAACCCGGATCACCACAGTTGACGAGAGCTAATAACGAATAAATAAATGACTAAACAGTCAGAATAAGTAAATGGAAAAGGACAAAGAAAGGCGAAGATTAGGAAAAAAGGTGCGGCTTCTTCTTTCTTAGAAATGGAAAGACAAAAAAATTAGGTCTCATATAACAAAAGCTTTAATTTAGGCTGTCATAAAAAAAAAAAGTGTTCGGTGCTTAATTTCCAGTTTAACTCTCAGTGCCGTGCTAAAAAATAGGGCCAGAAAATGCTAAATATCTAGTTAACAAGAAGGTACGTGCAATGAATTTAGGCATTGTTGATGAACAAAATGCGACATACTCATATCTGTGTTGGATTCTGCGGTAACATTCTTGTCGTTATAAAAGCGACATAAGTAGAGCCCAGAGTCACTTGGCTTGAAGCGATGAATGATAACTTCACTCGATATCAAATATTTTCCGTCATTCATAGCTCTAGAATTAATACGTAGACCACCTTTGAACCACATGACCTTGGGTAATGGCGAGCCACCAGCTGAACAGTTTAATGTCACAGTATCACCAACATGTTGTACCTTGATTTCACCGGGAGGACTGGATACCATGTAGGGATTCACTTTATAGATAGGCAAACAAAATTAGATTTACCATTTGAATAACTAACAGTTTGCATAAATCCAATAATGGTTGTTTAGACTCTTATTGTACTCTTTTGTTGTCTATTTGTGGGTTCTTAACATTTTTATACTCACCAACAACTTTAACGATAACCCATATCACTCTCATAACGTTTGCCATTTGGTTGGTTCCCTGGCAAACGTAAGCGCCTGCATCGTCCTCTGTTGTGTTTTGAATCATAAGTTGGGAACCGTTACTAAAATGCCTGTTGACTGAAAGCTGCTCGCCTGATCTTGTCCATGTTATCACAGGGGAAGGGTAACCAAAGATGTCACATTGGAGCACAGTGTCCCATGTCTTGTAAGCAGTTATGGAACGCTTAGGTTCGGTAATAAATTTTGCTGGTACTACCAAAAAAACATTACACCACAAAATGTAAACGAAGTTCAAAATGAGACAAAATGCATACTAGGACATCCTAATAGTGTTCAGTAGTATCATAATGTAGATTATAGCACCAGTGATCCGGCAAGCTTTGACGAGAATATTGATTGAAGTTTATAAGGCGAGCTATTTATCCGCAATTTTACGCTCGCGATGAACGATGAATTCAAATAGTTTTTGTCGCAAGGCGTGCGTGACCGATTGCTGTGCGTAGAACGTTAAGCTCGCATTATAACTAGAAAGTGCATTTCTTTTAACCAGCAAATAATGAACTGGAGGTATCTGGACCTTTTAGAATTAAAAATGAATAATCTGTATAACTATAAATAACTACATTAAAGAATTTAATGAAGGGAAAATATGAAACTGAATGCCAACTATTGCGCTATAAAGACAGCGAGAGATTATTAATCTCTTAGAAAGACCTTTCACGCTGACATTGACGGATAACTCTGCCCTGCCCATAAGATTTTCCGCTGTACAGGTGTAGACACCACGGTCCTGGAATTGAATTTTCTCTAAGTTTAGACTCCTTTCTCCAAAGTACTTCCTCTCCTTTTCTATCAGGTGTCCATTTTTGTACCACGTGATCACGGGTTGTGGGAAGCCATTTGCTTTACATGGTATTAGAACATTTTGTGTCTCTTTTACTGTTATGGTGGGGGAAGGCTTTGAAATGAAGTGTGGCAATTCTGTAGAGAAAAATTTTTGTTAACATCGTTTTGAAAAATAAAAAGCAGCCGAATGGAAAGGTATTAAAGTTTCAGGAGAATAGGGTTTAAAAAAAAAGATTTTGAGAAAAAAAACCAACAGATTAAATAACTTACCTAACTGACCTCCACCTCTATGGTTTGTTCTCTGTTGTGCTGATTTCCCAGGGGGCCCCGGTGGTCCTCTTAGGCCGCGTTTTCCCAGGGGACCTGGCACACCTCTTAGTCCCTTTCTTCCCCTCTTACCGCTTGTAGCGTTGCAGTCGTGTCTTCCGTTGTGGTTATGTCCTCACACATTATAACCAATAGAATGCAGTTTTACTTCTTCCAATCAAAGTGCGTTGTGATCGTGTCTTCTGCGTGTCACTTCCCAACTAGGGGAGGGATGCAAAGCAAAAGTGTAAAAAGATCGTTAAGATTTCCGCGCTCGAAGTTTGAGAATTTCATGGGCTATCCTTGACACCTTTTGGGACGCTTCGGATTGGTGAAAGAGTAAGATTCTGGTTGCGTTTTTAAGTGTGGGGTAATTTGGGAAATTTCCTTCCATACGTTGGAAAGCCTAGGAAGACGAGAATTTGACATTGCCTCATGGCTTTCCTTACTTTTCTGTTGGAGCTAGTACAATAAGGTAAGGTTTTCGTTGCACTTCATGCTAGTATTTTGTTAAATTTTAAATATTACAACCATTCTTCAAAGATCGCGTTCAAGTTTTGTGCTAAATTCCAGTAGATTTCATGTAGCTGCATGATACCTGGATTCATTGAATCCTTCTGTGTCGAGGACTGACTTTTTTTATTTTGTTTGAGACATGCAACACTTGATATTCCACGTCGATTAAAAACCAGGACAGCTCTCGGTGTTTCAATGATCAAAAACTTGTGATTTTCTTCCAGCCTCAATAATTTGTATTATGTTGCATGTAGCAGTCTCATAGTGTCTACACTGGTGGCTATTATGGGTACAGTGGAAGACATGTATTCATTGTAAATGTACAGGGCTACCCAAAAATTCAGCTAGGATGTATGGTCGATGTTAAACTTCACATATCCTGGAAAGTTAACTTATGATGATATGATGAAGATCTGGTCTCTTATAAAGGATAGGGTGCTGGCTCCTAACGCTCTGCAGCAAGTAACAGTTGGGTCATCATTCTCTTTGCTCACCCAGAGGGGCACAAATTTGCAGCAAAATTACTCATCACTTAATAATATGTGCTTTTCTATTTAATTCAGTTTCTGACATATACCACTTTCTTTCTTTTGATCTATTTAGAATAAAGCCCCTTGAACTAAATTATGAGGAATACCACAATGATATGTATTTTGTGTGTTACAAACATTAAAATGAAATAAATACTAATTCATGCACAAATGAATACTTAATTCAATACAGACTATTGCCCATTATTAGCGATTATTGCTCCTACACTTGTTAACAAGAACTTGGTCTTGTTGGAGTTCATTGTGAGTGTCTGGTAATCCATATATCAATGGAGACACTCTCTGCAACTATCTTTGTGAAGAAAATACCAATCCTTTCACCCTTACTCAATATCATTTATACAGGCATGGATGAGAACCAGCAGCAAAGCAAAGTAAACAAAAGTGCAGATGAAAGGTATCTGTTGTGCTTGTCCTTGGTGTAAAAATCAGTTTCCTTTGGTTTTGTTAATGATATGAATGAAAAATGCATTTTGTGTTGAGAAAGATAAAATTTAGCTCCTAGCCTAAGTTATGGTGAGATGATATGTCACTATCAATTTGGCCTCTTTTAAAAGTAAAAGAATAAACTTAGGATAAAACTAAACCACAGCATACCTATACTAAACCCTCAGCCTATTTGTATCAATATTATTATTTTTTCTGGTGTTTACCCAATAGATTCAACCACTTACAGACATAGATGGTGCCTGTAAATTTTACCTTTATTCCTAGGGTAAGACACATGTAGAAAGCAATATTTCGCAAAACAACAACATTATGTATGCAAATTTTAAATTTTTCCAATTTTTTCTGCTTGACTTTTTGAGTGGTTCCAGGATTTTCTTGTGCAAAGAGTTCTAGGTGAATGTACCAGTCACCATGTTTTTTGGTATGATGGTTTACATTGATTGCTGTGCTCTACATTCATCATTGAAGTGCCAATTAATTCCTTTGCCATCAGTAATTGCTTTAAATATACTGTGTCAGAAATCACAGCACTGTTCCCCAAATTTAATGTTGTCCAGGGCACAATTTCATGTTTTTGAGCAAGGCAAAGGTAAAAATCAAACAAGACCACACAGACATCATCCATGAGACAACATTACTATGTATATAATGTTTATATAGTTCGTTATGTAAAAGCTACTCTATTCATTAAATCAGTGTCAACACTCTCCCTCACTCTCTCTTGTAGCAGATATAATTTTTAGCCAACTTGAGAAATAGTGGCCTAAAATGGACATCCAAACTTTTAAATTTCCAGGGAAAGGTTCCCCAGACTTTGCTATCCAAGTGGGAATAAATGGCTACCACACTGTCATTTTTGTCCCTCCCAGCTGCTCAAATGTTTTCCCTCCTTTCCACAATCTTACCAAAGCCCCTATATGTGTAGTAATAAAAACATTGAAGTGCAGTGTGCTATCTCAGCAAGAGATGATAATCATGCACACTTTTAAGTGAGTCATCCTAGCAGATGTTTGGTGAGGTATTACATTCTGTGCTCAAAATCTAGTTCACATAGACCTGGGGAAAAAGAATAGGGTGTAATAGTCAGGTCGGTGAATTGCTACAAGCTTTAGTTTGATACCACTACTCATTTGGTTATCCATTTGGTTATCTATCTTGCTGGTAATCTTTCTGGTTATTTGGGTTTTTTATGGAACCTCTTCCCATCAAGAAGAAGCATGGTATGTGTTTGAAAGTTGATAGAAAAGAAAAGTTGAAAAAAAAAAAAAACGGAAATAGGGGAGGAACAGGATGGTACCAAAGACAGTGGTACATTTTTTTTCTGCAGGGGGTAGTTTTTTTATTTTTGAATTAGGGTTCTAGCCTAAGTATGTCTAAGTTTCTACACTTGTTTATTCTTGTGATTTCTTGCTTTAGGAAGTGAGGTAGAATTGTTTGAATTTGTTTTTTCATTACAGCCACTTGAGTCTGTAAATGGAAAGAAAACACTGAAAAATGGTGGTAAGGAACACATTGCTTGCACTATAAAGTACTGAAAGTAATTTGTAACTCTCCACATTTGTTATTTACAATTGATATGCTTTGCACAGCTGTTGTGTGATAAGTGAAGAATTAGTTAACTGTATCTCAAAAATTAAATCAATTTAAACTGCAGCGAAAGCTATTACTTTTATAGTTATAAAAGTATTAAAGGTAACCTCTCTAAGAACCTTCCCTAGTGTCTGTGTTATAGAGGTATCCACTAAATATAGGTTAATTTATTAGGAAATGTGGGAAGAATAGTATGCAACTGAATGATGCAAGTTTCAGCCAGTTGAGGGTTCTTACATTTTTTATTGTGGTGCTAATGGTGTCTCAGTCAATTGCTAACTTAGTATTTAAGTACTAGTTGTGGTTGTTGATTATTTGACTTTCCCTAAATGTTTTTTATTGGAGCCAAAAGAAAAAGTTTGTGAGGCCATGCTTTAAAAAAATGACAGGAAGGCCTTAAAAGCTTACTTAGATCTTTATGAAGATGGAGGGTTATTTTATTGGCAGTTACATGTAAAGATTAAGGTTGCCAGGGCCACTTACTAGGAGTAGATTTATAAGTTAAAAATACTACATTTGAGCTCAAATTTTACACAGACATTATTCAGGTATGATGGAAATTTAAAAGCACATTCTTGTCTCATTCATAAGCAATGCTATATACTCCACAGGTGTCAAATTTATTAAATTTTGTGTTCAGAATTACTGTTGGCCTTGATATTTTTAACATTATGTAACATTTAACATTATATAACATTGTTTTTAACAAACAGTAAAATTTTTTGGTTTTGATCTGAGCAATTAAAAACATTGTCTTGTTTCCAAGGTTTCCAAGGAAGGTTTCTTCACTTCATGCCTGGGTCCTTATGTATATTATTCTGTTTTACAGAAAATAACAGTCAACTTGAGCAGGAAAACTCCAATCAGCCTAGAGGGGCCAGAAAATAATTGTGCTTAGAAATAACAGTTACCTCCAGCTGGAAATCAAAAATGACAGAACAGCTTGCAGGGGCTGGAAAATACAAGTAAGTACTGTAAAAGAATATTTATTCCTTGCCGGTAATCTCAGAACAGCTGTGTAGGGCTGGAAATTAACAGTACTGGAATACAACAGTTAACTCCTGCTGAGAAACTGAGAACAGCTGAGAGGGGCTGGAAAATAACAGTGCTGAAATACAAGAGTTATCCACTGCTGGAATTCAGAAACAGGAAACTTTTAAATACTATGCTACAATACACTGAGCATGCAATAATATCTTCCATTGCCTCAACTCCAGTTACTTGTAGAAAGGTCATCTCTGAACCATTAAATAGGATCTGCTTTACTAGTTATGTACAGTTTGCAATACATTAATGAAAGAAAAAATCTTAACCCTTTAACCCTAAGAGTGGCCAGCCTCTAATTTCTCATTACAAAATCACCCCTGATATCACCCCACATCCCACATGAATCAAGGAAATGACCAACAACTTATAAAGCTCTTGATTTTTAAACAAATTCTCCTTGTCAACAGTTCAGGAAATGTATAGAGAATGGTACGGAGAATATGCCTAC